AACCCGAGGTACCACTGTATCAGATTCCTTTAGCTTTGCCCCAGGATGTGTGTGCTAGTTTGAGTGGACAAACGGCAGGAAGGATTAAGCAGCCCTGCCACTTCTGTGCTCAAGTTGCCATCTGCCCACAGCGCTTTTCGTTTTTTAGAAAGGTTGAGAAATTATGCGCGCATTACCCACAAAATATTGTTTGACCCTTAACATGCCACTGAAATTCGCATCTCCTGTTGGAATGGATCCATGACAGGGAAATCACACCTGCTAAATTCTCTTTGGCATGAACCCGGCAAACCACTTGGCAAATTGCTACTCACACAACCCTGCCACAACATCACATTTCTCTGCAGAGCTAGACGAACAGTCAGTCAACAAAGGATAAAGCTGCTGGCAGGCCTGTCCACAGTTTGCTGCAGCTGCTAATGCTGAATACAATTTTACTAAATCCCTAAATATTCAGATGATTTACAAATAACTTTGTTGTACTGATACAATACGAGAATGTGACTCGGTGGCAGTCAACAGGCAGACTATTTGCAACAGACTCTTAAGAGCTATGTTGTAAATAGTCCCTAAACCAGAAAAGCAAACCGTCAAGTTGAAAAGCAATTCACAATTAAATCCTGCACCATGATTTCCTGATGCTGCAGCAGTTGTAAAATTTTCAAGTCAATTATCCCATTTATATCTTGAAATAAACAGCAATGAACTAGAGAATGAAATGAAGCAACTCAAGTTCATCCGAACTGCATTTTCCTCCAAGGTGGGTAGCATGTATACCAAGTCAGCATTGTTCACATTTTTGTGTCTGCATACGATGCTACTTCTGGATGGCATATGATCTGTAGCTAACCATTCTAATTCTATTTTTGGTAGACAGCTGCAAGAGAGGTTAAAGTGTGCTGATTTGCTGATGTGGGCAAGTTGCCAAACTATTTGAATTAGCCTCCCACCCTTTATACGAAAAGCAGGCATAGATCTGCCATATATGAGCATCCTGAAGCTAGCTGTTCCCAATTGTTGTGTTCTCTAATATTAAAATGTCATACATGTATAGGATATGAGCCTATGCTGGCTCATCCATGGAATGTTGAACAGATACTATAGATGGCTCAACAAGGAAATGTAGAGAGGGGTTTGGGTTTTTTTTTAATGATGTTAATGAGTTTCTATTATGATAAAGACTGCATGTTCATAGTGTGTATTTAATATATAGGCAGAGCATTCCTAATTCCCTTTGGGGAGGGGGGAGCTCCAAGGTTACAATGCACCCAGAGACCACAGGTTCTCTATTGCCTCCTTCTTTCTGTATACACCATGTGACATGCATCTTTGCAGAAAGGAGGGTGGTCAAGATCCAATGGCCGTTCTGCCTTCTTTCCTTGGAGTTTAGGATTTCTCCCTATAGCTGCAGTCCTATATACCTGAGAGTAAGTACTATTGTACTCAGGGGGCCTTACATGTATAGGATAATGTTACAAGGTCTGTCTTCCTTGGCAGTTTAGTAGCTTCCTTTCCCCGAATTGCTTAGTGTTTGTACATTATCATTTGATTTCTGTCACCCTGTATACAGTTGTACTGGACTGAGAGCTTGTGTAATTCAGTCACACACAGAGGAGCGAAGGGAGATTCCACATGCCTGAAATGTTATATATAAAAGCAACCACATGGATAGCTGTTTAGCTAATCACTGAATGACAGCGTCTCCTATTAGAAGACCCTTGAGGTTTTATCACATGCTTTCTGCTACTTTGGATGGCTGTTGTTGAAATATGATGTACGTGAGCTTCGTTTTTTCATTTTTGTTGAGAAAGATACAGTTGAGAAAGATACAGCAACAATCTATTCCATACACTCAAATCATGAGTCTCGTTATGTGGTTGCAATATTTACACTAAACTTCCAGGGACATCCCTACTATTAAAGACAAAGTGAAAGTGCCTTAAGTGGAAGGCCTTGGGAATACCATTAGAGGGCACCAAATTGTCAAATATTTGCACTTTATGCACTGGGAAGGGAACCCTGCCCCCTGTGAAGGGCCAAACACTCTATCCTTTCCCTATCAGCCCACTTGGTTTCTGGCAAATTACCCTCCCACTCAGCCAACATAAAGCAGTCAGAAGAGGAACCCCCTCACTCTCCTGAAAGAATTCCCTAGTCACCAGGTGAGTGGTCAAACACAAGTCTGATATGCATTTCTGTAGTAATCTTTACAGCAACCCTATAGGTTTCAGCAATGTTATTATCCTGGTCTTTCTGTCTGGCCTCTGGCCTGTCCTCAGGCCGCCATCCTCCACGACTGGTCCTGCTTCACACTCTCTTGGAATGTGTTTTGCCTGGATGAAATGTGCCCTTGAGCTCTGATAATGGCATTTGCTTGCCCATATGAATGAGAGACAGATTCTTGTGAGTGTGAGTAGAAACTAGTCTAGTGTACAAAGGTTGTTATTAGTAGTAACAGTAGCAGCGGCAGCAGCAGCAGCAGCAGCAGTATATTCACCCTTTACCCACAAGCCCCAGGGCAGTTACAACATAAAATCACAACATAAAAACACAAAATACATAATAAAAATTAAAACAAAAGCAATCCAAAAACCACTCCCCATTGGATGCCAATCAGCCAGAGGCCTGGTTAAAGCAGAACATTTTTGCCTGGCACCTAAAGGTGTGCTGTATAAAGAAAGCACTAGGCGAACCTTCCTAGGGAGAGCATTCCACAAATGGGGAGCCACCGCAGAAAAGGCCCGTTCTTCTGTTGCCACCCTCCGACCATCAATTTACATTGATTGTTTCACCTACATTTGCCTTCCTCTCCCCACACATCCCAGCCATGTCATCTTGGAAAGGTTGTTTCTTTGGCTGAAAAAAGATTTCCTACCCCTGCTGTAGGCACACCTCAGCATCATCAGCATCATTTTATTTGTATGCCGCCTTTCCATAGTTGAAACTATGCTCAAGGCAGCTTACAACATGACAAGATTTACATAATTACAAACATAACAGAAGTCATGAACAAGAAATAAAACACATCAAAAAGTGCACAACCAAATGGAAACAATTTCCACATAAATCATAAGATCTAAAACTAAAGATACAACATGTCAGGCACTAGCTAGGTTTGTTAGATCCGCCTGAACTCAGAGAGTGGCCTAGATGCTCAACACTCTCCCACACCAGTCTTTCAGGGAAACCTGTCTGGTATGCCAATCTCTTCATCAAGGTTTTCTTGCTGAGCTTTTGAGGGACTTTGAGGTTCCCTACAGTTCAGTTTAGAAATCAATGGCTTAAGACAATGCCGTTAGCTCTTGTCCGAAATGAGATATCGATTCGGGACTTAGACCTCACTGTGTTACAAATGCATTTTGCCAGCTCACTTGCATTAATGGTCACCACCATGCAAATACAGACATCACTTTACATTTGGTCCATGATTGGATGGCAAACACTAAAACTGTAGCTTTTCACAATATGGAAACTGAAGCACAAGAGATCAAATGGGAAAGGGTTCTCAAAAATGTAATTGTTCTGTAGACACTTAGTAGGTGGCTTATGTTGTGCATCATATAACTGGCCTATTTTTTGCCTGGCTCCACCTCTCCTCTCATCACACGTACCACGTTCTGCTCAATTTACAATCCCTCAACATCCCTATGGCAACTGCAGCAGCTGTTTACATGGCAACGCAATAAGAAAATATTTAATGTATTTTTAACTCCACTTTAATGGAATTTAGCAGCTGGATACACGATGGCGAGTCAGCACCATATGACTGAGACAGCTAGCTTTTTCACCTCAGCCATCAGTACACTCTTAGGGAACTATGCTCCACAAGCCAGGAGTTATTGTTGGGTGGATATCCTTAGAACATGACAATATCCACACGTAGCAGAAAGCTACAGCACACATTGGGATTTGGTGTGCACCCCAGTCCAGTTTTCATACCATCTGTGATATGAGAGACTGTATACAGTTCCCTGTCTTTCAATACATCTATGGCCCCATAATACACTCTGTGTAGGGCTGCATTTGAAAAGTGCTCAAAACTCAAATTAGTATAAAATCCTCCAGCCAGACACTTTGATTCCATCATGCTAATTTCGTGTGACCTGCACTGGCTGCTAGTTTGTATCTGGAGTCAGTTCAAGGTGCTGTTAACCTTTAAGGCTCTAGATGGCTTGGGACCTGGGGACTTGTATGTTCCTTCCCACATGCTCCAATCCTGATCTGAGGCTCCGATCCAGATCCTTTGACCTTATGAGGCACAGCTGACAGCAATCAGGGCTAGGGCCTTTTCTGTGGTGGCACCCAGTCTATGGAATACTATACCCCTGGGCTGTTTAACAAGTCCTTTGACTAAATTCATTCATTTTTAGTGGTTAGCTGCATTTGAATTATTACTTCAAAGAATCCTGGGGCCTGTAGTTTACCTCTCTCAGAGCTGTAACTCCCAGCACGCTTAACAAACAACAATTCCCAGGTCTCGGGTGGGTGGGTGTGCTTAAAGGAATAGTGTATAAACAGCTCCTAGCTTAAGATGAATACCAATACAAGTTGTATGAATTTCAAGCTAGTTTTTCCTTCTCCCTTCCATCCAGGACAATGAAACTATGGAGAACACATTTTGTGACATTTTGGTTGATATTAACAAGGACACTGCCATACTATGTATTTCGGAACATAATCACGAAATCACATTATTAAAGACTTGGGCATTTAGAAAACACCATAGAAAAAGCCATTTTACAGATCGGCAGAGAATCTGTAGTCTGAAATACATCTGCGAATCCATAGCAGAGAACTCAAAAAGCCCCTGCAGAGCGGTCAAGAAAGTGAGCCAGTTTTCACATAAACACCCACCCATATATCCGTCAACCATTCAGACCCGCCCCTCCCCCGCGGCAGTAAGCAGCGGGCAGGCTGCGAGCGCTTTCTTTCTTCGCTCCGCGGCGCGAGCGAGCAAGCCAATCAAGCTGCTCCGCGGCCCGCCGTCATCACAACGGCGATTTCGATTTCGCCGCCTCGCTGGCGTGCGCGTGCGCGCACCCACACGCCCTCCTCCGTTACCTGGGCTCATTTGCCCCAGAACGCATGCGTGCCCAAGGCGCGCATGCGTAAAAGAAGGGGGAGATGGGGGAACCACTTAAAAATAACGAACTTTTTAAAAGGACGACCGAGCGGGGGCGGGAAAAGCAGTTTTCGCTTCTCTGGGCCACACCGACGAGGGGGGAGTGGGGGGGGGACAGACTCCTGAAAACCGGCCGGGCTAGACAGTCAGGTAGCCACCCTGAAAGGTGAGTTCACTTCTTGGAGCCAAACGCCTCACAAGACACACCTGTTGCATCTCCTCACACATTGGCGGTGGGCGGGGAGGGATGCAGGCAGAGGTGGCCACGGCTGTGTTGCGGATAAAATAAACACTGGGCGAATGCAAAGTGCAAGGAGGCTTTTTTTTAAAGGTGGACTTCAGTCCTCGGAAAGCCTCGGAAATATATTCACCTGTAACCACGTAGCCCAACATATTCGGTGCTTGGCTTACAGTCGCCCATGTGTGTTATCCGAAGGTTGGGTGGCTTATTAGCCTTGGCGGCCTTTTCCTGCCCCTGTCTGTTTCCAGCAGTTGTTCAGCAAGGGGAAGTTTTGGGCTCGCATCAAGCGGGAAATTGTTAGGTTTCCCTGCCCGTTTCCCATCTGCTAAAGGCCTGGCACCCAAACAGAAGAGAGTCGCCCAGGTGGGAGAGGTTCAGGTACTTAACACACGATGAGTTTGTTCTTCAAAAACTCACTGACACATCCTTAATCCTTAAAACTAAACAGGAATAAGCATAAATAGGTGCAAAAACTATTTATTCCTTGATCAGTATGCTTTAATCTGTTATAAGGATGTGATGTTAACTTGTCTTTTAGAAAGAGAGGAGGGATTATTTTATTTCTTTCAGAAAATGTGTATACCGCTTGATTGTAAAAACAACAACCCTCAAAGTGCTTTACAAATGATAAAACCTTAAAATTGAGGGGAGGGGAAACAACTCTACTTTAAAACAGACAAAAGTTAAAATACTAAAACAGATTACAATTACCTCAACTTTCTAAGCATAGTGATTCTTCATGATCTTAGACCTATTCCATTTTTCTCCCTTGGTGTTTCCCTAATATGTTCTCAAATGAAATATCTTTACATTGAAATTTTGTAGCCAGGTCAAACCTTTTTTGCTTGTGGTCTGAGGCCTTTGCAAAAATTCAAACAAAGATATATAATAAGTCATATTTATAAATAAAAACGTATTATGCTATGTATTATGCTATGCATGTTAAACACACTCAGTATAAACCAGAATCAAGGGTAAAAAGGAATAAAATAAAGGATAATAAAACCATCACACCAGGGCATCATCATTACTGTTTATACCTATCTCTGAAATCTCTCCTACACTAATACTTGTGAAGCAGCCAGTGCAAAAAGGGTCATGAGAGATGAGTTAACCTGGCTTCCAAGTGAGAAGTTAGGTTGGGAAGCTGTATCAGTGGCAAGGGCATGAATGCAACTCCTTGGGTGCATATCCAGTATGATTGGTGGTTATTTTATGTTTTAATTGTATTCATGGTGTGTTTGTTGTATATTTCTTTGGTATTAATATGCTTCTCACTGCTTTATGTTCCTTTGACCCAAAAAGCAGAATATAAATGAACGACAGCATTACATCAGAAGTTCTGAAGAAATACTGTGGGGTTTTTCCAGGAAGTAAGGTGGAAAACTCTAGAATCTGAATTGAGAACTGCAGCCATTTTGTTGAGGCATAAAACAGAGAAAGGGAGAAAAAATGCCAGTTCTGAAGCCTGTAGTAAAAATGAAAGTGGACGAACTCTTTTTGCGCTGGTTGAGTGATGCCTCAACTCAGGTGATGCTCAAGGACTGCTTAAGAAGTATAACTAACAAGGAGAAGATTGAAATCGGTAGTGGTGATGCTGGGAACAATGAACATATTCTTGGCCATATAAATTGTGTCTCGAAGCAAAGCATGCTGGGGAATTTGATGTCTACTTTGACTCCTACAAGCCCTCCTCATCTATCTACTGCTCTCCCACTGGGGACGCCAACAAGCCCAAGGAGCTTTTCTAATATTCGAGGTAAACGCAGATCTTCAAGCACCAAAAGTGTAAGTGGTTTTTGCTATTTCGGCAGGTAAGCCCATTTAAGATAAGCTATGAATGTTTGCTTTATAGTACTCACCAATTTTTGTCATTTTGGACACAAATAAGGGCTGTAAAGGTTGGTTTCATCTGCTGTGAGCTACACATGGTTTACTAGTGCAATGAACATTTAACCCCAAATCAATAATAAAATGGCCTTGTAGGTATCATAGAGTGCAAGAATCTTCTTTGTTTTTGAAAAAAATATCAGCCTTTTAAAATAAAATCTAGAGGTGACTTGAGCATGTTGGTCTGTAGGAAATTCCATACAGCTGTTTTTCCCCATTATAAACTGGAAATGAGGGCTCATCCAGATTTTCACTTGTCCTGCTGCATTCCCCTGGGGAAACCTGATCTTTACCAATGAATTGAACCAAAGGTCAGTTGGGTTTTTTTGCAGATTGATGTGTGCTCCAATTCAGCTCTATAAAGAGCACATTTTCCCTGGGAAAGCAGTGTAGCAAACTGAAAAGAGCTGCTCAGGCCCGTACTTTCTAGGCATGGGGAAAGCAGAAATCATAAAAGTATCTTATGGGGGAAAATAGTGACTATTATGTGTGTTTGGTGTTACTACAATTGGTTTTGTAACAAACAGTAGAAGTGACTTTTAAGTGCTCAACCCTATAACTTGTAAACATTTAGGTAATGAGGTTGTGGGGTATCGGCAGTTGTTCCAGCATATCGCTAGCAGACATGGAAATGCTTATGATGAATCACTAATATGAAATAAGTTTCATTGCTGATGGCAGTAGCACTGAGTTGCTTCCAACTGAACCTTACTCAGACTAGGTTAATTTCAATGGGTCTAACTGTCATGTTTATTAACACCAATGTGTCTGCTCTTGAGCAGAGCTAGCGTTGACTTCCACCTATTGTATTGGCTGTCTCTCAGGCCTTGTCTTCTGTCTTCCTTTATTGTTATGTTGAACTTCAGTTTTTTACACTCTAGCAGAGCAAAGAACCTAACAGCTGTGGCAGTATTCAGAATGCCATGCAGCTGATACCATTTCCTCAGTTCCTTCAGATATGAGCTATTTATAGCCTGTGAATTTATTTATTTATTGTAGTTGTCAGCACTTGCTCCCTTGTATGGCACCTTGCATCAGCTGTTAATGGTCTCTGTCTAGTGAATAGCATACCAGGCATCACTGATGGTACAGAACCACAAGCATGGCCTCATTAGTGACTTTGTTTGTAATGAACGTTCTTTGCTTGTTAGGGCTTCCTCCATTCATGAAGGACTTCAAATAGTGCGGAATGCTGTAAATGAAAACCAGAATTAGAGCTTATTCTATTACTATGTCTACTGCTTCTAACTGTAGTATTCACATATTAAGAATGATACACTGTGAAATATCCCGAAACACTCTTTGAAATATGAAGTGCCTTGATTTCATGGACTGTAGTTTTGATATTTATCTTGTAAAAGATCAGTATGATGATGATTTTATGTAGAGCATTTGTACCCCAATCTTCAACTAAAAGGGTTCCCAGGATGGCTTACATGCAGTCAATAAAAACAAGGCTGTTCCTGCCTTAAGGTTTACAATATATAATATAAAAAAGCAACACACAAGGGGGAAGGGACAGGAAAGGAAGAAGAAAAATCAAACTCAAGTAAAGGTAAACGGACCCCTGACCATTAGGTCCAGTCGTGGCCGACTCTGGGGTTGCGGTGCTCATCTCGCTTTATTGGCCGAGGGAGCCTTCGGGTCATGTGGCCAGCATGACTAAGACGCTTCTGGCGAACCAGAGCAGCACATGGAAATGCCGTTTACCTTCCCGCCGGAGCGGTACCTATTTATCTACTTGCACTTTGACGTGCTTTTGAACTGCTAGGTTGGCAGGAGCAGGGACCGAGCAATGGGAGCTCACCCTGTCGCGGGGATTCGAACCACCGACCTTCAGATCGGCAAGTCCTAGGCTCTGTGGTTTAACCCACAGCACCACCCACGTCCCTCAAACTCAAGTACTAGTTCTTAAACAGTTGTTTTTATATTTAGCAACTGACCAGTACTCTATGTTATAAGCTGACAACCAGTTTCATAATGCCACTTTACTTTCTAGGGCATGGGTGGGGAAACTGTGACGCTCCAGGGTGGCTGCAAGAGTACTTTGACATAGAACCCGCAGTTCGCACACTGTCTTGTTGCGTGGGGGCAGGGAGCAAGGCCAATATTTGATCAAAGTTTTTTTAAAAAAAAATTCTAACCCACCTCTTAAGGTCCTGAGGAGAAACAGTAATTTGGAAAAATATAATCATATCTAGCCCCAGCCAATAGAAAACTACTTAATTTTTCTCTCTCTCTTCCAATGAGCTTGTCCCGGAAACAATCAATACCAAAAATGTGTCTCCATTTTCTCCTTCAGTTTATATGCTGATGGTTTGAATGGTAGCAACAGTCCTGATAGCACCTTGTCTAGTTCTGGTATTGCAGATGTCTTGACAAAGTGCTAGGGTGCTGCTGGGCTAGTGGGGGCTGCTATGAAGCTGCAAATGGTGCAAATTAGTGTGATAGTACAGTTTGTGAGCATTCAAAATGTAATCTCTTGGGAGTAAAACCTGCTGATTAGTTACAGTATTCTTGTAAGCATTGAGGGGCTTATGGGAGGAAAATGCAAAGGGGGAAAATACACAATTGGAGCATGTTTGTGTAAGTATAGAATGGATATAAGCATATTTCCCATATGCAGTATTTATAAGCACTACATGTAAGTCCCTATTCCAGCTATTTCCATGTAATCATACATTCACTTAAGATATTTAAAAAGGCTCTTGGAGCAACTTACAAACATCAGTACTAAAACAGTCTCCACTGACAAAATTACAACCTAAACAAGACATAACACACAAGGAGTGGATACAGTTGCACTGCTTATAACAGTTATATAGCTCTGTCTATGCAGTTTTGGCTGTTTAGAAAGGAAGCAGCTCCTTGCTAACGTCAGTTGCAGTTCTGACATTGCACAAAGCTTCTAATTGTTGTGTATATATCTCTTATTTGGCTTGTATTTCCTTAACCTTTTTGTCACTTTGATAATTCCCAGTTGTTCTCATAACTCTCTAATTAGATATGTTGGGTTTATGGTTCATCTTCCATGCTTTTGTATTAAAAAAAAACTAGCTAATTTCAACCCCAGCAAGATCTGCACGCGCGCGCACACACACACACACCCTGCAATGTTTAGGCTTGGAATAAACCTTCCATTGGAGACAACGCTTTTCCCCCAAGCCCAATTGCAATGAGAGAGGGAATGATTAATTGTTACCTCCCTACTTGGGACCCTCAAAGTTGTCCCTTCCCTGTTACAATTAGGCTTGAAAGAAGCCTTTTTTAAAAAGCCAGTGGATGGGCTTTTTCAAGCCTAATATCAATGGAGGAAGGATGGGTGTGTGGGGGACCCTGCAGGTGCCAAAGAAGACCTCTGCAGACACACATGTGTCAATGGGTACCATACTGACGACTTGCCCTGTGCCATATCCAGTTGAGAAGAGTGACAGGAAGCATTTGAGTTAAACCTTGAAGGAGAGTGTTAGATTGGGAGCACTGTTCTGGCCATGCTCTTCAAACTAAGGATGGTGGATACTGAGCCATAAATAAGTTTGCGTTTAATTAAAAAATTTCATCCCAGTGGCAATGGGAATACATACCTTTCTTATGAAATATAGCTTATGTGAACAGTTGTCTTCAAGGGCAAGCATCAGATTCCTCCTGCTAATCATCTTGCTAAAAATAGATTTTCTATTCTTAAAGATACATGTTTGCTATTCCTGTTCATCATACTAAAGAGATCCCAGTGTAAGCAAGAAAAACTGTTGTATATCCACAATGAGGGCGACAAAGCACAAGTGGTAAGCCAAGACAAACTTTGGTTATAGCTCATGGTTTGTTCAGAGCAATACAAACCTTGAGTCTGGTTTCAGATGTAAACTGGCTTAGCTCCCAATAGCAAGGCAGGAGTGAAGCAGCCACAATTTTCTTGTTGTGCTCCAGCACACTTGATTATTCATGCTACACTATAGTTTGCCATAGCATTACAATCAGGCCAGGCCATAGTATTGCAAATGTTTAGGATTGTGGTTTGTTTTTATCAACTTCTAGAAATTAGGAAAATTACATTTTCTAGATGCTGGTTGAATCCAAAAGGTTCTTTGGACAATCAGGGTGAGGGTGGGTGTGTCGACAATTCTGCTGATTTTCCACCCAGCTCTTGCCATTCTGGAGGGGCCCCAAGCAGATTTATAAAGGAGGACATAAGGGCTACATCAGGAAGAAGGAATAAAGTCCCATTGTATTAGCAGAACATTGCCTATGGTTCTTAAGTGCTAAGACATAATTTGTTTTTTTCATAATGTATAAACCATTGTACTTCCAGAGAATACTCCAAGCAGTGTACAGAAATAGAATTTAAAACACAATACTTTTCATAGAATTGTTGAAACATAAAAACCAAGACATTTTTTTAGAAGGCTTGAGAGAAAAGAAAGGTTTTCAACAAACATATACCATGTACTTCAACTTACCAAACTAGCATCTTCTATTCATTACTCTATTTCATATAGAGTCCTTTACATATTTCATTGAGACAAAGGAAAGCTGTGCTTGAGCTTCTAAAATGCAGGAGTCCTGCTAGGGGAACGGATATTATTATTATTATTATTATTATTATTATTATTATTTCTTACTTGATTAATGTACAACCACTTGTTTTGTGGGGCAGGGGGATAATATTGCTATGACTGCACTTCTGGTTGTGTGCAATTGGTTGGCCCTGTTCTAAATAGTGTCTACATAGTATGTTGGGCATTCTCTGCTCATGTTCTGCAATTCTGGTGCACTCAGCTTTTAAAGCTGCACAGAAGTATTATGTGTGGCTTTTAAAAAGCTGACTTTGCATTCCAGGCTTCCATTCCCTAAACTGCAGTAACTCCATGGAAGCAGCAGAACAGAACGTACAGGAAATGGTTCTGACGCTATAATTAAAGTGAGGCTCTTAAGGCCAAAACTGCAAGTTTTCCAGGGCAATCCTATACATGTCTATTCAGAAGTGTTACTTATATTAAGGTGGTACCTGTGCAATTTATCATAATATAGTTCCCCCCCAAAAAAGCTTTATATTCAGTAAATACATTTTTGAAAGGATTAGTTTAAAAACATGATAGATTATTTATGATGAATTCCCTTGATATGTCTATGTCTTGATTTATGTCTATGCTTAAAAGCAGGCATTGAGGAAACTATGCAGTGTTAGAAACTGAGATATGAAAGCTAGGAGCTACCCGGTATGTGGCACCTTAAGCCTAGGTTATGGGCGCAACAATGCAATGTCTAGGCACTAAAGCTGAAATGAATGAACTGCAGCTCTTAACTTCAGCCACTTTTGTCCGTTGATTTGTCTTGCCAATGCTTGCATTTCTTAGTTTTTTCTTTTTTCTGGTAAAGTTTTTCTGAGTTCTTTCTGTGCCTCCAGATAGGATATTCTTTGGTCTTTCATAGATTTACTGGTAATTCCTTTCCTTGGGATGCCGACAGAGAGTATAGAACCCAGATGAATTTTCATCCACACTGAGTTCTTCTGTGAATATTTCCCTCCCATTTCTTGGCTGTTTTGTGTTAGATATCTGTTGGAAGGAATCCGGAATTATCTGCCTACCTGTGTGATTATCATATAATTTTGAGCATAATGCCATTTCCTTCAGTGTGAAAGTTGACCTTAAAGGGACCTCTTTTTAAGGTGTCCCTCCCTCCCTCCCTCCCTTGCCAGAGATGCTTCCTGTGGGTGTAATAGTGAGGAGACATTGTTAGGGTTCACTGAGGAGCGTTTCAGGCCGAATCCCTGGGTCTGGCTCTTTAATGATATTTTGCAATTATAATTTATATACACAGACTGATGTGCAGGCTTGCTACAAAATGTTGCCTGGCTTTATTTATTTCAATACATTTGGATCCCACCTTTTATCCAGGGAGCTTAAGGTGGCATACATGGTTCTCTCCCTCTCCCTATTTCATCCTCACAACAACCCTGTGAGGTAAGTTAGGCTGAGAGGCAGTGACTGGCCCAAGGTCACCCAGGGAGCTTCATGGCAGTGTTAGAAACTGAGATATGAAAGCTAGGAGCTAAATGGCACCTTAAACCTAGGTTATGGGCACAACAATGGAGTGTCTAGGTGCACTTTTTTAATAACAATACAAAGCTAAAAATGAATGAACTGCAAATAAAATATTTTTTATTCATTTTTCATATGGTCCAATCCTTCCCCTGCCCACCCCCCTAATATTCTTAAAAGGGTCTCTTCTCTAGTCTTCATGGAGTAGCTCGAAGTGGGGAGGCAGAAAAAGTTCTTCCTTTCCTTCCACTCTGCAGTTTTAATCTGAAATCTTAGATGCAGTACTGCGCCCAGAGCTCAGAAACTGCTAGCACTAATTAAATTCCCTGTTGCAAAATGTGCATAGCACAATGGGAGTTTTGAACACTGGTTCAAAATGTCACAATTGAAAAGGACCTTTCTCTTGTCTTCACCAGCAGACATCTGTCAGCAGAAAGATGGCAAGAAGGGTCTAGAAGTTGAGTGAGATTTTTAAACAGGCAAATATGCTTCCTTCTGGAAGCAAATTCCAATACAACATGTTTTCAAAATCCTCAATATCGGGTTATCTGTGTGAAAAATATTGGTGCCTAAAACTGACCACTCAAACCAATTGTGTGTGGGAAAAGAAGTAGTTGATTCAGCTCCCTTTCTGGGCCTGATGAGATGCTATGTATTCTACCAGCCTCTCCCCCTGTCAAGGAGAAACTAGAAGCAGGCATCAGGATCACAGACTCTTTTCTATGCCCTCACTGCAGGGAGACACAAACCTCCAAATTGTGGTTACAGTATTTAGTTGCAGGCTCTTTCTCAACATTAGGTTTTCTCCTCTAGGTTTTAAAACCCTTGACACTCTCTTTGCTATGATGGATCTGTTTAGACGACAAAGATAACACAACATGCATCACCCAGGGAGGGTTTCCTTTCCCTTCCTAAACAGGGAGCTAGCTGGCCTTTGATAGACTTGTCTTTTCCTGCCTATTGCACTGCCATTATATGGAAATGATCAAGCAAGATAATCCCACAGTTATATTAGTTTGCTGGAGAATGAGAGTGACATAGTTTTTCTTGAAGTTTTTTTGATTTTTTTAGAAGAATTAGCAGCTGCTTTCCAGTTACTTCAATAACTCATATTCTGCTCAGCAGGATATAATTGAACAGGCTGTACCTTCGACAACTTTTCAATGAACATAAGGAAAGCCTTAAAGTTTGTTTTGTGTGTTAAATTCTTGCTTTTACAAGCTACTCTTTTGGATTAAGTGAAATCTCACTGTCTGCTAAAGCAATACAGTCACCCTGCAACTTAGAAGCATTTAAGTTGTGCACATTCAGCTTTACATGCTTGACAATTATTTTTTTTAATTTTTAATTAGAAAGAGGGCATGTGTCAGGGGCAAAAAGACTTTGGCAGCCCCATTGAATCCAATGTATTTTGACTACACACACTTGCAGCTTTAGGCACGATCTCCAGAATGTAACCCCCATGTAAGTTGCAGGCTTACTGTATAGGGATTGGAACCAGATCCATTCTGGTAGTATTTTACTCTTAAGTCACAAATCTCAGCTATGCTTGTGTATATGCTTGCCAATTTGCTCCCCTTTCAGAAAGCTAAACTGTTCTTCCTGGCAGGGCTATCCCCATTAGCCAACCGCCTAGGATGCCAGCATTTCAAAGTTGTCTCTCCCAGTTATGCTGTTGGAGAGAGAGCCACTGCCTGTACTTTTGGCTGAGGTGAAGGCACACAGACTCATCTCCTTGGCTGGGTAATATCCCTTGCATTCCAGGGGACACGATAGTGATCCTTCTGATCTTGATCAGCTGTCCAAGACATAGACACAGTTGTAAAGGAGAGGAAGTAAACAAGCAGCAGACAGTAAAAATGAATATGAGAAAGTACTGAATGGAATCTTCACAGTGTTCAATTGGGGCAGCCCTGCTCCCCACATTCAATTCTTCCCTCTAATGCAAGGCTTCCAACTGGAAACAAACATTGGTTCCTCTTTTCTCCCTTTGCCTTCTCCTTTGCCTTCAAACGTTGCCCTTCAGAAATCCAGCCGCTGCATGTCTCAGATATCCCTCCCACCCATGCCTCTCAAACTATTTTCACTTGCCTCCTGTGATTTCTTCTCCAGATCTCCTTTCCCACCTAATTTCTAACTTCCTGGCCTACCTGGATGGTAAATGCTTCAAGTCTTTTATACTGAGCCCTTTGCTTTGAGAATCTTGCCTAGTAACAGCAACGTTCTAAACTTCCAGAGACTAACATTGGCCAGAATAATGCCTTTTAAATAAAAACTACACCAAGCATACTGGACATTTTCTTTGACCTAACAACAAACCATTTCCCCTAAGAGATAGTATGTACAAAAAGAAAAATATTTCCAGAAAACCAGCAAAGTGTATGCAAGAAAAGGCACAGCACCTTTCAACATGCTAGTGACTTTCATCAACTGCTCAACCCATTCAAAATAATTCATTTCATACCCTGTCTAACCAAAATTGGCATGAACCATCCTCAAACATCTCTCTCTTACACTGTAAAGTTTCAAATCAGTCCATTGAACCATTTTCTAACTAGAAGCCATAGAAGCTATTCCCTCCCTGATTTCTCATTATATTAATGGAATGTGATTCAGCTGACTCACTCTTAACATCAGGCCATCACTGATCTTACATAAGAACAGTGCTGCTGCATCAGGCCAGGCCTATTTATTTCACCTTTCTGTTCTCATAGCGGCTAGACAAGTGTCAGTTGAAAGGTTACAAACCCATGATCAGAATAGTTCTCTCCTGCTTGTGAACCTCAGCAACAATCATTATCTACCATAAATTTATATAATCCTCTAAAACCATTCAAGTTTGTAGCCATTGGTACATATTGTGGAAGGGAATTCCATAGTTCAAAATGTACCTATGAAGAATTGCTTCTAGTCCTGAGTCTCCTCTATTATTTAGCTTCATAGGTTGCCCCTAGTTCTAACATAATGAGAGGGGGAGAAAAATGCCTCAACAGGAGTGGACACCACTAATTAGCACAGCATCTTAGGTTCAATTCTTGGTTTCTCCAGGTAGGGCTGGAAAAGACTCCTGTCTGAAACCCAGAAGAGCCAGTCATTGTAGATACAGTGGTACCCCGGGTTACAGATGCTTCAGGTTATAGAGTCTGCTAACCCAGAAATAGTACCTTGGGTTAAGAACTTTGCTTCAGAATGAGAATAAAAATCGCACGGCAGCGGCAGGCCCCATTAGCTAAAGTGGTACCTCAGATTAAGAATAGTTTCAGGTTAAGAATGTACCTCCAGAACGAATTAAGTTCTGAACCCGAGGTACCACTGTATTACTGATTTAGTTGCACCAATGGTCTGACTCAGTATGAGGCAGCTTCCTAACTTCTCCAAACCATACATAATTGTATACACCTGTATCATATTCTCCCCCCACTCTTACTTGCCTTTTAAACACACATACACACACTTGTCACAAACTTTCTAGGAAGAATTCAGAAACATTTGATTTACTTGGTACTTTATTCCAATTTATATAGCATGGTACCCAACTAAGTGAGCAACAGAACTTCCCCTTCCTCTCCTCTGCCCCATGACCTCTCCAGATCTGCACTGTAGGGTTGCAGAACCCTCAAAACAAATACACAAGGATGGGAGAGGTAGGAGAGGTCCCATTACGTGGCCAGTAATCATTGCATCCCACTATTTTGTTGGATGGCATCCATAATATTTCCATTTTTGTGGCTGTATATGATATAGCCATTATGTGGTAAATGAAGACGCACACACACAAATTCAAATCCAATGTGTATAAATTACATATCAAGATTTAGGGTAACCAGGGTACAAGAAATATATTCATTCAAATGTGTCAGAAAAATAATAAAGGATAAAGGGTAATTGATTGCCAAATAATAACCATTATTTATTGTCATGTCAATGTTCCCTCTTAAAAAACATCCCCCCCCCCCCCAAAAAAAAAAGAGTTAAGCTTTTTATTTTTATTTTTTGCTTTGGCATTGCTATAGCTGCTTATTTTTAAACAAGCACGTAGATCCACAGTTTATCTTAAGGTGGCTTTCATTTCTGACATACAAAACACTCAAAGGGCTTTACAAGTTTGGAAGCGCCTGCAAGCCTTAATCCTTCAATAGCCTACTTTGAGACTTGAGCAGTTGTGACTTGCGACAAAAGGAAGGGGAAGAGAGGAAGCTACAAAACCGCTACGTCTGGTATTTTCATGTTCCTCCCTGGTTGGTTTCACTAAATTGGAAGTTACTTTTATTGATGGTTTTGAAGTGCCACTTTTATAACAGGCTTGTGTCTTTTTCCATACTCTACCATACCATTAAGACTTTGGAATGCTTGGAGTAAGGGGCAGGCTCCCAAAGTGACTTTCCAATCTGTGTCCGCAGTTCTAGCCAAGTTCCCTTTTAATGTATGGAGCAGGCTAAGTTGAACTCGCTCTCAGAATAACACAGAAGTAAAACGCAGCTGCTGCTTTAAGTGGCACTGTGTGATAATAGGACTCTGCTGTTTACTGGAACTCAAGTGCCTGGACTGGTACACGCACAAGCAGTATATGAAATCTGAAAACATGAGGATAAAGGAGATTTCTTTACGGCAAGATCCTGATCTACGAAAGGAATTGGCATTGCTAGCTCGGGGATGTGATTTTGTTCTGCCTTCCAGATTCAAGAAGAGACTCAAAGCTTTCCAGCAAGTCCAGGTTTGTTTACCATTATGAGTTTGACTGGACTGTGTGTGTGTAATATTTTGAGGGACTGGGGGGGGGGGGGATGTTCATGCTGTTTGAGTGGAGACTAGCCAGATATGCCTTGAACTTTGAAAAGCCCAAGTGGTTTTATTAGGTTAGTATAAAAACAAATACACCTGCGTTTGAATATGGCTACTTTGTTCCTGTTATTGTTGCTACTCGTATGTAAAAGTGGGGTGTTGAACAATATAACTTTCCCCAGCATAAGTGTTCCTTTTTTAGCCAATGAATGTGGAACTGCTCAGTAGAAAATAAACAATTAATAGTCATTTGCATACTTATCTATCCTGGCCATCTTGCATAATGAAATTCATTTTTAAAGTTCATGTCCAGCATCCTGTTATAAATGTTATCCAGTTCGTGTTATAAATAAGTGAATGTCAACTTACTATCGCAACTTACTATGATTTTCTGCTGTATAGTATTGTAACCTGATCAGGAGAAAATACTGATCTTAGTTGCTTATAATCAGATATAATACATTGATGACGACCATGCATTTTAATGTTTAATCTTTTCACCCTGCCTTTCACCACCCTGACAAAGCTGTATTTAGTTGATGCGAGCATCTTCAAAATTGCATAGTTAGACAGAAAAGTGAAATCTTTTCCTCAAAGCTGGGAATCTAATAACTATCTTGCTTTCAACTGGAGTGCAGCTTGACACTGGAAGCTAAATTGCTAAAGTCAACTTTTATCTTATTCACATCTCTCCCCCCCCCCCCTTCTGCACTTTCAGAAGTTTTCAGTTTTTGATGTTTTATTGTGTTTTTAATATTTTGTTGGGAGCTCCCCAGATGGGCAGCATAATAATAATAATAATAATAATAATAATGCCTCATTTCCTCACACAGGCATCAGTGGAAATGTTAATCTGCTGAATACTATTCTTCCCAACTTACTTACCAAGTTGGAGTAAAAAGTGATGCATGTGTGCAGGCATGCAAGTAGGGTGGCAAAATCCCCAACAACCTAGCCTTCCTGCTGCAGCATTTTATACGTATATGGGTAGACCCAGGGGTGTTGTTAGTAAGTGGCCCAGAGGGCTGAAGCTATGAAACGTTTGCACTGGGCCTGGATCTTCTGTGTCTCCCCCTTTGTCAAAGCTTTGTTTATAGGGCATTCTGGACAAGTTAAGATAGGTAGTTGGGGAGTGCTGGTGTTGCACTTTCTGGCTTGCCTAGCCATCCTGTAAGCAAAGGAGAAGAGGGGGGAGGCAAGCCCTTCCCACTTGTGCTCAGTAAGCTACAAGGTGTGGGGAGGGGAGTGACTATGGAGTGGGGAGGACAGCACACTGAATGGTGGGGGATAGTAACCAGGAAGTTTATTGGGTGAACATGAGCCAATAATTTTCTTGTAGTCTGTTGTCTGTCATCACCATCCGGAGAAAACTGTTAATGTGTGTATTCTTTTTCTTTTTTCTTTTTTACATCTTGCATGCATAAGTGCTCTGCCCATTTCAGAGATGGAAACGTGTTTTCTGAAAAGTCTTCTTCATGCATATATTGTTGATGATAAAATACACATCATGTCTGGCTTGACTAACTTACGTGAGGGCTGTTTTCTTGATTTCCAGCTGTAGCCAAGATTGTGTCAATCTATTATTGTTGGTTGTCATGTGTGAGAAATAATCGGCTAGTGGCAGGGTAGTTGTAAATATATGCAGTGACTGGATTGGGTGAGGAAGGATGTATATGTATGATAAAGGGACAAGGGGGTCAAGTTACATGTGGGACAAGACTTGTAGTTTTAATTAGTATTGATAGCAGCAGACCTTGCCAAAGATTGTGTGGTTGGGACAGAGGGTCCAATCCACATTGCAGTGTACTGGGTGCAGAAAATCCTCTCTGCCTCTGTCTACCCCCACTCCTAGCATACACCAAACTATGATGTGACAGCAGGAGCCACCTCAAATTTGCATCTACACATAAAAGCTAGTGTGCAAATTCATTTATTGAGCCTTTGCTCTGAGTCTCTTAGGAGACTAGCAACACTTCTTGATGGGGCAAATAATGTTTATAGAAATAAGCGAGCTGTGGTATTCAGTGCTGAATGATTGTTCTTCAAGGTGCAATAGTGGATTTCCACAGCCTGCTTCCATTCTGGATCCTTAGCTACTGACAACAGGTAGATTTTGGCAGCAAAAGTTTACAAATTTTATGCAAGAGACACAATATTGTGGGATTTTTTTTTTACTAGTTTCTTTCACCTTCATGAAAAGAGGAAGAGAGGAAAATCACATCATTCTGTGGGCCTTTCCTGGTTTTTTTAAAATATGCGAGTGTTACTCATTGATTACTTGAGAACTAACTTTTTGTTCTGATGAAGTAGCATTTCCACGACATTCAGATTTCAGTAGCATGTTTCTGGAAATATGCTAGGAGTACATTCAGCTGCTGTTATTTAATGGAAAGTGTTTTTAGGATATGGCTTAATCCAGTACATGGGTCCATCGACCAGAACCTCAGTGCAGTTGCTTACCTTCAGTTTCTGGAGTGATAGTGTAGATTAAGTCAGGCATGGAGTGAATTCTTGCTGTGGGAGGAGTCCATCCAGTAGGACCCACCATCCGTGAGTGTCCTCCCTGCAGTCTCTGATTAAGAATTTGCAGGACAATCAGCTTATTTTCTTTTCTTTTCTTTTCTTTCTTTCTTTCTTTCTTTCTCCCCCCCTTTTTTTAAGAGTGTGAAGGAAGTTTCCTTTTAAAAGAAGTCCAGTGTTCCTCTGTTAGGAAACATTTTTGAATCTGTTTACTGCACCATTGAGCTATTTTGTGCTTCATATATTTTAAGGTGAAAGAGAAAGAGGTGTGTGTATGTAGCATATATATGTCATGTGGCCTTGTGTATATATAATTATATATATGCATGAGGCAGAGAGTGAGATGCTCCTACCCCTTTTTTCCTCTGAAGTCACAGCTTGAAATGTGCAAAGAGGCAATCGAACACTTGTAGCTTGACATTCCCTCCCACTTGTGGCTTTGGGTTGCCCTGTGCTGGAATGCTGGCCTCTCTTATGAGGTCACCTTCATACCCCAGATTCTGATCACTAGATGTAAAAATAGCCCATTTTCAGGTTTTGCTTGGGCGTATGTGTGTTGCAACCACAAACTCTTAATATAAATATAGACCTGCAAGCTCATAATATATTGGGCAACTGTCCCTTCTGCTGTTGTAAGAACCTCCTCTATTAAATACAAAGATGTAGTCAAGAAATATTTCTGACATTAGGAGGTAACATGTTATTGAGTTGCAGGGTCTCAAAACCTTTTTATTTAACTTTTTAAAAAAAAAACAAAAAAACCACCATTATATTTGTCTTTCATATAATAACTATTGATCTAATGTCAGTGAACATTTATTTGCCTGTGGGTTGTTGTTTTTTCAAATTTCTGAATGAAAAGGCTATTTTTCACTGGAAATTAATTACTGTATATTGTTTCTGCATCTTCTAGCGACTCTTCCCTCATCTATGCTATTTCGACTTGCTCCCTGGGTCAGGAGCTGATAAACTCCAGACTTGTGGGGATTTACTTCATTTTTTGCTAGTACCATGAGGCCGTTCAGTCAGATATTGGTGCAAAAATTGGCTCAGAAGGGCAGACATAGAATTAAAGAACAGAGTGCCTCTGAACATATGCTTGGACCAGGAATTTGTTTGCATTCCCAAAACTGAGGTCACTGAGTTTCCCCCTACTTTGTTTCAAGCAATACATACTTTTAAGGGTTTTTTTGTTAAACACTTGAAATCAGAACACTTGCCCACTGTACTACACATCACCAGAAATCTGTCATTGATCCTGCTCTATCTTCTTTCTGCCCTTGTCTAGACCATTAACTTTAATTACTGGGCTGGACTAAGTGGGTAGTTGCACTACAAGCATTGCCATTACTTTATTAATCTTTTCTGGAATTGTTTTTAAGCTGGACTCCTACATTTGTTTACCTGGAAGCAAGCCATGTTGAACTCAGTAGGAGGACTTCTGAGTAGCCATGTGTAGGATTGTGCTGTGTGTGAGAATCTCTGAATTACCCGTTGCTTGTGCCAGTAAACTGTGTAGTGTGTGAAGCATTTCTTAAGTAAATAGGATTATTATTTACTGTTTACTACAGAACTAGTGTTACGTGGCACCTGTAACCGTGCCAGATCCACATTTCGAAGCTGTTACGTGGGCATATATGGGATAAGGCACTCCTGCAAGTAAACTTGTCCCAAGCTGTTAAGCACTTTATATACTAACAGCAAGACCTTGAACCTGGCCCAGTAACAACCAGTGCAGACCTCTGAGTAGAGGTGTCATTTAAAGTTACATTTTGTTTTTTAAATGTGCTTTAACAGACCTGAAGATTTTCTTAGGAAAGAGCAGAATGTGTTATAATATAAAGTGCTGTTGCCTGCCAATACTATCACAATGGCTAACAAAGAATGTGTGAGGAGCACTGTTTGGCATTGTACTCTTGCATGCCTTCCTGTAAGACTGCAGAGCTCTTTTTTCTAACTCAAATCATGTATCTAAGTCTTCAGATTCATGCTGGAGTACATTCACTTGAATCAGTAGTATACCTTTCTCTCCCCTCCACACCTGAGTAATAACTGGTCAGAAAACAAGTTTCTCTCTCTGTGGGGGCTGTTGTGAAGAAACAATTGTTTAGATGTGTGCAGGCTGAATCTTGCTGCTATCAGAGCTCATAAATAATTGAAGGAAATTTTTTGTTGAAACCTCACAGTATTTTCTGCTGTGGACATTTAAAACAAAGAACATCTACAATGTTATCCCTTGGCAAAAGAGTAGTGTACAATATTGTGAAGTTCTTGAGACCAAATCTAAACTTGATTCAAGACTGAGTGTCCTAATAATAATCTGTTTTTGATATAATGTTGCTCCAAGCCTATGCAATAGAAGTTGCGTGTTATGCAGCTCATAAGTATACATGGTCTATTTTTTAGCATTTTTTGTATTTATTGATTTGTTTGTTTGGTTGTTTATTAAATTGGTTTAGTGTCCTTCATCCGATGATCACAGGGTGGTTGGCAACATAAAAATACAAAATGAGAACACAAAATACATAATAAAACAAAAGCACATCAATAACCCCCCTCCTACAAACACATTTAAAGAGCCATAGAAAGTTTATCAGCCAAAGGCCTCGTTATAGAGAAACGTATATGTAATGAAGGCTCCAGGTGAGCCTCCCTGAGGAGAGCATTCAGCAAACGGGGAGCCTCCTCCAAAAACGCCCAATCTTGTGATGCCACACTCTGGACCTCTCATGAAGGAGGCACATGAAGGAGGGCCTCAGATTATGATTGTAGGGTCCAGGTCAGTTCATATAGGGAGAGGTGGTCCTGGGCCATTTAAGGCTTTATAGGTCAAAACCAACACTTTGACCTTTATAGGGCAAAACCAACACTGCAGCCAGTGCAGCTGGGCCAGGATCCATGTAATATGCTCAAACCTTCTTGCCCCAGTAAGCAACTTGCCTGTTGAATTCTGCACCAACTGAAGTTTCCAAACCGTCTTCAGAGGCAACCCTACTTATAACACGTTGCTGTAAACTAAGCTAGAGGTTACCGGAGCATAGACAGTTAGGCTATACCTTTCCAGATAGGGGCACAGCTGGGCCACTAGCCGAAGCTAATGGAAGGCACTCTGCATCCCTGAGGCCACCTGAGCCTCAAGCGACAGTTAAGGATCCAGATGTGCTCCCAAGCGGCATACCCACTCCTTCAGCGGTAGTATGACCTGAACAAAAGCAGGCACCCTCCTAGGGAACTGCTCATTAACAGTGGCTCAGTCTTCTCTGGATAACCCAACACATCAGTTTCCTGTAGATGTTAAACAGCATAGTGGATAAAATTGAACCCTGAGGAGCCTCGCATTGAAGGCTGCACAGGCCCACAGATCATTCTCCAAGCATTATTCTCTGGAAACAACCATCCAAGTAGGACTGGAACCACCACAAAGCAGTGCCACCTAACTCAGACAGCCACTCCAGAAGGATACCACAGTATCGAAAGCCACTGAGAGGATGAGAAATAGACATATTATCCCCGACTCTCTTCCAACAGAGAGGGCAACTAAAGCAGTTTATGTTTCAAACCGGGCCTAAACCCCTATTGAAATGGATCTAGAACATAATTTTCCTCCAAGAGCACCTGGATCTGGTCCATGACCACCTGCTCAATAATGTTGTCCAAGAAGGGGAGCTTGGCAACTGACTGATAGTTACTTAAGATTTTCCAAATGCAGGGAGGATTGGTTTCTTGAGGATTGGTTTTATTGCTGCCTCCTTCAAGCAGGTAGGGACCACCGCCTCACAAGGAGGCATTAATCACCTCCCTAGTCCAGAGTGTGGCCTGCCACAAATGTTGGGCCAGTGACGTTAGGGGCCAGAGCCAGTCACCTCGGCATGGATGTTGAAGTCCTCCAGACCCAGCAGTCTGGGAGTCCTCAACACTGTCTATGAGACTAGCTTTGTCACCTCAGGCAGGGAGACTGCTAGGCAGCGAGGTGGCTGGTAAACCAGCAGAATGCCTAATCTATCCCAGTTGCTCAATGCCAGGAACACATTACTTTCATTCTGCTCTTGCCATATACCATATACCAAAGCAATCTTTCATTGTGCATGCCTGTGCACCCCTTTTGGTCATCATTTCTCTGCATCTTTGGAGTAAAAATGGGTCAACATATATCATCTACTTCAAACTCTAAAAGGTGTTTACTGAAGGGCTTACTATCTGCTGATGGCAATGTTTGTGTTTCCTCAAACAGCTGGTGGTCGTGTTTAGCTGTCACAAGCCTAACATGTAAAGAGCAAAGCACTTTTGTAAAGAAGGGAATGCTAAATATAATCAACATTTCCCAAATCTAAAGGCTTAACATGTTACACTCTGCTGTCCTCCATTTGGCTGCAGTAGAAAATAATTAGTGCTTACAAGCTTAAATTGTATGGTGTGTTAGTGCTGCTTTTTGTTGTCATGAAGTTTCTTATAGTGAGCTGTTTTGCAAACTTCAGTTTTCATTTCTTAGCTGAAACTTTTTTGTGCCATTTGGTGTGTATACACTAATTTAGCAGTATGTATACCAATATTATGTGGCAAGAGAGTTTAAACCCTGCAATCTGTATAATTTATGGCCCTATTAGTCATAGGGTAGGGAATTTGCTATGAAGAGCATTGAAGCTCTGATCCTTCGCCATTGGAAATACAGTTGTCCTCCCCCACCCGAGCACAAGATAAAGCGCCCACATATTTCTGAGCCTGCCTTGGCATCCATCCAGCAAGGCTTCAAACTGTAAAAAAAATCAAACTGGAGCTTTCAGAGTGCAGAATTATTCAGCCAATAACAAATTCCAGTACTCTTCTTCAGCAATGTAATCCATAGCACTCTGCCTATGCTTGGCTGTTTCGGACATTTTTACAGAGCTGTTTAGGTATGGTCAGTGTTAGAAACTGCGATATGAAAGCTAGGTGCTAAATGGCATCTTAAACCAAAGTTATAGGCACAACAACAGAATGTCTAGGCACACTTTTTTAATAACAAGAATACAAAGCTGAAAATGAACTGCAGCTAAAATATTATGTTCATTTTTCACATGGTCTAGTCCTTCCCCTGCCCACCCCTGTAATATTCTTAAAAGGGTCTCTTCTTCAGTCTTCATGGAGTAGCTGGAAGTGGGGAGGCAGAAAAAGTTCTTCCTTTCCTTCCACTCTGCAGTTTTAATCTGAAATCTTAGGTGCAGTTCTTTCTCGGTCTCTCAGTGGCTTTCAATACCACTGGGCCAACTGTATTACAGCAGTTCCATTCCTACCAGTGAGAATCCAGAGAGTAAAAAAAAAAGAAGAATCCAGAGAGTACCATTGTGGAAGTGCTGTTTGGCCTTCTGGTACTTTTAATATAATATTCCACAGGGCATTATTTTGTGTCCATTGCTATTTAACATATGTTCCTACAGAACACCTGACTCAGGAGTTGCTGTGTAAGCCCTGGGCCAGTGCCTGAATGTAGTGGTGGACTGAATGAAGATCAGTAAACTGAATTTGAATCCAGAGAAGAAAGAGGTTCTTTAGGTAGATGGTTTTATGCCAGAAGATAGGCCAGTTGCCTGTTTTGGACTGGGTTGTACTTCCTCTGAAGGAGCACATATGTGGCTACTTCAAGATGCATCTTTAAAGACCTGAATGACCTCTGTGACTACTAGTGCCTTTTGTCTAGTATGCTGGCTACAGACATATCTAGATCGGGGTAGTCTGAGCACTGTAGTCTACGCATGGTACTCTCAAGACTGCTGCAATACAAGGTTGCCCCATGAGTCTGAACCAGAAGTTCCAGCTAAACGGTTGATGAGGGCATACGGCCAACAAACCTTTGCTAAAACATCTGCACCATATACAACTGGGCCAGGCTCAAGGTTCTCATATTAATATTCAAAGCCCTGAACAAATTAGGTCCATGATATCTTAAGGACCTCCTGAGCCCTTATATGATATCCCAGCTGAGTCACCGTATCACACAGAGGAGCACTGTTGATTGCTTCAGAAGCCCAAATGGCTTCAACTAGAAATAGGACACTTAGTGTTGCTGGCTCCATGCTGATTCTTCAGGCATAACTTTTTCAAGAAGAACCAGCCATTTTTACCATTGTTTGTATTGTTTTATGGTACGTGTTTTATTGTGCTTGCATATTCTGTTGTGTATTTCCTTGATACCTTATTTGAGATGTGGTGATCTATAATATTTGTTTATAAGTAAAGCTAACTTTTCAGAACAGTATGCAATTCTATTTTATAGTACAATCATATGTATGTCTATTCAGAAGCTCCCAGGTGCGTATAAGATTGCAGCCTGGGTGGGTGTAGCATTTCTCAGTTTTATTCCATCTGTTGTTCCTTTTGCTGTATGCTGCCATATTTCCAGACAGCAATATGAATAAAAGCTAAATCCTTGTTTACCAAAAGCAACTTTTTATCAAGTTGATCATTAAAAACTGCTATTGCTCTTTTTTATTTTGACTAATAGTCACATCTATACATACGTTGAAATGCGATTTCTTCCCCTCTTTAAAGTGAGCCTTTTTAAAAAAAAAAAAAAAAAGCTGCCCCCTCATTTCTTCCAAGGATGCAGTATCACTTTCCACCCCTTGTTCCCCATTTGAATTTGGAAAAGAACTTGCTAAACAACTGGAAATTATAGTGTAGTCTTGACACATTTAGCAAAACTGTTCATTATTTGCTAGTGATTACTTGGTAACGTGGGTTCCAATAATAGATTAACCTTTGAGCAACTGCAGATGTTTTGTTACCCATTTCCAAAAGCGTGAGAGGAGGCTACAAGGCAAAAGGCAGTTTTTTCTATCACAGATTTAAAGAATAGTGACTTTCATTGTTAGGCTTCAGAAAAATCTCTCATTTCCTTCCCACCCCCAGTTTAAGGGTTATTCCTATATTACCATCCAAATATTATAGTAGTAGGCTTGTTAAGTGTACATTTCAAGACTTGGAGACAAAACTGTCAAGATGCCTATTTTAATTTATGTCTTAAAGTTTAAATTTTCCTTTTTCTATAGGTTCAGTCAAAGAAAGAAGAACCTTTGACACCATCTCTGAGCCAAACCATTCCAACATTTTATTTTCCTCAAGGATGTCCGAAAGAAAAAGTGAACATAGATAGTGTTATTACTAAGATAGAGAAAACTTTTGCTCAGTTTCCAAATGAGAGAGCAACATTAGAAGATATGGGTAAAGTTGCAAAGGTGAGCCCAATAGGTTTCTCTTCTTCTTGCCCAGAAGGATATGAAGTTCATGAAGAACATCAAATATACTGAAGTGTGTGCAGTGCAATTCTAGGTGTGTCCATAGGGCTGCATCCTTAGTATATTATTTGGGAAGGAGAAAATAATTTTTAGGTGGGACCTACCTCTGACCATAATGGTGGAGTAACTGCCACTTATCAGTAGGGGGACGGATGAGGCAGCAGGATGGTTGGCATTGTGTGGGTGCATTGGTGGAGGTGGTACTCCTCACCAACCGCTCCTGTGCTATACTGATATAGGCTCTCACCTCCAGGAAGTGGCTTGCATGCCACTAGCAGCATGTGAGAATATGGCCTGAATCACAAAGACCTGCAAAATATGTGGTAGCAGTTTCTTTCTTGCATGGTGCATTTTAATGTATTTTTAATCTTTATTGGAAGCCGCCCAGAGTGCCTGGGGAAGCAAATAATAAATTATTATTATTATTATTATTATTATTATTCACCAGGTTGAACTGTAAATGGCTGAGCACAGTTAGGCTTTGTGTCATCAGTGTAGTCATAGAATTGACCTAAACATATTGTGCCTTAAGGATCTCTCCAGCGAGTTAAGGTTCGCTGACAGTCTGTATAAGTCATTTATGCAATAGAGAGGCTGACAATAACAGATTTTCCTATGGAAAGAGTTGTACAGTGGTACCTCTGGTTACGAACTTTATTTGTTCCGGAGGTCCGTTCTTAAGCTGAAAGCATTCTTATCATGAGGTGCACTTTCGCTAATTGGGCCTCCGGCATGCAATTTCCATTCGCATCCTGGGGCAAAGTTCACAACCAGGAGCAGCTACTTCCGGGTTAGCAGAGCTCGTAACCTGAAGCGTTCGTAACCAGAGGTACCACTGTATTTAAAGAGAAGTAAAGGAAAAAGTGATAGGATTCAGTCCAGCAAGACCTTGCATGCTACAGGTGGCGTTTTTGCCAGAAACATCCCTTTAACGAGCCTAAGGTTTCGACTTAAATTTGAAATAAGTATAAATACGGTTGTATGGCATCTAGGGCAGTATAGCATTTCACTCAATAAGTTAAACAATGTACTTTGATGCTTACAATAGTGCAATAAAAATGAAAGTTACTTTCCTTTTTCCAAAATGTTGGCATTCTAATAGGCCTGACAGTTAGTTCTAAAAGAATAATCCTCAAATTTGCTTCTGATTAACTCTAGGCTTGTGAATGTCCTCTATATTGGAAAGGTCCACTATTTTTTTGTGCTGGAGGAGAACGAACGGGATTTGTGTCGGTTCATAAATTTGTTGCAATGTGGCGGAAGTAAGTATGATTTATTTAGCAAGGCCATTTCATCAAGCTTTAAATAGCTTAACTGAATAACTTTCCTAGAAAAAAAACCAGCATTAGAATAAGGAACATGGCAAGAGTTTTAAAATATTTATTGTCCTCTTCCCCCATCCCAAAAATGTATATTTGGATTTGGTGTAAAACAACCATGCCATTTCAAAGTGAAGTTTTTAAAAAAGAGAAGGAAAAATAAGATGCTTGAAAAAGTTCATAAATAAAGGCATTGCTGGGTTTGAACAGTAACTCTTTTAAGCCTGCTAGATTCCTGACATTTGATGGACGCATATATGGAAATTTAAGAAATTTAGGGTTATTATTATTAATAGTTATTTCAGGCATTGCAATAGAATGACATATATAAAACAGTTATGCGTGTAAAAACAATTGCCCAGTGCTTTTTTCCTTTAAAAAATGTTTAGGAGTACTCTCGTTTTGACTCAAGAAAATCACCATTTTATAGTTCAAATTGGGGAAAATAAATACAGTAAATGGACAAAAGTACAAAGATTCACAAAATGTTTAGGGGTATGTCCTTCCAGAAATAAAGCACTACAATATATATATCAGATTGAAACCACAGTGCATATATAAAATCTATCCAGATCCAGGGCAGGGACCATCTAGAATAATATTTTAAAAGGCTTGTGAAAAGAGAAATATATTTAGCAGGCACCAAAAAGCCAATAGAGGATGCCCTTCTCTGATATGCAAAGGATAAGGACCACCACAGGAAAGGCTTGATTTAAACATTGTGCGGAATAGACCTCCTGATAGGATGCTATCTGTAAGATGTCCTTGTGCAGAGTGCAGTGATTGGTTGGTTATGTAGGAGATGATTGGAGCATGTGTGGCTCACCTGGGGCCCTCCAGGTGTTGTAGGACTATCAGTCCTAGCCAGTATTGCCAGTGGTCAGGAATGATGTGTATTGTAGTCCAGCAGTATCCGAGGGATCACAGTTTAGCCACCTCTAGATCAGAGATTTCATTAATTCCTATGCATACATTTTGAGCAGATCTCCTGCTGGGGAAAAACAGGTTGCATTACAAAGAAATCCAGTGCAACAGTTGCACTAGCAGAAGCTTGTTGTGCAGCAGATGATTCTTGCTCAATCTGTTGCACAATTATCTCCAAGGGAATGTGTGTTTCCCCCTACACAACAGCTGATTGTTCTTGTGCAACGTTCTTTGGTAATGTACTTTTGCTTTCCTTTGTGCAACCATGTTCCACCAGCACAAGTATATCGCTAAGTGGCTTTAACTTAGTACAGTCGTACCTAGTTTGTCGAACGGAATCCGTTCTGGAAACGTACTTCTGAAAACATACGACAACCAAGGCGCGGCTTCCAATTAGCTGCAGGAGTTTCCTGCACTCAGTTGGAAGCCGTGTTGGACGTTCGGCTTCCAAAGAACGTTCGCAAACTGGAACACTCACTTCCGGGTTTGTGGTGTTCGGGAGCCAAAACATTTGAGTCGCAAGGCGTTCAAGATCCAAAGTATGACTGTACTACATTGCAAACAACTCACAGGGCATTTAACTTAATATACATGTGCACATTAGACTACTTATACATTTCAGGATTCTACAGACTTGCCATGATGCTGCCTCCAAGTTTGTGCATCTTCTCAAGAGCCCTGGATGTAACTATTTGGTACAAGAAGACTTCATTCCATTTTTACAAGTAAATTTCACTTTCTTGCTTGCTATTTTTATGTCCTGAACCCTTTAAAAGACTTTAGTTTACTTTCCATTCTTTTTTAAAGAAATAAACATGACTAGCCCTTATTTGCTAACTCAATGACACAAAAGCTGACAGATCAAAAAGCTCAAGCCATTCCTAGGCTGCCTGATTACTAGAACATGGTGAAAATGAATCAGTGCTAGTCTTCTCACCCAAAGTTGATATGAAGTCCATTCTGCCTCCATAGCCCTCTGAAGCCTTTCTATTCCTTTTCTAGCTCGCATTCAGATTACATATGTGCATTCACCCAGCTCCCTACTCTGAATCCATGCTTGTCTTCCCTCCTCCTCCAAACTGTTTTCCTCCATTACTACTTTCTCTTTGGAGAAGAACCCTTTTCCCAAATAACTGGAATTTTGCATATTATTTCTAAAATTAGAATTCTATTTTTCTTCCTAAAAATGAAACCTACTTTTCAAATAAGTTAAGACATTGTGCTTAAGTACCAACAACATGCTTCTAACCTTTGTGCTTCTTTCTTAGGATGTGGTCAATAGTCATCCCAGTCTAGTCTTCCTAAAAGAAGCATCAGAATTTCATTCTCGGTATATTACAACAGTAAGTGACTTGTATATAAAGCTTGTTTTTCCTTGGGGCCAATCCAGAACGATTTGAGCATATAACACCAATCATGGCACAACTGCACTGGCTGCCAATTAGTTTCTGGGCTCAATTCAAAGGGCTTGTGTTGACCTATAAAGCCTTACATGGCTCAGGACCTCAATACCTTAAGGGCTGCCTCTCCCCATACAAACCAACCCAGATCCTGCGCTTGTCATCTGAGGCTCTTTTCTATGCCCACCTCCCTCCCAGAGAGTTTTGAGGGGTGGTAACAAAAGAATGGGCCTTTTCTGTGGTGGCTCCTTGATTGTGGAGTGGCTAGCCTTTCACCATCATTACATGTATTTAGATACCAGGCAAAAACATTCCTCTTTATCCAGGCCTATGGCTATTAAATAATTTAAATAAGTGAAAGTGTGGGGGAGTAGACTGTTGTTATAATATTATCATTCCGCCAGCACAAGCATTTCTGCTCGCCAGTCAAAACGATATCCCTTCCCCTGCTTTTCTGCGAGTTCTTCTGATCCCTCAGAGCCGACAAGGGGTGTGTGTGTGTGTGGATAGCAGGGTAAAGCTCCATTAAATTAGTGAAACTATTTGAATTGAGTAACATGAGTCTGCCACCATCACATATAATACTATTACTACTACCACTTCCATTTATATACCACACTTTATCAAAAGCTCTCAGGGCGGTATACGGCATTAGAAACACATTACAAAACATCAATGATCAAAATGTAATAAAAATATAGTAAAAAGCATACTGACAGAACAGCCTAATAGTAAAATAATAATTAGTGCAACATTGAATTCCATCAAATATCCCACTGAAAGTTTTCTCAGCTTTGTTTAGGTAAGTACAAGTCTTTTAAAGCTTGTAGAATGTAGAAAGCAGGGATTTGGAGAAGGATAAAGCACAGTGGCTATAGATTAAACCCAAAAGATCTGTCAAGGTTTTGAGCAAGTTAAATTGAATGAGTGTTTGTATCATACTTAAGTACTCAGACTATTTGAATGAATGCAGTTGGTGCATCATTCATGCTTTATTTTTATGTTTCAGGTAATACAAAGGATATTTTATACAGTAAACAGATCCTGGTCAGGAAGGATCACTTGTAACGAACTCAGAAAAAGCAGTTTTTTACAGGTATGATCTGTGTAGTTTTGTGAATAACAACATAAGCCTTTATATGTTAACTGTTCAAATAGAGGGCACTGAAATCAATGAGCGCCAGATGGCTTAGAGCAGTGTTTCCCAAAGTGGGCGATACTGCTTCCTTGGAGGGTGCTGGAACTATCCAGTGGGGCACTAGCAGCCTCAGGTGCAATTGTGGGGAGGGGGCAATGGAAGCATAAAGAACATTTTGAAAAACCGTTCATACATGTTTCATCTGTTGTGTAATGACGCTAACTGCCAGGTTGGGCTCTGTTGCAGAACAGCAACAATTCCTCCCCTAGACCCAGCAGTTGAGCTGGAGGCGAGGGGTTTTCCTGGGCTTGGGTGAACCCTTTTTGGCTTCACCCAGGAAGTGGATTGCAGCTTGACTGCCTATTTATATAGATACAGTGGTGCCTCGCAAGACGAAAAGAATCCGTTCCGCGAGTCTCTTCATCTTGCGGGTTTTTTCGTCTTGCGAAGCAAGCCCATTAGCGGTTTAGTGCTACAGTATTAGCGGCTTAGCGGGCTTAGCGGATCAGCTGATAAGCGGCTTAGCGATCAGCTGTTAAGCGGCTTAAGGATCAGCTGATAAGCGGCTTAAGGATCAGCTGATAAGCGGCTTAGCGATCAGCTGTTAAGCGGCTTAGCCGATCAGCTGATAAGCGGTTTAGCGGCTTGGGAAAAAGGGGGGGGGAACCCCGCAGGAACTCGCAAGACATTTTCGTCTTGCGAAGCAAGCACATAGGAAATTCGTTTTGCGAAGCACCTCCAAAACGGAAAACCCTTTCGTCTAGCGGGTTTTCCGTCTTGCGAGGCATTCGTCTTGCGGGGCACCACTGTACATAAAAGAATGCAAATTTGTCACTGCATATTTCTGTTTGTTCAATCAAAGAAGGTAGAATTCCAGGGGGATGCTGAGTATTTTATTTTTCTGAAAAGGGGGTAGCAGGCCAAATAAGTTTGGGAACCACTGGTTTAGAGGGTGAACTGGTTTTTTCCCTGTGGATCTTAGTTCTGTTCAGGAAAATTTTTATTTGCAGTTAGCCAGTAAGGCTTAATGCTTGCGATTTGATAATGTTCCAGTTGAATTTTAAGTTGGTTTGTTGAAAGCCTGCTGCAGGAGGCTGTGTCATATTTATTTAAGTAAGATCATATTTTTCATCATAGAACTGTTAAGCACAGTTCAGGCAGTAGTTTAAATCATGATTTACACCATTGCAGATGAACTTAAGGTTTGCATGCTTCCTCGATGCATATGGGAGGAGACAAGTGAAAGTTGTTTTCAGTTTTGACTAAACCTCAGTTCCCTGTTAGATTTAGAACTTTGAGAAGTTGTTGGTATAGAACTCAGTGGGGCCTATAAGATATTGAATTCTTCCTACAAGCTGCTAATACGGTACTTCCTCTCTTTTATCAATAGAATGTGGCATTATTGGAAGAGGAAGTAGATATTAACCAGCTGACAGAATACTTTTCATATGAGCACTTCTATGTAATCTACTGCAAATTTTGGGAGCTGGATACAGACCATGACCTTTATATTGATCCGAAGGATTTAGCTCGGCATAGTGACCATGGTATGACAAATGGAACAATTCAGTTCATTTTGGATAGTGCATGAGAGTACATTTCTGAGTCTGCAAAGCTGGAAGATAGCCTATGCTCTTCTATGACAGCACAGAAGTTGCCAGCCAGGTGGGGCAGAGCCGCTACACTAGCTTCCCTGCAGATAGGTGGCTGTTGCTTACTTGGAGGGGAGAGGCCGATGCAGTGCAAACACACCAGCAGAGCCATTCTGTTGTTTCTGACAGTGCATTTGCACCATGCTGACTTCCCCACTGTGTCTCCTTTTTGGTAAGCAACAGCGACCCACTTGCTGTGAAGCCAGCATAGTGGCTCTGCCCCCACTTTACAAACTGCTTCTGTGAAAGTATCCATATTTGTAGCAAACCAATCCTTAATCTTTGATCATGGTTCATTCCATTAAATTTTCAAATACGTAAAATAATAGTCTGTAGACCTGGATGTTACATGTGTAAAAACTCTGTGTATTTTCGCATATCTGAGGAACATTCCTGTAGACTGGGAGCCAGCTTCTCCTGCACACACAGTACTCAGAATCAATGTGTGCTTTCTTATGCCACTTCTGTGTGATGCTTGCTGTATGACTCTTCTTAGTGTTTACAGTATCTATAGTGTTAATAATTTCCTTTTTGCTGCTGTATTGGAGATTTTGCTGAAGTCCACACGGAATGAGAAATATTTGAAAGATGAACTATAGGGTTTCATCTGCTTTAAACTTTTTCTACTGAGGAACTAGTTATAAAAAGGCAGTCTGCGGTAGTAAAATACAACTATATTTTATTGGTTGGCTGGCACCAGTGCAGAACATTTGTGTTAGTTTAATGATGATGCACTCTTCTGAGGATGCGTGCATGAATGTCCTGAGGACAATTACCAATACACAGTCAAGAGCTATGATCAAAGAGGTTTGGGGCTATATACCTTTTACACTGTCATATGTCATTTTATCTGTACTGCTAAGCATCCAGATTGGCTAACAGAACTAACACGTCCGTTGTGCCGATTATCCCTTCTAGACTCACAATGAACTTGAAATTAAAATTTAACTGGATTTATGTTTCTTTTATAAGAAGTTTTAATTAGACACACCTGAGAAGGGGCTGGAATTTTGAACAGAACCATGTCTGTTCAGTGGGCCAGTTCATATGCTCAGCATTCTTACCTGCCATGAGAATCCCTTACATCACGAGCAGTGTTCTTGCCACGCATATATATATAGTATGTGATACACATGTAGGCCTGAGGGATGCAGTTTCCTCTCCGCCAAGAGAGACACACTCTCCCATGGGCAAACTGGGCATACTGACATCACACTTCCTTTACCTAAAAGATGTCCAAAGAGGATCTCTGCTGGGTGGGTATTGATCGTTAGGCCAGAGTCCTTAGATGTTGATTCCTTGGTGAACTAAGACTTCATTTGCTGGAGAGGGGAGGAAAATTGTTCAGTGAAGCCAGAGTATGAATGTGTTCCAGAAGAAATGTAAGATGTTTTTCAAAAATTCAGGTTGGCAATTGTCCAGGTAGAAGCAGGCACATGTGTTCAGTTGCAGGCATTTAAATAGCATTTGTAAATATAAGACTCCCAGGCCTTATATTTTAACTAATTTTAATACTGGGTTTTTATAATCTTGTATCCTGTCCTGCGACCTTATAGTGAAGAACAGATAATAAATCTAATGAATAATAAATAAGACAAGGACTGAAGTATTTCTAATAAAGTGCTTATGCACAATCTCTGAAACATTTAAAATGTATGATTTAACTTTAACATATTGACTGTAACCATTTTGCTCTTTCACAGCTATATCTAATCGGATGATAGAGAGGATTTTCTCAGGAGCTGTAACAAGGTGTCTCTTTTTTACTTATTAAATTTAAATTTAACCATCATGCTTCAAGATTAGTTGGCAAAGTACATGGACAGCTGAATTCTGATAAATATGAAACCTATTTCCAAGATTCAATATTTACCTTAATATTGATTATTCTAAATGCTGCATTTTTAAAAAGATTGACAAACTGTAGGTTAATTTATAAATTCTTTTCCATATATTAAAAGTACAATTTGACTATAAAGAAAACAATCAACAACTGCATTTTCATGACTGACAGCGACAGTTGTGTTTTAGAGTACTAATACACATATGAAAACGGTTTTTAATACCTTCTCTTCTCCCTTTGCTTTAATCACCTGAATCTCAAAGAGGCAAGAAAGCACAGAAAGAAGGAAAAATAAGTTATGCAGATTTTGTATGGTTTTTAATATCGGAAGAGGATAAAAAGACTGCAACCAGGTAAGAATAAATAGCTGTTAGGAGTATAATTGCAGGCCTTTTATACAAGATCATGGGGTCAGGTGACTTGTGCTGCTACCAAAGTTCGATAATTAAATTTCATTTTATAGATCTTTCTTACGTTCAGTACTAATGAATTAAGAGGTTTGTGTGTTAAGGAGAGGCTGGGTGCCAGCTGCCAGGGGTGCAATTATTTCATACTACATTGAGCCAGAGGGTTAGGGTAAGAAATGTTGTTGGCATTTGTCTGTCTCGAGAGACAATGGAGTGTGCCTCAGGGGGTGAAGTCAAACCATTGCATTAGCAGCACCAAAGTGACTTCCCTAGGGCGCAAGCCTCAGCAGTGCGTTTGGCAGCAGCTTGGCTGCAGGAGTTGCCAGAAAGAGGCACACAAGGCGCCATCCAACTGTCTTAGGAACTCCAATCCGGATTTGTGTAGGGTTTATTCCTTAGCCATTTCTTCTTCCGAAGATATCCCACAAGGCAGAGGTTTAAGATCAGTTGTTTTCTTCTCCCAGATGTTCTACCTTCCCAGCTTGATGAGCCCCATCTGCCCCTCACTTCCCTCTGCAGTATGTGCAGAAATCACCTTCTTGACCATTGGAACCACGGTTTTTCTCGTCCACTCAATTCCCTTCGTATGCAGGGGAAGTCCCTAACTCACCAAGGGTTTAAGACCCACTGGCTACCCTCACCCGGTTTAGCCAGCGACAGAAGATGTGATTTCTGACTATGTCCCCCTCCAGTATGCCCCACAAATCTGTTCTGGAAGAGTTTTTCAGGGACTGGAGTTGCAGGAGCAGAGAGAGAATTAGAGAGGGTATTCTGTTAGCAGATACCTCTATATTTGAGCAACTTCACTGAGAAGAACCCACTGGATTCCACCCAATGGACTCTTGGCCCATGACAGTACAACAAAGCAACAAAATGAATGGCATGTGTAATACTCCAAGCAATATTCACAGACAAGCAATTGCTGCTGAATACTTTTGGTGTCGTTGGCAGTTTAAAAGTTCAGCATGTGTTCTCAGCATTTCACAAATTCTCAGCCATTTGCAAAAGGTCCTTTGTGTTTTGTATGTTATAACAAAGTATATAAAAATAAATTTGAAATTGGGTGCTAAATTGTTTAATTATTCTTTGCAGCATTGAATACTGGTTTCGCTGTATGGACCTTGATGGGGATGGTGTATTGTCAATGTATGAACTGCAGTACTTTTATGAAGAGCAATGTCAAAAACTGGACAATATGGCCATTGAACCACTGCCATTTGAAGATTGCCTTTGCCAGATGCTTGATCTTGTGAAACCAGAGTCTGAAGGTGATAGGTTCTTTTCCATCTTAACAGCCTCTCTGCAGCAATCTTTTTGCTAACAAGATAAAATCATGTATGAAGTCTCTTTGGCTAAATGTTCTGGTTTAGTTATCACATTTAGCAGGCAAAATTCATCTGATAAATTGCATTATGACAGGATTTCAGTTGTAATTTCCAACCTGAAAATTGGCAAAATTATCAGGTTATCAGACTGAGTCAAAAGCTTGCTAAAATAAGAATTGTCACCCCCCCTCCACCCCCAGAATTCATAATGAGTCTTCATCCTCTTGGGAAGATGCTCCAAAGGGACTGTTTTGATTTTAATAGTAATAGGAAACATTATTTTTGAGAAGAACTTACTCCACAGATATTAATTGGGGGATCTCTCATATATTATCCACAGGGGTTATTAGTCCTAGTTCATCAGTAAAAGCAACATTTATAAGCCTTTCAGTTTTCCAAATAATTCTATCATAGCCCGTAACTTATCAAACGTTTAAAACCTTGTTTCTGATCCTGTTTCCAGGGAAAATAACTCTTCATGACTTAAAGAAGTGCAAGATGGCAAATGTATTTTTCGACACCTTTTTCAACATTGAGAAATATTTAGACCATGAGCAGAAGGATCAGTTTTCTATGTTGAGGGTAAGAACAATTAGTGTCGCAAGTTGATGTTCATAAGCTTAACAGTCTCTTTGATGATAATTTCATTTAACATTCTTCAGTATTATAAGCATCATTGATCATACCCCTAGGGCACTGAAAACGAAAACCAAGAACTGTCTGATTGGGAAAAATATGCTGCTGAAGAGTATGATGTCCTAGTAGCAGAGGAAGCAGCTAGTGACCAGTGGAATGATTGGTGAGTACAGTGTTTAAGGCCTGATGCTTTTGTTTTAGAGATGTTGTAAGCCACCCAGAGTGGCTGGGGAAACCCAGCCAGATGGACGAGGTATAAGTAATACAAGAATTAATATTACTATTATTTACTACAGTTATGGAATATCTTCTTAATATTAGCAAAATAGATTGGTTTTATTACCACAGCTCAGGCTTAGATAGACCGAAGTGACTAATTCAGGGAAAGATAATTATTTAATGAAGAATTTGCTTCCTGCAACAAAACAGAAACCTGTTCTGGGTAGCAACCATGGCTTTTCTAGGGGAAGTCCACATGCAGCCTAGCCCAAGCTTATTTCCAAAGCCACATGACAGAGCAAGTATTTCAAAGCCATGCCTAAGAATATTGGCTGTGTTCGCATAGAATGCTGAACCATGGTTTAGCTGGGGGGGGGGCTCTGCGTATGTTGTTAAAATCCATCTCCCATCATTCCTTTCTCTTGGACATGCTGGCGTGGCCAGATGAGAAGTTGATGCCAACACCTGGAGCGCCACGGGTTCCCCATTTCAGATTTAGTGATATGTGGATGAGGGCTGGGCTTATATGCTGCTCTCTCCTCCCATGGAGCCAAGAGCAGTTCTCCTGAGTTTTGTTTTGCTTTAAGAGAAACCCAGTGTTGCCTATGAACTGGGGATTATGGTTGACAAGGAACAATCCAGCTGCAAGCTATGACTTACAAAGCTGACTTGTTTAACTGAGGCTTGCTTATTTTTAAACTATGTTCCCCTGTGTGCATAATGCTAACTGAGGATCTCTGAAAGTGAAAATCAAGTTCATAGAAATCTTCCTCTTGGCAGCATGAAAGGAGAGAAGGGGAGCATATGAGATTGATGCTTTGTTTGGGCTCACAGAGGCTTATCCAACACTAAGCCAGAGTTTGTGTGCAAACAGGGCTACTGGCTGGTTATATGTAAAACAGTAATTGCCGTATATACTTGAGTATAAGCCAACCCGAATATAAGCTGAGGCACCTAATTTTACCACAAAAAAACTGGGATAACTTATTGACGAGTATAAGCCTAGGGTGGGAAATGCCAACAGTGGCAAAGGCGGAGGAAGGAGCAGCCTGAAAGGGCTGCTTTCGGGCTGCTCGTTCCTTTTCCTTCTCCTCCGCCAACAGCCTCTGCCGCTCGCAAGGGCAGGCACAGGAGCCGCACTTGGCAGAGCAGAGGCAGCAAACAGTAAGTGGGACCCTCACTTGAGTATAAGCCATGGGGAGCTTTTTCAGCATAAAAAATGTGCTGAAAAAGTTGGCTTATAGACAAGTATATATGGTAAGTAACAACACTGATGAGCAGTTACCGTAACTAACCTAAAATCCATTGAGTATGGTACATAGCTATCACCAAAAATGTAGCAGCTGGGAGCATAATGCAATAAAGTACAAGGTATGTCCATAAATATGTACTTTCTTCGTTAATTCCTATGTTGCTTTCCTAGTTATGAAGCGGAATTGAACCCTGGAGATCATCAGAAGACCAACGTGCTGAAATATCAGATGGAAAAAAGGCCTTTCTTTGATATGCCTTCCCATTTGGCAGACGTTGACTTAGATGAGTATGACTATGAAGATGATTTTGAATGAATTATTTGTATAAAAATAAGGACCGTCTGCAGCAGGTCTGCTAAACCTATGTAGGGCTTAGTTTCCAGAAAAAGTAAACTTAGTTCTTTGTGCTGCAAAGTTAATATTTTAATCATTTTGGATGATAGTTATTGTTAGTCACACTCAAAGTAGATATTGTAGACCCATTGAAATGAATGGTCTTATACATGAAGGTCAAAGGGCTTACTTTGAGTATGATTAAAATTTATATCACCCTTAGATACCTTGAAAAAAAAAGTTGCTTTTTATGGAATTACTTTTTTGTATTTATTCATTAGATTGTTGCCTGTAAAATAGAGTTAATTTATTTATAGATAGGTTATATTACCTTTATGGAATTACAACGTACCTTCCCCCCTCCTCTAAAAAAAAAAAGAGTAGAATTCTTCCTAGTTTTCATTTATAGCGATAATGATCTCCCAGCAGAAATCTAATAACTTTGCCAGAGTTCAAAGAGAAAATGTCACAGCTGTGCGTGAAGGTCAAAGCATCACTGGACATGCGCATGCAGCAAAATGTGGTCTTGCCCTGAAAACTAACACACACACACACTGTGTTCCTTTTAGGCCTTCAACTTAAACCCCCACCGCCACCCATTGCAAGAATGGTTTTTTTCGCTCACACTCGACTGCAGTGGATGTTGTATTCTGTGTCAAAGGAACCAATTTTTAAACCTTATGTAAGTTTTACTTGATCTGTGATGTGCACTAACCTTGTTATGGGCATTTAGTGTGTTTCCTCAATGGTTAGCTAATGACACATTCCATGAGTATTCATACCAATGGTGTCAGAGCAGCTGAACAGTTTGATGCTTCCCTTGAGAAGTGATGGCTTTTCTGGACAAGCTAGAAGTTGCTACGCCAGTTTTTTAAAAGCATAAGGTTTGTAGTGCCTTAATTATCTCAACGTTCACACAAGGAACTAAATATTGTGTTCCAGGAAGATTCTTGCTGTTTTTCATGTAAAACAAAAACAGGTGTAAGCTATTTTGTTTGCAGTGCAGATCTGTTTAAAGCATTTAAATATGTTATTTTCAAATAAAGTTTTTTTCATATATGTAAATTCATTGCTTTCCTTCAACATCTGTGTAGACTCTTTTAATACTACTGCAGCTTGTAACAGATGTCTGTTTGCACACAATAAGCCAGGGGAAACTGTGGGGCAGGAGGCTTTCCTTTTTCACTTGCCTACAGTAAGAAAAGAATGTCTCACGTAGGCAGATTGAAACAATCACTCATTTTATTTTGCAAACATGATAATATAAAAGTATGAAACCAAACAGCTGTTTTACAAGCTCAGTGACAATGAATAGAGCACATTTTCACCCTAGTACCAATATTAGACTGCCATGGTATACAAGAAAGCATATGAAATACAAATTAGAAATTGTGTTTTTAAGGATTCCCCCTCCCCACCCACATACATAAATAGTTTCTCTTTCTCTATTCCCCAGAAACCCACTACCCTGCTTCTGTGTTAAAAAGTAAACAGTCTTGTCTCAAAAGTGGTCTGCCATGGGCCCAACATAAAATACTGCTCTGCTACTATATGGTAGGTTTTCCCATTGTTGCCCTGACTACAAATATATCTGCCGTCACATTTTGGACAGAGAAGCTTCAGCAAAACGAAGATGAAAATCAAGTGTTTGCAGAAAAAAAGTGTAGTCACAACAGCATATCAAACCATGTAGTAACACTGGCTGAAGAAATTATTGTAATTTTGGCCATTACCTTTCTCATGATTCAGTTATATTATAACCATACCATGTCATGCTTTCAGCTAACCAGGTGTGGCCCCCATTGCAATGCCTGTACTTTTCTTCATTCACATGAAAAAGCAGAGTGTCTTTGCTTCTTACGTCTCCTAAATAATACACAAATCAAGGTTATTACACAGAGCTCTGTACAGACCCTGTGGCCAACTTGAATTGCAGTTATATTGCTATTTGAATAATGTTTTCTAATTAAAAATGCATTTTCAATCACCAGTTCCTCATCGGAGCAGAAATGAAGAATGGGTAACAGTGGTGCTGGGCAGATTGGGTTTTGAATTTACGAGTTACCAGTTATGTGTGTGTCTTTAACAGGCATTAACAGTAGGCAGATATTACCACAACAGATTAAAAAGTGTACAGTACTGAGTGTTTTCCCAAGATTTGAGACGCTAAGTGAAAAGGCTAGCCTTTGTGAGCAACAGCCTTATTCTTCCCCACTCCACCAGTGTGTACTACCAACAAGATATCTGAAACCTCAATATAAAGCCATCCTTACCTGGTCAGCACCAACAACATCAATATCAGCCTCTTCAGCCAGAACCTCTACTGTATTTTCTACCTTGACACCATCTGGAATACTGAAACAAGAAGCCAGACAGATTAGCTGCTGTCCTTGGAAACTAGTTTTTGTAATCTAGAGGCAAAAAAAAAAGACTTTCTTTTCTAATAGGAATCATGAAGAAACTCGTTTTTGAAATTAAGAACTGGTAGCTAACAATACACTTCGGGAAGGGCCCTGCCATTTCCAGTTAAAGAACAGCATACCAGAGCTCTGCCCAAGACTCTTGAGAGCTGCTGCCAATTGGAGTAGACAATATTGGGCTAAACAGACCCTACAAAACAGCTTCATATGTTCTTCAGTAAAGGTTGAGTTGAAATGATTCAGTTCTTAAGTGCTATAGCAACTACAGCCAAGAGTGAGATTCCAAGTTACAAAGATAACCCCAAATATAGGTATTCCTTACCTATATTTTCTCTTCAGTCTTTCAGGACCTGATGGATATTCTTGGTGACAACTGTCATGAGATTTTAGCCTCTTCCTGCTATTCTGTGCCAAGAAAGGGAGGTCAGATGGGCAATGGGCATGTGAAGGTGTGTTTGCCATCTCAGTGTGACTGGTTTTGGTGCAGGATCCTGGAAACAACGAATTATATCCATCATCCATCTACATGTCACTCAATGCAAACAACTGCACATGCCAGAATGCCTTAACACCGACAACCATATTCCTAGAACCACCACCCTGGAAGTCTTTGCACAGGGGAGCTGCCAGTTTCTCCTTTCTGACTGTTGTTCCTTGCACCACATCAAAGGCCACAATGAAACTTCAGGAGAGGGTTTATGTGGGGAGCCATGGTAGGGGAGAAAGAATATAAGATTCAAAGCTGAATGGGTTGCTTCCAGGGGCCAGGATATAAAATGTTTTCTCAGTGGATACAGAAGCTTTTGTATTTCCGATCTTCATGAAAGAATGTCTGCGCTTATGTAGCCAAAACAGGCAGCAGCAGCTTTGAGGAAACCCTGAGTTTTGCAAAAGTATGTTTTTAAAAATGCAGCAAACAAAACCAAGGAAGCATGCCCAGTGGGTACAAAATGCTGGCTTACTCAGGGGAAACAAAGAACGGAGTTGCTGGGAAATGTCTAAGGATAGTTCTCTACCCTTTTTATATCTTATCTCACTGTCTGGATTGATACTGATCAGCCTTGTCAGCAACAGAGCTTTCCCTTCCCTGCATGCTACAAAAAGTGGCTTGAGGGGGCAGTTTCAGAGAACCCCTGGAACAGCAAACGGGTGAAGGGAGTATTGTTCCATCTGGCAAGCTAGGATAATGGAGAAACTGAAAGGGCTAAATAAATGACTTTGTGATTACTGAACATACATGGTTAAATTGTATTATATAGATTAATTAATTAATGTGTGATTGCTTTGTTCCATACAACTGCTACAAGACACCAGATGAGAGAATTACGGTATATTGTTTACCTACAGATACATATTATACATATACCTACAGATATTACCTACAGATACATATTATTATTATAACTTTTAAAAATAAAATAGTCACATTATACCTTCAGAGAGGTTTTTTTTACATGGTGTCCTATCAGATGGCCATTCACTTATGCTGCTGATGATAGAACTCTCATCTTCATCACTGGCCAGCAAAGAGGTTCTGTACCACTCCAGCGAGTACACAAATTCTTCTTTACAAAGTGCTGGTTCAGAGGTATATCTCAGCAAGTAACTATATCTGGATGTGAACATGAGGGAGAAATACAAACGACCGAAAGATCAGGAGCTCTTCTCTGACAAGGAGGTGGTTCACTATAGTAATTAACAAAGCTTTTCTCTATTTCTCAACCAAGGCAGCCCATCGATCAGCTAAGACAAGACAACACTAATTCAGAAACAATTCCACACAGAAAGGACATTTAAAGTATGGCATGTTTAACGTAGACTTCAAAGGTGCTTGCTTAGTGTAGCAAGAGTATACTATTACAGCAGTTTCCTAATTGCTTTTCATATTCCAGCGGCTCTCCTGTAGACAAGGCATAGATAACAACACTGCTTGCTCATAACATGCACCACCAGTGTGTATGCATGTGTGCAGCTTCACGTAACTCTTCCTACTCCTGCATCACTCTTAGGAGTGGTTTGGCCAGCAAGGGTCAGCCTAAAAGCACACAGAATTAAGTTGTATGTCAAGTATCTTGTAGCCCTTTATAGATCGCTGGACACACAACTCCCATCAACCCCAGCAAACATAGCAAATGTTCTTAGAATGATGAGAGCTGTAGACCAGGGGTAGGCAACCTAAGGCCCATGGGCCATAAGCGGCCCACAGGGGTCATTTAACCGGCCCCCGAGCCGCCCCCGAACTGAGCCGCCCGCTCAGTGAGTCCCTGTGCACTGCACTAAACCAGTGCAGCACAGGGACTCACTTCTGTAGTGCCAGAAATCGCGTCTGCGCAGACACAGACGGCGGAAATCGTGGGCGCTCATGAGCGCCTGCAATCTGGGGGCGCCACAAAGGGGGCTCCATGGCAGTGAACCGGCCCAGGCAAGGTAAACCTTGCCAACCTCTGCTGTAGACTAACAATATCCAGATAGCCACAGCTTGTCCATTTCTGTGCTGTGTGAGCTATGCTAGCAGCAAAAATAAGCCTGAGTCCAAACAGCTCAGCCCACCTCTTCAAATTGGCAGCAGAAGACCAAGGAGGAGGGCATTAACAGAAATCCATAGCAGAATTGTATACAGAGAGGTTGCCATTTATTCGCTCTGAGCACAAATGCACAAGTAGTTTGTAAGCAGGAGCCATGCTAACACCTCCTATACACGTAAGAGTTTATTTAAGTTCAATATCACAGAGACTCCTGTGCTGTCCAGAAGCATTTGAACACCAAAGGGAAAACTTACACAAGTCTTTTGTCAGGCTTTAGAAGCTTATTGGAGAATTCACTGAGGATGAGCAGGAAGTTCAGATTGGGAGGCAGGCTCTTCCCTTCCAGGGCACCAATTCCTTGAAAGGCAAACTCAATACCATCCCTTTAAGCAACAGTAAGGAAGAGAAGAAAACAAGAGAGAGAGAGGTTTATAACGTGGATGCCACACAATGGAAGACCAAGGGACAACATGGATTTGGCACCTACTTGTGTATCATGGCTACTGACTCTCGACTTTTCACCTGGTCCCAGCCGAATGTCAAAGCAAAGCGCCGTGCGAGCTCTTTAATGTTGTTGAAGGAGGAATCTATGCTGTTAATGCTATTGCTGTTGTCCTGGCTTCTGGCATGCTTCTGAAACAGCTGTGGACCACAGGAATTGATATAAAATTTTCCAGGCAATTAAAGGGGGGAAAGCCCCAAGAACACATACCTGCCATACATCTGACAAATTCCTTGCTCAGGACGCAGTTAAGCACCAGTAATCTGATTATATATTTTTAGAACAACACCAAGCTGAGCAAGAATCCAAACGCTACAGGTGGGAATCCGGGTGGGTGGAGGGCAGATCAGAAAACATAGGGGACACAATTAAGACACCTAAACTCTGCCACTTCTCCAGTACAAAATGGTGTGACAGCATGAGAATAAACAAACAAACCATGCCTTCTGAGAGATGCCATTTAATTAAACAACATGAATTATCCATTTGCATGTAACATGCAATTAACCCCTTTCAGAATTCTTCTGAACATGGGTAAACTATTTTTTTAACACTTCCCAATACTTTTTCTGAGGAATATTTTTGTGGATCAGATTAAGCACGTAACTTGAGCTAAGTGTACATACTTTGCTCACAGTTTCTGAATACATTTTATATTGAAGCCTGCCTTGCATAAATGGAGAACAAGCCCAAAGTGCTCATTAATACAAGAGAGAACATGATTTCCCCCAAACCAACTGAGTTATTAGCACGCTTTGAGGTTCGAACTTTCCAAGGTCAATGAAACTCCCAAACTGGGCTGGTTGCCTATGTGATACGTAAACACAGGCTCCTGACTTATGTGAGCAGAGCGCAGCTCACTAAATGCTGCTGAGCCTCCCCACCTCTCATATTTCAGCAGATGGGTCATGGCACTTCCTAAGCTCTTGACGACATTGTTTGAAATCCACTGGGCTCATATGTCAGCCATCTGAAGGGGGACGTTCTGAAGCTTGGAGGGTGGCATATAAACTTGCAGAGCAGATAAGACAGCTCTGAGCAAGCTAGCCTAGGCTAGCAAAATTCTGCATTCTTTATATGACACCAAGATAAAACGTATCGGTGCATCTGTGGCCTTGCTCACATGGAAATGGTGAACCTGTATTGGGGCTACACCACTTCCAGCTACAAAAAGCCAAGGTTCATAGTACCCAGGGCCAGCCAAGTTATTTTGGCACCTCCCGCAGAAAATCCCACAAGCACCTCTCCTTTCTGCCAGTAAAAATAAAATCATAATAAATGAACCAACTAACAATTTCCTGCCCTTTCATGAACTGCCCAAAACAGCAGTCTGAGGCATCTACCACAGCCTGCCTAATGATAGGGCTGGCCCTGGATAAAGCCAGCATATTAGGATGGCGAGTAGGCCACTGCCTTTCTCCCTAAAATCTATTCTATGTGGAGGTAAACAATTTGGAGGAGCGTTTCTCATTCATTTTGAACACCAGCTGCCCTCGCCTCATTTGCAGGTCAACACGGTAACAGCCCAGACATGGATTTGCTACATGAGTGAGAACTAGGCCTAAGACAGGTAGGGCAGTGAAGAAAAGAGCACCCTGAGAACTGCTGACAGAGTAGATAATATTGGACTAGGTGAACCAATTCTAACTTGTTATAAGAGTTTCATTGTGCAGGTCCAGCAGCAGAGCCAGTTTGGCACCTCCTGCTAGTGTGCCCACATAGCACCAGAAACTGCAGCTAGTGCAAAACGCAGTGAATTGCCTTTTAAGAGGAGTCGATATTAGGAGCCACATCGCACCATTCTTAAAGGACTACCCTGGCAACCAACACAGTTCTGGTCTGTGTTCAGAATTTTACAGATGACACATAAAGGCCTGAATGGTTAAATACCTGAAGGAGCATGTTCCCCCCTCCCCCAATATAGTCCTAACCAAGAGTTGAGGCTAGATGGAGAAGGGCCTCCTTAGAATCCTGCCAATGGGATGTATACAGGAATCGCCTTACCTGCTGCAAGCAGAGGATCAGTGTTTTTGCACTTTGAATTTTGTCATTCTGCCTCGTCCTGCTCAAGGTTTCTTTAATTATGTCGCCAAAGTCATTATAAGTCTGTTAAATGGCAAAGGAGGGGAAAACTCTCAATCACGTCAAGGAATAGCATAATTTTTTAAAAGGCTATTAAAAAACAAAAGTTTCTATAATAGTAATAATTTTATTATATATACCCCGGCCACCTGGCTGGGTTTCCCCAGCCACTCGCGGCTTCCAGCAGAGTACTAAAATACAATGAAACAAGTTAACTTATTTATAGCTTTGTCTAAGTAATGATGGTATTTAGGCTCCATTGTACATTGCAAGCGTTTTCTCACGATTTTATTCGTGCAGTACACTCCTGATTTAACACATTCAATTGGAAGTGAGTTTCACTTCCAAACAGGATCATAGCTCATATCTATAAAAACAAGAGAGCGGAGAAAAGAAAAATCACAGGCCTAATCCGCTTGTTTTTGGAAAAACTAAAAAAATATTCCAGTCAATGCTATGGGTGAAGTTATCAAATAAGAACTGAGCAGGAAGGTATTGAATCTTCCCCTCCGGGCGTACCCCGCTGCACAAAACGTCTAGGTTCTAGCTCTAGAATATTCTGAAGACATTCTGTGCTTATTTCCTCAGTGTGTGATTACGCAGAGACCATACCTGATCAGTTTTGCAGAGGTGTTTCATGTGATGACCTAATTTGGACACAAAGCTAACCCAGTTCAGTGTTATGTGTAATGGGCCTGCTCCCACACCCTCCTCCAGTGACAAGGAGGGAGGAAATCGGAGGCATCCACTTCTGTTTTAAACAAATCACAATCTCTTGCTTCATCCAAACCAGGAACTGCAGTCTAGTTTTAACCGAGGTTTATCTGAACAAACCGGGACCATACCATGATTTGAAGTAGGCTTTTTTCAGGCAAGCTACGGTGAACCACCCACAATTTGCCCCTTGTAAGAAACAACAAACTGCAGCTAGTTTAAAACTGGAGTGAATGCTTCCAATCTCCTACTCATGGCCTCACCAGTGTAGAGGGAAGTGTGTGGACCTGAGGCTGGTGCGCATAACACCAAGCTACGGTTTTGTATTATGTTTAGCCCTTCTCACTATATTGCAGCTAACCAGATTTATTCCCAGTGTATGCTCAAACAGAACCACAGCCAGGCACAGTTGCCTGGAAAGTGTACCCTCCAGATATGAGTGTTGGCATCTTTGCACTTTCGACTGTATTTTGAGTTTTCAACTCAAAACATTTTAGGTGCATGTATCTTTTAAAAAGGGATGCGGGTGGCGCTGTGGGTAAAACCTCAGTGCCTAGGACTTGCCAATCGTATGGTCGGCGGTTTGAATCCCCGCGGCGGGGTGAGCTCCCGTCTTTCGGTCCCAGCTCCTGCCCACCTAGCAGTTCGAAAGCACCCTTAAGTGCAAGTAGATAAATAGGTACCGCTTTATAGCGGGAAGGTAAACGGCGTTTCCGTGTGCTGCGCTGGTGCTGGTTCACCAGAGCAGCTTCGTCACGCTGGCCACATGACCTGGAAGTGTCTCCGGACAGCGCTGGCCCCCGGCCTCTTAAGTGAGATGGGCACACAACCCTAGAGTCGGACACGACTGGCCCGTACAGGCAGGGGTACCTTTAGCTTTATCTTTTAAAAAACAAACAAACTGCAGGGTGTGGAAAAGCCAACAGTCTAAAGACACCTTGCAAAAGTTCTTTCCTTGTAAGATTCCCTCAAAGGAGTGAGAGTATTAGCAATGCACATAAACACTTCTCCAGCCTGCCATAACTCTCCCCCCACCACCCACTGTCACAGTGTAAATATGGGTGCTGCTAAGGAGGAGTCTTCTAAAAGTGCAGTCAGCAATGTAATAAAACAGAATGGAATACAGAGTGTACTCATTTGTACTCACCATGGCACATGCATCAAGACTGAGTGTGTACTAATAAACTCAGTGTTTGTGCTTTCTATATACAGTGGTACCTCGGGTTACATACACTTCAGGTTACAGATGCTTCAGGTTACAGACTCCGCTAACCCAGAAATAGTACCTCGGGTTAAGAACTTTGCTTCAGGATGAGAACAGAAATCGGGCTCCGGCAGCATGGCAGCAGAGGGAGGCCCCATTAGTAAAGTGGTGCTTCAGGTTAAGAACAGTTTCAGGTTAAGAACGGACCTCCAGAATAACTTAAGTACTTAACCCGAGGTACCACTGTAACTTTTACAGCATTTGGAAGGCATCGCTAAGGAGATTATTCAATTACCCTCATATAATGCTTGTAGATTTCAGCAGCGGCAGTCATCTCGACAACATTATGGACAATTAACTTGCAATAAGCTGCAAGGAGGCACCGTTTCTGCTGCAAGGCATCCAATTTTTGTTCTTCCATCTTTTTCACTTCTTCTCCTGTCAAGACTACAGCAGCGAGTTTGGTTAGATTCCATGCTAACACTGCATTCCGAAGCATTTTCAAATACAAACCTTAATCTGAGCAATAGACACCCTCGAGTGCGTGGCCAGCTCACAAAACCTTAAAAGCATTTATTTGTTGTTATTCAGACATCATAGAATCACAGAGTTGGAAGGGACCCCAAGGATCATCTAGTCCAAACCCCTTCAATGCAGGAATATGCAGCAGTCCCATACGGGGATCGAACTTGCAACCTTGGCATTATCAGCCCCACGCTCTAACCAACTGAGCTATCAAGGCTGATGATAGTGCTAACAACTCATCTGCTATTTCACATGGATCTCCTCACTGAAAAGCAGTATGTACAGAGCAGCAAAGAGGAGCAAGTGAATACCGGAGGTCTCCTAAACCCTATGTAACTATGACTGGGAAGTTAATCACATTCATATATGGCTGGATAAAAATAATAAAAATCAGTGCAAGTGCAACTCATCTTATAATAACAAATAACATTTCCTGATGCATCGTGCTAACCTATATGCTAGAAATACTAATACTAAAGTGTTGGGAAGAACTTCTTGTAGGAAATATAAACGATGGCACAAGGTCTTTTTCTGGAGTAAATTCTCCATCTTCAGTGCCAGAACCTGCAGTAGATGTTAACCACAGGGTTGACTTCTGACTGCCAATAGAATCTATATCATGGGGACCAAGAATGAGGAGGAAGATTAAACAGGAGAGCATTGAAAGCCCCATACTGAAATAAACACATGATGAGCACCTCCCGTGGTGCATCCACTCCATCTTCCTTCGCACCCTGGGAACTCCCTGTCCATTGATATTACACAGGCACCATCGCTGTACTGTTTTCAGAGCCTGCTAAAACTTTTTGTTCCAGTAAGTCCACCAAGGCATGTAATTTCAGTATGTGATTTTAGTTGCTATCGCCCTGTCTACCTTGGGTAGCAGAACAGTACTAAGTGGAACACAGACATTATCAGCAACGTATGTTTAGTTCCTTGCTGGAAAGCGCTGCTGACCTCTGAATTCTCTTGGCTCCTCTGCGAAAACATGATCCTCAACGAAGAAGAGCAGTTTTGATTGAAGAGATGAACTGGGAAGGTACTCCACACACTCAATCAGTCCATCACTTAAACCTTGATGACTTATAATCATCAGCAAGTCGCAAAGTATCATAAAAGCCTACAATGATAAATAAAAGAAAAACAACTTGTAAAGGTAAAGGGACCCCTGACCATTAGGTCCAGTTGTGGCCGACTCTGGGGTTGTGGTGCTCATCTCGCTTTATTGGCCGAGGAAGCCGGCGTACAGCTTCCAAGTCATGTGGGCACTTAGGCACTTCTATTTTGAAATATTTACTAGCCACCTTTCAGGACCGCATGCACCAAGGCAGTAAATAACAATATAATGCTAAAGATACAATATTTTTTTTAAAAAATGCTGTACAATATTATTGTAACATAACATTGGATTACAGCACATCAAAACCTTGAACGTTCAAAAAATACAAAAACCTCACCAGCTATAATTCAGCTTGTGAAATGCCAATTTCAAAGCCACACACACACGCACAAAAAGTACGCCCTTCCCCCCGCCAATCCCCACACCTGAGATTAGATTAAGGATTCCACCAATTCCTTATCTGCCAAAAATTGTGATGATTGCTATGAGGAAGGCAAAGCCCTTGGATGGGTCCATTTGTTTGGAGGCAAAATCCTTCCCAGGCCCAAATACAGCAACCATTTTGAACCACAGCACCAAGGGAGCAGAATATAGGGTGGGGGCAGGAGAGTTGATGCTCTGCTGACAGTATTGTTGGGGCCCAACACCATTGGCTTAAGCATTCTGGGAGTGGACTGGAGTGAAGACTTCTTTACTCTGGTCCGCCGCTCTTGCCACACCCACTTCGAAGGTCGTGATTGGCCAATTTAAACAAAGTTTTTGGCAGGCACTCCCACAAGCCCCAGCAGTTGGCCAATTCCAACGGCTGTCTGCAAGGAGAAATGTTTCTTCTGAGCCCCAAGGAAAGCCATGCCAGGCAGCACATGCTGCCCACCTGGGAACTCTGCTGAACAACCATTCTCCATCTCACCTGTACTAGTAACACACAGCAATGTACAGCTTAAGATTTGGCCTACTTGGTTTACTGGGATGGTCCTATTGAAAGTGAAAGCACTTCTTCTGCCAAATCCAGTCCACAGTGGAAGCAACTGCCCAGTAACAACCAAGCAAACCCCTTCTCCTCACAGGCTCACCTTCATATTTCATCCAATCCCCATGGGCAACACGGGGGGGGGGGGGGACACCATTAACACCACAAAGTGTGAATCAACAGGAACTTTAAACTGAAGACGCTTCCAGGGACACCACTGGTTAAAAATTCCTATGAGACAACTAAATTCCCAACCTCAACCACTAGGGAGTGTTACTCCCACCTGGGCCCAGGATGACAAGAGGGGAGATTGCAATTTCCTCGTGTGGAGAAGCACCAAACTGGGTTAATTGTTCTCATGAGGAATAAATCATCACTATGGTCCACCAGGGAACTGGACTAATCCTCCTCCTTGGTGCTTTCAAGTGTTTAAAGCATGTTCTACCTGTAATCCTTACAACCACCTTCTTAGGCAAGTCAATATTAATCTCCCCCATGCTGCAGATGGGAGATGCTGATGGGAGCAAAGAGTGGGTTGCCTAATGCCTCTAGTGAGTTGATGGCAGACACAAGATGCAAACCAGTGTCTTTCTGGTTAACAGCTCAGCCTGCTTAGCCACTAAGTCACACCAGCAACTGGGTGCTGTGTTGTACAGAGATTAGAGTCAATTCTTCCTTCCTCCCCAGAATTTTAGTATCTCTAGGCAATACAGCGCCCCTCAAAACAGGGGAGTACTTCTTCTGAATATGTGTACACAACACTTGCCCACATTGCACTTAGGATAGGGAGGGGTGCAAATCTAAAGGGAAAAGTCCTATGAAAGGGCATGTAGGATTCTTACCTTTTCACGTAACTTTCTGCTGCGGTGGCTGAGGTAGCACGTACAAATGTGGCAGTACTGCTTCAAGTGTGTCCTCAAGGCAAGAATGCTTTCCTTTAAGGGGAAGGAGAAAATCAGAAATTATTTCTGCAAAATGCCTCTTTGAATAATTCTATGTCATTGAAGCCCATCTCAAGGCTTCTGTGAAAGGTGCAGAACTTTGTAGCATCTCAAGTTTCTTCTTCGCATCTTATTCTGTTTGAAGAGGAAGCACAGAGGAAGGGGGCGGGGAGCAAGGAGTCGCAGGAGCTGTGAGAAATCTCTATAAAATCCACAGGACACCATGATCCTCCTCATTCTACCTTTGTATCCAGCAGTTTTTCACTCTCTATCTTGCCAGTAGCGTAGCACAGAGATGTGCACAGAATCTAATGAGGGTTTATTCCTCCCATCCACTGTTTTGCAACAATCTGTCACACTATATAGACAGCGTAGTGATAGTGTGGAATAAGGACAAGATGTAATCAGCTCCAATCTGTGTCAGCTCACTTCCCCTTGTCACTCAGGTCCCTGCTCCAGGGGACCAAGGTGTCCCAGAGTGGGAAATGCTGATTTACATAAAGAATATTTTTTTTAATCTCAGAGTGACATCCTTTCCTTTCTTTTCTTTTCTTTTTTCATTCTGATACACACCCAGTGCTTTTCTTCTGGGGAAAGTAGGTGCCAGTACTGCGTACCCTTGAGTACCCCCCAGAAAACTGGCTACAGCATCCCACAAAAAACTGCAGATGAAATCAAGACAGAAACCACACAAACATGCAGCAAATGAGCTGCTGGCACGATTTGTTTGGGTTTCCTATCAAAAAACAGATTAGTGAAGTCACTCAGGGATCATCCGGGTGTATTCTCCATATATAACCATTGTTTACAAGGTACAATATGGCAGCCAAAGACGTTTTGGTGTCCCAGGTGCCCTTAATTGTTTCCCAAAAACTCTCATCAGGGCAAGCTGCCCCTATCCTCTATAATATAAATATAAACTCAATTTTGGCCATGTGTACACTGCATGTGCTAAGAAGACGTCAACATGCTGCCCACAGTGTTAATTTTATTTATATACTGCTTGATTGTAATAAAACCCGGTGCTTTTTTTCTGCGGGGATGCATACCCTTAAACATTTAGCGAATCTTTGTACTTTTGTTCATTTACTGTATTTATTTCCCCGATTTGAACTATAAAATGGTGATTTTTCTTGAGTCAAAATGAGAATACCCCTAAACATTTTTTAAGAAAAAAAAGCACTGATAAAACCTCATAGTGGTTTACACTCAAGCAGTTCACATTTGCACACAGTGTCCATGTGATCAAAGGAAAGCACATGTTACCATGATGATTTTCTTCCTGAGGAAGAAAAAAATCAGTTTGTGAAGGCCCTGTTTCACAGGTAGTTGCTCTCTCTCTCCAACCAATCGGTTGTTATTATCAGATGCAAGGTTTGCAAAAGTATGAACAACATGCTTCTGATGCAGCCTGGGAAGAAGAGGCTGATGGATATCACAAAGGACTCCAAATAATCTCTGAAGTGGGAGCTGAAGGATGGTGTTGCTTGGTTTTGAGTCACTACTGCACCAGAATCAGGAAATCAGAACATGAGCCACTTTTGCTTCTGGAAGCTCAAATTCTTCTGAAGCTCCAAATTGACCAACGAAGCACAAAAGGACACAAAGAAGCCTTGAGAAGTGGCTTGAAGTCCCCACCCTGGGACTAACCTTGGAAGAAGTGTTCTCTAGTGCAGAAGAGAGCTGCCAAAGCAGTGCAGAATAAGCACATTGTAAAGCAGGCCAAAGGATCTGCAAAAGAAAACCAAGAGTCGTGACTTAATCATTTCAAATCCTGAACCGAGTAGCTTAGCATGGGCAGTCACCTCACTGCAGAAAATTCCACTCCTCTGCCACAAAGAAAGAATCCAGTGATTCGCCCACATCTAAACGCCACTTCTGTCACTGAATTAAGAATGTGTTCTACTCAGACTCAAGCATCAGCTGAAATTCAGCCTAACAAGACGGAAAATGGCCGGGGGGTGGGGGAGGTCATTAAACCCATGGGATGCTGAAACTAGGACTTAATTTACACTGGTGTGCTATTTTGGAGACGCGAAATATTTTCTGGTCCATAATTTGATCACGGTTACCTGAACAGGTAAAGGATTTTGTTCCACCTCAAAACCAAGGAGCTTAGCCAGTGGTTCATAGAGATTCCACCTGGTGAGATCATGAGCACTACAAGTCCAAAAGGAAACACAGCATCACTCTGAGAACTTTCAAGCAGCTGTGACAAAACAGTCCCATCAATAGAATACTCAAGACTGCCCTCACCCTCTTTACTCATCAATTTGATTCCAACTCGTTTAACAAAAAACAAAAACAAAAACACAACCCTCAGAAATCCTTAGGTTGGCAATCTGCACAATGAAGCATGGCTTTAACTCAAATGGGTTTGTTGTAAAAAACAACAAAAAAAACCCCCAACCAAATTAATCCAGCCCAACAAAGCAAGTGGAAAGCAGCCTATTACAACTAGACTTTTAGTAGGATAGCCACAGATTCAGAATCATCTTCAAAGCTTACTTGTTCCCACACTGGTTAGCAATTCAAAAGGAGAGTCCCAAATTCCAGCACTGTGAGAATACAAGTGCTAAAAGGGGTGCAAGAGTTGTGTTGCATAAATTGCCTGAACTGGTAATGCCAAAATAGGGGGCCTAATTTGGCCTGCTAGGTCATTTCGCCCAAGCCATGCCTAGCTGCCCAACACCCGACATCATATATCAGGTAAAAGACCCCGGTTCAGACAAAATGGAGCTTGCAAATGGAGCTTTGTAGCATCAGGCCCCTCCCATTTGTCAAACTTGGCCTGCGGGGAGCGGAGCAGGGGAAATAATAATCTGGCTTATCGGCAAGATCTATGCAAGGCAGGACTCCCATTCCCAGAGAGCACACAGCATTCTAGCCCAGGCCTATAGTACTCCAATCTTAAGAAACAAATACAACAATTTCATAGGACGGTAGAGTTGGAAGGGACCCTGCGGATCATCTAGTCCAAGCCCCTGCAAGGCAGGAATAGGCAGCTGTCCCATATGGGGTATTGAACCTGCAACCTTGGCGATATCAGTACCATGCTCTAACCAACTGAGCTATACTAATTTTGCATGAATAAATGGAAGTGCTTGGCGATGCCTGTCTACAGCACTATAGATGTTTCTAGTCCCTTGAAACCAGCAAGCCCATGATATAAGTATTAGCATGCAAAGAGGACAAGTGCCATGTGCCCCCTGGTACAAAGATCAGGGACGGATACTCAGCAAAATCCTAGATGTGTCTTACTACGTCAGTGCCATCCATCATGCTATGTGTTTACACTGTGACACAACATTAATGTAGTGAATTCAGAACTGAGTTCCATTTCAGACATGAGTGGCGGGCAGGGTGGAGGGCTTCAGTCTGACTCCTTTAAAAAAAAAAAAAGTCCCAGAGCCCTATTTGCACAACTAGAAACCAAACATTCCAGAGAATCCTGTTACAGTGGTACCTTGGTTTACGAATTTACGGTAATCTGTTCTTAAACCAAAGTGTTCTTAAACCAAGGTGTGCTTTCCCATAGCAGTGGGGGACTCAATTTACAAATGGAACACACTCAACAGGAAGTGAAACATGTTTTTATTCGAAAGTAAAGTTCACAAACCAAAACACCTACTTCCAGGTTTGCAGCGTTCTTAATCCAAGTTGTTCGTAAACTAAGCTGTTCTTAAACCAAGCTGTTCTTAAACCAAGGTACCACTGTATTAAAAAATATAGCCAATATTCACTAACTATTTATTCTTTCACAACATCTTGAAAGGTGGCAGCCTTTATACTTAAATGGCTCTAAGTGGGCCTTCACTTTATCTAAATTGACCAGGAAACAGTGCCATCACATAAACACCATAACTTTCATCTGTATATGGGCCCCAAAACAGTCTCCACAGACTTTAGAAACTTTGAGTCTCTTAGCATCTTGGCTTACATTAGCAAAGCCTTTCTTTTCTTCCATTTATATCCCATCTTTCTTCCATCATGGAACCCAAGATGGCTCCCAGGTGGACTTGCTTACCTTCGGCGGGGCAGCTGCTTAATGTGCCTTCAGAGCAGACCCTGGGATTTTCCTGATCCCAACACCTGCACTTCTTAATTAAAACAATACATTTTAATACAATATATTATGTATTGCAGGGGGTTGGACTAGATGACCGTTGGGTCCCAACTCTATGATTCTATGCTGCCTGGCTTTATGTCTGTAAACAAAGCAGCATTATTCTAATTGTATGTGCCCACAGAGGGTCACTAAAGTGAATTAATAATCAACATAAACAAGCATCTCACTGATGAAAAGCAGTTATTCTTCGCAACATCAAGCATATATGATGAATTCCTTCTTTTTCTGCACGAAGCCCTCCTCCCTGTGTAGGAGACAGGAGAAAAGACTATGTGACATTTGAGCAGCAACTTCTCTCTCTGAAAAGCAGGCTTGGATAGGGCAAAAGGGACCAGCAGTATTCCTGCCCCCTCCCCAACACACACACAACGTGCAGACTCCCCCCACAGTGCATACACCTGCACACACCCCAAGGACTGCCTCTCCCCATATGAATCAACCCACACCCTGCAATCATCATCTGAGGCCTTTTGTATGCCACCAACACAAGAATGGGCCTTTCTTGTGGTGGCTCCCCATGTGCAAAATGTGCTCCCCAGGGACGTTTGCCTGGCACCTTTGTAACATATCTTTCGGTGCCAGGCGAAAACATTCCTCCTCTCCCAGGTCTTTGGGCTAATTAAACAATCTATGGCATTTTAAACTGGGGGGGTTATTGTTTTTGCTTGTTACTATGTTATCTATTTTTATTTTGTAAACGACCCTGTGATCCTTGGATGAAATTTAGACAAGACAAAACAAAAATAACGACAACAATAAAATATAGAGCGGGTAGATTTTGTGGACAACAATACCAGTTTACCTGAATGAGCATCTCCACCCCATCGTTCTGCCCAGACACTGAGGTCCAGCTCTGAGGGCCTTCTGGAGGTTCCCTTACTGCGAGAAGCCAAGTTACAAGGAACCAGACAGGGGGCCTTCTCAGTAGTGGCACCCGCCCTGTGGAACGCCCTCCCACCAGATGTCAAAGAGAAGAACAACTACCAGACTTTTAGAAGACTTCATCTGAAGGCAGCCCTGTTCAGGGAAGCTTTTAATGTTTTAACAGATCACTGTATTTTAATATTTTGTTGTGGAGAGACCCGGCCAGATGGGCAGGGTATAAATATTATTATGATTATTATTATTATTATTATTACCCATCATCGCCAGCTAGCACGCCCAATGGTCATGGATGAGGGGAGCTGTAGCCTACAATAAGTGGAAGGCACCATACTGGCTACTACTGGCATAGAGTTCTCTTCCCCCTGTAAGCAGTTATTTGGCAGAGAGGCAGCATGATTGCCTGCACTGCCTACTGGGGGACATGCAGTCTTCCCGCAAGAGTGCTGAAAGTTTGCTTCTGGATCCCCTATGCTGGGCTGCTCCTGCGTTGCTCTGACTCACATCAGATGATCTGTCAAACTGTAGGATGCCACCCCTCACCGAGTCTTTGCCGGGGTGTGGGTGTGGGTGTGGGTGTGGGTGTGCTTGCGCGCACGCGCACGCGCACGCGCAAAGTTCCATGGAATGGCAGGAACTTTCCCTCCCCAACCTGGGGGGATTAAATGCCGCTGCAAGAATCACCTCAGGGGGCCAACCTAAATAATGGAAATCAAGCATATTTCTCTCTAATCCTCCACCCACCCTGCCAACTTGCAAATCTGCAGAAAACTAGGTTGTTAATGGCTGGAATCTGGCTAATCTCACTGCATAAACTGGTGCGGGTTGGTGCAGAATTGATGTTTTCTTATTATTTGCTACCAAAAATAAAAGTGTGGGCAAATTTAACCTGACACATTTACTGTACTTCCATTTTTTAAAAAAGAAAAGAAAAGAAAAGAAACTATCAGCATGAACTCTTATATGTTGGAATGACATCTGTTAGCAATGGCACAGCTGATCAACTGTTGTTGAACCGAGTCTGCAAGCTATTCATATTCCCAACAGCTGCTCTTGTATTCTTAGAACTAATGAAAACCTTTTCAAGTATTTCTGTAGCAAATCCCACCCCCAACCAGCCCAACACAAATGGAAATGCAAAAGCCACTTTTAAAGTTTAAAAATGCTGCAAGATGTTTCAACAAAGCAATCTCCATGCAGAGGCTGAACTTTAAAAAGTTATGGAAGAAGAAAAGTCTTCCTTGCCCTAATAAGGAAAAAGCTCAGTTTCATCTGCAATTAGTAAATTATTTTTTCCTCACTGGACCTCAGACAAATGATGTCAAATAGCAGACAGTCATTAGTTAAGAATGCAGACTTTAAATAGTCTAGTGATAGAATATCAGTTCCCCGAGATGTGAAGAACAGACTTAAACGTTCACAAATCATGCAGCACTCTGTCAAGAGAGGCACGTTATATTCCAATAGAGGGATTCTTTGCACTACTTCAAACAGAAAACAAGCAATAGTCAGAAATATTCGTGGTAATTACTGTTGTGGCAGGATCTAAACAGTTAAACACACAAAAAAGGTAAAGACCATCATTACAGTTTGGCCCACTTTGCATGTGATACATTTCTGGCAAGGATATCACTTCTGTGTAGGAGTATATTGGGCTAAAGAAGGGTTCCCATAATGAATCTTCGAAGCGCTTCCTATTATTAACTTTAAACGTTCCAAGGCAACAGGAGGGGATGCAGCTCATGCCTTGGCCAGACCTTTTGCCCTTTTCCTCCCACCACCTGCTATGGCCTAGAGGACTTCAGTATTTCTCCATTGGTGGAGGGAGAGGGAGGAAAAGGACATCCTTCCCCCCCCCCCCAAACGATGAAAGCGGCAGGCAGCACTGCCAGCTTGTGAACTGGAAAATCTACTCAGCCGTGCCTATGCAAAGATCACATAAACCCTACCACCTCTTCATACATATTAGGAACATGATTAGGGAAATCAATCAGATGTGATTTTGCCATGTTTGCACTTGTACACACACACACACAAAAAGAGAGAGAGAGAGCATACAAAATTAACAAAAAGAAACCCTGTTCAAATTTTGCTCCGGAAACCTAAATTTCATTTCTCGTTACATATCCAGACTTCACACCCACCTCATCCCAAAAGGTGTCCAAGCACTGGTTTAGACTGTGCACCAGTTCATCCACCAGTTCATCTCTGGCCAAGCTCACTTTTTTATGGCCAGAACCGTCTTCACCACAAAGAGTGGCGTATACCCTGGCGCAAGCGTTCAGGACATCTGTGTAAGAGTGCTTGGATACAACGGCTTTTATCTCACTCAGAAATGTGTCCAAGTGCTGTGGATAAAACAAAAGTACAGCAAATGTCATTAAACTATGAACCCATGGAACCCGCAAGATAGCATTCAGTTTGGAACTCAGGCAACCTAGGTTCAGAGTCTGTCTACACAGCTAGACTGGTGACTGGGAGCGGCAGCCGAGACCACATAACACCGGTCCTGAAAGATCTACCTTGGCTCCCAGTACATTTCCAAGCACAATTCAAAGTTTTGGTGCTGACCTTTAAAGCCCTAAACGGCCATGGCCCAGGAGCGTCTCCACCCCCATATTTCAGCCCGGACACTGAGGTCCAGCGCCGAGGGCCTTCTGGCAGTTCCCTCACTGCATGAATTGAGGTTACAGGGAACCAGGCAGAGGGCCTTCTCAGTAGTGGCGCCCGCCCTGTGGAACACCCTCCCATCAGATGTCAAGGAAATAAAAAACTATCTGACTTTTAGAAGACATCTGAAGGCAGCCCTGTTTAGGAAAGTTTTTAATGTTTGATGCTTTATCGTGTTTTTAATATTCTATTGGGAGTTGCCCAGATGGGCGGGGTATGAATAATAAATATTATTATTATTATTATTATTATTATTATTATTATTATTATTATTACTATTAGAACTCCTCGTATAGCCTTGAGCAGGACACTGACTTGCATGGTTCATGGCCAGTCTGCAAAGGGAGAACAACAGTGACCTAATTCACAGAGATGGGGGGCATATGTTATTACTCAGGCTGAGTATACACTAAGCTATTTATAGCACGAAAAAGCATAATTTTCCTCGATCCAGAGTCACTCGCGGTCATCCTCAGCCTGCTGCTTCCAGTCTAGCTTGATTCTAGAAGATGCCACTCACAAGGGGTGTGCTGACTTAATAGACATTTTGAATACCCTTCCCCTTGCTTCGGCCTCGGTCCAGTATACCTAAAGGAGCATCTCCGCCTCCATCGTTCTGCCCGGACGCTGAGGTCCAGCGCCGAGGGCCTTCTGGCGGTTCCCTCGCTGTGAGAAGCCGAGTTACAGGGAACCAGGCAGAGGGCCTTCTCGGTAGTGGCGCCCGCCCTGTGGAAGGCCCTCCCACCAGATGTCAAAGAGAAAAATAACTACCAAACTTTTAGAAGACATCTGAAGGCAGCCCTGTTTAGGGAAGCTTTTAATGTTTAATAAGTTATTGTATTTTAGTGTTTTGTTGGAAGCCGCCCAGAGAGTAGCTGGGGAAACCCAGCCAGATGGGCAGGGTATAAATAATAAATAAATTTATTATTATTATTATTATTATTATTATTATTACTACTACTACTACTACTACTTAAGTTATCCATGCCTTTTCCTCCCTGCACATGCCCCAGGCGAATGAAGAAGGAAATGGCAACAGAAATCTGGGTAAACACTCACACTTACATCTGTTTGCATCTGTATTTAAACAGACATGCTATGGGGCAATGCAGAAACAATCTGCAGTGAGCTTTATTTTCAGAATCAAACCAGTACTCAACAAGCATCTTATTGGGGCAAAAATGCCAGTTCACGTGTGGGCTACAGACAAAAATATCTAGTTCACGTGTGGGCTACAGACAAAAATATCTAGTTCACGTGTGGACTATGGACAAAAACACAAGGACCCAGTTTCCATTGATTCCAGAATGTCATGCATACACAGCCTCACTCTTAGAGCACATGCACACAAGACCTTCCTATGTCACCAGTTCAGAGCTCTGGCACAAAGTTAGATGTGTGGGAAGGAATCCAAGGGAAAAGGTGTGACCTGAGAGGAAGATGCCATTCATGCGTAACTCAGGATTTCCCACATATGTACAGCCTGAGCATCTGCCCTCAATATCACCACATGCGGGACACTTTTATGTCTTGGTGGCCCATGTTTTTTTCAACTCAACTTCTGGAGCACTGCGATGGAAAAAAAAGGCTGTCACCTGCCTCCAGCCCACAAGCACCAATCCAACCACACGCATCAGCACGCACATGGATCAAAAGGGCTATAAAAACTCATCAGTTAAAATGAATTACAGCTCTGCAGACTGTAGTCTTACTCGGCAGGAGCGCCACATTTGCAAGGAATCAAGCCTAAACAAAGGCACGCAGTTTTATTACAGACATTTGTGGGTTTTATCTATATTTTGACATTTTGTTATGTCTACTGCTTTTAAAGTCTGGGTTTATTTTTTTAATAGCTGTCTTGTGCAATTTTATGCAAACTGCTTGGGTGGTTTTTTCCTCAATTAAATTGCTATATAAATCTTGACAAATAAATATATAATCCTTTCTTGAAGTTTTTTTTTCTCTCTCTCTCTCTCACACACACACACACACACAAATTCACCTTGTCCAGGAGTTCAGCACTGCACAGCTCTAAATCAAAATACTGTGGAATGTGCAGGAGGTTCGTCACTTTTTCTGTATCTACAGAATACTGCAGAGGGGGGGAAACAGGATATGAGTGAGCTGCTGAAATTCAAATGAATTATTTAATATGCACTCACAAGAGCAGCTGCTAGTTACCTTTGCCAAGAGCTGAGGAAGCACCACAATGAAGTGTTCAGTAATTCGAGTACAATCTTCCACTTGTATCTTCTTCTCCCTGGAAGACAGGATCTACAGACAAAGCCCTTTGTTGCAGTTATAGCATAAGCAGGTTGCTGATCTATGCTTAAGCTAGCTGTAGGGTTAAAACTTAATACGGCAAAATGCTGGGGATGGAAGCTTCAGATTTTAATTAATTAAGCGCAGTATTTGAACAGTGTTTTGATTGCGGATTATGGAGTTTTTTAAAAGGGGGGGTGGCTATTGACTGGAAGGAAAAGTTGGCAGCTTTGCCATGCAGATTCTTTAGTTGGCAAAGAAGTATTCCATGTTTTGAGCCAAGGGACGTGGAGTGCAGATAAAGAAACCTCTGGGAATTCCAGTCGTATCAGGAACCTTGTGAAAGAGTTCCAACACTTCTCAGTTCTGCGAACAAGCTATGCAGATCTCTTGACCCTTGCAGTATCAACAAGTTGGTGTGTTTGTCACTATATTTGGTAAACTGGGTTACTGCTTACAAGATCAGGAAGCCACATTACAATAGGCTGCAGTTAAACATTTGCTTTCCCAATCTGATCCTAGTCATGTTTATTCAGAAGATACTGCTGTGTTCTTCAACCTTGAACACCCTGATGTTGTTGGACTACAATTCCCAAGGTTGAAGAATACTGTGTTAAAATGCACGTACAGCCCACTCGTCTCTCTGCAGGAGAGAAGCACACTTCCTTATTGGATGTAATGGCCTTCAAAACAAGCATGCTTAGTACTGCAGCTTTCCTCAAACTGCAGGCAAATGAAAACAGAGCTGCTTTACAACTGCAGGCGCTGGACATTAAGGTTCTGTGGGTGTTCTAAATACACTTGCCCTCTATTGCACTGGTTAGACTGAAGGCTTTGTGCTCGTCTTGCAACCATGATTCTGTTCTGTCAATGCAGAGAAACCTGCAGCTGGGATCAATGGTGTGTGTGTGTGTGTGTGTGTGTGTGTGTGTGGTGTGAATCAAAAGCCAGATGATCAAAGCAGTATAACAAAATGCCACTCACTCTCCTGGTCCCTCCTCTCCCCACAGGAGGATGAAATTCAGCAGCTTCTCGAACGGTCGCTAAGATTATTTCAATAAGGACACGCTCATGGGCATCAGTCAGCGCTGAAAGCAAAATGACACACAGACGCCATTCGGTCTCTCATAGAAAGAGGTGGGAATCCTAGGATAGTTAACACAGAAACTTTTCCTTTCTCCGGGCCATTTTGTTTTAAGTTAGCTAAAAAGCAACACTGGAAGTTTTTGAATAGATTTTCACCACGCAGGGCATTCAAGTTATTCTGCGGAACTTACTGTAACGCAGCACATAATGAAGGACAAAGCTCTAATAAAATTATTCAAGAAGGAAACAGATGAATTTAACAGAACATCAAAGTTCATTAGCCAAGAAAGACTAGCATACATATTCCAGTTACTGCACTGCTTTGCTCTGAAGTAGCAATTAAGCTCCAAAGAGAACAATGAGGATTTTTATTGAGTGGACCACAAAGCAGAGCTCCAAGTGGAAGACAGAGTCTCCATTTCAGTGCCAAAACACCACACAGCATTTTAAACTGGTGCTTGATGAAAAAGGGTATCTGTTAATGAAACCACACGACGCCTCTCATCCATCCTGGCTCTATAGTCCAATGGTTTGTATTGGATTGGCTGAAACCGAAGGCAGCAACACAAGTCGAAAGTGCCAAGTTCTCCTGACGCACCTACCTTGTTCGTGACTATCGGCATTTCCCAATAAAAGAGCAGTCATGTACTCCCAGTCTTTCAATAAACTTGGGGCCCAATCCCAAAGGCTGTCTACAAGATACGTGACGTGGCTATGTAGCTAAAAATAAATAACAACAACAACAACTCAGACCTTCAAAAATGGTTCACTGAACATGACTTCCCATTATGATCTAATACTTGTTTGGGAAGAGGTGGAGCAGAAACATGTACAACACATGCTGGAGCCTTGTTTTATGTTATTCCTGCAGCAGATCTCCACTGTCAAACAGCCAGGCTGCTTTTTAAAGTGAACAGTGGCTTATCTCTTCAGCAGTGGAAGAGACAAGCCGCCATCTCTTCAAGCACAGTTCTTTCCCACGTGTGAATATTGCTTCTTTTGATTGCAGCCTATTATGTTAAAATTTTGCCAATATATATGACATGAACTATCAGTAACAAGCAGCTCAAATTAAGGCCATGTATCGCACCTAAATTCAACGAACAATCTTAACTCAATGAATAATGCATGGTAATAATTTATTATGATTATTTATGAAAAGCAAACAGTTTATATCATGCAGCAAAACAGGTTAAAGTATTAGAATTCTTATGGTTTCTCAGAATGAGAGATCTCAGATAGATTTTGACCTTATATTGATTAATTTGTACTTCCACCTTCTGCCAAACTTAAAACCTGATGGCAAAATATGAATTGCCTTGGCGCCTTAGCTTCCAGTCAGAAAATGCACCCAACCGAATACCCATTCCAATAAAACAGCTAACTATTTTTCTAAGAACATAACCAAGCTCTTCCCTTCTGCACCTTCAGGTACCCTTCTTAAATATATTCTTCATGTGCCTACTTGTCCAAATCTTCCAGTCTACAATTACTTGAAAATATCAATCACATTTTGAAACTTTACCTTCCAGTACACTTTTATCATCAAATCATTTCTTGTTATTATCACAATTCTTTTCTTCCCTCCCTCAAACCCTTACATTAACTTCATTAATTGGTCCTGATCTGTGAGACACCTCTGTGAATATCCAACACAGTATGCATTACCTTTACCTCACTTTCCAGGAAGAAATCTATTAGTGCTCTCAGCTGACTAGAATTGGGCTCCCACTTTGCATTACTTTTGGAGAATGCTTCAATTTCAATTTCCTGGACAATTAAACTGCCAACAGAAAAAGCGGACAATTAGATTCTGTTTTCAAAATGCCTTGCCAGATATATTATATATTCTAGCAGCACAATCCTAGAAATGTCTACTCAGAAGTAAGTCCCATATAGAGTTCAATGGAACTTACTCCCATTATGATAATTACAACATTAATAAACATACGCTGATCCAACACATTAATTTTTTGAAGCTGTTAGGAGTCATGTGGCTCATAATGATAAGAACTCCAGCTCCTTCTGGTCTGAGTGAAAGGGCAAAAAGGGTTCCAGACAAGGGGTTGTATCCAACAATGTAACTGGGCTCGTGGAACAACTTCCACTAATGCAACAGAACTTCCTGTCCTTCTCCTGCCCCGTGCCCCCACCCAAATCTGCTTCTAGGGATTGGGGCAATTCCAAGAGCAAGTTGTTAGGGGTATACGGGGGGGGGGGGAGGAGGCAGGAAAAGACCCATTGCATGAGCAGATGGCCCTCCTGCTAAAATCCAGAAAAGAAAAAAACTGAAAGACTTTTAATTTATGGCAACAGCGTATTGTTTCTGCATCAGCGTAGTTGTTGGCTGTTATTTTTCTTCTCTTCTCTTTCTATTTTTTTAATTTTTTAATTTTTTGCATTTTTTCAACCTATCGGCTTATGGAAAATTAAACAAAAAGCATGATTGATGAAAAATGCGGGGAAAAACCTCGACTATAATAAATTATTTTCATCAACATGTCACAGTGGTAAGTAATAAAAAATCATCCCAATACCAATGGGGGTTCCCTTTTATCATTCTAGTTCATTTCCCCTAATCCACATATTGTTACCAAGGCCCATTTACGAAGCTACTCTTGGGAGAGTGAGATTTTAACTTGACTGAAAAACTGGAACTTGTTTTAATCTACTGTCTCACTAAATTATTCAAGTTTTAGTTTTGGGTTTGTTTGTTTTTGGGGTTTGTTTGTTTTTTACTACACAGCTGCATTGTGCAAGAAGAGACCCTTTGTGATTAATCAGAAAAGATAAACCATTCACAACAATCACAAGCAGATGCTGCTTGGCAAGAAATTGGCTCACTGGGTAGAAATCAACAAGCAGAGAAAACAGAAGGGGGGGGGAGGGAGAGAGAGAGAGAGAGAAAACCCCTATATAACATTTGGCAAAAGCCAAAGGCAAAAAGTGTAAGCAGGAGGAGCGGGGGAAGCCTTTGTTCAAATCTTACTGCAGCCGTGAACTTACTAAATGGCACTATTATTCACTGGATTTCTTACTTGCCCTTCATCACAAAGGTCCCAGAATTACAACAATATAAACACACACGATTGAAATCACTTAAAATAATTAGCCGTAGGGAAGCCCCGCCCCTGTTCTCTCAGCAACCCTGACTTGCTTTACTGAAGTTTTGTGAGAGTTTTGGAGATAATGGGTAGGATCCTAAAGAACCTCGGACAGATCTGCAAACACTTGTGTAAGACTTTGAGAAGCGCTGCAGGAGATCGCTTCTAAAGCCGTTCTCGTGCTTTTTCGAGACGTCCCACAAGCAGAACATCATCTTTGGATGGCTTTTTAAAAAAACTTTTCTCATGCAGCACTGTAATGTGGGGCTTCAGAAAGCCCTTGCAGGTGTGCGACGTGGTGGAAGGGAACCCCCAGATCCAATTTCCAAAAGCCACTGCAAAGGCTCCTGGCTGAGCATGCTGGGAGAAGAAAAAAAGCCCTTGCAGAGGTAAACTGGAGGGGGAGAAAAGAGGGGAACAAGTGATGCAGGATGGATGGGGGCCAGAACAAAGCTGAGAAAGGGAAGCCAAGGAAGAACGGTGCAAAGAAAAGCAGTCATTGGGTAGGTGGGAAAGAGAATTGAGCAAGCAAACAAGGAAGGAAGGCAGGAGAAGATGCACCTGGGGTGGGAGAGGAAAAAAAGGACAAAAAGGAAAACAAGAAATAGTGGGGGACGGAGACGGAGACAAACAAGAAAATCAGTGAAAACAGGTCAGGAACAGAGTTGGCAAGACAAATGACGGAGCAGAGAGGAAGGAGAGATACAAAATGGGGCAACCAATAGGAGGAGATGAAAAGGGTTGGCACGTAAGGGAAGGGAAGGCAGAGATCTGGGGCTGTGAAGGACTAAATGTTTGGAGAAGGGCCACAGCTCAATGATACAGCATCTGGCTTGCATGCGGAAGGCTCCAGGTTCTCTCACCAGCATCTCCAGGTGGGGCCGGGGGCCCCCCTTTGACACCGTGGAAAGCCGCTGCTAGTCATTGCAGACCACAATGATCTAGACCAGTGTTTCTCAAGCTTGGGTCTCCAGCTGTTCTTGAGACTACAACTCCCATCATCCCCAGCTGGGAAGCAGCGGTCAAGGATGATGGGAGTTGTGGTCCAGCAACAGCTGGGGACCCAAGTTTGAGAGGCAGTGATCTAGAGGGACCAATCAAATTCGGCATAAGGCAGTTTCCTAAGAGCAACAGGAAAGCAGTCAGAGTGTTGAACTAAGACTTGGGAGACCCAGATTCTGAACCCTACTTAACCCATGATGCAGTGTTCAAAACTCCCATTGTTCTATGCACATTTTGCAACAGGGAATTTAATTAGCGTGAGCAGTTCTTGAGCTCTGGGCGCAGTACTGTGCCTAAGATTTCAGATTAAAACTGCAGAGTGGAAGGAAAGGAAGAACTTTTTCTGCCTCCCCACTTCCAGCTACTCCATGAAGACTGAAGAAGAGACCCTTTTAAGAATATTAGGGGGGTGGGCAGGGGAAGGACTAGACCATGTGAAAAATGAATAAAATAATATTTTAGTTGCAGTTCATTCATTTTCAGCTTTGTATTCTTGTTATTAAAAAAGTGTGCCTAGACATTCCATTGTTGTGCCCATAACCTAGGTTTAAGGTGCCATTTAGCTCCTAGCTTTCATATCTCAGTTTCTAACACTGCCATGAAGCTCCCTGGGTGACCTTGGGCCAGTCACTGCCTCTCAGCCTAACTTACCTCACAGGGTTGTTGTGAGGATGAAATAGGGAGAGGGAGAGAACCATGTATGCCACCTTAAGCTCCCTGGATAAAAGGTGGGATCCAAATGTATTGAAATAAATAAAGCCAGGCAATATTTTGTAGCAAGCCTGCACATCAGTCTGTGTATATAAACTATAATTGCAAAATATCATTAAAGAGCCAGACCCAGGGATTCGGCCTGAAACGCTCCTCAGTGAACCCTAACAATGTCTCCTCACTATAACACCCACAGGAAGCATCTCTGGCAATGGAGGGAGGGAGGGAGGGAGGGAGGGAGGGAGGGAGGGGACCCTTTAAGGTCAACTTTCACACTGAAGGAAATGGCATTATGCTCAAAATTATATGATAATCACACAGGTAGGCAGATAATTCTGGATTCCTTCCAACAGATATCTAACACAAAACAGCCAAGAAATGGGAGGGAAATATTCACAGAAGAACTCAGTGTGGATGAGAATTCACCTGGGTTCTATACTCTTTGACGGCATCCAAAGGAAAGTAATTAAATCTATGAAAGACCAAAGAACTTCCCATCTGGAGGCACGGAAAGAACTAAGGAAATTTTTACCAAGAAAAATGAAAAGAAGGAGAACGAACTAAGAAATGCAAGCATTGGCAAGACAAATCAACAGACAAAATCAGCTGAAGTTAAGGCCTGGTGAAACAAAACTGATTTTCACGGATTTATATAGCTGCTCTAGCCCTAACCATGTGTACACACACACACACACACACACACACACAAATGTATGCATAAAAATAACCCAGGACTGGTTGTCTGAGTGAGTGTATATTTGGGCATCCCATCACATGCTTAAGGATCAACATTTCTACTAATGCAGTTCTTTGGTTACTACGTTTGCATGCTTATTTTACACCGGTGGAGATCGGACCAAATGAAAATGTAACAAGAATCAGCCTAGACCACAATCACTCAAAAGAGAATTGTGTGTGTGTGTTGAATTATGATGCTTATAGCATATGCAAGGGCTGGCTCTGCTATTATGGAGCCAACCAAGTGCCAAATAAAAATAGTCACACTGAGGTACCTGTTATAAAGAAACTCCCCAGCTGCTACAGCCAGTGGTCGGTGGGTGGCATAAACAAACTGGTATAAGGTTTCACAGTCTTCAGATGACAACGCATCTTCATAGTTCCTGTACAAAGACATGGTATTAACTATGTTTTGTCAAAAAGGGCATTGTTACACACGTTAACAGCATAACCCTATACATTTACTCAGAAGTCTTCCTCGGCAAATGGGGCTTGCTCCTTGGTAAGCGTGCATAGGATTGCAGCCTAAGCCTGTAAATACTTTGGGTTGGGGCTTAATTGTACATTACTTTCTTGGGGCGGATAGTGTTTAGTCACTAGACAGCTTTGGACTTAGCTATATCCACATGGAGTCATGAAACTTCTTCTGTCCGTTCTGTTGCAGCCGGAGAGAGACCCTAAAGTTCTGTTCTAAACCTTCTGAGCACTGTGTCCTATAAGCCTTCCATAACATATGGCATTAAATTATATTTCAACGGCAGAAACATTTATGCCAGTGTAACATGCGAGGCTCTCTGGCAATTGACAAACAATCACGGAAAAGAATGAATAAGGAAATTTGGTTACATATTTAGAGCATGAGGTGAACATTAGGCAAAGATGTCAACAGAAGCAGTGTTCTGACATTCAGTCGCACTTGTGAAAGATTAAGTGGGGCTGGAGTTTGCAAGCCAATATCCCCAAGGCACATCAGCTGCTCTTGAGATCTTGGCACAATTAACTCTCCCACCGACTGGAAATCCCAATATGCCAGGGCTCCTGCTCACAGCAAAGTTTGCAACGAACTTAAAGACTTTCTCGGGACCTTCCTGCTAACCGGAGAAAGATCTAGAGAGCAGCCAGCCTGTGAGGGACATTATTATTATTATTCACTGTGTTTGTACCCCACCTTTTTCTCCAAGGAGATCAAGGTGGCACACACAGTTCTCCCCCTCCTCATTTAATTCCCACAACCACCCTGTGAGGTAGGTTAGGCTGAGAGGCAGTGACTGGCCCAAGATCACCCAGTGAGCTTCATGGCTGAATGGGGATATCAACCCTGGCATGCCAGGTCCTAGTCCAACATTCTAACCACTGCAACCATACTGCCTCTCACTGGGAGTGGGGCTTACATTGCACCCCTGCCCTGTCCCAAGTTTGACCCTTTGCATGATCAGGCAAATACCAGAACATGGCTAAGCACTTCAAGCAATAATAAAATTTATTTCCAACCATTTTGAAGATAAAGGAGTGGTTGGAAAGGGGTCATAGTTTAGCCTTTATTATTTATGTGCTTCTGTACTTTCATACTACCCTTTGCCACAACGGTCACAGGGAGATTTGCAGCAAAATAAAATGCAACAGCAAAGCATAATACGTGCTACAAAAATCAATCGAAACTACTATTTTTCATATAAAAGGTTCCAGGTTTAACCCCTGTCATGGGCTATTAAATCACCTCTCACAGCAGGGCTGGGGAAACCTCTGCTGCTCTTGAACCATGAGAAGTAACTGCTAGTCAGAATATACAACAGGGAGATGGGTCAATGGCCTAGCTCTGGATAAGACAGCTTCACATGCTTGAAGACTGACTAGTTAGCTCACAGAGAAAACAAATCCACCACATTCATACCACTTAAGGCTATCTCTAAAACAAGGAGGGGTACTTGGTTTCCCCCCTTAAACCTTCAGGTCAACAATGCAGTTCCAGTGAGAGATTTCATTGCACTGGTTTTTTAAGGAGTTTTTAACACCCACTTCTGAAACATCACAACCTTATGTAAAATAGCTAAACTGAAGAGTTCATACAAGTCCCAACACAAAGAAAGTTTTTCAAACAATGCCTCTGCCACCCTGTGAACAATGTTGTACCCCTTGCATGTTAAGGCAGCGCAGCTCCTTAGCAAATGACCACCTATCAAAGTCAAACCTTGCCCCTATCTTGTCCTGTCCCCTAGCAGCTAATTAGCTGGCAGAACAAGCATCCCACTAGCAACTAGTTGACTGGACCTCAAGTTTCTGTGAGTGGGACAGAGCTGCAAAGCAAAAGCTCTAGAAAACCACACTTTGGCTAAGTGTCTGCTCTCACTGTAAACAAGGCAAGAGCAGAGGGTTGGAAGCACAAAGGGATCTGAGGAGTCAAGGCAGACTCAGAAAAACTGCAAGCTGATCATTATCCTACTGTCCATCATTTGCAGAGAGCTGCTTGTTATTTTATTTTTGTTTCTTGTGCTTTTTTAAAAATAAAAGTTTCTTACACAAATGATTTCAAGCACAGTAGATGCAGCTTCACCATGATAATGCATACTGGGCATCACAGAATAAAAAACAAACAAACAAACTTTTCAGAAACCTAGGAAACAATCAGACAATGCCTCTGAAATTTCATTTCCCTATGTATGTGTAGTTCTGCACTGGACAAGAATCAGATATACGAAGCTGCATGCAAAATTGTTGGAAAGTATGCCAAGGTATTTACTAGGAAAGAAAACCTATGCTTTGCTATGTAACATTACAGAAGCACCCATGAAGTCAACCTTTTAAAAAAAAACAAAACCCTAAACGTTTAGCTTAGTGCATTCTTTCCCAATCTGATGTTCTAAAAATATTTTAAATAAGTTCTTTTTATGTGTTGTGAATTGATTTTCCCTAAATGTATCATTTATTTGTTAAAATATTAATAGACTACTATTTGATTTAAAAAATATCAAAGCTATTTACAACAGATGAGATGAGAATCCTTGCTGGCTTTGGAGCAGATAGACACTGCAGGTGGGGTGTAACTTCTGTATTAATGGTTTGCCAATTGGGACTAATACTCTTAATTTTTAAAAGGCAGAGGGGAAGCCTCAGTTTTCTCTCCTCCTCCTCAACTAATTTGGCCATTGTTTACTGGAGATACTAACATAACTACAAAGTAAATAGTAGTGGGGGGATAGATAAATAACTACCAGTTAATGGAGTCTGCTCCTTGTAAAGGTCGATATCCAATGGTGTCTTATTTTACCTCAGAAACAGTGGCTCTGTTTTGTAGGCCATGAACCAGAAATTACACATTCAAGGAATACTTCATTGAGAGCAATGCTTCTGCTGCAAATATACGGAATGCCAAGTGCCAGATAAAGGTTAAGCCAGAAGGGCCTGTCGGTATTTAGCCGTCTAAAAATAAGTCTTGCCTTCGCATACCAAATCCGCGTTATATCATTTTCCTCCATATTTCACTGTGACTGAGCACAAACAGAACACGTAGCAGAGAACTGAAGGTGGGGCTCTCTAGGGAAGCAACGGAAGCTTAGTTTCCTCTGGGCATTTCCACCCTCACCAACAGAAATCTCAAAAGGATCTCATTTATTTTTATGGAGGTGACCTTGGCAAGATGGCAGCATAGGAGTTCCGAAAGCCTAGAATGGTCTTCAGCTTGCATCTGGTTAAAAAAATAATAGTGAAGGGCACATCCACAGTGCTTCACCCATGATGACAATGTTAAAGCACCTCAATTGAAAGTATAAATCTGAAAGAACAAAAGAAGCTGGTGAGAGACAAGAAGAACAGGGGACGAGTGAAGGGAAGGGTGCAAAAGACAGATCTTGGAAGAAAAGTGCGGCTTTAGTGGCAGGATGATGCCATATTATAAGTACTGTAAGATCAGAGGAGGCTTTGCACCAACTGAGGTTGGGTATGTGATTATTTTTTTCATCATAGAACTGAGGGAGTATATGGAGTCTCACAGAATTTCTCCCATCACATATAACCACAAGCAAGTACGCTGATTTTTAAATAGGCATAGTTCATTTCCAAGCTGTCAATAGAGACACTTTCTTGTAAAGTGGAACTGCAAATGAAAAATAGTGGTTTTATTTTTCTCTGTCCAGTGGGCCAAGTCATCCCTGTCAAAAAGAGGTCAGAGCTGGCAAACCTGCTGGAGCTGGAAAAAGAATCTCCTCCCCACTGATGCCATCTGAGCTGCCAGTGACAATGTTGGGCTTTAAACAACACATAGAAGAAAGGAATAATCTAAATTATACTGTAATTTTCGTAGAATTTAAAGGAGTTCCAGTCATGGGAAGGAAAGCAAAAATATAGGCTCAGTACCTGCAGTTCAAGGTATCATGCCCCTTTTATAAAAACCTACTATGATTAGCTCCACAGTACAGTCATTTTCCTACTTCAAAGACTGCCTTGTCAGGACAACACTAAAGAATGTTTTAAAAGTGTGATGTATTTCTGGACAATACTGACAAAGCAGATTTTCCACACTCCTTCCCTATATTTCCGGCCGGCTAGATCTCCCTGCTTTTTACCAGCCAAAATTCCTTCCCCCTCTAGTGTTAAACCCTTTCGCTATTTGTAGATCTATGCTCACACACCAATATTCCCTTCTAGTATTTCCCCTTCAGTCATCTCTTCCAATTGCCTAATCACTAAAGTGGGGCTTGTTTTCAATGTTGTTTTCCGAACTCGCCGAACTTTAGCCCAGTATTTCCAGTGCTCGTAAGTTAATAAAGTACAACGAAATTATTCTAGCGAACTCTGCATGCTAAGAAGGCAATATCTCATCCCTCATCTTCATGAAGGACTGTTATATCCCTGTTACATGCCAGCTGTTGCCTCTGAAAATCTGAGCTAAATGCAGGGCGATAAAATTCATGGGTGATTTTTAACACACTCTCTCTCAACACACACATACACATAGCTGCAGCAGTGTAAAGAGCAGTGCTGAAGTACTTTTGGGGGTCCTGCTGGATCCTGCCTAGAGGTGTCAGATCTGTAGAAAAGACAACCAGGAGGACAGATCTGTAGAAATGTAAACCTATGAATTAGCAAAACGACCCAGAGCATTGCTATGACTAAGTCGCCCCGGGTTTAACTAGTCTACAATGCCAAGACAGCTGAGCATTTGTACACAAATCCTTGCTGCACAATGGGAATGTCATGAACACCCGGGATTATAATAAATCGTGTCACCTGGAATTAGAGCCTCTCTTCTGGTGCAAAGGCATGAAAAGCATTTGTTCAGTTCAGAATTCAATACAGTCGTAGCCTTGGTTAACAAGAGACTTGGGAGTCGAACGTTTTGGATCCTGAACGCTGCAAACCCGGAAGTGAGTGTCCCGGTTTGCGAACGTTCTTTTGGAACCCGAATGTCCAGCACGGCTTCTGCATCTTCCAATTAGCTGCAGGAGCTTTCTGCGGCCAATTGGAAGCCACGCCTTGGTTTCCAAACGTTTTGGAAGTCGAATGGACTTCCAGAACGGATTCCGTTCGGCTTCCAAGGTACCACTGTAATGGAAGTGGAAGGCTTAAAAAAAAAAAAAAAAGTTTGATGCAAATTGCTAGACTTGCTGCAAAGAATTTCATTCAACGTAAGATGGTTTTAAGATGGTTAACGCAGAGTTTGCCAAAAAGAGAAATATGCTTTTGAAACCTTTCCGCATACTATTTAGCTTCATCTCTGTCTTCCCTGAACACACCTTCTCAGTAATTAGACCAAATCCACAGGGCTCTATGTGACTTTGGAGAACCAGCTCAGGAACAGATGGAAGAAGAAACAAAGGCAACAACAAGGCAGTCTCTCGACTCTACTAGGATTTTAAATAGGAAAAGGAGAACTGCACTCACATTTCACAGATACAGAAATGTGTGTTAGGATGTGCTTGAATTCTTTTCTTCCGACAAAAACTCTTTGGTGTTGCAGGCTTAGGTTTCAGGCTGCAATCCTATGCATGCTTACCTGGGAGTAAGTCTCCTTGAACTGAATAGGCCTGACGTATGAATAGGCAGTCCAATAATTGAGTTCTGCTTTCCTAGTAACATGTGTTGTTCTTTAAACACTTGGACTATAGTTTGCGCTGTGCAGCGACAACAGCAAAGTCAGAAATGCTGAACAGCTGCAGTGCCAATGCAATGCTTGTCAGTTCAGCTGTAGAACAAGAGTAACATTTAAATGGTTTAAAAATCATCATTGTATCATAACAAAGGCACATGACCCCTCTTAGCACAGGAACAGAATGAGCACAGAGACAACTGCACTGTACTTTGTTCTACTATCAATGCACCAGGAAAAAGCAAACACCACACAGAGATGACACTATGGCGATGTCCACAGGGATCATCTGTCTGCTGTGGGAGTTGCTTGAACAATGGCTCCCCCAGAATTGAAAAGGGGAAATTGTAGCACAAAACCAATGTGAACACTGAATAGGTAACCAAACCGGTTAGCATCTATTCACTGCTGTAATATATACACTAATGAAATAACCCCAGCAGTGCCAGACAAACTAAGGCTTAGATCTGACAAACTGCAAGGCATAATTTATTAGTGAAACAATTTGACGATATTCCACTATTACTTGCAGTGAACTAACCATATCCCAAAGAGGTCACCCACCAAAAGTGGCAAAGTGTATATTTGAGCCCCTACTCCTTTTTTCACAAACTGGTAACCTTGTCTGAAATATCACAGAACACTGCCTGGATGAATATACAGTCGTACCTTGGAAGTCAAACAGAATTCGTTCCGGAAGTCCATTCGACTTCGAAAACCAAACTGTGGCTCCTGCAGCCAACTGGAAGCTGCTCCGGACGTTCGGCTTCCAAAAATGGTTCCAAAACGGGAACACTTACTTACGGCTTTCAATCGTTCAAGCCAATTTGCTTGGGAGCCAAGGTGTTGAGATCCAAGGTACGACTGTATCCGCACAATCAAGTGTGGATAGGGGTGAGCCACCATCTCATTGCTTGCGGGTGTCATTTTAGAGCAGAGGTATCCAACTTAATTCCCTCCCTAAGTTGTTTGATTCCAGCTCCCATCAGCCCAGCCAGCATTCCATCAGGGATGATGGGAACTGCAGTCAAAAAATTATCCAGAAGGAAACTCATTAGCTAGCCCTGTTTGGGAACACTGGCATAAACAGTTGCCATACTCAAAAGAAGAAGAAATGCTCCTAACAGGTTTATGTTAGATAAATCCAAAAGTGAAGTCACATTATTTGCATAAATATAAAAACAATCCATAATGCTATAGAATGTGTTAATCTTTGCAATATGCTATATTCAGATTCATAATAAATCTGAGAAATTTGGCACTCACATTCATCTACGCACAGTTGCAGATGTGGCACAATATGAGGGATTTCTCTCTCTATTATTTGCACTCAGCCATCGTCACGCTGTAGTTTGCACAACCGCAAAAAGGTGGCGCTGTAAACTACAATGTGAAGAGAGGCAGTGGATGGACAGCACAGGCTCCTTCATGCACACCCTATCACAACGGAGGGACAAGTTTGAACAGGCTGTGACAGCCCCCTAGCTCCTCCACCTGCCAGCCTCAGGGCCTCAGATCTTCCGGCCACTGCCTGATTTCCTCCTCACTGGTTGGCCTGGGCCTCTGCTGCTGCTACTAGCACTGACATGGGTTATCATTAAGAGCCAGCCTGGGCACAGAGGGGAAGAGGAAGCTGCCCAGAAGCAACAGCCAGCCTCAGCATCTGTGAATAGGATGAAGAGCAGCAGCAGCACAGGGACAAGAAAGTTGACCAGAAACAGCAGCTCTCCTCCCTTGGGATCCACTGTTACTGCTGCCACCACCAATCAACATGAAGAGTGGCAGGAGCAGCAGTGCAGGGGGAAGCCACCCAGAAATGGCAGCTAGCCAGTCTTGGGATCCGGAGCAGCATGGGGTGGAAAGGGGAATGTCTAATCTCTAATGGGTTACTGTGGGGAAAACTGGGGAGACTAGGGAGAGTGGGAGGGGAGGGTTGGTGAGCACAGTAGGCAAGTGTGCAGCCCCAAGTCTTAACTAGTTATAGTTTGCATCTTGCACCCAAGTAGACTTTAGATTTGAATGAAAAAGTTATTTACTGTGACATAAGCATCAAGAGTTTCATGGCTTGAACTGCTACTTCATGGTCCCTGTCCAGAGTCATGGACACAAGTCGATCCTAATGAATGCAAAAAAACATTAAGAAAGATGTAAAGGTTCTGTTCTGGAGGTCTTTGCTGAAGAAGTTATACTTTTTCGACAGACAGCATGCTTTTGAGATTACGCTGGCTTTTTCCATTTGATTAAGCTAGAGTAAAAGCTGCAAGCTGAGATGGTCACAATGAAATGCATACAGGGAGAGAGAAGAATAACTCCTTAGTGGCCCATATTTGAAAAGCAAATAAGCGTTGTGTTTGTGACATAGAACTCATGGCCCAGAACTGTTCCACAATTGTTTTTTAGTTTGGGTGGTGATTGCTCTGACTTGCAATGGATGGTTTGTAGCACCCCCTGCAGGCTTCAATATCAGAATTCTTCAGTTTAAAGGTGTCACTGATATCTCAAGTTGGGACAGTGAACGCTCAGGTTGCGAACGTGATCTCTGTGGGAGGCACGTTCACAACTCTCAGAGTTCACAACCCGCAGCGCCGCATCTGCGCATGCACGGGTTGCAATTCCGTGTTTGTGCACATGCGCGAGCCCCAAAACCCGGAAGTAACCCGTTCTGGTACTTCCGGGTTCAACGTGGTGCACAACCGGAAAACGCACAACCTGAAGCGTCTGTAAACCGAGGTATGACTGTAAATCCCAAATACATAGATGAGTCGCACTACTGCAGAGATAGTCAAAAGTATAAAAACACAGCTTCCCTTAATTGGGATCACTTTTTTTAAAAAGCACTTATAGTCTTTTCTGATAATAGTTCAATAGACTACATCATTAGAAGTTTTATTTTCACATTCCAAAATGGGAACTCCAGCCTTATTAATTTCCCTTCTGTTTTGTTGCTAACTGATCCATGTCACAGCAAACAAGACTGGAGTATGGCACAAAAATATATTAGAAACATTCCAATACTTGTCTATTAGTATATACATACAGAAAGGGTCCAAAATGTTCTACCTTTTTTTTACAGTAATTGGTCTCATGTGGTCATTGAAGACAAGCTTTATAAATGGGAATGGGTTGTCTGTACTTTAATTAGGAGTTTTTTTAAAAAAAAATAAATCTCCAAGAAAAAGGAGCGTCCTCCCTTTTGTAGACTATGACTCCAGACTATGATTCAAAGTCCCCACTGATTCAGTCTTGGATCCTGGCATTCTTGACTACAAAGTACCAAAACAACCTGTGAACAGTGACATATGCTAGCAATGCACACAATGTTTCACGTCTCTGCACAGCAATTCAAATAAAGTTGATGAAAACGAAAGACAAGGCTCCAAATGGGTTGTGTTCATATGAACCTCTCTCTAAATAAGAACCTGCTTTTCCAAGCCTGCTTTCTGTCCAAAGAGGAATACTAAACCAAGTCCGATCTGCTCCGATCTGTCCTCTTTCAATGTGGCAACATGATCAGGGCACTATCCTTTAAGGCCTCTTGCCTGAGAGTCAAGGAATCTCCATTAGTGTTAAATGAATGTAGACTGGAGATCAGGCGGTCATCGTAACTTTGTGCAATTAGGAACAGCTTTCCAGCAATAATGGCAAAACCACAGCATGCCTATCCCACGGAGCATACATGTAAAAAGGAAGGCTTGCATCTTCCAACTTCACAGATTGGTTATGTCTGAAGCATAGACTAAAGCTAGTTTAACTCACCTCCTTTTCCCAGAGAAGCCTGGGAACTGAATTCTTGCGAGGAGCCCTAGCACCCTGGCCAAACTAAAACTCCCAGCATTGGATCACGGGCAGAAGGGAAACCATGTCATTTAAAGTCGCCTATATACAATATACCCTTGTATATCAGCTATAAAACACTTCCCATTTAAAGTTACATGTAATTTACATCTTGTACACCATTGATAGGCCTAAAGTGATACAGGAGTCAGGGTTCAGTTTTGAAAACGATCAGCCCTCCAAGGCAAACCAACCAGAATATTCAATCTGAGAGACACTTATTGTTCAAGCTCACCTTGAACCTGCAAGTGAAGAGATCCATTTTACAACCCAGCGCTTTCTGGCCAAATATTCCCTGCAGGCCCTGAAGGCACTTCAGTCGGACGTCAGGTTGCTGGAATACAAGATGAAATAGAAGATGAAGTTCACAGATGAGACTATGCAACTACTGGAGTTATTCAAAGGACAAAAAAAAAAATTCAATTGGCACTTGGCGAACATTTTCCCCAAACTATGACCTTTATGCAACCAACAGAGCACCATTCATGCACAAAACTGAGGTATCAGCAGGCTTGAGGTAACCCTGACAATTACAGAACTACAAAAATCTGCAGCGGGGTGGGTGGGAATAAGAGGGAAACAAACCTCCCCAAACAGTCTGATGAGGGCTGATCACACTCAGTGGCCACCCAACAGGATATGCCTACTATGAAAGGAAAGGAAGGAATGGAAAACCAGAGCAGAAAGAGGAATGGGGACTGGGAGATAGTTGGCTAGCTGGTTCGAACCCTGAACAAGAGCACTCGACGCTGCAATGTTTTGTTGCAGGTCCCACTTGTGCATATGAGTAGCAAACTCAGGAGCTCAGATGTGATCGCTTGTGTATGCTCTTCGCAATAAGCACCTTCTGCTCACTCAGAGAGGTATTTACAGTTCTTTGTTTTACATATGTAGAAGCAGCATAGTACAATCATGCATCCGAATCGTCGGGTTCAGATTCGGGGAGTGGTCTTCTCCGGCTTCTCCTCCAACAGAAAAGGCGGGGAAGCTTCATGGGACGTCTCTTGTGCTTTAACCCTCTCCTTTCCTGTGCAGAAGGCACAGGCATAATCTCTCCCGTCTGCTCCTGAACTTCCTGTGCAGTGCTGGGGCTCTGCTTCAGCATCCGAGAGCCTTCCCACCTCCTGGCTCTCTCCCTCTTCCCCTTCCGTCACTTCCTCTGTGTCTCCTTCTGACTGTTCTGGCTCTGACTCATCTCCTCCCTCCCCCCCCCGCCCCCGGCCGACTCAAAGGCGTTTCTTGCCAGTCCCGTGACATCAGGTGGCTATGTAATCGAAACAGGATTGCGAAGAAATAGCAGCAAGTGATTAGAACACTCTGGGGAACCTCAGGGAAGTAGAGGGGAACTCTTTAGGGGTTTTCCCTAAAGGGGCAAAAAACAAATAAACCCCAACCTGTATCCTATATGCACTTTCCTGGAATCAATTGCCACTGAATTCAACGGGGCTTACTCCTGCCTCACTCAAGGCACATATACTATTGTGTTCAATTGTTGCAACAAAGTGCTGTACTTTAAAAGCAAAATAAAAGAAGAATGTCTTTTCAACAAAGAAGAGTTGTCATGCAAGGAATCTATAAAGCCATAGGTGTCTGTGTATTTCAAAATTAAATTAAATTAGTGGCATGGCAACAAAAGTAGATTTTGTGTTCCTTTATGGTCACCAAGAGGCCTCTGCTTTTTCAAAGTAAAAAACCCTGTTTTTTAGCATGGTTTTAACAGTTTTAGAATGCTTCCTTTTAAAAACTTCAGATGTGTTCATTGCCCTGGACTCTTTGGGGAGGAACAGAGGGATACAAATTCAATAAATAAAAATGTTCGAAAGATGAACACTCACCCATTTATTATGCAGTGCTCTGGGACATTACTGCCCTTGTTATATTTTAACCTACTTCTTATAAACCTCAGTTTCATGTAGACACCTATCTGGATGACATGTACTACTTTGCATGTTTAGATTAAGGTGGATGCATAAATGCTTATTATATTTTTATTGTAGGCTGATGGGTTTCTTTTTTCTTTCCTCTCACTCTTCCCCTCTCATTCTTTTTTAAACCCTCCTTTCTTTCGTTATTATTTCAAATATCAATTAAAAAGAAATCACTTTTTCAACTTTTTGGGATTCTGCCTGTGAAAAACAGATTGCGTTAACTTTTTTCTCAACTGTCGAGGGAAAAAAATACTCACTTTATCATACAGCATCCATCCTATGTATTTCAAGTAACTATCCGTTAAGAACCGATCAGGATAAGTTGTCATCCAACAGGCAATTTCTTCAATGCAAATGGCCCGGATTTCTGGAATAATATCACTTTAAAATAAAATAAAAATGGAACACTGTTCACTGTTTAATTGCAATACAGATTTTTGTTAAGGAAAAAAAATGCAACAGAACAAAAGTATTCTTGAAACGTTATTTTAAAAATTCTATTACTTGCTATCACTTAAGCAATATGTGAGGGCAGGCAGTAGAATGTGTGAACATTCTATCAAAAAGTACTGTGTTTGGGGCCATGCAAAGTGACATGAAACCTTCAATCACATATGCAGGACCATTACTTGATGTTGCAGAATATGCATATTCTGTGACGGAGCCCCAAGGAGAATGAATCCCATCAACCAGTCTGTCCTTGAGATGCCCATATCCTGACCAGAGACTCCTTCCAAGTACATAAAAGTTTCTTACCGATAGCGTTGCAAAAAGGTCCCTTTGAAAATAGCATTCATCATGTTCTCTATGTCCAGGTGTTTCTGTTCATACTGAAATGAAAACAATTGAACAGTCTCTTCCTATAGGCAAGGCCTTATTTCTATGCTTAATCTCATTTCACTGAAATTGCACAGATTAAATACCACATCATTTTTTTCCAAATTGAGATATAATGAAAGGTTGGAAGGGATAAGGATACAAGAGAAGCTAGTTATATATTTTTTTCCTTTCCTCAATAACTCAACTAGAATACCTGCTTCATCACTAATATTTATTTAACCTATTGGTTCACATCTTAATTTTCACTTGTAAATGAACAGCGGAACAACAGGGCTAATGTTATCCCATAATCAAATGTAATGCTTGCCTGTACAATTTTTTACACTTAATTAATCAAAACTGTGATTACTGTGGTAATCGGCTTGGTTCTATGTTCTAAGTATAGATAAAGACATAGCCTTGTGTGTGAGGGGGGGAGCAGGAATACTTGTTTTTTTCCTTTCAAAAATGGCTGAAAGCAAGGCCAAGGGTTTCAGGGTGATCTCGCTCTCCAAGATGCAGGAAAGACTGGAACAAGATAAGGATGGATGCTGGGGTTGGAGGAAGAAGATGTGTGTAAACACTGACAACACAGCTGATCAGATGCAACTGCTGAACTTTGGATGGCACAGTTAAAAAAAAACCCTTCAGGAAAACAGTCCAGACAGCCACAAACAAGACTGTTGGAACTAAGAACAGCTCTATGGGGAAATTCCCCCTTAAGGAGCAAAGGACCATGTCAGCACCTGGTGGGGGCAAGGAATTATATTATTATTACTTATTATTATTATTATTATTATTATTATTATTATTACTACTACTACTACTACTACTACCCCACCCATCTGGCTGGGTTTCCCCTTTTTATTAATAATAAAAAGTGATAAAACTTCAAACATTAAAAAGGTCTCTAAACAGGGCTGCCTTCAGATGCCTTCTAAAAGTCAGATAGTTGTTTATTTCCTTGACATCTAATGGGAGGGCGTTCCACAGGGCGGGTGCCACTACCGAGAAGGCCCTCTCCCTAGTCCCCTGTAGCTTCACTTCTCACAGTTAGGGAACTACCAGAAGGCCCTCAGAGCTGGACCTCAGTGTCCGGGCTGAACTGGGCTGGGTGGAGATGCTACTTTAGGGAATAGGAGGGCATGCCAAAAAGACAAAGCAAGTCGTGGTTATGTCTAGGGGGTAGTGGCCATCGAACTCCAGAACCATATAACAAGCCAACTCCACCTCACAACAAACTAGAGATCAAACAGCATGTGTACACCTGAACTCCAGCCTTGGGAACAGAGTCAGATAAAACTAAAGGCTGGCCACTTTTAGGTGTGTGGTTGTAAATACGCATGAATTAGGACTGTAACAATTTTTAAAAAATTAGGAAACCCACTGCTAGCTAAGAGCTCTGTTTAAGTGTGGTAACCAGAAGGATTGTTACTGGAAATAAAGGAAGCTTCATTTAGAAACTTTACTTGGGGAAAAAATCCTGTGGTCTTAGGTCTTCCCCCACCCCCCCACTGGAGTCACCCACTACCAGGTAAAGTGGTCTGATTACTCACTAAAGCAAAGGCTATTGGATAACTTTGCGATCCTCCACCCAAGTAATCCATGCCTTTCCACACCACAAATGCCATCTTGTTTCGGGATTGTCACACTCTGAGTGAATACACATGACTGGCACATGAGTTTTGAGAGTCTTTAGGGGGCCCTGTACCAGTATTCAATGCAACCTTCACATTCTAGCACCATGTTGCAATATGGTGAAACAAACAACACTATGCCAATCAGTTATTCAGAATTCATTTCCTCTCCTTATATTGGGAGAATAGGAAAACGTTTGGGGTGAGCCGCTCACTGCCGACCACCTCAAATTGAAATCCAGTAACCAGCAATTACAAATAGGCATTTTTACAAACTGTCATCGATTTCCAAGGGGAAATTTCTCCTACCTCTTTTTTCTTCTTCTCTAGCTGGTCCAGTCTAGTATTGGTCCTTTTGCCTGTAGTCCTGCTTTTTTCTACCTCGTATAATCTTTCCAGGTTATGCTTGCTGACATCTATACTTACAATGAGGTTTACAAGTGCTGTTAGAAGCTTCATAGCTGGAAACAAAGAAAAATCCATAAATTTTATGTGTTTCAAAAAACTTTTTTGAAGTAGTCATTTTGCTTCATTGCTTGATCAAAATCATGGATGTGAGTTGTATAATTTGTATTGGTTATGGAATTATTTTCTTTTCTTGGAATAAAAGTAATGAGTTCTTGGTCCCTTTTTTTTACTTAATATTTTGGCAGAGGTTTATTTTACAATACATAATCAGGAACTCCTAATGTGATTAAAACATGGCCAGTGACTACTTTATATATTTGTTAATGTTTATCTTGAAGTTTTGCAGTCACTACCGAGTAAACTATACTCTGAAACTTCCCACAATAGTGACCCGAACAGCTGAAATGAGAGATGTGGGGAAACTGGCAAGGTCTCCTTTTTTAACTGCTGCAGCGCTGTGATCGGAAAAGCTGCACCATACAAAAATCAGGCTGACAGGAATAGACCTGCTGACAACCTATCCCTGCTCAAACCCTACACCAGGCATGTCCAAAGTCCATTGTGGGGGCCTAATCCGGCCCACCAGTCAGTTTAATCCGGCCTCTGTGGCTGTTTATTTCCTGGTCGGCCCTTTGGTCGGTCCTCAGGGCCCTTCACTTCATCAAATCTGGCCCTCTTAAAAGTTTGGACACTCCTGCCCTACACCTTAACCGGCTTCGCCAGTACAAGCTACCAAATGTACTACTTCTGAAAAATCATGACAGGTCCAGTTGTGCCTACCTGCTAATGTGCTGGTGTGCCGGAATGCTCTGACCATGGACTCTGCCAGGCCCGAAAGGAGAGAGATGATGGTGTCCATCAAATAGTTGTCATAGAGGATGCTGAACTGACACTGCTGCACCAATACGGAAGTGAAATCGCAAAAATTAGTCCTGAACTTCTTCCAGTAGGGCCCTGCCTTCACGAGCGGGTAGTCCTTATCATCCTACAAGAGGTGTAAAACAAGTTGTTAATTAAATCTGTATACCGCCTGATACCCACAGGTCTCAGGGTGGTTCACAGGGTAAAATCACAATATAAAAACACAAAATACATAATCAAAATACAAAACCAGAAACCACCCAACAACCCCCTATGACAAAAACTTATCCTACTTATTTATCATGATTATTTGAGTTATTGCCCACCCTTCACCATAAGAACTTCCGAAGGCAGTGGAATGACCAAGAGTGCACCCTCTGCTGATCTTAACACCAAATACGTTCTGTAAGGAAGGAAGGAATCTTTCACTTTTTTTGGTGCCTACATCCAACGCTAATGTGAGCACCTTGGACTCAGGAACAAACTAACATCCACAGTGCAGCTGTTTCAAAACAGATATTATGGGAATTGTAAAAGGGACCACAGGAAGTAGTAATCTGGCTGCTGCATTTTGGACCAGTTGAAGTTCCTGAGTCATCTTCAAGAGTGGTTCCATATACAGTCTGGAAGTTCACAGAGCATAGAGTACAGTGACCAAGTGTATGGGAAATGCATCCAGAAGACAAAAATGTACCAAAGAGTTAGTGATCTGACACGGTTACCCTTCCTGCCTGTTCCTTCCCCCAAGCTCACTGCACAGAATAATACAGTCGTACCTTGGAAGTCGAATGAAATCCATTCCAGAAGTCCGTTCGACTTCCAAACGGTCGGAAACCAAAGTATGGCTTCTGACTGACTGCAGGAAGTTCCTACAGCCAATTGGAAGCCCCATCAGTCGTTAGGCTTCCAAAAATAGTTTGCAAACTGGAACAGTCACTTCCGGGTTTGTGGCGTTCAGAAGCTAAAATGTTCAAGAACTAAGCTGTTTGAAAACCAAGGTAGGACTGTACTGTACAAGAGATTAGCACTGTACTAGAAGGATCCTCTGGTCACTACATTTTGTAAGAGTGTGTTCCATAGTTTAACTACTTCCGATTTTCAGCTTCACTAGATAAACTCAAGTTCTAGTGCTGTGAGCAAGAGGAAAGCTTCTCCCCATCCTCTTCTGATGCACATGGAATTCTGTACAAGTTACTTTCCATGCACAGAACTAATACGGCTAAAAGCCAGCCCAAGCAGCAGCTGCCACCTTAGCCCTCATCATCAGCTCGGAGAAGGACTATACTAGCTTCAGGCTTCAGCACTGGAACACTACTTCCCACATCTCCCTCTTCCCTGCACTATGACGGCTGAGGGTGGCAGTCTGATCCAGGAATATAATCAAAGGAGCACTGCCTAGGTCTTAAGTTTCGCAACAATCCTCACTGATTGTCTGTGTTTTGCCTCCTTGCATGAAGGTCATTCTGGACTATTTGGTTAAAGGGAAGAGAGCTGAAGAGTGCTATGCAACTCAGTGGAAAGAGGAAGCAGGAGACATTGCTAATAATTTTGCAAAACGGGTAATAAATGAATAACTAGAGCACTCCCGTTGGGAGTTTTACACATCTCAAAACTGGCTTATGCTCACAGAAAGACCCTGGAATCAGTTTTGGGATAGGTAAAGCAGCGAAAAAACCAGCCTTGTTGAAGCTTGATCTGGCCTGTGACTGGATAGGATACACCCTGGGAACCCCCAGTACCCTATCATAAGTTCCAATGGAAGAGAGGCAGAATATAAAAGAAATGCAAAGCGTTACCATATCCACTGGCCAAGTAACCGTCAAGATCCAGGGATAGGCCATGAACTTTTTATACTGCAATCCAGTTGCCTACAAGATATAGAGAGGCAAAACAGAATTGAAGCAACAGCATTGCCAAACAAATATAATTGACAGGAATAAACAAGCACAGTAAAACCCAAATTTTTAAGGTTCACCGTGACCTCATGTGCAAAGCTGTGTGCAATAGCTAAAGTCAGCTAAAGGGTAGGCTACTTGTGCACAGTGCAACACCAATAAAGCTAAGGATCTGGGTGACTGAACAAAGCTTTCATTCCTTTGAGAGTAAGTGGGATCAGATGCTGTTATCCTTGTGCCAAGCTGATACCCACTGTAGCACATAATACCTCCCACTCCACACAGTTTGGCCAATCATGTATTTTTGCCTGAAAAGCAAAATATATGGATCTGCCTTCTGCACACACATATAGACCCTTTGTTTGTACTCTTGCAGCATGAGCAGTTAACCATTTTGCCAACTGGGAAGCTGGTTTAATATATGACAATGTTCCGAACTGGCAGAGTTTCCCAGCTTGGACAAAACATAAAATTGTGTTTAATTAGATATTTCCAAGTTTAGATATTGCATCGTTTCTTTTAAGATGCATTATATCTATTGATGGGAAGTTATATAAAATTAAACAGTGTTTTTATGGTTTAAGGTTGTTGTTAAACCACTATGATATAGTTATACAATGCAGCGGTGAGTGTGTGTACGTATCTATATATCTATCTATATATTTACAAAATAAACAATTTAAGACTTCTGAATAAGCTTATCTACAATCAGCAGCTTAAAAGTGTTCTCATACAAGCAGAACCCACCTCATCAAATGTCTCTGTCATTTTCTGCATCACATCGCAATTCTGCGAACTTTGGAACATTTCTGCCGTTACCATTCCTACGTAAGTAACCATAGAAATAAAAATTTAACTGAACAAAGTATGCCAGCATAGAGACAAACTCTCTTTTAAAACAAGGTCTCTGAATATACATGACTCTAAAAGCCAGGAATTCCTTCCTGGGTTTGGGAAGGAAACCACAAGGGTTCCAGAACCTTGCCAAAGTCCTCATGCCTCTTTTCCCGAAGTCCATCACCAGGGAACCTGTGATCACAGCTTTCCGTGCATGAGATGTGTGTGTAAATAAATAAATTGAGAGTGGACATCCTCTGCCCTTCATTTATCAATGTATTTTTCCCCACCCAGGAAAAGCTGTGATCATGTATGTGAAATAAGCACATGATGCGAAATACCTGTAATAATATTTCTAGCCAGTCAGGAGGTGGAGGAGAGGAAAGTGGGGGGGGGGTCAAATGCAACACTTTTGGGGGGGTCTCAGATGGGAATGTGAAGGCCTAGAAAAAAACCTAGACGGAAATGGAAATGGGGAGAGGGAGTCTCAAATTGTTCCAAGTCTCCCCCACCGCCCAGCTTTCACATCGTCAGTCCCAGGCTCATTCCAATCGATGCTTGCAGTAGCAGGCCATCAGTGTGGACCATAGTTACTTTCTGATGCATTAAGTTGCTGCCAGTAACCAACAAGGAGAGAGGAAAGGCAGCAGAGAGGTCACTGTGGTGTTGGCGCAGTGGCAAAGCCAATCCAACATTCCCACCGCTACGCCTGCACCATGCCAGCCTCCCTGCCGCATTGCCCCTCTCCCTCTCTGTTACTGGCAGTGACCTCCACCTCAGGAAGCCAATTAAGCAACACCGCCCCCACCCTACAGGGTATAACCATATGCACACAGTGCTAAAACTAAGAATAGCTAATGCAGTGCCATCTATTTTTGAACTCCCAGGATCCCTGATCCCGCTTGCTGAGGTTGGTGGAAGCTGCTCTCTTACAACATCTGGAAGCACAGTGCAGCCTCCCTCTGTGCTAAAAAACCAACAGTTCAGCGTTTCATGTGAACGCAGCCAATATTTTTAACTTTCCATATCTCATTTTAAATGTGTGACTTATTCTCCAACCACCGGTTAAGACAGCTTTTAAACACAACTATTTGTACTAGTGGGACGTGGGTGGCGCTGTGGGTTAAACCAGAGCCTAGGACTTGCTGATCAGAAGGTCGCGGTTCAAATCCCCGCGACAGGGTGAGCTCCCATTGCTCGGTCCCTGCTCCTGCCCACCTAGCAGTTTGAAAGCACGTCAAAGTGCAAGTAGATAAATAGGTACCACTCCAGCGGCAAGGTAAAAGGCGTTTCCGTGCGCTGCTCTGGTTCACCAGAAGCGGCTTAGTCATGCTGGCCACATGACCCAGAAGCTGTACGCCAGATCCCTCGGCCAATAAAGTGAGATGAGTGCCGCAACCCCAGAGTCGGTCATGACTGGACCTAATGGTCAGGGGTCCCTTTACCTATTTGTACTAGTGGTTATGCTCATCTATCTATTTTCTCCACTTCTTCTCCTCTGCATTTCTACTCTACCTTTCTGCTTCCACAGCTCTAAATTCAGAACCCGAGTTGTATGGAATAGCCACATCTTAGCAAATGCATGCCAGATTCTGAATTAAGAGGATCCCCAAACAGGAATTAGCTTCACACACACACACACACACACACACACACACACACATCGTTGCCCTCAGAAAGCATGGGAATAAAAAATTACCTCGGCAACCTGAGCACTGGATGAAGAAGTTGATGAGATCCAGAAGTGCCACATCTCGATCGTTTTTGTAGGCTTCAATCCAGTCATCTACCACAGACTGAACCACATTGCAAAAAGGCAACAGATTAAAAAACTAGAAACAGACAGTACCAAACTCCCGCATAACCTTGGAAGCTGATGTACCTGCATAGCGCTTTTGCCCATGATGACCACCTCAAACAACGTAACTGCTTCAACCACTTCTCCATTTTGCAGCTGGTTTGGCCGTCTACCATCTGAAGGGTGTCTTCTTCTGTTTTCACATTGTTCTCGGATTTTTCTCTTACCTCTCTACAGCAATAAAGCGTTAAGTGGCTGTATGAATGAGCTATCACGGGTCACAGTCAGAAATCTCACCTTACTTTAAACACAATGCCCCTCTATCATTTCTGAAGCTAGACACAGGGACTCATGCTAACATCTTTACATTGTAGGAGCTAGGATTGTGGTGCTTAGCATGCGCTCTCCAAATGAAGATTGTAACCATGTGTCCAAATGCCTGAAATCATGCCCGCACACTCAGAAATCAAATGGAATGGTCTCCCTCGAGATGTTGTGGACTCTCCTTCCTTGGAGGTTTTTAAGCAGAGGTTGGACGACCATCTGTCATGGATGTTTTAGCTGAGTTTCCTGCACTGCAGGGGATTGGACTAGAATTCAGTGTTGGCCAAACTTGGCACTCCAGCTGTTTTGGGACTACGACTCCCATCATCCTTAGCGAACAGGACCAGTGGTCAGGATGTTGGGAATTGTAGTCCCAAAACAACTGGAGGGCCAAGTTTGGCCACCACTGGACTAGATGAACCTTGGGGTCCCTTCCAACTCTACAATTCTATTATTCTATGGTGAACAGGCATGTGTCAAGTCAGCCATCCCTTGCGGAGTAAATTCACTTACATTATATGCAACTTAATAGCAAATAATTTCAACTGCATATACTTCAATCAGAGGGAAACTGCAGAAACATAAAAGTAGTAAGGAAAACATGGGGCATCTAGTCCAATTCCTTGCCCTTTCTTTCGTTCTCTCTCCCTCTCCACAAATGTGTGAATGTCTGGAAATTCATTGGTGAACGATGATACTCAGTGACACTCAACATTCATTTATGTATACCTAGAAATTGTAAGGCGGGAAGAGATCTATTTATGGGCATGCACAAATATCATGTGAGATTGTTTGCGTTGGTATGGGACTACTGACATTCAACAGTTGTAGACAATATAAATCATTGTTGTAGACAATATAAGTTGTAGACAATATAAATCACCTGTATACCCAATCCAACCCTAAGTTCTGCGTACAATACAACAAGATCCCGGGAAGCACATTCCTTCTCCTGTCCACTTAGTGAAATTATAGAACATAACAGAAACTTACAAAAGTTTTAACATTGCCATTTCTCAAGCAGCTGCCGTTCTGCACTGTAGATTCAGAGACAACCTCCTCATGGATCCCATTTTCTCTGAGTCATTAGAGAAAGAAAAAGAAAGATCGTTTGAAGAAAGAGAGCAATCTCTATTGAGTTGCGGGCTTTAAGAACTGTTATCCTAGAGTTCCCTCCACACGTCCTTTATTTTGTGTATTCATGATTATTAACGCTCCTGATGGTATCAAGGTGGTTATATGTGATGCTTCTTTCAATACTGTTTGTGCCTGTAAAAGTTCTGGGGTGGACATACAGCTTTGTTTGCAATCAGTGCACGTTCTGTAGTTTCCTGCTGAAATCCTGTAACTTTTCATACCATAAATATTCCAGGGGTGTGTGTCCTATTTCTGTCACATTCTAGTGCAAGAGTGCTCCCTCCAGATGGCAATAATATGGTAACATGGGGAAAGCATCACAGAATAACCAATCAAGTTTAATGATGTGCACACAGTCTAGTACAAATCCACTGATAACAAACTACTGTTACACCAATGACATGTTGCAGAATATACCCACTTAAAAAAAAAAAAATCACCTATCTGGAGGGATGATAAAACTGCAATCCTATACAATTATTTGGGAATAATTAAGTTCTGATGAACTCCAGTTCATCAGAACTTAATTATTCCCAAATAATTGTATAGGATTGCAGCATTATCATCCCTCCAGATATACATATACATATACATATACATATACATATACATATATATCCTATATATATATATATATATAGGATTGCACTGTAAGGTTCTTTTGAGGACCAAGTTGCTACTTAAACTGACTCAAAACCCCTGAAAGGAAATGCTGAATATTAGGAGCTAATATTTTATCAGTTTTTAGGGTTTTTTTAATGTTTTTCTTTTTACAGGGGAAACAAATTAGTTGTCTTGTGTTGTTGCAACTATAGGCAACAAAGGGCCAAACTACACGTTACACAGAAGTCACAACTTCTTATGAATGAAAAGCAACTGCAGGAAACTGCAATCAGGAGCAAAGGGGATGCTGAACCCCTTCCCTGCTTTTTGTCCATTAAAAATTTCCACCAGTCACTTTTTTTTTCCCCACGGAGAAAAAGATATATGTTCCCTTATCATTTTCCCCGTGGGAGACAAAACAGCTTCAAGAGTGGATGTGAAATCCAATGTAGCACAAGAGAGCTTCAACTTACTCTTCTCCCCCTGCAGTCTCCTGCTTGCGCTCCCCCAAAATCTGATCCGTAAGGTTCGGGGACTGTCCAGAACAGATTTTGGAGACACATACGGTTGGAGAAGAAGCTAAACTGGAAGTCCCATTGCACGTGTTGATTTCTGTTGGATGCTGCCCAGCATTTCTTGAACAGACAAAAAGCAAAAGATGTCAGGGTTAAGCAGTCACTCTACCACTTCTACTTTTTATTCATAATATAAATAAACAGGAAACTGTTTACATATTTCCTTTGTAACATCTAGTCTGTTGCATACTATGAAACCATGTCAATGATGCCACTTTGAAATTCACTATACCCTAAAGATTTTTTTTTTGGGGGGGGGTTGTTAAATAATCCCAATCACAGAAACTTTTTTGGTCTACCTTCTTAAAACAAAACAAAACCTATCCTTTTTTCAAGTGAATTAGAGTTCTATAAAAATTTCCCAACCTCTGCATGGACAAACACACAGGCTAGCTTACTTGTTTGGGCTTGTGCTGTCTATTAAGATAAAGAAAGAAGTAGCAAATCCAGACACTGCCTTCCTCACTCAAATTAGCACTAATAAATGCCAATGACTCACATGATTTTTACCCTAGCTTTCCTCACTTCTTCCAGGAGATGCTGTTCCAATAGGGTGAATGGATCACTGCCCCACCAACCTCAGTCTGCCCTCAACTAGCCCCCAACCTGTCTGCCTTCTTTCTTAAAATTGTCACCTTCCACCCTTAGTCTCTGTGACATCCTTATAGAACTCAACGGAGGTGAAGATGGGTGTAAACCTAGCATTAGTTCACCCTGCCTTGTTGATGAATTTTGGAAGACAGTTGGTAGTTCACCACACCTCAACCAGTGTGATGTATCAGACGAGCATGCAGTGCCCCAGGAGAGCCTTTAGAGATTATCTGCTCCCAGCAGAACAGCTTCCTCCAGAGTCCCCAGTTAAGGGGGAAACTCCTCTCCCATACTGCTCAAAGTAGCAAAGTGATTGTTGCCTCCAGGGACAAGACAAAGCTAAACACTACTATCTACTATATACTGTCCCTTCTGGTCTTTGAACAGATCCACAAACACTATCACCATGCTATCTAACACTGCTGTGTAAAAAAACAACCACCAGCCTCTTCCCCTGACTCTCAGAGATTCAGAGTCAGACCCTAGAACAAGGATGTAATGAGATACATGCCCTACAGACTATTATGTCTGCCTCTACGTTCCTGAACCAATGGGAGGGTGAATGATTCTGCAAGTCATAAACTCGACCTTGCTGGTGTTGATAGGGTAACTCAGGGCACCTGGCACTCTTATCTCAGAGCATCCAGAATGCACAGGGGATGTGCTAACTCAAGACATGGGTCAAACACTCTGTAATTTAACCCACTGCTCACATTACACCAAGATGCTGGTCAGTGGTTCTGGCTTTGCCTATCTTTGGCCTTCTCGTCCAATGGGCACCAGCCACCACTACTTCTGTCCACATGCAACTTTACACGTTACATATGTCTCAAAGCGAGAAGTGCTTACATACTTCGCAGCTATTCAACCAAAGCAAAATAGGAGAGGGTATACGCTTTACATCATGGGGCCGTGGGGCGGAGAGGGTATTTAACTCTCCATCCATAAATCAGTCTCTAGCTTCCTTTAACCTCTGCTTCACAAACTGAACATACAAACACAAGTCAAAGCAGGGGTCAGCAACCCATAGGCCATATCTGGCTCACCAATGCTTTTCTTCCAATTTGTACAGCATGTGCTGCTGTCTGAAGGAGAAATGGGAGGAAATGCTTCTGACAGGGGAAAGGCTTTGCAAAGTAGGTGTAGCCTATAAGCCTTCTGCTGCCTTCCTCCAAGTTTAAAAAAACAACAACCTGCCATACCAGGCTAAAAGTTAGGGTAAAATAGTCCCACAACCAAAACCAGATGGCTCAACTCCCACTGAACTTTGACCCAAATGCAGGGTACTCAGAAAAAGTTGGAGAGCAACACTGCATGAGCCAGCCATGCCAAGCTAGAGTTTGTGGCTAACTCTTGCTGGGAACATAAACCATGGTCTGAACTTACAAATCTATAGGCAAACTGTGGTTTAGAGGCCACTTGATTGCTACCATTTTGCATTTGGCCAGCATTCCACTTTTTATGGAGGTACCTGCACAAACTACTTTTCCCGTCACTCAACTTCCGAGTCAGTTTTGATGATTTGTCAATTCAGACATTATATTCAACAACTTTGGAGTTTGTCCTGGCAACCCTAAATTATTCTAACTCAACCTTCTCCAACCTGGTGTTATATTTTATCCTAGCAGATTCCTTCTTATTTTAACTCTGATCTTATTAAGTTTTGCTGGTGTTGTTAAATGTTAAGATATATTAAACATGAAACGATATAATTGTATCATATTAAAATTATAAACTGACAAGCAACATTTTTAACGTATGAGCACACACACACCACTCCAGACCACTAAAAAAAAACCCAACGGGAAACACGTGCCATAAACTTCTCAATAAAAACAACAAGGTAAGTTCTGTACGTTACTGTCAAAAGTCTTACTTGTGGTTGGGAAGATTAGCAACGGAATTGGGCTCTGCTATCATTTTCACTACATCCTCTCAGCAGCACAGAAAGCAAGTCATTCTGATCAGACGCTTCATCGTGAAAAAGAATATTTGCAACAGCAATTCAAATTCATTTTCTTCAGCTCTCTTCAGAACAGCAGAACTGTACAATTTTTTTTAAAAAGAGCAGACAATACATACCATAAAATTACAATATGATATGTTAATAGCAGCAGTTCAAAAATATAACAGTAAAATTAAATTTTAGCAACATGGCTAAGAGGAGAATCTAATCGGCATTACTTACAATCCCACAAGACAAAAGTCGCTGAAATAATAGCATTTCTGAAGACCAGCCATCATTCAACATGCAGTATGCAATCTTTTGTGTTACACAGAAATCATTATTGAAACATAACCAGAGATTACACTATTTCGCAACATTATTAGGTCAATCATTCATTAATTTCATTTGCATGCCACTCTCCCACAAGAAAAATCCTGCTCAAAGCAGCTTACAACAAAGAAAGAGGAATGCATTTCTCCCAGGCCTCTGGTTAAGTGGGAGGGTTACTGTTTTTGTTTGATACTATGTTATGCATTTTTGTGTTCTTATATTGTAAACTGCCCCTGTGATCCTCAGAGGAAGGGCAGCATAAAAATTAAATAAATAAATTTTAAAATTGAGACAAACACTACAGAACAATTTCATAGTAACGCAGCAATAATTTCATAACATAGTGTATGTTATAGTAAAACAGTAACATAGTTTTCTTCATAGATACTTTGTGTCTTAAGACAGGAGTGGTAGTACAGTACAGTGGTATCTCGGGATGCGAACGGGATCCGTTCTGGAGCCCCGTTTGCATCCTGAACAGAACATAAGACGCGACTGAGCATCTGCAAGTGTGCAGGTCGCGTTTCGCCGCTTCCGCGCATGCGTGTGCCATCATTTTGACCATCTGCGCATGTGCAAGCGGCGAAACCCAGAAGTAATGTGCTCCGTTACTTCCAGGTTGCCACGAAGCGCAACCCGAAAATACTTATCCTGAAGCATATTTATCCCGAAGTATGACTGTACGAACTTAATCCGTTCCGGAAGTCCGTTCTTAAACCAAAGCATTCTTAAACCAAGGTGTGCTTTCCCATAACAGCGGGGGACTCAATTTACAAACACTCTCAACAGGAAGCAAAACATGTTCTGCTTCCGAGGCAAAGTTCACAAACCAAAACACCTACTTCCGGGTTTGCAGTGTTCTTAATCCAAGTTGCTCATAAACTAAGCTGTTCTAAGCTGTTGTAGCATAGCAACTAGGAGACTAGGTTATGAATCTGTTCAAATCTCACTAGGTGAACTCTCTCCCCGCCACCAACCTCCAGCTTTACTTATCTTTATTGGGCTGTGTGCAAGCCACACATTAAAAGGGCATGACTTCCCCCAAAGTATCCTGAGAGCTGTAGTTTTCTAAGGATGTTATGAATTACCAGGATACTTTAAGGAAGTCAGGTGCTTTTACTATCCCTTCAGGATTGGCATGAGATTAGTGGTTGGGGCCGAAATTGCGTGCAACCAACCCCACAACCTTGCATGCACACACATTGGCAAACATCCCTCCACAACTGATCCAGGCAGACCAGCTGTAATCTGCTTATTAGCCCCACTGCACACACCAAATGAGGAATCAGATGAAGGAAAGAAAGCTATTTGTATCCCGATCTAGGCACCTCAGCACATGTCTGCTTTATTTTTTATCATGTTGTTGTTGTTGCTCTTGTTGCCAAAATGAATGAGGTCTTGGGCTGCAGAACAATGTGCTTAATTAGGCTTCCAAGGTTGCTTAAAAATAACAACTAAACAATGTGCATGAATGCAGGAAAGCACTATACAAAGTTCAGTATTATTATTATTATTATGCATTGAAGTTTCAAGTCACAGGGAGGCCACCTGTGGCAAAACTTTGATTGGAATACATTTGGGACAGACATAAGAAAATGTTTCTTCACATAGGGTGTAATCAAGGAACCACATGTACACCACCCTGTGTTCCATTACGGAAGAAAGGTGCTTAATACAGTGGTACATCTGGTTGCGAACGGGATCCGTTCCGGAGCCCCGTTCAAAACATGAGCAAAACGCAACCCACATCTGCGTGTCTGCGCGTGCCGCAATTCGCCGCTTCTGCGCATGACGTCATTTTGAGCGTCTGCGCATGCGTGAGCGGCGAAACCGGAAAGTAACCCTTTCCAGTACTTCCGGGTCTCCGCGGGACGCAACCTGAAAAGACGTAACCTGAACCGAACGTAACAAGAGGTATGACTGTAGAATAAAAAATAAATATGCGGTTATGATGACCACAGGCTAAGATGTCTTTAAAAGCTGATTAGGGCTAAATGGGACCCTCAAGATTTCATGCCACTAAATAGTTACAAGCGGAGGCTGGCAACAGCCAGGGAGAATGATCACCTTCATAGACCTGCCTGTAGGCCTATTAGATGCACCTGCCTGCAGGAAAGCTGGCCTAGATAGGCCTTTCGTCTGATCCAACAGGTTTCTTCTTACCTCCTTCATTTCTACTGAAATTCTCCAAGTCACTGTCTTTCAACCTAATGTGCCTCAGAAGGTTGTTTTGCGGATAAAATGGGGAATGGAGAACCCTGTACACCGCCTTTGAGTTCCTTGGGAGGAAAAAGTTGGTGGGTAAAGAAAGAAAGAACGAACATTTTACAAGTGGCGCAGTGACAAAATTCATGCTACATCTACTTCCTTTGAAACCGTTGCTTCGTGCGTTATGAAATATAATACACAGAAAAAAGAGATTGCTATATAAATACGATTTACCAAAGAGAAAATAATCCCCTTTTAAAAAAGAGATTTTTTTAAAGGGGGGGGTGGAGAGAAACCTACAGCTGTTTAGAATAGGGCATATAATTCAGAAAAGGAAAGATTTTTACAGTTATCATGACTGCAGCTAAAGAGGAAGTACAATACAGAATGATTACTATGATTATCATTAATTATACCCCGCCCATCTGGCTAGGTTTCCCCAGCCAGGGCAAAGGAAAGTATGTTCGTGGGAAGGAGCAAGGCAAGATTTGAATGCAAAAAAAAGATATTCCCAAACAACAAGATGAGATTGTCGTCATTCGGAGGGGGCGGGGGGTTGAGATTCCTGTGTCCTTAAACACACCAGAAAATCAACAGGTACAAATTTCACACGGGGCAGGTGGGTGGGAGGGGCCGGAATAGGGTGCAAAAAACTTCCAGCGGTTGAATTCCTGCCCTGTTCGGAAACTCCCACCCAACCTTGTAAGCTGCGAAGAGGCTGCGAAGTGGAGCAGAGCGCAACGAAGCGGGAGAAGCAGGAGCAGAAAGGAAGAGAAATTCGCCGCGCAAGGCGGAAAGAGATGGAAAGGGGCGACGACCGAGAACGCGGCGGGTCACGCGCGCGGAGCGTTGCGCAAGCAAGGGAGCCAACGGCGTCGCGCAAGCGCGTCCCTCCTCAGCCCGGACACTACCCGCCCGCCCGCCCGCCCGCGAGCGCGCCCCCCTACCCTTCTGCTGGCCGACAACGGCCCAGGCGAAGGCCCGGTTCTGACACGGGCGGAGCGGCCCGCCCCGGCGTTCAATCACAGCAGCGGCACGAGCCCCGCCCTCAAAAGTCGCTCGAAGCTCCCCGATTCCCTCCTCATCACGTGCCGCGACTTACCCAATAGGAACGAGATTTCCGCTTTGGAACGCTCTTCCTTCAAGTCCCGCCCCTCTCATGGCAACTGCTTCTGCTCCGGGTTGGCGGTGGGCGGAGCTTGAGGGGGGCTGGGCTTTGCGCCCGGCTCTGTTCCAACCAGTGATGGGACCCGCGGGGCGTGTTTTGGGGGACGGACAAATCGCGACTGGGGGGACTTAATGGGTGTTACACACACGCGCGCGCCATGGTCCTCGTGAGTCTTCGGTGGCGGCAGCTGCTGCAGAAGTTGCGCGTCGCTATTCCTCTCCCACCGGCTGGGCGTTTGGCGCCCGCTCCGGTCAGGTTTTGGCACGCCACTGGCGCCAGCTATCGGCTCCCGGAGTCTGGCCATGGGCCCGCTAAGGGAAGGAGGGGTTGGGACGGCAACCGGAGCAGCTGCGGAGCAGGGGGCGACGAGGAGGAAGATGAGGACGGGCTGGACATAGATGAAGATCTGCTGGAACCGAGCCTGCCCACTCTCCCTCTTGACGCCCAGAAAGTGTTCATTGTTCATCCAGATGTGAAATGGGGGCCAGGCAAGCCGCAGCTGACCACAGGTGTGATGCCAGACGTCAGGCACAGCCACACAAGAAAGGTGGTGTGTCTGCAACGCAGATGCGCCCAGCTTGCCCTCCTGTGTGTTGTACTCGCGCATGGAGTAACGGTGTTGGCAACCAGGCATAGAAACCAGCCCAAGTCATCACAAGTCAGCTGCCTCTCAGCCTCACCTACCTCTCAGGGGATTAAATGAGATGGGGTGGAGGACATCCATGCACACCATCTTGAGCTCCATAGGGAAAAGGGAGGGATATAGAGGCAATTATTGTTAATAATACTGTTACGGTGACATGCATTAAGCTGAATTTGGGGTGACTTCTGCACGGGTTCATGGGATTTTGAGCACATGTGAAACTGACTTGGAACAGAAACAGACTGGTGTCTCCATCTCTAGACGTGACATTGCCTCTAACTTAAAAGGGGTTAACATTCCAAGATTTCATTTCGTAGATGTACTTTTCATTAAAACTGTGTGTTTATGGATAAACAGATCTTGAAAATGGATGTTATTATGTGACTAGAACTGTATTTGTATCATTTTTCTCTCCCAATTAACAGCTGAACTACAACTAGCTGAGGCTGCTGCTCTCATAAACACCATACAGAACTGGACAGTTGTAGATAAAATAATCCTTTCTACAAAAGTTCCTGACAAGAAATTTATCTTTGGCAAAGGGAATTTTCAGCTTCTGACTGGTAAGACAATACCCGTAGGAAGCTTTGAAGCTTTTTTCTTTTCTCCTTTAATGCTTCACATTATCATTTTCATAAAATGAAACGAAACCCCGTGGTATCTAACCATAAGATTTATATACTAATTTAAATACTACATGTTCTAAATGGGGGGGGGGGGTTTGAATGGCTATAACTTTGAAATATTTCACTGTGACTGTTTCAGTGAAATGTTTAGGTTTGCTATAATAAATAATAACAGTTGACTGTACATAATGGACTGGTTCAGTTATAACTCTCTTTAACCTGCAGCTTATTAAATTCTGAGCAAGCTTTCTGCATGTGTACTACCCGCTTACCCCTTCCCCTCATGCACCAGCTGTTGCACTTCTGTTGTTTTCTAATGCACCCAAATTGGGGGAACAGATTAATATCCATATACATTAATCCAACATCAGATACTGGTAGTAGTTCAAGTATAATGCTATAATCTGGCTATGTGCAAGAGTGAGTCAGATGTTTTCTTAGCAAATGACTGGTGCTGAAACTCTTGCCTTACCTGAGGGTGTGAATTGTCCCTAGGAATGTGATTGATGAGTATTTGTAGGACACTGCAGAGGGAGTGGGTGCCTGCCCTGCCAGTCCTTGAGAAATGCCTAAAATGCAGGGCTACTAGTTCACTTTTTATAAAAAAAAGTCACTGTTACAAAATTATGTATCTCAATACTTTTCTTTTAGATAAGATTAAAGGACTGTCAAACGTATCATCTGTCTTCGTAAATGTTGAAAGGCTTTCTCCTCTAACAAAGGTAATCCAAAGTTTTATATTTAAGCTAACAAGTCTTCCTTCGTGGTTCTGGAATGTTTTTATTATATTGATATAATGTGAATGTAGCTAAGAATCTGCATAAATCATTGATTTAGTAGTAGTCCAGAAGTCCAGTAGTCGAGAAATAACTCTGATTTTATTCGCTTGCTGTTGAACGGGCTAAGTAAACCTGCATAGGATTGGACTATGACAGAGTATGATGTTTGCTTCATGGCTAAACATCACTAAAATTTACCTAAATATGTTTCCATATTCCATGTGTTATTGCCTTTTCATGCATCAGTTTGTAATATACACATGAAAAACTGGACTAGGCATTCTCTTACTTGCACCTCAAATACTTCCTTGTGATGACATTTCCCCTCTGTAGCATAAATACAGACCACACAATGTTGTAATGCAGTAGTTTACTCAATCCACTCCACTAGGTACCAGCTGCTGGTGGGAGCAGGGAAACTCACAATGCAATAGTGCCCGGTGATATGCTACATATTCACACATGCTACGCCAGAGAAGAGGAAACTCATCATAGGTGGTGACTTGGGTATAGGTGAAACCATGTCTAGAAAGGCTTATGGAGCATAGAGCCTTCTTCAGAATATATTGCTCCTGTGTTGTCCAGCAAAGGGCCAGGGATACATAGACCTCACTCCCATGCCTTTGCATTAACAACATGACTGTGTGCTGATAAGAAACTTTGCACAAAGCCTTCTATGCAGTCCAGAAGTCTGTGCAGTTCAGTTTCCAGGTCACATAGAAGCCTTTGCACGTACAGCTGTACGTGTGAAGGGTCTGTTGGTACAGATAGTTGTGTTGTTCGCATGAAGCTATGGGATGAGGCTACTTGGTCCATCCCCATTCCAGGAGTGACATCTTCTATATCAGAGGGCTATAAATATGCAGGAAATGAAGCACGAGGTTTTGCTTTTGCCACTTTCAGTGGTGTGAGCTGTTCCGATAGGTTTTACAATCAAGTCCTTAAAGCCATTAGATGCTACTTTTACAGCAGTACATTGTTAAAATTCTGAATTCCATCAAATTCACAGGCAATATAAAAACCTTCAGTTTATTTTATCTTTTAAAAGAAAGAACTTGAAGAAGCCTGGCAAGTGAAGGTCTTTGACAGATACACAGTCGTCCTTCATATTTTCCGCTGCAATGCTCGAACAAAAGAGGCAAAGCTCCAGATAGCATTGGCTGAAATCCCACTTCTAAGGTACTTGAAGCAATGCACATTTCATGTTAGTATCTGAACAGAAAGCAGAAACGCTTTCAGATAATAACTTAAAATCGACATGCCTCTTGTGTAATATACTGATAGATGTAGTTAACGACATTACAAAGCTTAGATCAGTCTTTCCCAGCCTGGTGCCCTCCAGATGTTTAGAACTACAATTCCCATCAGCTACAGCTACAACAGACCATGTTGGCTGAAGCTGATAGGAGTTGTAGTCTGAAATATCAATAGAACACCAAACTGGGGAAGACTGGTTTGTATGCTTTATTTGAAAAAATTATAAAATATAACATGGCAGCTTACAACATATAAAAGCAGCTTTAGCAGTTAGCTTTTTTTGGCAAAAGTTATATACGTGGATTTTTTTTTTTTATCATTACAGTTTTTTATGAGTACTTATTCAGCACTTCATCTCCTTTCAGGGCTGTGTATGTAGTTTTCAGAAGTTCTGAGACCCTTAACATGCTTTTTTTATGTGTGAAAGCATCATCAGCATAGTACCATAAAACAGATTTCTTTGCCAATGAAAGTATTACTGTATGTTTAAACGATCAGAAAGAATCACAGACTGGCCCTGATCTTAGCTAATGTTAATTATGTGTAAGATTACAGTCCTATGCCAACTTAGCTGGGAGCAGGTGCTGTCAAACTCAGTGGGGTTTAACCTCTGGCTAGGCATGTATAGGCTTGTGCTTTAAAGGTAAAGGGACTCCTGACCATTAGATCCAGTCGTGGCTGACTCTGGGGTTGCGGCGCTCATCTCGCTTTAATGGCCGATGGAGCCGGCGTACAGCTTCCAGGTCATGTGGCCAGCATGACTAAGCCGCTTCTGGCGAACCAGAGCAGTGCATGGAAACGCCGTTTACCTTCCCGCCGGAGCGGTACCTATTTATCTACTTGCACTGGTGTGCTTTCAAACTACTAGGTTGGCAGGAGCTGGGGCCGAGCAACGGGAGCTCACCCCGTCGCGGGGATTCGAACCGCCGACCTTCTGATCAGCAAGTCCTAGGCTCTGTGGTTTAACCCACAGCGCCACCCGCATCCCTAGGCTTGTGCTTTAGGTCTCATTAAAAGCAATGGTATTTACTTTAACTCCAACTAACTTGCATTGGTTTCAACTAATTTAACTGAGTTGCATCCATTGTAACTTAACTGTCAATAGACTTTTATGGCCACTGAAAGGCATATTAATTTTTTTATCCCTCAGGACCAATGTAAGAAATGATGTCAATCGGTTGGATCAGCAGAGAGGTGGCTCAAGATACATTATGGGTTCAGGTAGGCTGCATTTATTGTGGAAATTAATAGTAAAAAAACTCCATCACTATTGCAATCAAGGGCTTTGATGCAAACACTGATTACCACTCACAAGCAGTTTGTCTTTATGGAACTGTTCTTGTAATGATTCCTTTTGAGCCATGCATATGAAACACGTTCGCTTAGACTTGGTTCTGTGGATTCTCCAGGAAAATCTGTGGCCTGGTTAGCACATAATACTAATCTCTATACCATAGCTAAGCATGAATTGCTGCTGCCTTGCTCTTCCTCCGATTCTGCTGTTGCCATGCTACCTGGAGATAAGCTGTGGTTTGGTTTGGCGTTGCATCCAAATCCAACTCATGGTTTGTGTCCCGACAAAGCATGAGCTAAAGCCAAGCTTTTTTTCTTGGCTTACCCGTGGCTCTTTGTTTACCATGACCTTGGGTTCAGAAATAATGTCAAGCCAAAACCATGGCTTAGCTCCAGGTAGCAGGACAGTAGCTGGAGGAATGATGCAGGTGTGATGTCTGCTCTGAATACCCACATACTTGCCTACTCATGATTTGGCTTAGCATTATGTGAGAACTGGGGTAAGAATAAAAGGGAGTCTGGCATCATTTTTACAGATCTTTCCTGAAAAAGGCATGCCTGTGCTAGTATGTTCAAGGTTAAAGTCTATTCTAGCTGCAGTAGGCAGGTGTGGCAGTCATGTTCAATGTTCTATACATCTAAGCAATACAGTGGTACCTCAGGTTACAAACACTTCGGGTTACAGACTCCGCTAACCCAGAAGTAGTACCTCGGATTAAGAACTTTACCTCAGGATGAGAACAGAAATCGCGCGGCGGCGGCAGGAGGCCCTGTTAGCTAAAGTGGTACCTCAGGTTAAGAACGGTTTCAGGTTAAGAACGGAACTCCGGAATGAATTAAGTTCATAACTAGTTACCACTCTATACACACTTTTTATTGTGTTCCACCAACTGCTGAATCCTTCATATCCCTTCCAAAATTTTATTTTCATATACAGTGGTACCTCCGGTTGTGAACGGGATCCATTCCGGAGGTCCGGCCAAAGTTTTCTCAACCAGAGAGACCTCTTCTGCGCATGTGCGTGCAGCAGTAGACCACTTCTGCGCATGTGCGAGTGGCGAAACACTTCCGGGTTTGCCGCTTTCGCAACCCAAAGTTTACATTACCCGAGGGTAACGTAACCCGAGGTTCCAGTGTATATTAAAATTCTTTATATTATCATTACTGATGATGGAAACTGTTATATTTTAACAAAAATGATACATGACTTTTCAGATTGTTTCCAGCTTTTATTTTTACTGTTGTGTGATTATTTTTTAAAAATAATAATTTTGCAAAGACTTAATCTTTGGTGTCACCCTTGTTTCCCTCATGTGTTCCAAATGGGTGATTTTTGCTTTGCTGCTACTTGCTTTTCAGGTGAAACGTTCATGGAAGTGCAACTTCGCCTCTTAAAAGAAAAGGAACTAAAAATTCGAAAAGCACTAGAGAGGCTTAGAAGAAAAAGGCGCTTACTCAGAAGTCAAAGAAGAAAGTCAGAGTTTCCTACTATTTCAGTAATGGGCTACACTAATTGTGGTAGGGAACAGCACCACAAATGCTTATGTTGCTAGTATTTAAGTACTTGCCGGAAATTCATGTAAATGTGAAGAGAGCTTTGTGTAAGGAAGTATTAATTCTTGGACTGTAACATGTATCCATGCCAGTTGTTCTCAAGAAAACAAAGTGCTTTTTTGTTACTTAGTAGGGTTTCCCGCATAGCTAAAATCCTTGATAAATGGTAGTGCCTAAGCCTCTTTTCAAAGTTTTCACATTCTGCATTTGCCATGTGTGGAAGGGGATTCCTGAACACCCATCTGTGTTTATTGCGTAGTATTATTTCTGAAAATAACTTACAGGGAGTAGCAGATCCCACCACAAGATAGGTGGAGCCTGATATGTAGGAGAAAAAGAATTGAAAACTGCAGAGATTTCAAGGACCACTAGAAAATAAGACAGAAGGAGCGAAAGTGCACTAAAGGGGAGGGGGAAATACAAGCTGTTTAGGACCTCGGGGTTTCCTCTTACTGGTGTTGAAACAACCTCTCATCAATCACAGCTCTGATTTCACTCCTTGGCTACAAATGCTGACAGATTGAAGCAGCCAGGCTGGCTTATTTCATGGAAAGGTGCTGCACACTTAGCTCCATAGCTTTCTTTGGGGAAGGGAAGGGACTCCAAGCCTGGGACCCCCTACCAGTCACAGACAGACTCACAGGCACACTTCCTTCTGGTCAAATGAAACCTGATGGATCACGGTCTCCTGAACACCTGTCCGTAACACACTGATGTGCACCGGCATATGAATAGCATTGAGATGGTTGCTGGTTTTCTGCTTCTAAAAATGACAAGCCTCCATCCCATTAACTCCGCCCCCCCTTTTATAATTGTGGCTGGTTCAGCTTTTCCTTCCTTGATTTCTGTTAGGTAAAACCACTCTAATCAAGGCCCTTACTGGAGATTCAGCACTGCAGCCTCAAGATCAGCTCTTTGCAACATTGGACATTACAGCCCATGCTGGCCTCCTGCCATCATGTCTGACAGTCCTGTATGTTGACACGATTGGATTTCTGTCTCAGCTGCCCCATGACCTTGTGGAATCGTTTTCAGCTACGTTAGAAGATGTAGCCTGCTCAGTAAGTACAACCACCACCGTTCAACAGATATGGAGCCTAAAAGCCAACAAACATATTTGGGAGAAATTACTCTTAAGGTGGGTGCAAATACTGGTCCCCTGGATACTAGGCACTTGTTTCTGAGGAATTTATAGGCTTTTGTTTGACTAACCTAGAGGAAGAGTTGAGGACTGCAACATACTGTGCTCAATTTGTATTGGACATTGTCATAAGTGCCGACGCGGGTGGCACTGTGGTCTAAACCACTAAGCCTAGGGCTTGCCGATCGGAAGGTCGGCAGTTCAAATCTCCACGAGGGGGGGAGCTCCCGTTGCTCAGTCCCAGCTCTTGCCAACCTAGCAGTTCAAAGGCAAGTCAAAGTGCAAGTAGATAAATAGGTACTGCTCCGGCAGAAAGGTAAACGGTGTTTCTGTGCGCTACTCTGTTTTCGCCAGAAGCGGTTTAGTCATGCTGGCCACATGACCCAGGGGGGACGGGGGACTGTCTGCAGACAAACGTCAGCTCCCTCGGCCACTAAAGCAAGATGAACGCCGCAACCCCAGTGTCGTTCACGACTGGACTTAACTGTCAGGGGTCCTTTATCTTTATTGTCATAAGTGAGAACTTTAGATACAATTTTTTTAATCTGTTTAGCAAAATATCATACCTATGGGGTGCAACTCACCCTGCCCCCGTAATAGTTCTTACATTAATTTCCAAAAACAACCTAGATATGCTGAATTGCTTGCTAACTTCAGCCTTCTTAGGTCTTTCTCAGAAATATGTTTATTTTAAGCCCTCATTTGTGTTACATATGTTAAATACTACAGAGTGATGCAAGAGTATTTGACAAAAGGAGCTTTACATGGGTGTGGTTTTGGTTCAGTTTTATCTGGTTGGAGGCATCCGTTTAGCTTTTTCAAAAGTTTCTTTTTCCTGGTCTATTTTTCCTCTGTTGTTCCAAGGACTTCCACCTCTAGCCTTAGGAGAAGGTCAAATTGCTTAGGGTCTATAGTTAATGTTAATATATGCTAGAGATGAAAGCAATTTCTACTTCTTAGGAAAGTAAACAGGCACTCTAGAAATTAGCCAAATAATACCTCACCTAGAGTTCAGTTTTGTACCTCATCAAATAGCAGTATGAAACACTAGCCTTCTCTCTTACAGCTCTCTTTTAAAAGTCAAATAACTCAGCACCTTTTGGGGCATGCATATTATTTGTTACTAGGATTTAATCATACACGTGCGGGATGTTAGCCATCCGGAAAGCAACCTCCAGAAGGAAAGCGTGCTATCGGTTCTCAGGAAACTTAATCTTCCCAGCCACCTACTGGAGTCAATTATTGAAGTTCACAATAAAGTGGATTTGATAAATAGGTAAGCGGTAACAGAATGTTATCGTCTATATCTCCCGGCTATCTCAATTCTTAATCAAGTTAAACTAGAGTATTGCAATGAGCTGCAATGTGCCAGATTCATTTTCTGCATTGCTGGCAAAACGCCACGGCCCTGTCAACCTGGACAAGAGCCAAAAGTCAGTGGGTGGAAGCCCTGGCACTCATGGAAGGGCTTTTGATCCATCAGACACCTCCACACTGGTCTGGAAAATCCTTCCACTCTCTGGAGGGGTACAGGGGTTAGCAGAGGCTTCTGCCGAGTCAAAAGGCCTTCCATGAATGCAAGGCGGATGGTTGGATTCCACCCAGCATGGCCAAAAATGAGACATTTTCTCTAACTCACAATGCCAAATGACTGCTAGGTGGAATCCAGCGCACAACAGTTTGTGTTTTATTTATTTCCTCAGTTTTAAATGTTATTTAAATATAAATTAGGTTGTGTCCTTTAAACTGGATTGACTGGTTTATGAGTTTCTTAGAAATAAACCATTTAATATTTACAACCCTCAAAAGAGCTGCTTGCTTTTAATGAGGCTCAGAAACATGCAACACTTTGGGAATTGAAAAGTTGCACTTACAGAAGACCATAATGAAGAAAAAAATAATTTGTACTACATTTACAGTGAAGACAGTCGTAGCACCTGAGCTATGTGATTGGTTTAAGAGCAAAAGAACCTTGCATTTACTTCAATATTTTTGATGCTAGATAGTGGTAGGAACCAGAGTCAACCACATGCCTGATCAGGTTTGAATACCTGAATTTTACCATTCTTCTGATCCTGATACTCTTGAATTTTCCCCAAACAAAATGATCTTGGAGCTTAATTCCAGAATGTTCTTCTTACATAGAATGGAATCAAAATATGAGCATCATCTTAATATGTCTGAAACATTCCTAGGCCCACAGCAACAAAACACACTGTGTATCAACTATATTGTTTCCTGCTGCCGAGACCTGACTTTCTGACCTCTGCTTTCTTCAAGGTATCATCTGGCTGAGCCAGATGCAATGGCAGTTTCTGCTCTCCTCGGGCATGGTTTAGAAGAATTAAAAAAGGAAATAGACAGCAGAGTTTTGACAGTAACTGGGAAACACATTATGACAATTAAAATTGATCTATCTGGACCTCAGCTCAGGTAAGGCTACTTACTGGTTGCGGGGTGTTTGTTGTAGAGCAAATTTGTATCGAGGATCTTTTTCATCAAACGCAGATAGCTTTTAGGTCTTTCGCCACAGCAAAGTTTTAGCACATCTTTAAAAAATAGCTTCATTTTCCTTGCCAAACCCACAACTTGCCTGTGTTCTGTTGGTTCTGTTGTAACAGTTAAAGCTGAAAGGGTTCCCTTCTTGGTGTGTTGGTTAGCTTTCTTGACCTTGAGTTTGGTGAAATATATCCTTGGGTGCCACCAGGCCGTTGACTTGTAATCATGCTGCTGCTACTACTACAGAACACATCACCAATGCTTCCCATTGACTGTCTAGACTGCAGTCACAGAACTGCTTTGTTTCAATGTACAGTGGTACCTCGGGTTAAGTACTTAATTCGTTCCGGAGGTCTGTTCTTAACCTGAAACTGTTCTTAACCTGAAGCACCACTTTAGCTAATGGGGCGTCCCACTGCTGCCACCAGAGCACGATTTCTGTTCTCATCCTGAAGCAAAGTTTTTCCCCCTTTTTTTATTGATTTTCACAAAATTATAAACACACAAACAAACATAAATCATAACCTTATTAAAACTAATCTTATTAACATTGTTAAGTGACTTCCTCGTATCCCCCTAGTTGAATTTCAGTGCAAATCATTTTAACGGTTTTCCAAATCAAAATTCTTATAAACTTAACTTAATCACTTAACATCTTTCTTTCTTACCAATTCAGCATTAAACATATTAATTCATCACATTACATATTTAAATCCTAAGCCTATCTGGTAATTGCAAGCTTTTTCCAATTAATTTAACTTAGCGTATTTAACTAAATAGTCATTAAATTTCGTCCATTCTTCTTGATACTCGTCCTCCTTCTGGTCACGGACTCTTCCGGTCAGGTCGGCTAGTTCCGAAAAATCCATCGTCTCTGAAGCAAAGTTCTTAACCCGAGGTACTATTTCTGGGTTAGGGGAGTCTGTAACCTGAAGCTTATGTAACCTGAAGCGTATGTAACCCGAGGTACCACTGTAGAAGGGAGCTAAGGAGTTCTTATTCTTCCTATTGGGTTAGGGAACCCTCGGCTCTACCCTACCACCTTCCTGTGCCCACCTCATGTGAAGTATTTACAAGTATCGTGCAAAGTGAACAGCAATCCTGATTTGGAGGATTTGCTCAGACCAGGGAACTGCTTATTAATCTGAGCATGCAAGGGTAGGAGTGAGTGCATAAGCACACAGTGTTCCTAATACTCCAGAGATTGGTTTTTGTCTGCATACAGCCAATGTCTATAAGGCACTCACTGTTTTCTGCCTTTCTAGTTGGCTCTACAAAGAAGCGACAGTGCAAGATGTGGATGTTGTTCCTGAAGATGGTACAGCCAACGTGAAGGTGATCATAAACAATTCCACTTTGGGCAAATACAAAAGACTGTTTCCTCGATCAAGTTATTCGTCTTGCAGTTAACAAGATAAATTATCTTTGCAGAGAATCTCTGTTTAATAGGTATTACAGAGCTGTTAAATACACACACACACACACACAGAGAGAGAGAGAGAGAGAGAGAGAGCGCTTTGCTAGAATATAGAGCTTCATCCTGTTTGCTTCAGACAGACCAGGAACTGTTTGCCTTGAATTGCTGAAGAAGTGTATTTGTGAAAATGTCATGAGACAGTTGCAACACTTTCGGTTTATGGGGAATTGCATAAAACCACCCATTCTTGGCAAAGTGGCAGATCTATTCAATTGCTTATATGCAGGGTTTGTTATCAGTCAGAAAGCTAATTTTTAATCAAAGTGAATGTTGTTTTATCAGAAAAGTTGCCGTGATTTTCCAGACCGCTAATGCTGCTTTAACTTCTGTGTTACAATTCCTGACACTTTGTTAAAAAGTACTTACTTATTTGGAGAAGAAAAGACCCAAAGTTTTATATTACAGGCCTGGGCTCCCCTCCTTTAACAAAAATAAATATTTAATGCCTTCAGGGGAAACTTGATTGTAGCTCTATTTTTTTCAATGTACACTTAGAACTGTTAACACTGACTAGGGATTCTGGAATACATTAGTCAGCCTTTCTGCGGCTGTTCCTTTCTTATACCCTTCATAGAAGTAGATTAGCTTTTTCTGTAACGCTGCTACATCGTGGTTGAAGTCCACTGCTCTTATTTATTCAGTCTGACTCCCTAAGGTTTGCTTTTGGAACAAATATTCCCCTTCCTGTTGCCTACCGTGGTAAACATGATGCTCTAGCTAAACATTTTGTTCCTTGTTGTTGTTGTTTAGTCGTTTAGTCGTGTCCGACTCTTCGTGACCCCATGGACCAGAGCACGCCAGGCACTCCTGTCTTCCTAGTTGTCCCTAAACCATGAACTTCAATCACATTCCTTATTTTTCCATAAGTAAGCCTTGATGAATTTGGTAACCCTGAACCCTGCAGAATTTTACAGACTTAGTGTAGCTGAGCACGCAATCAGGAGTCGCTGTCTCACTTAGCATGCAGCCTTTTGGGAACTTGATACATCTTGGCTTTCGAACCAAGAAGAAAAGCTGCGCTGTCATGATTACTTCTTTGTGCGCACGTCTTTTAACAGCTTTCAAGATGAGCCAATTCCCTAACTGTGGGAGCCTGCATTCCTGGTTTTCCATTTTTGTATCACCCATATTCTCCCAGATCACAACAGCATAGAATGCTGCTCTGCCTGTGGTTGCTGGATGCCTGTCCCAAACACTCAATGTTTCACAGTAATATATCCCCCTGGTAGATTGGAATGCACAGATCTTTTAGAGCAGGGCTTTGGGAGATTGTATATTAGTATAGTGCAATTACTGCACTAAATGCTTCCCAGAAAAACTGGGTCTTTTCATAGAAATTTCCATGAAGCCACCTTCGGTTTATCCATATCCTAGCTGCAAGCAAAATCTTCAGAACATTCCTGTGAGGTAGGTGGGTTATTTATGGTTTTTGTTTCTTCTTTCTTTTTTTGAGATAGCATGCTAGGAGTTAATCCAAGCTGCAATGCTATTTTAAAAATTTTCTATTAAGGCCTATCACGTTTTCCACAAAGTTATTTTTTTCTATGAAGTCTCCAGCAATTATGTTGATACAGTCTTTCTTGGATCCAGGACGCTGTTTTTTAACCCACTGATTTAAGAATGGAAGGGCAGGAAGAGTCATTTTCTTAACAGATCCACGTAGATGTGCAAGAATATAACCTAAATCTCCAGTGAGGTTGATTCCTGCAACAAATAATCCCGCTGTAGGGAAAAAAGAAAAAAGAGAATTGCTAGCTGAAATTCCTGTGATTTTATCCCCTTTTAGATATGTGTTTTCTGCACCAGCATAGCGTGTCGTTATTTATTTAAGCAAGGAAGAGCAGACTTGCTCCCTTTCTACCACTATGTTGGTTCTGCTGCATTCACAAACCACAGAGAGCAAGCCAGATATTACTTTTGCCATTTATTTATCCATCTAGTAGACCACCCCATTGACCACATATCTGCGTAGTTCACAAAATTTAGAGGATTTTTTTTACTGTATCTGATGAAAAGCAAAACAAAACCCTCAATATAAAATCCACATAAAACCAACACAAGGAGCATAAAATCATCCTAAAAGGCCACCCAGCTAAAAAAGAAGAGATTAGTTCCGTGGACTAAAACACAAATTTGAAAGGTATGGGGATGTGCCCTACAGTGCAGCTGAGTACAGACTATGGCTCTTAACTCAGCAGTTGATCTTCATTTTTTTCTAGATTTTCATTTCAAGCACCAGAGATGGGCACTTAAGAGCAGAACTGACACGGATGAGCACATCTTGCTTCTCAGAAGAGAAAATAAGTTGCCTGCCAACGAGCAATTCTGCTCAGTTGTAAGTTACCCTTTCTCCTGGACCCAAGCACTCCGCCTCCTATCTGCAGAATTCGGATTCCAACTCCCATCAGCCCCAGCCAGCTGGCCGTTTGGGAAATCAAAATGCAGCAATTACCTGGGCGACCATTCTGTTTCCTCATCTCCATGTAACGGATAAGCTCTGCCGCTGTTGTTTTATTTCCCCACCAGTAGGGAATCGCAGGCCACAACTCACAGTGCTTTGTCACTTGTCCTGGATCGTCATAGGACACAATAACCTGGTAGCCAGAGGACCACATGCTCCGTAGGGTCGGAGTGACCTGAAAGATAAGGGAAGTCAACATACTGAATTCATGTTGCTCAATAGGAAGGATGAGGATCAAGTTCAAGGCAAGCTCTGTGGAACCTCAAGTTCCAAGTCATACTTCCTGTCGTTCCCTAATTGTATAGCAAAATATATGACAGTAAGACGGCTGCAAGTGGATTGCAAGACACTTTTGAGGATAAGGCCACTGAATTCATGGAGACTCTCTTCCTCCACCCCCTTCCATGGACTATGTACTTTTAATATAACCATTGCTAGTTTGATGCCCATCCACTAGCTTAGGACTGCAGTCTATTCAAAAACCAAAGGACCTTTCTTTCCTACGTAAGTACATTTAAAAAAAAAAATCACAGCACAATTCACTATACAGAAGCTAACTCCTAGGGACTGGGGTCCCTTCAGCACCCTCCACCCCAGTAAAATATTTGAAGGGGGGTCCAAAGTTAATGGGCATTGGTATGCAAATAGTGTAAATGTGCTGCATTATGTAGGGCAGGGCTTACCTGCCTCTTCCCCCGCCCCCATATTTTATTCAAGTTGGCACCTCCAATTCATTATCCATACACCCATGTGGAGCAGGCTACAGAATTGTCTGTGGTACTGCCTGCGAGTAAATCCCATTGCTATCAATGGAGCAACTATTCAGTGATATGTTTTACATTTGACCAGACACTGAACACCCCCACCAAACCTGGAGAAAGCTTACTTCAGCCAGGAGAGGATTGGTGCTCATTTTGGGAGGGTAGATTAGGCCTTGTATCCGGTGTTTTACTCGCAGGCTCATTGAAATTAAGCCACATGACAAAATTAGGTCCATCACTTTCAATGGGTCTATGCAGGGTAGAACTTAATTAGATGCAACCATGTAAGCTGCCATTATTGTTTTGCAGCTTCTTTCTTTTTTTAATGTAGCACACCTTAAGGAATTAACTACGTCAACATGTTTACATGCCGAAACATTTAACATCTTAGTAATGTCAGTAATAGCAAAACATAATTTAATTTGTGCTAAGGTTGCGCTCTGGAATCTTTTCAAAAATGTTAGCAGACAAAGAGTCGTGGAAAAATGTTAGCAGACAAAGAGTTCCTTTCCATTTTCAGTCTGTATCCACCAACTGGATAGTGCGCCTCAAGTCTCAACACTTCTTCTTTTTTCATTTTAAGAAATTAAACACTAAACTATTGCCATTGAATCACAGTGCATCTTTTGAAATCCTATTGACCAAAAAGGATGTGGGTATTGATATTAATATGTACAGAATCTCCTTCAATTAGAGCATAGTTCGAGGATATGTACATGAGCAATCCTATTTATTTCAGTGTATCATCCTGAACAGGCCAGTGTGAATAAGGCTTCTACAATCTTGAAACTTCACAACCAAACATTCCAAGCAACTTACATTTCTAGGACACAGTTTGCCACTGAAGATTTCCTTTGTACGGGAGACCAAATGGCGGTGATGGTCCTCATCTAATCCATCAAAATTTCTGAAAGCTAGAACGACAACCTCCCAGGGGTGGTTTCTTAACCATCGTAAAATATCCCACAGGACATCCTGCAAAAGCCAACACGAAACAAGTAAAATAAATAGCTGCTAAGTGCTACGAGGAAACTGAAACAAACAGGAACCTGTAATTGATGAATTTCGCAAGTGACATTAAGTTGCATACTACAGATACAGTGATGTTAATTGTGCAGGATTGGAATTTTTTTTACACATTTCCTGTTTGACATATGTTAGCTAACGCAAGCTGAGTATATTATCTACAGTATGCAGGGATGTGGGTTTGCCGATCAGAAGGTTGGCGGTTTGAATCCACGTGACGGGTTTGAGCTCCTGTTGCTCTGTCCCAGCTTCTGCCAACCTAGCAGTTCGAAAATATACCAGCGCAAGTAGATAAATAGGCACCACTGTGGTGGGAAGGTGAACAGCATTTCCATCCGCTCTGACTTCTGCTACAATGTTCCATTGTGCCATAAGCGGTTTAGTCATGCTGTCCACATGACCCGGAAAGCTGTCTGTGGACAAACGCTGGCTCCCTCGGCCTGTAAAGCGAGATGAGCACCGCACCCCATAGTCGCCTTTGACAGGACTTAACTGCCCAGGGGTCCTTTACCTTTACCTTGTCTACAGTAGAGACAGCTAAAAAAAAACACAACCACTTGATGTAATTGCAACTATAGAATAATCTTGACTAAATTGTGGGATCTTGAAAATCTCGACTTTAATTTTCAAGTCTAAGTGGCAAGTAACCTGTCCTTATGACACAGCAGAGTATTTCTGCCCTGTCTGCATTACTGTCTGACAGGAAGAGTTGTTCAACAGTGGAACAGACTCCCACGAGAGGTGGAGGTTTTTAAGCAGAGGTCGGATGGCCACCTGTCATGTATGATTAAGTTGAAGTTCCTACATTGCACATGCCAAAAAACAAAACAAAACCACAAACCAAAACAGAAGAGGTATCCTAGCTCAGAAGACCTTTTGGTTTAAAAGGCTCATATTAACATCTGTTGCATAGTCTCAAATCCTATTGACATCAAATCCATTTGGCACACATAACAGAGCAATCAACTTAGGGGTGGGTTGCTCAATCATTATTTTCCAATAAATATGGCAGTGTTCTAATTAGGAACCTAAAGTTAACCACAGATCAAATACAATACAAAAAAAACAACAACCCCAGAACATTCATCACATAGTAGGCAGAATTAATGGGCCATTTGATTTAATAATTAAAAAAAAGGATCTGATTAATTAGATACATAAGGTGTGATCCAAAGATTCTTGAGTGTACCCATCTACACAGACTTCTTTTTCTCCGGCCTAACTGGGAAGGAAAGTGAGCCACAAAGACAGAAATCAATATTTTTCTCCACTTGCAACTTGCTTTTCCTTCCATGCTGGGCGGCACTTGATCAAAGTGAGCTACAGGATATTCTGGGGAGAGGTGTCAGGACCACATTGGGCAAGGCTGGAGGCTGCATGCTGTCCTCAAGCTGTGGTTTTCCCACCTCTCCTCTACATGGAAGGGAAAGGCTGTATGCACCAGAATTCCTTTTCTGTCCATGTGGTGTGCTCCCTGGCTCATTAAAAAAAGAAAGAAAACACAGAGGAAGCCTCTGTGCGTACAGAAATCTCTATAAAAGCCAGTGCACCCAAATATCTAGCAAACACAATTGTCTAGTTCTCACTTAATTGGTAAACCATGTTTTAGCACTACACACACCAGGAAGCAGCCACAAGTCTTGGCCTCACACATTCTTTGTTTTCCTTCTGGACAGCCAGGAGAAGGAATTTGGACCAGAGATTGTCACATAAAGCAAACTTGTTAGCTTCAGACACTGTGGCTTGAAGTTGGTTTGTTCTAAAACTGACCAGAGTTTGTTTTGAACCACAGTGTGCATATCTATTATTCTTGGAAATCTAGGTACACCAGGATCTCAGTATTTTGAAAAACAATCTGTTCCAACCTCATGGAAACTAGAAGGCCAATAAAAGAGAAGCAGAAGTGTGTTTTAATTCATGCTTTGCAAAGCCAGTCAGGCAATTCTGAGAAGCTGATTCATATTTTGAACACTTAGGGTTTGTAATGTTTGTCTGCTGTAATTGTTGCTTAGCCTGCTGTGGAATCCTAATAATCTTCAAACAGATTAAAATATGCCAGCCAGACATCACAGGGAATTGCTATGTTATACCTGAGTCAACATGGTCATTGCTGAATCTTTAGTAAGTCTAAGTTTTGGGTCTTATTGAAATGGTGGACACCTGAGAAAAAAGCTTTTTGAGAGCTGCGCTTTCTAGCCATAACACATTTGGTTAGATTAGCTTCATTACGCTAACAAGTTAGCTGTGCCTTAACTTAAATCCCATTCAGTGGGAGCTAAGCAAAAGTAACTTAGTCTTGATCTATCTTTATGATATTTATAAAGCAGCATAACAGTAGCCAATATATCAGTCAACTGCATCTTCACGGCTACCAAGATTCCTGCCAATTAATTGCAACAGCCCCAATCCAGAAAAAAAGAGACATGCACAAGCAAGATCGAAAACAATGGGGCAAGTTTGTAGATTTTAATGGAAATAAAGCACAGCTGGTTTCTTCTGAACAGGGCCATTGCTACAGCATGAATACAAAATACCCAAGCTGGGTATTGACTGATCTGTCTTTAACATGCCTTCAGTTCTCAAGGCCATCCTGGGCTCCTTTGGGAGGAAGGGAAGGATATAAATTTAATAAAGAATCGTAATCATGCATGTTGGTTTTAAACTTTCATATTGTGGTAAAGTCATCAAGGACCTTGGATTTTTCTAGACAATCTCCACTGAACGGGATCCATGTAAAACACAGATGTGCTTAAACAGCGCCCTTTTCATTCCAACAGGACATATGAAGAACATCCAAATAAGTCCTTAGTTCTATATTTCCACACTACAGACTTGAAGGAGCATCTCCTTGAACTTTGACACTAAAGATCATTTGATACAAAAAAAGGGGGGAGAATTAACATCTTTTTCAGGCCATAATGGCATTCAATAACTTCCATTCCAATACAGATCCATTGCACTCTGTAATGAAAATCATGGCATCAGTGACCATGATCTGGACCGTAGGAAGGTAGCGTATTCCCTGCACTCACAAACAGACCTTGGTCTGTAGTGAGCCAGCACCCATACCAAGCCCTGGGAGCACATAAGTGAAGTTTCTGATTCACCTGGTACAGATGTGGTGCTTTCTCTGCCAACAAGACATATGTCAACAAGACATATACATGCATATAATATAATGTATAATATGCAAATGACCAGACCAACTAGTCCTGCTTAGTATGCATGGGATGTCTAGTTGCAGCACTGTTTGCAGGATCATAGGGGTCAGTACTCTCTGCACTGGCTGCAGAATCAGGCAAATTACCTGGCACCTGCCTGATCCAGTACACAACCTGATAGTTCCAAAAGCCAGTGTAAAACTGATGGAATTACTCTTCCTCAAATGGGATATGCCCCCACAAGGCTGTTACAGATGAGACACTGAGGCATACATGCAGCTTTTTCACCTGCACCAGGAAGGGGCTGGCACATGCCCCATATTACTTAAATAGTAGTTAGATCAGGGCTGGGGGACCTGCAGCCCTCTAAACATTGGGCTACAGCCTCCATCATCCCTAGCCAATGGATGAGGCTGATGAGAGTTGGGAGTACAACATCTAGGGGAGTTAGATCATTACAGTGGTACCTCTGGTTGCGAACAGGATCCGTTCTGGAGGCCTGTTCGCAACCTGAAAAGAATGCAACCTGCGTCTGTGCATGCGCAGGTCGCAATTCACCGCTTCTGCGCATGCGCGTGATGTCATTTTGTGCGTCTGTGCATGCGCAAGCAGCAAAACCCGGAAGTAACCCGTTCTGGTACTTCCAGGTCGCTGCAGGACACAACCTGAAAATGCTCAACCTGAAGCAAATGTAACATGAGGTATGACTGTATATGTAACTACAGTAAGTTGTCTTAAACTCTTTTTTAAATTGTGTTGTGATGTTGTGTTTTAAGTCCTCCCTGGGACCTTAGGGTGAAAGGCAGGTAATAAATCCCATGATAATATGAAATAATAAATACTTCAGTGCTATGAAAGCAAAACTGTACCTCTACAACCGCTGTTGTGTACAGCATATGAACAAAGTGCAATTTCATGGAAGGTTCATCAGGCTTGTGAGCAATCCTCAGATCAAAATACCTTATTCCAGCATCCAGTTGCTCTGACAGAGTCAGCACCTGTCAAGTTAAAAACAAAGTGCAAACAAGAAAAATACTGAATTGTCTCAGTAGCACACTTTTTTGACTTTAGATAAAAAATAGTATTCAGAAGACAGCAGATTGTGCTGTTAAGTTGCTTAGCACAAACCTCAACATTTTTAATACATCAGACACATTTATTCTATTTCTCCTTGCAGTAGCTGTGGGATGGTACATCTCATATGGCCCTTACAGCAGAGTGAGCACGCTAACTGTTGAAAAAGCAAGCTTCAGTAATAAGACATAGGAACCAGAAAGTTTGAGAACTGCTTACCTGTGTTATAGACCACCTCAAAATAATTGGGTGTACTATGCTGTGCATATGCTTGTCCATAAACTGCAGCAACTTGGATTCATTTATGCTCACTTTCGAATCCTTATCCAAGCAATAAGTCATAGCATCATGACTTCCTATTGGAATAAAAACGTAAAGTCAATCTACTTCCAATCATTTGACAAATCTTACCCTCTGCACAAAACTTCATCTCTAAAACCATGTGGCTTTACACACAATTCCCACCCTAAGCACATAATTGCAAAAAGATCTATCAGTGGGGAAAAGCGGGTATCAAATCCCAGCTCAGTGCAAACCCTTTCATCAAGTTTCTTAGAGGCTGAGAGACTGGGTTGAAAAGCAAGATCCATGTGATGTCGGATTCTGAGCCATCACGCAACCTCCCAAGGTTGTTGTTTCTGGAGGGCTGGCAGAAAAGGAAAATCATTCCTGGCTAGTGCTTTCCTCTCAGCAAGAAGCTTTAAGTTAGAATTTCCTAACCACCCTCCTGATACAATTTGGGCAAACTACACATACCCCAAAGGGATGCGGGTGGCGCTGTGGGTTAAACCACAGAGCCTAGGACTTGCCAATCAGAAGGTCGGCGGTTCGAATCCCCGTGACGGGGTGAGCTCCCATTGCTCGGTCCCTGCTCCTGCCAACCTAGCAGTTCGAAAGCATGTCAAAATGCAAGTAGATAAATAGGTACCGCTCCGGCAGGAAGGTAAACGGCGTTTCCGTGCGCTGCTCTGGTTTGCCAGAAGTGGCATAGTCATGCTGGCCACATGACCCAGAAGCTGTACGCCAGCTCCCTCGGCCAATAAAGCGAGATGAGCGCCACAACCCCAGTGTCAGTCACGACTGGGCCTAATGGTCAGGGGTCCCTTTACCTTTTACACATACCCCAACATTATGGCTTACATTTATTAGATTTTGTCGATGAGATTCGGCGTTGGGCCTGCTCCCTGACTGAGTTGTCGGGCACCAAAACAACAGTCAACATGACAGGAAGAAGCTCACTCCAGAACTATTTCCAAAATGTGGTCTACACATGTTAATACTGCATTTGTGGGAGTGCACAGGTGCTACAGAGCATAGCCAATCCAAATCTAAGTGTAATAGGATACTGAAAAGCTGGTGCTATTTACCTGGAAGTGACAAATTAGAGAGAGGAATGCCCCAGAGACATTCCGGCAAATTAGACATCCATTGGCCGCCGTCACTGTACAAGTGAACAGATTTCTTTTTTGAACGTCCCTTCATTTTCCCCTTTTGCGTGATGTTCTATAAAAGAAGCTGAACAAAATGAGAAGTTAAGTCTGCTCCGTCGGTATGACCTTCTCATTGCACAGTACAGTTGTGGCACTGATTAAATTCTAACACTTACTAAATTCAGGAATTATAGGTGCCTTGCACCCACAAACTAATAACAACACTCTAAGATAAGAATGTAAGAATCAGAGCAAAGGCTAATTTAATCAAACTCTGCAATTGTAGAGTTGGAAGGGACCACAAACATCATCTAATCCAATCCCCTGCAATGAAGGAATCTTTCACCTAACAAGGGGCTTGAACCCATAATCCTAAGATTACGAGTCTCATGCTCTACCGAATGAGCTATCCCTCAGATACTTGCCATCTAAAATACCTGGAGGGCGCTAATGTACTAGACAAAAAATCGCACATCAAGTCTTTGTTCCACCCTTTGTACCTGTCATAAACTGCCCTCTAAGGCAGCCATTTATATTGCACCAGCCTAAAGGCTGTGACAGTGGTTGGAATGATATGCATCAGCACAATTTATCACCGCCTTTTTCTGAGTCATGGCAAATAGGGCAGAACTGGGTAACTGACCTACAGGCACCAGGTCAATTCACCTGTGAGTGGCACTAGTCACCATATGCATCACTGCTCCTAAAGCATATGCATGGGATTAAAACAACCCATCTAAAAGAGGCCTATACCCAATAATAGATTCAGACAATTGGGTTCTTGCTTAATGTGATGACTTTTGTAGCTGCCTTTGGAATCTAACAGATGATAGTGTCCTAAAGTCAAAATGCATTTGAAAACCTATAAGCATTATGTTGTCCACTACTGCAAAGACCCATTTAGATGACCTGGTTAGGTTTGAATCCCAGTACCTAGATACTGCAAAAGTCGGGGGGGGGATATGGTTGTCTGAATTCATCTTTTTTTTTTCCTTCACTGTGCAGATAAACCAATCAAATTACCTTTTCCTGTCCTGAAAGTGCATATCAATGGTTTTTTATATACTTTCCAAAGAACTGTAAAATCAGTTTTCAGGAATTTGTTTTAAAAGGCATCTACACTTCTTTTTTTACCATGTATAAAATCCCAACCATTTACACAGGTAACTAGGAAGAACAGTCTGCCATCCACAAACCAAGATCAACAGTGCAATTCTTTGCATGCTTACTCAGAAGTAAGGTCCACTGTGCTCAACAGACTCCCAGACAAATTGATATAGCATTGCAATCAAAATTATGTCAAATGGCCGAGGGGGCTGTGGTGGAAAGAAGAATCTTGGTCCAATACCAAAATAGATTTTGAGTAAGTCATTCACGTTTGATATGCTAGAAAATAATATTGATAAAATTAATAGTCTACACCAGTGTTTCCCAAGTTTAGGTCTCCAGCTGTTTCCAGACAGTTCATATCATCCCTGACCACTGGTCTTGCTAGCTAGGGATGATGGGAGTTGTAGTCCAAAAGCAGCTGGAGACCCAAGGCTGGGAAACACTGGTCTATACCCATCCCAAATCTGTCAATCTATTTTACTACATGAACTGCAAAAGATGCAGTATGTCAAAAGCTGGAGTCAGGAATAGGTCAGCAAAAACAACACCACCACCAGTGTCATTGAAGTTAATTCTTTACTCAAAGAAACCAAAACAGTGCATACCTAGTGGTCACAGCAATCCTTCCAAGTAGGTCTTGCCCCAATGAAGCAGTTGTGAGAGCCTTCCCACCACTCTCTAAGGCTCTTCCCCCAGTTTCTTCCCCAGCAGACTGAGGCTTCATAATCTTGTTTCTCACTGCTCCACCCTCTTCATTTCTCTGTGTGTTCTGTGAGACTGGGGTGGGGGGGAGTTAGTCGCAACAGGAGAGGGAGACCCCCTGGATTCTTCAGCAGCCTGCCTCATCTCCATCTCCTGGCCCTCCTCCTCTCCTGCCCCTGAAGCTGGACTGCTCTCTGCCACAGCCTCTCCCTGCTCACTAAACCCTGTTGCTTCTTCAGCTTCCTCTGACCTCTCACCCGTCATCCCACTACCAGTCCCCTGGCCTCTGAGACCTCTTCCCCAGGGGTTTCCCTTGAGGGTTCCCCAGCTGGTGCCCCCCAACACTCCTCTGCATCCAGCCAGTCCATGATATAGTACAACAAAATCCCAACATAACAACAGATGTCATTTGGGCAAAATTAATCCATGTACACTTTATTCAATAAGAATTAGGAACATCAGGGAGCACAACACAGATTAGACTCTATACAAACATATCCTAATCTGCCCCATATATAGCAGCCAATATTGCCTGACTACAGGAGATCATGACAACCATAACCTGATTTATTTCCTACCAGGCTATTAACCTATTTTTTTTGTACAGTCCCTTCTTCCATTCCTTGTGTATTGCTTTCCTAAGTAGGTCAGTTGTTCCCACACATAAATTACAAATCAGTAATACTAAAGCTTCCACAGCTCAGGCATAATCTCCTAAGGAACCTTATAAGCCAGGTAAAAATGCATAATAATAATAATAATAATGTCAGAGCAAACCAACTTTCTCCCTAACAAAAAAAAAAGATGTTCATTTTATGGGCATTATTCTCACCATCTCTATTCTAGATCACCCATCTATTCAGGTGATCAGTAGTAACAGTATCTGCTAAACCAAACACGTGCCTGTTTAGTGAGAAGATCCTCATGTGCAATAGCAACAGGTTCCTGATGTGTAAAGGAACCTCTAGCTTACGGTCATTATTGCGAGGAATTCCATGTGAGATGCTAACTCATATTCTAATTTGTTATATTTATACATCATACTTCAAGCTATATGACTGTACCATAAAATTGCATAATTACAGTGCATATGTTTGAGAAAAGTTCTAAACAGGTAAGGAGAACCTGTAGCCCTCCAGGTATTATTGGACTTCACTTCCCATCATTCCTAACCGCTGTCCATGCTGGCTGGGACTGATGGGAGTTGGAGTCCAACAAAATCTGGAGAGCCACCAGTTCCCCATACTTGACCTAAAAACTTGTACGTTCAAGGCTGAACTACATGTTACAATAAATGCATGGTTTCACCAACAGCACCTTCTGTCCTACAGCAAATCCCAGCTTGAGGGACAATTTTAGTTGGACCTGGAGTACAAAGGAAAAGGTTTAATCTTCCCCTCCCTCTGCTCCTCTGTGCCTGCAAGTTAACAAAAAAGAAGCCAGACATATTAAATATGTAACTGCATTTAATGCAACATGTACCGTATTCTGGATCTTTCTGTATTTGTCATGAAGTATACATTCAACTCTTCTATCTTTGCAATCCAATAAATGTACTTATATGATACACATTGCCTCATTTATTCATATTTCGGTCTGATATTTCATATTTTGGTGAAGTATGAACCATCCCTAAGCATTTATTGGAATTTGTGGATGCCGCTTGTTTTGAACACATCAGCAATCCGTAAAACACAAAGTCCACAATTTCACAGTTCCCATCTTGCACTTCTTTTTAGAGTTCAGCAACCCAACTCGGATGAACTGAAAGGCTCACAGACGACGGGGGGGGGGAGGCACGGGTTTCAGACCCAATACAAAATTTCAAGTAAAAATTCTTATTTAATGCGTTTGTAGATCGTCCTCCCCGCCCCCCATAGACACCTGGGAAGTTATTTTGCGCAAAATATTTCAACGGGGCATTGGTATTGTCTGTAAATAATCCAAGTTCCCTCTCTCTCTCTCTCTCTCTCACACACACACACACACGCGCACACACAGCACCTAGAACGTTATGCTACTATAAAAACTGAATGGGAAAGTCCTATATAACAATGGGGACGGATGTTTATCAGTTAGACTTTATTACTGCTGTGGTGGCACAGTTAAAAAACCGGTTACTTAGAGACGCGGGACATGCCCTACATTCAGCTGTGGGAAAATATTTAAGCTGCAGTCCTAGTCACACTTTCGAGAGTAAACAAGGCTGCACAGGATTGTATCGTTGCTCGCGCGCAAAGCGGAGACGAGAGGCATCAAATAATTTTTATTTTAAAAAAAGAAAAACTGCAAAGAAAAACTGTTAACTTACTTGAGGAAGAATCAGAAAGATCCCGTTCCAGGAAACATTCTTCAAAATCGCCCTGCCGCGTGTCACATTTGGCTTTCCACAGCACGCAACTCCACAGCGTTGGGGTCGCAGCTGCCCGTTCCTCTCAGCAACAGCAGAGCCTAGCTTCGCCTCCTCTCTCAATCCGGGCCCGCTCAGATTCTGGAGCCAACGCTCGCCTTTTCCCAAAAGCCGCTGCACCGGGAAATGAAAACAAACACACGCCGGCCTCGATTTGCATGCAAGCCCCGGGATTGGTCCTTGTCGCCAACGCCCCGCCTCTTGCGTATGGGGGGGCAGCCGAATTTGGGGCGGGACGAGGAGCAGCAAAATCTGAAACGGCAAAATCAGGGCTTTATGAAAGCGCGGAAGCAGAATTGCGGGTGGGTGAGAGAGGCAGAAGAAGCGCCGAGAGACCCTGGGCACACTCCCTTGCAAGGCTTACTTGCGAGTAAATATGGATCGAGCTGCACATCCCACGCGCGATTGAAGAAACACGCGTCGGTGGTGTGGGACTGCGCCCCATCCACGGAAGGTTTTTAACAGGCTGGTTCAGGCTTTCTCAGAATTAAACGCCAGGGTTGGATTAAAGGACCATGGTGGGTCCCCTTCCAATACTACGGTTCTGTGATTCCAGGATTACTGGATTACCATGGCGTAGCCAGGATTTTTGTTGTGGGGGCAGGCTTTTGTTAAGGGAGGCAAAACTTCAGATTTGTATTGATTTTTAATCAAGCAAATACAGTAAATAAAAATAACGAACTGACCAATGGAGTCGCTGATAGCTCTCTCTCTTTCTCTCTCTCTCTCTCACACACAGCTTCATTGTGGTCCATAGACCCAAAATACACAGTACAATGATAGTAAATATCAACAGCTATTAAGGGGCAAAATCGGTTCTGATACTCCACAAAAGTCCTCCCCCCCATAAATCCTGGCTACCCCCCTGTAGGGTACTCTGCACAAGGGATGTGTATATATAAATTATATATACAAAAAGGTTTTTAGGGCACTGAAGGCACTGACAAACTGGAACGTGTCCAGAGGAGGGCAACCAAAATGGTCAAAGGCCTGGAAACGATGCCTTATGAGGAACGGCTAAGGGAGCTGGGCATGTTTAGCCTGGAGAAGAGGAGGTTAAGGGGTGATATGATAGCCATGTTCAAATATATAAAAGGATGTCACATAGAGGAGGGAGAAAGGTTGTTTTCTGCTGCTCCAGAGAAGCGGACACGGAGCAATGGATCCAAACTACAAGAAAGAAGATTCCACCTAAACATTAGGAAGTTCTTCCTGACAGTAAGAGCTGTTCGACAGTGGAATTTGCTGCCAAGGAGTGTGGTGGAGTCTCCTTCTTTGGAGGTCTTTAAGCAGAGGCTTGACAACCATATGTCAGGAGTGCTCTGATGGTGTTTCCTGCTTGGCAGGGGGTTGGACTCGATGGCCCTTGTGGTCTCTTCCAACTCTATGATTCTATGATTCTATGAAGGTGATAAAACTGCTAGCACCTTTGCAAAGCAAAGCAGCATCTGGTGTGGTTTCAGACTGGATGGGGGAACCGTGTCATGTTGAGATTCCTGCATTATAGGGGTTGGACTAGATGACCCTCGGAAGCCTCGGGGTCCCTTCGCTGTATCCTGCAGCATGTTCTTCACACAGCATTAGTGGATTTGTTGGATATTGGGGTTTTTTGTTTGTTTTGTGACACTTCGCCCAACGCTGCCACGTTATTGCCGTCTGCATGGCAACCGAAGTGGGACGGAAATAAAATCAGGGTTTTGGTTACAGGGTTTCAACAGGACATTGTGGCATAAGAGCTGGCTGGAGATTAAGCATAAGGCTATCGTATGGTTACTGGCCACAGTGGCTACGTTCTAACCCCACTGTCAGAGGCAATATGCATCTGATTGTCGTTTCCTGGGAATTGCAGGCAGACAGAATATTGTTATACTCAGGTCCTGCTTCCGGGTTTCCCACAGGTATCTGGTTGCCCACTGTGAGTCTAGGATGCTGGGCCAATGGGCTACTGGCCTGATCCAACGCACTTTTAAAAAGTGTTGGGGATTACAGTGGTACCTCAGGTTAAGAACTTAATTCGTTCTGGAGGTCTGTTCTTAACCTGAAGCACCACTTTAGCTAATGGGGCCTCCTGCTGCCGCCGCCACTGCACGATTTCTGTTCTCATCCTGAAGCAAAGTTCTTAACCCGAGGTACTATTTCTGGGTTAGTGGAGTCTGTAACCTGAAGCGTATGTAACCCGAGGTACCACTGTATTGGGTTGTTCTTGCTTTTGTTTTCATTATGCATTTTATGGTTTTATATTGTGTTTTTATCTTGTGAATCTGAGACCTGCAAGTTTAGGGCAGTATACGAATTTAATAAGACGTCGTCGTCATCGTAATCCACCAGGCTCTTCTAATATTCTTATGAAGCAATGTGAACGCCCCGAAATTTTTGTAGGGACAGACAGTACTGAAAGCAGTGTCACAGCGTCGTGAGCACAATAAAAAAGAACCCATAGCTGCAGCCTAAAGAAAAGCACTGGAATCTACTGAAATTCCTATGAAGGGTGCTACAGAAGCTCCAGCTCAAGAAGAGCAGGGGTGGAAAGCCTGTTTCAACCTGGGTGCCACATTCCCATCTCAGCAACCTTCAGGGGACCAGATGTTTGTTGGAGATGGGACAAGAGGCAAAAGCCGACCCCCCTGGAATCCAGAATGTGGTATCTGGGGCTCTCCTTGATCTGATAACGCCAACAGATTTACTCACCAGTAGAGCATGCCAACCTACACCTTGGCATCTGGTGGCTTGGATCTGCAGCTGAATCACAGCCTATGTCTAAATGAAAACCAGGACTCTCATGATTTTAGGCTTATGATGCCGGCTTTCATTAATGGCTGTGGAAAAAGATTGGTGCTAAAAAATTCAGATTAGCCACGCTGATAATCACACTAGTTTGTTCATTGTTGTTGTTGTTGTTTACTTGTTTAGTCGTGTCTGACTCTCCGTGACCCCATGGACCAGAGCACGCCAGTCACTCCTGTCTTCCACTGCCTCCCACAGTTTGGTCAGACTCATGTTGGTAGCTTTGAGAACACTGCCCAACCATCTCGTCCTCTGTCACCCCCTTCTCCTTGTGCCTTCAATCTTTCCCAACATCAGGGTCTTTTCCAGGGAGTCTTCTCTTCTCATGAGCTGGCCAAAGTAATTCATGTACTGTAATTCAATAGAATCATAGAATCATAGAATCATAGAATCATAGAGTTGGAAGAGACCACAAGGGCCATCGAGTCCAACCCCCTGCCAAGCAGGAAACACCATCAGAGCACTCCTGACATATGGTTGTCAAGCCTCTGCTTAAAGACCTCCAAAGAAGGAGACTCCACCACACTCCTTGGCAGCAAATTCCACTGTCGAACAGCTCTTACTGTCAGGAAGTTCTTCCTAATGTTTAGGTGGAATCTTCTTTCTTGTAGTTTGGATCCATTGCTCCGTGTCCGCTTCTCTGGAGCAGCAGAAAACAACCTTTCTCCCTCCTCTATGTGACATCCTTTTATATATTTGAACATGGCTATCATATCACCCCTTAACCTCCTCTTCTCCAGGCTAAACATGCCCAGCTCCCTTAGCCGTTCCTCATAAGGCATCGTTTCCAGGCCTTTGACCATTTTGGTTGCCCTCCTCTGGACACGTTCCAGTTTGTCAATGTCCTTCTTGAACTGTGGTGCCCAGAACTGGACACAGTACTCCAGGTGAGGTCTGACCAGAGCAGAATACAGTGGCACTATTACTGGTCCTCGAGAACAGGTGATTGTGAAGAGCGGTTTCTAAGAAGTGACCTAAGTCCTGTTGTTCATTCCTGGCTTCCTCAGTCAACTTAGGGTTTCCGGACTGACATCAGTTTTAAGCCTCTGGGCTATAGGAAGTTATTAAATAACAGGAATGGCAGGAAACTAATGCGGAAGCTACTAGCTAGTGGGTACTGATTAAGACAATTGGCTATGGAGTCCTTGCCTGTGAGTCATCCAAATAAGCATGTCCAGCACTGCCTCAGCATCTCCTAAGACGACTCAGATGAAGGAATTGGTGGGGATGCTCATCAAATTCACCAAACAGTGGGGTAGCTAATGCCATAGAAGACAGGACTGGGATTCAATATGACCTTAACAAGTTGGAGAACTGGGCCAAAACTTCCAGTTCTGGGCACCACAATTTAAGAAAGATATTAACAAGAGGGAATATGTGCAGAGGAGGGCAACCAAAATGATAAAGGTTCTGGAAACTAGCCATATGAGGAATAGTTGAGGGAGTTTAGCCTGGAAAAGAGGAGACTGAGAGGAGATATGATAGCCATCTTCAAATATCTCAAGGGCTTCATATGGAAGAGGGAACAAGCGTGTTTTCTCTTGCTCCAGAGGGTAGGACTCAAACCAATGACTTTAAACTACAGGAAAGGGGATTCTGACAGAATATCAGGAAGAACGTTCTGCTAGTAAGAGGTGAGGACTTCCTCAGAAGGTGGTGGGCTCTCCTTCCTTGGAGGTTTTAAAGTAGAGGTTGGATGGCCATCTGTCATGGATGCGTTAGCTGAGATTCCTAAATTGCAGGAGGTTGAACTAGATGACCCCTGGAGTCCCTTCCAACTCTACAATTCTGATTCTATAAATTCTCTTATGTGTTTGTACCTGAAATTTTCATTGAACATGCAGGTTTATCTACCAGCCAAAGACTACTGATATCAGGAATGAAATAAATACAAGTTCTGTACCTTGCTAACTTTTAGTATGGCTTACTAAGAATTTGCTACTCCTCTATGTGGTTCAAACCCAAGTCAGGCTCAGTTTAGTGGAATTTCTTTGCAGGACTCCACGTTTACATGGTCCTGGTAATCCACAATTCGGTTTACCTTAATATGCAAACTCAAATGTTTCATCAGGCATGATGTAGCAAATATTGCATACCTTATTACTGAATAGAGCTTTAAAATATTTAACTCATAAGAGACAGTATACACATATAAAGTTGCTTCAACCCTTTGTTCATTCTTAAGGCATTCATCTATATTTTGTGCATTTATTTCAAGAGGATTCTTTGCCTAAATTTTTAGTTTCAAAAGGTATCTGATACTTAAGAACATGTCAGGTGAGCTATAAAGATACTAATATTTCAAACACACCCTTTAATTCCACTAGAAGCAGGGTATAAACGAAGAGTTTCCATTGACAAATTAACGAAACTAATTCATGCCAGTAGTGAGCAAGATAACTTGAGAGTCTTGTGTGCAGATCCATTCATCTTGTTTGCAAATAATGAGCCACTGGTTAAGTGTTTCCTGAGAGACGTAAGCAATTCTGGTCAGATAGACTTATGGCGTAAATATTTTTTAAAAATGTATAGAAAAGTTTTCTCTTTTAATAAAAATAAAACTTCCCTGGTGTTAGGAAAGTAATCTGTCCCTTTGAGAAAAGTATTTTATATTAACACAGAAGACTGTTTTTTAGTCTCCCCTGGACAACAGAACTGTTTCGAATAAAACCAGTTTAATTTGAATATTGCCTCCAGTTTATCAGAACTCAGTAGATCTCAACCTTTGCCATTACTGCCAGTAGCTTTACTGAAAGCCACATGAGGGCGCTGACGTCTTGAAAGGGATTGAGTTTTTGTGTGTGAGAGACCTGATAACTAAAGAACCAGATTAGACCCTGTGCAACAGAAGCACATAACAATCTCCCCCCTCCTGTTGCTGCTGCATAAAGAAAAACAGTCGCAGGGGGATATATTTGGGAATGGTTAGGGAGAATAACTGGATAATCCTTTCTCTCCTAACCATTTCCCCATTACAAATCATTTCCCTGCCAGCTGTTTCACCACTTTCTGGCTCTGGAGAAAAGAGAACAGCGCTATCAGATTGGTTTTTCACTTATTTCTTTTTCCAAAACTTGTATCTTGTACCATCACTGCCAATCTGCATTCCCAGGGCACCCCTGCCACTTGTGTATCCCCTGTAGAACAAAACTATTATGTCTCAAATGCATCGTCGCTCTTTGTTTCCTTCCACACCAGCAGCAGAGCAAGCCGATTGGGCGCCTGGGGTGGCGCATGTGTCCTACGGCCAGGGACAGGGCGAGCCGGGACAGGATGCTCCATGGGGCCTTTGAGGAGTCTGCCTGCTTCCTCCCACTCAGCCGCCCTACAGCTGAGGGGGAGGCGGCGGGCGGACCGTTTGGGGCAGAGTGGAGCCTGCGGGCGCCCAAGCCACCGTGTCACTCCCAGGAGAGATGCGTGGCTTGGGCGTGCTCCAGGCCCCGCGATAAGTGCCGCCCGGCATTTTGTCACCCCCCTCAGTGGTGACACCTGGGGCAGCCCGCCCCCACCACACCCCCTTCCTCTGCCCCTGTTCCACACGCCAACCATTTGACTGCAAACTGATTTGTGGTCCTTTCCACGGCTGCCTGGCTGCCTCCATTGTCTTCTCCTGATAAACCTTTAAGATCTTTGGCCCATCTGTGGATTGGTTAAGAAGGCCGGATATGTGCATTATCACTGTGACGCATAGTTATCTCCCTCTCTCTCTCTCTCTCTCTCTCTCTCTCTCTCTCTCTTTTGGAAAAAGAAAGAAACTGACAAGACACTGTACACATGAAATTGACAAGCATGCTTGCCTTCTGTGTAAGGCAATTGCTTTGTGCTGCTAGTGGCCAATTGACATGAAGGTAATGCAGAAAGGTGACTTACAGTGCAGTCCTAATCCAGATTACTCAGAAATAAGTCCTATTGAAGTCAATGGGGCTTACTCCCAGGTAAGTGGGGTCAGGTGTGCAGCAGTGACTCAGTTGGAAGATGGTCAGGTGAGCACCAGCAGCCCACCACAGTTGTCTACTGCCTGTTGTAGTGTAACAACACCCAGAAGGCCAAAGCTTCATGGTTCCTGCCTTTTAGATACTTGCTTAAAAATAAAAATTTTTAAAAAGACAAAGCTGCCATTCTTTGCCTGGATAACTACAGAAATATATTCTAGTGGCATTTTCCACTGGGGGAAATGGGGAACTACTAAAGCACAGACACGCAGTTAACATCTTGTGACTTTCAGACATGCATGAACTTGAGTGACCTCACAACTTTCTTCAACGTTTATTTATCCAGCGTGGAGGGAGAAAGTGATTGAGTTTCTGCCAGGCTGATATTATGCCACAGAGCTCTGCATCAAAGCTGACCTTGGATGACTCTACAAAATTATTTGTGATATTCATGAAGGACCTGGTGCCATAGTTCCATCTGTGACAAAAAAATAAATGCTTTCCAGAAGGGTAGCTGTCTTCATCTGTTGCAGCAAAAACAACAAAGTGTCTTGGGCACCTTAAGACTACAGTCCATTTCAGTGTTTCTCTAAGTTGTAGGCAGAGGCATACCCAGGCTCCCTTGTGAGGAGCTGAATCGGCACCTCCAAAACCAGGAGACACCATGGACCAGAAACTCACTCACACTTCTAATAGCACCAACTGGGGAGAAGCCCCAAAAGGCTGCTGCGGTGGCCTACGCTGGCAACTGGATTCTGCTGCCAAGGCAGAGGAACCTGTGCACCTTGCCCAACTGGCCCTAGCAGCCCTGGAGTAGCCCAGGGAGCACACAGACGGGCAGACAGGCTCCTAGCCACTTAGAACAAGAGTGGAGAGGCACAATTTTTGCACCCCCACCCCCACAACGCCTGGGCCTGCACCCTAGGTATGCCCCTGGTTGCAGGTCTATATATGCACATGGTTTGGGGGATAGATTGTAAACAGTGAGGTCAGAGGAAAATGAAACGCAGAGATAAAGAGCCAGCAATAATTACAGTATATAATCAGCAGTGGTCATGCACAAAATGGTAGTTGTTAACACTGATATCCTAGCAGTGGCGAACCAATTAACACACAGTGGGTGTGATTATATACATATATATATAACCCTTTGCACCCAAATTCATGTCCTCATATAATCCTCCTTGATCAGAAATTTCATATTGCAGAAGTCTCATATTGCAGGCCTAAAACAGCACCAGGTAGATGATACCTTATATGGTACCAATCTTGCTACCATGCTTCAGGGGGAAATTTTAATAGAAGGCTGTTTATTGCTGAGGGGAAAAGCTGAGCTGGAAAAATCAATTTTCTCACAAGTATATCTCAGTAGCATTGAACCCCACTTAGGTGACAGTTTTATATATATATATCCAATTAAAATAATTTCACCAAAGTTGGAAGATATTCACCCCACTCCAATATTCCAAAACGTTCTTCATAATAACTTCATAACAGCTTAAATGAAAACCACACATGCAAGTTGCAGGAGGGGGGAAATCCACTGGAAAGAAAATGTGACAGAGTTCTTTACATTACTTGTAAGTAAGGAAAACGTAGCAGAACCAAGTTTTGCATCCTTGTGATGTTTTCTCCAGGGCTCTGCTGCTATGAGCAGACAGGTGCTGTCCCTAAATCTAATTGAGGGCAAAGAACATACAGTTGAAAATTCTCTCAGAGGAGAAGCAGGAAACACCAGCTGCTTTTTAATTTTAAAGGAAATTATAACTAATTGAAATTGAAATTGAAATACTTTGTTGTCATTTGTACAACTTGTATACAGTGAGATTACACTCAGCTCTCTTAGTCTTAATTCCCCTTGTTTACTGACACACACTCCATGTCTCATGATGTATCATGCCCATTTGCCTTTCACCTGTGATGAGACTGTCTCCTATATCTGCCACCTACTTTTCACAGGCCTGCCCAGTTACTAGCCAATTAATATTAGTTTATTCTTGACATTTACATGAGTTTATTGGAATAACAGCTGAACTGTCAAATCATGTTTAAAATGCAAATCCTTTTAATTACAAGCTGAATTACAGCCCTTGCTCTTTCTGACAAAACCCTTGTTCATTTCTATAGTTATTCATTTCCATGCTCTGTAATTTAATTCACTCAATAACTTTTAATCTAAACGTCGGTTGTAGGAAAACAGAAACACCTCCTTCCTTCCCAGAGCAGGTTAACAGGATCGACTTGTACAGTTTTCAGAATAATTTTCTTTCGTATTAACATAGGTCTGCCTGCAGAGGACAATTTTACTCTTAAGAATTCTAATGAAATTAATCAAGGGAATTAAAATGGAAATTGCTACTGGAAAGCGAATGTGACCTTTTGGCAAGCAGACGCTACAAACTGCTCTCTGTTTGCACAAAGAATTAATAGAGGAAGTTGATCCTTGCTTGATGGGGAACCACTGAAAATCCTGACATTCACATACAGTCCTAAGCTGCCATTTGTCCTATTTGGGGGGAAAACATAAAAAACAAACATATGGAGAAGGGAAAAAAAACCAGTTATGGAACATTACAGTACATAAAGGATATATAAGTAGCTTTCAGATAAGCATACAGGTTTGAAATTCATGCTTCTCTTCTTGTCCACCATGGCTTCTGGCTGGGTTGAATATCGAGCACATATGAATATTTAACCAGTGAAGTAGTTCTGTGGGATGCCTTTTACACCCAGTCCTGTTATCTGCCAGAGAATAAGAAATAAGTCATAGATTGCTAGCTAAGGCACTTAGAGGAGGTGCTGTAAGTGTCACTGCAGGCTACATCCCAGACTTTCTAAACTGGGGGTTAAAGAGAGAGTTTGTGTGCCTGTGTGTTTGTGCAGGCTGGTGGAAGAGGCGGCTGGGGAGTAGTCCATTGCCAGGACAAGATTTCATCATCTGATCTGTCACTGCATGAACTGATCCGTAGCTTGGCCTATCCATTCGTGCCACATTTGGCAGGCAGATATGAATCACCAGTCACTGCTTAGAGCAGGAGGTTCTTAGGAAATAGGAAAATCAAGGTGTTATAAGAAAAAAAACCTGTTCCTTTTCCCTTGTGGGATACCCAAGAGCCCGTATAGAGTCCTTATGTAGGTTCCCTATTGGTAGGAAAAAATAACAGAGGCCATCCAGAGAATATTGAGAAGCAAAGCAGCTAGTAAGCCTGATCTGTATTAAACTGTTGCAACAGGGTGCTTCCCGCCCCATGCAGGAGGGAGGAGGAACCCAGAACAATGGTGTGCAAGCCCTTATATAGACCTTTGAAATTCCCACCCTGTAGCTCAAGGTCACCCCCCTGAAACATCATACATATATCACAGAAGGAGGCAATCAACAGCAGAAATTCTGTCTGCCAGATACCTGATAATGGTCACTGATTGCATTTTCTGGGCAGTCTGGTCATTCTTTTGTGATGGTAAATACTCAGTTCCTGGAACTTGTACGCATATTGATAGTATGCTCAGCTTAACAAATACTTGCCAGACTGTATTAGAAAAGGGAGGTGTAAGCCCCTACAGTCCAAAGACAATTAGAAAGCTTTTTCCAATTCCTTCCTCCTTGCAGAGAAATATTTGAGGTCAATTTGGGAGAGTCAACATGGTTTCAGGACTGTTTTCGTGTACTGTTTCAGACATGTGGCTTATTTATTTATTTATTTATATGTGTCTGCCTGGTATATTTATGAATATTTATTTTGTATCTTAGACCTTATAATTCTCATAACAATGGCAAACTGCTAGACCGTCAGCTGCTCCACTGGGTTCACCTAGGCCTCAGGCTAGGTACAGGTGAACTGCCAAGGCCTTGTTAGTGTGCATGCACGCACAAACGTACGTGTCATAGCAGCAGTGAGCAGTCTGGAGTTTGGAGCCCAGACAAAGTGGCTATTAGAAGCTCATCTAGGATGCTAGATATTCCTGGAGACAGGAAGGCAACTGTGCACAACTTCAGAAAATTAGACAGAGCACAGAAAAAAGGACAGAGTCCCGATTCCTTCTGAGTGAACTGTCAACACAAATGCCTAAAAAATTTGAAAATTCAAGCCACACCATGTTGACTATCATAAACTCTGCTGGGCCAGGAGAAGGGGATTTCAACACCCGCCTTTCTGCACTTTCACAAACTAATTTTACATTATTCACATTCTGCTGAATGAATGTTATGCTTGGTTCATTTTACAAAGCTCAAATTGTTTACCTTGAAAATTTCCCCAGCCTGGGGTTCCTTGGCTAATGCATCTCTATCCAAACCATCGTAGGCCGAAGTGACATACATTTCTGAATAGTCTTTCCCTCCAAAGCAACAAGATGTGATCCTGGAAGCAGGCATCTTGACAGTCTGAATTCTTTTTCCTGCGTGAAAGTAGTTGAAAGGACAACCAAAACAAAAGTATGGGGTGGGGGGGCATAACAAGTCAATTGTTACTCAATGCTGATCACCTACTTCCTCATTATGCTAAATGTGTAACATGCAGGTATATATCCATTTTTTATTTAATTAAAAAAATGGGTCGAGGAGCTCTGATTTTTATTGGAACCCTAAAATCCCTTCCCTCACTGACAGTGATTGGAAAACACACAAACAAACAAAACACACATGCATGGCTGGTATTCTGAGGCATACATCAAACATTCAAATAATTTGCATAGAGTCCTGAGGTTTAAAAGGGACAGCCACATGGTTAGCCCAAATAGCACTCATTTTAGCTGCTTTGCAGTAATATTGTGATATCAGTAATATTGTGATATCCAATTATCTCTTGATAAACCAAAGAATGTATAACTCAGGAGCAATTCACTCATTATGATTTAGCATGGACATACAGCATAAATGTTAAAAGGGTGAATATACAGGGGACACAACTATGTTTTTGAAAGCCCTGTACACTGGTATGAAATAGTTTTTTATCTGCGGGTGACAGGTATTGGCCATTTGTTAGGGTTCACTGTTGGGTGACATCCTTTAAAAAAACAACCTATATTTGCCTCTCATAGTCTGTAGACTCGTCTTGACTCAGCTCACTCCAGAAGAAGGTGAACTAATGACCCCAAATCAGCAGAGAATCTCCCTTGCGTTTAATCCAGACAAGTATTTCCAGACATTTAATGATGCCTGTAAATATTTAAAGACATCACTAAACTGGAGTTAGTCAAATAAAAGTGCTCCATTTGTGATCTCTTCTATCTCTACCTCCCCCTCCCCCCTTTTGGGGATCAAAAAATGCAGAGTCCTCATTAATCGTTTACCTGCTTCAGGGTCGATGCGGATCACTCGTCCGCCATCAATACAGGCCACCCAGAGTTTCCCTTCTCTATCGATGCACATCCCATCAGGCATCGCCTCCTCTTTCTCCAACTTGTACACAGGCCTGCAACTGCAACAATCTGCATAAAGAATAAGGCAATCAGCATTCAAGTGCTTATTTTTATGCAGACTGTACTGTCTGTTGTGCTTTTCAAATTTTCCACATTTTAGAAACACTGCAAATCGCAAAAAAAAAAGTTACGGGGTGTGTGGGTGTGTGCATGCGCGCACACTCAATTTCACAGTGAGAACTGGCCAAGTCTTTGACTGCCTGTGGTCCTGCTCCCAGCCTTGAACAGTATGTTCAATGATCAGGGACATTCCGTTTCAGAGGTCCAGAGAGCCCTCAGCCACTTCCATATTTTGAGGGCCCTAAGGCATAATAAAAAATTGAAAATGATGGCACACGAAAACAAAATAGGGGGTGCACAAAAGGAGTGAGACATCATTAAATATGACAAAATATCAGTGAACAACAACAACAAAATGTTTTTTTTAACCAAATTACATCTCTCATTTGCTTAAATTTGCAGCTCTAAGCTGAGAGCATGTCATATTTCCGTCTGCTGCAGATAAGAACAAGTTGAGACGAGAATCAAATGCCAAAATAATTGATTTTCATGCTGAGTTGGATTTTAAGACACTAACACATCCTTAGCACTTTACTGTTGCTTCCCAGGGCCAAAAACAGATGTGTGTGTTTATGAGAAATAAACATCTGTCTGTTCAATATATAGTTGTTTTCTGTTATTAAGTAAAGAAAAATGCCATATGTGACAATATGGCATATAATGGAAAGAAAAGGAACAGTCTGTAATAGGGGTGACTAAAGTTGCACCCTCCTCCAGAGTTTGGACTCCAACCAGCATAGCCAATCGTCAGGGATGATGGGAGTTGTAGTCCAACAATATCTGCAAGGCTTCACATTGGCTACCCCAAAGGACAGGGTTGCCTACCAATCTACTACCAATTATTTCTTTAGCTGTTGCAATAAACAGTTTGAAGAAGAATGTTACCAATCATTCCTGTTCGCACATCATAGTCGAAGGCTTGCACGGCATAGGCCAGGCTATCGATGTAAAAGAAGGTCCTGTGATCGAGTGACCAGTCCAGCCCATTGGAGATGTCCACCTTCTCTAACTGCTTCACGACACCACAATCAGGGAAGAGAGTATAAAGAGCCCCCTGCTGCCTTGCTCTGACTCCAGGTGCTGTCTCTTCGGCCATGGTACCTAGGGGGTGGTCAGCAGAGGCACAGGTCAGGTAATTCTCTACTGAAGGGCCTCTTTAAAATGCACAAATAGCACTGATCCCACCCAAAGGTCAATCACTTGACTACTCCCACAACGCCACCTGTCTAATGACCTCCTAGCTTTCCTATCAGCCTTTAGGGAGGAAGAGTGCAATCCTACGTTTGCCCAGGCGTAAGTCCCATTGTGTACAAGTGTGTTGAAGATTGCAGCCATATATATATATATATATATATATACACACACACACACACATACATATATATATCTTGTATTTTTCGCTCTATAAGATGCACCAGACCACAAGACGCACCTAGTTTTGGGAGGAGAAAAACAAGAAAAAAAATATTCTGAATCCCAGAAGCCAGAACAGCAAGAGGGATTGCTGCACAGCGAAAGCAGCAATCCCTCTTGCTGTTCTGGCTTCTGGGATAGCTGCGCAGCCTGCATTCACTCCATAAGACGCACACACATTTCCCTTTACTTTTTAGGAGGGAAAAAGTGAGTCTTATAGAGCAAAAAATACGGTATATTTAAGCCCTTGACACACATCATACATCATACAATGGAAGCGGCTCCATTTCATGAATCACCAACCTCACAGTGCCCTCAGCCAGCTCCCCGCCTGCCAGTCTTCTTACTTACTGATATTCCAAGAGGTTAAGTAGCTTAAATCTGTTAATTTCAATGCATCTCTTCTGAACATGACTAACGCTGGATTTCTAGCCTTTACTATGAACATTAAAATTTACATCAAACAATTAAAAAATAAAAAACCCTGCCAATTTAGCTGAGACAAAAGATAGGCTCCCTGGTCTTTTATTTTTAATTAGCTACTTTCTAGACCTGTGTTGAAAGGTTGAATTATAGTAACACATCATGTGTTTTAGTTAAAGCGTAAGCAGTTCCACATTTGCAATTTTAAAAACAAACAATCCTGAGGAATACTATTTTACTTTTAAACTTTGATCAGAAAATGATTTTTCATTCTCATTAGCGGTTTGAAAAGACGTTTACTGCCTCTATATTTCAGTCACTTGTCCAGTTGCCTCTGAAGAATAGAGAAACTGATGCACCTCTTCCAATAGTCTGGGATGGTTTTACTGGTAAACGGATAATCGTTTGGATTTGTTCCTATCACCGGTTCTTTTAGTATACTGAAATTGGTTCTAATAAAAATTAATACGGAGACTGTCATTAAAATGCAGGGAATTGTTAGGTAAACCTCAATTATTTGAAAGTCATTACATTCATGATCTCTCTCCATAAATGAGTGGAGGTGACCCTATCTAAATAGTCCAAAATCCACGGGAGGCCATTACTTTTTATTTGGCTCAACCAAAAATAGATTATTTATTTATTTATTTATTTATTTATACCCCGCCCATCTGGCTGAGTTTCCCAAGCCACTCTGGGTGGCTTCCAATCAAGTGTTAAAAACAATACAGCATTAAATATTAAAAACTTCCCTAAACAAGTTAGCAAGCTTTCAACATCTCAGACTGGATACTACTCTGCTGTTTATTTTACATATATATTATGGATATTATCATACTTCTAATTCATTATTTTTTTTGCTGCTTGAGCAATTTTGATTGTTGCCATCAATAATTTGCATACTTGGGTGTAATCCTGGTCATTATACTGTATGTAGAATTGACTATTATTGTTATTTCTTAAATTTGTATACCACCCTATGTCTACCCTGCTACTATAGTACTACTATGATGCAATATTTTAGAGACCATTATTGTATACACAAATGTATTAATATAGATTAATCAGTTTCATGAATTTCTAGACACATTCCAACTCATTAGGGCTATCTAAACATACATACAATTGCGTTCAGATCAAATATATACCTGCAAAAAAAGAACCCCTTGGGTCTACTTTTCCATCATTGAATCGGTTGTTTGGTTTATCCTGTTCCACTTCAGAAATATCAGTGACTACTTGATCTTCCCAGTTCAAGAAAGCAAACTTTCTTCCTAAAGCGATCACGTAGCCGCCACACTTGCGAAGGGCTACTGAGCCAACACGAGCATCTGCAGGTAGGGAAAGAACAGGCAAGTTTACAAACCAGGGCACAACACACTGAGCACCCTTGATGAAGAAGTGCTCCCATGCAGAAATGAAGCCTGTTTGGGGAATAGACACTGTCGGCCTCTCCAGAAGCTTTGGGCCACAATTCCCATCTCTGCAGCCAGCATGTGATTGGAGACAATGGAGCAATAAACTCAAACTATATTAAGTGTCCATTCCACAAATCCCATTCCAGACTTGGGTTTGTTTTGGCATGGCAAGTCTGCAACATGTCATGGTCGCAATAACTCTGCATTAGTGATGGATTTGTACTGGACCATTCACATATCATACCACTCCAGTAGTTGTTATGCTTCCCCTGTGTTACTGCATTATTGCTATTTGCAGGAGCACTCTGGCACTGTTGCACAATGGGACTTGAGGAAGTTATGTTTCTGAGCACAATTCAAAGTGTTGGTGCTGACCTTTAAAGCCCTAAATGGCCTCGGCCCCGTATACCTGAAGGAGCGTTTCCACCCCCATCCTTCAGCCCGGACACTGAGGTCCAGCTCTGAGGGCCTTCTGGCGGTTCCCTCACTGCGAGAAACAAGGTTGCAGGGACCAGGCAGAGGGCCTACTCGGTCGTGGCGGCCTCCCTGTGGAATGCCCTCCCATCTAATGTCAAGGAAATAAACAACCATTTGACTTTTAGAAAACATCTGAAGGCAGCCCTGTTTAGGGAAGTTTTTAATGTTTGATGTTTTATCATGTTTTTAATATTCTGTTGGGTTACACCCAGAGTGACTGGGGAAACCCAGACAGATGGGCGGAGTATAAATAATAAATTATTATCATTATTATTATTATTACTACAAGATGTGCACTGACTGGAAACAAAGTGGTAGGCTGCCCGCCCAAAACATTTGCAGGCACACACAGTATTGAGAGCACGATCACATATAATTGTCCCAATATCATCATGAGCACAATGCAAAATAAAGAGGCTGCGTTACCCCACCCCCACTCCAGGGCTTTTGTGCTTATAGCACAAGGCCAAAGCAAGCCAATTTAACCCCTTTTCCATCTCTCTGATGAAATCTATTCCGCCATCCAAATGGACAATAATGTGGTAACACTGAGGAAAGATCGCAAAACAACACGGGTCTGAAGGGGGCCTGGATTTTTGGTGAGATCTTGTTCAGCCCTAAGAAAGACCGTGCGAAGCATCTGCCTCACTCTCAAAATCCTTGGCTGAGAAAGTCATGCCTCAGGAGTTTTCTCCCAGGCCAAAACAATTCCACAAAATAAAAGGAAAAACACTATTTCCTTACCCACAGACGCACACTGAACTTCGTTGGTGACTGAGTTCCAGCGGCAAACTTTCTGTGAATTGATGTCTACGTATACAAGGGAATTCTCCCTTTCTTCCCATGTAGGGCACTCCCCCATCCTGTTCTTCTGCTTCACAACAGTCTCGATTTTAATAGAAGACATGATGACCTGTGGGAAAGAAAACAGACCGTGTACATGCTATAAAGCACATTCTTTCCCCCAGAGAATTCTGGGCACTGTAGTTCGTTAAACGTTGCTGGGAATTGTAACTTTGCAAGCGGTAAACTACAGTGCCCAGAATTCTTTTAGGGAAAGATATTCTCTCTCATATATATGAATATATAATATATTCAAATACTGTGGTTTGCCTTTCCCTTTCTTGTTTCTGTACACGATTAAAAACTAATCCTAAAAGTAATCAAACTAATTTAGATATTCATTTCGAAAGGAAATAGGGTATTATGCTGATTTAAAGCACTTACCAGCAATGACGAGTGTCACCCGAGAATTCTCCGCTAAAGGCAGTTTTATTTCTTGCTCAAACAGGAAAGGTTGCAGCAAGCGATCAGAGAAGGCGAACAGAGGCTGGGCCCTGATCTCTGTTTACATACAGCTTTTCATAAAATCATAGAACTGTAGAGTTGGAAGGGACCACGAGGATCATCTAGTTCAATCCCCTGCAATGCAGGAATCTTTTGCCCAAATTGGGGGCACAGACATTTTATATTCATACAGAATAGACATGCAAGACACCCAGTGATAAAGGCTTACCCCCAGCTTAACCACAAAGACGGATGTTTCCAACCTCAGTTAGCTAGGCATTTTCCTGTTTATACCCATGTTTTAAAGCTCATGCCCTTGCACGCTCTTAAAACTTTCCTTTACACTTTCCTTGTGTCTTGCACTTTCTCTTTCCCTGTCTTAAGCTTGCATTTCAGCATAATCACAAAGAGGATACATGATTATGGTGTCAACCTGCAACAAGATGGTGGTAGTCCTGCTTCAGTTATAACAAAGATGGAGGTGGTCGTGCTTTGGTTACAACACTAGTGAGTTATGAGAATGATCTTTGTCAACGACACTAACAAATGTTTTGTTATGAAAATCTTAAATAGTAGAATAAAAAAATGCTAAAACTGATAAACAAATGAGGGTTTTTTTTCCAAATAAGATATGCTGTTATTTATTTTATAGAGATTCCAGATATTATATTTAAAAAAATATATATTAAAAATGGTATTAAAAATTCCTCCCGTCCTCCCTGGCACACCCTTCCACCTCACAAACACTCACATTCTCTCTCTCTCTCACACACACATACATACACAAACACACATAGACATAGTCATTGCCCAGCTGTTCAGCCATGAGGCGGACAATAAGGTTACATAGGATATGCTGGGGCAGGCAGGGAGATTAACAACATGGGAACAGCTATCTTGGGTGGTTCAGGAGCCCCGGAAGCCACCAACATCACTCTTGATGCAGGCCCAAAACCAACTGCTGTCCCTGAGCTGCTTTGCAACATGGGATGGGAATATTACTATTCCCACCCACTGGCCGGTTGATGGCTGATCCACTGGCAGTGGAGGGAGGTGGCAGGGCTTGACTTGGCTGCTCCTAGCCCACCTGTGTCCTAATTTTTTATTTTTATTTTTGCACTGTGTGCTTTGGAGCACCTTATCTTCAACCCATGCCCATGCAAAAGTCCTTGTGAAATGGTAATTTCCATGCCAAATCAGCAAACAAGTATTGCATCACAGACATCTGACTGCCACATTCTGTTTTATTTTTTTATCTCCCTTCAGTTAGGCAAGAACTGATGGGGATGCAGGTACCCTAGTACCTCAGTGTAGAATAGTAGCCTGAGATTAGCAATTACCCATGTGCAGAATAATGTTGCTTTTCTCAATGCCTGCAGATGGCCTTGGCTTGGAAAAGAGAATGCCAGTATATTCTTGGAGAACCTCCTAGTGCCTTTCAGGCAACAGGAAAGGCAAGAAGCAGTGAATTAAAGTATCGAGCTATGAAGGAAACCCAAAAACAATGTTCAGCACATGACCATGTTCTTGCTCAACCCCTGCTTAAATCAAAGCAGCTCCTTAAACTGACTCATTGTGTTCTGACACCTGCACTCCCAAGTTTAGTATAGATACATGTATTTTTTAAATGGCCAGCCTACTCAAATCAACTTAAAATATAATTAAAAAGATGCAACAGCTGATCTTATCTGCGCTTGGAAGTCTGCTGATAGCGTTTTAGAGTGAGTCAGCAGTCACATGAATCCATGGCATAACTCCAGAGGCTTTTCACAATAGCCTGTTCCATAATGGGATGCAGGTAAGCAGTCCCCAAGTGAATAACATTTTCCTGAAGGGAAACATTGGCTGAGGTGGGCTTCAGAAGGGAGGTGAAGGCCTCAAGGAGATCACTAGGCATTCACAATTAGCCCAGTTGGCATGTCATGGTAAACCATGGTTGATGGGTTACTGTAAATGTGCCAAAACTGCTTGCAGTTCCTTCCCACTAACACATAACAAACTATGATCCAAATTATGTCCAAATAGAGGCTTGGTGTTTGTTCTGCTCAAACAAAGCACAATTAATGAGCCTCAGCTTCACACCTTAGCTACAGAGTGAAACAAACCATGATGCCCAGTTTCTATTTATACATTTCATTAGTTTTACAATCAATTTAACATTTCAAACTTTGACTTCCTTCACCCTCTTTCTGCAGTTCCTTAAATTTATTTTTTAACATCCTCTGCATATCCAAATTCATTTAATTTGCTCATTTAATTATCTACTTTAAATATATACTGTCATGAAACTGCAGGTTATTACAACAATCCTGCTAATCTTTTTATCTGTTTGCAATTTATCTGTAAATATTCAAGAAACCAGTTCCATTCGTTTATAAAAAGTTTGTTACCTTGATTTCTTATTCTTCTGGTAAGTTTCGCCATTTTTGCGTATGTGATTTGTTTCTCTGACATGCCAGCAGGGAAGAGCAAAGTAGACAAGACTGGCTTATTCATAGTAAACCATGGTTTATTGTGACATGTAAAGGTCAACTATTCGTTTTGATTTCTCACCAGGCATTCAGACACACACACAGACACACATAACTCTGATGGCAACCTGGACCCCTCAGGAAGAAACTTTTTAACGTGTCGAGTACTCAGGGTTGCAATCCTGAAACCTGGGTGTGCCTCTTTCAAAACACATGATGCAATGGAAGAAAATACAACCATGTGCCCACTCAATCCCTTTGATCAGCGGAACTAGCACTTCCAAAGGTGTCACATAAAACCCGTTCCGCATATGTAAGAACTTCATCATTTACTGTGGCAGCGTATACCCTTTGGAACTCCCTGCCTATTGAGCTCAAGCAGGCGCCTTCACTGTACTCTTCTCCCCCAGCGCCTGCTAAAAACATTCCTGTTTAGACAAGCCTACCCAGATGCTTAGAAAATTGAGATAATTTAAATCTGCTTTAGTATTTTAACTTTCGCGTGTTATATCTTTTGTAAACCACTTCGGGTTTTTTGTTTTTTCAATCAAGCAGTATATAAATTTTATGAAATAGAATAAACAAATATCCCCAACCCATTCCCACCATGATCCTGTTGGCATATTCCCTTTATGAACTTGCTTAATAGCACTCCTGGAATCTCATTTATCCAAGCAGGTAAGAGAAGTGGGCAAGCAACAGCACAGAGGGACAGAAGCAGTTCTATCAGAGCTTTCCCAACTTTTCATGTTGGTGACACACATTTTAGACATGCATCATTTTGCAATACAATAATTCAGTTTTACTAGCAAACCGGAGGTTAAACTAACCCCTTTCCAGCCCCAGGAGGAGTGCGGGGAGCATTCTCATGACACACCTACACACTGTAGCTGACACACAAATGTGCCGCAACACACAGTCTGGAAAGCTCTTGAGTTATATCATTGCTGTGTGATGACAGGTCATATTTTTCTACCATCACATTTCACCAGGAGCTTGTCCTCTACTCTCATGTACATACCACCATCAACAATATACTGACAGCCTTGTGTAATGACTACACATTACACATTTTGTGTAATGATTAAATTCTATTTGGAAATTAGTAATTGAACATTTACACATGTGCACAATAGGCTTCTTCAGTTCCTCCTGGTTTCCTAAGTGCCGCATCCTGATGCAGTACCCATTGGCTCTTAATTACCTGTAATTTTCTTAGATTCAAATCCTAAAACTCTGTTCTCATCTGCTGAATTATGAACTAAGGCAGTAATATTGTTCTGCAGGGAGTTCATACATACAAAAGGACCATGGTATATACCACTTTGAGGTTTTATTAAAATCAAGAGGTATATAAATGTTGCAAAATAAACAAATAATACAGCCTGTAGATAGCTGAAATTCACATTTCCAGCTCTGATATTTGCTCCAAATTATTATTTATTCTGTCTGATTTATTTCAGATCATTTGCACCTTTGCATCTATGTGGCTTTGACCACCTTCCTCCCAGGTAAGTAAAAATATCCAGTAGAATACTCACACCCAAGCTGTGCTTTTATAGCAATTTCCTCCAATGTTTACTGGAAACTACAGTTTACCCCTAACACAGTTACAACCTCAGTTAAGAAAGCTAATAAGAAAGTTAAATGCAATGTTGCATATTTAGGACATTTCCTTTCTGAATTAACCCTTTAAACCTGAAATAATACTGATCTTACCGTACAGCGTTCAAAACAGCCACTTTCTCAACTGAGCACAACCTGATTAATTTTTCTGGGTTGTGCATGAACTAATATACTCTTGTGTGACTCCAGGTTCCCAGCCCAAAGGAAGAGAAAAATAGTTGTAGGGCGTTGTAGCTGCTCCTCCCAAGAAAGCTGTTGTGTTCTTGCCCAATCCTTTTCAAACCATACGAAACAGATCACAACTACAAGGTCCAATAATCTTCTATTGAGAAAGCCTGGGGATGGGTGGTAGCTGTTTTTCCACCTGAGCAATGCAGAATGAAAAATAGAATGAAAACAATTTGAGATGATCAAGAACAACAATTGATAGAACTTATTAAGGCAGCTGTGAAGATCATTGGGAACATGGTCTGAGCACCAAAGCTGGATTATTAGACAATTCAATAATTCTCTTTCACTACTAAAAGGCTATCCTCTCCCAGGATGGACTTCTGCATGAAATTTAGAGGCCTCATTATGTTTGTTTATTCTTTCTAAATGAGAGAGTCAGTGTGGTGTAGTGGTTAGAGTGTTGGACTAGGCCTGGGAGACCTGGGTTCAAATCCCTACTTGGACATGAAGCTCACTGGGTGAGACCTTGTGTCAGCCGCTGCCTCTTAACCTGACCTACCTCATAGGGCTGTTGTGGGAATTAAATGAGGAAGCAGAGAACCACGTACACCTCCTTGAGCTCCTTGGAGAAAAGGTTGGATATGGATGCAATAAATAAAATAAATGAATTAATAAATAATGTTGCGTAATTACCATATACCAGATCAATGGCTTGCAAATGATAGCCAATTTCTCATTTTTTTGTAGTGACTGACCACTGCATACATCCGTTAAAGAAATGGAGGGTACTCCTAGACTAATTAAGTAAAGCAGCATCACTTTTAAAAAAGTGATATTAGTGATACACACCCACAAAAGGTTGCCATTTGTCAGTTTTGTCCCGGACATGTCCGGGATTCCAAGTGCAACATTACCATCCTGGGGGGATTTGTTTTAAATCGGCAAAATGTCTGGGTTTTTGCAAACAGAACAAACAAGTGCTCAACAACTTTGGTGTCCAGATTTTTCCTTCTTGAAATATGGCAACCCACACATACCCACTTCCTAAAATCAAATCATGCAGCATACTAGAGAGTGCAAATTTGTCTTTCCTTTTTGTGGGCAAATCTAATTCAATAGCGATAACACTCACCAGGTTCCTAGGACCCAAGTCAATTTATTTTCAGGGTGCCTGCATGGGAGTTGACTGCAGCCAACTGGTCCTCTGCCTGCCTGCCTGCAATCCAGTCTGGTTTGTGTGGGTGATAACAGCAAATCGTATTCAATATGCAAGACAGGAAAAACGAGGTGCAGTGTTTGTCAGCACCCAAAGGCTCCTAAGTCTTTCAGGAATGGGCTTCCATATTCCTGCTGTCTTAACAAATGTCAGGATGAGAAAATCCCTTTCAAATATATATGTATCTTCCAATGGCTGTAGCACATAGAAGCACTGGAAAGTTGTCCCTCACTGCAGATGTATAAAGAATGCAAAGAAAGCATTGAATTGCAAGGTTAAGAGAGAGAGATGTTTTGTACACCTAAGATTACCAAGAGCAAAATCCTGTTGAAAGTGGAATTTCCTGAAGGTCTGGAGAAACTGGAATTAACAAAACAAAACAAAAACCTTTCATTCTAACAGAGGTTGTTGGTTTGGAAAGAAACTGCAACAATTCAAACATTTTTTAAATAGTTTTTTTAAAAATTAAACCTATGTGTCCCACCTTGCTATGCTTACCCAAGAGTTAAAGCTACATTCCTAAACACATTTTCCTGAGAGCAAGTCCCATTACTTAGTGGGGCTTACTTCTGAGTAGCCCCATATAGCATTGCTCTGCCAGCTGTGAAGAAAAGAGGGGGGGAGGACTCTTTCAAACCTACTTGTTTGATGCAGTTGTCATTTTTTGTTGGCTTGTTCCTTAAAGGTAAAGGTAAAGGGACCCCTGACCATTAGGTCCAGTTGCGGACGACTCTGGGGTTGCGGCACTCATCTTGCTTTACTGGCTGAGGGAGCCGGCGTACAGTTTCCAGGTCATGTGGCCAGCATGACTAAGCCACTTCTGGCAAACCAGAACAGAGTGGCTCTGTGGTCTAAACCACAGAGCCTAGGGCTTGCGGATCAGAAGGTTGGCGGTTCAAATCCCCGCGACAGGGTGAGCTCCTGTTGCTCGGTCCTTGCTCCTCCCAACCTAGCAGTTCGAAAGCACGTCAAAGTGCAAGTAGATAAATAGGTACCACTCCAGCGGGAAGGTAAATGACTTGTTGCTTACATGACATCTATCCAATTTTCAACCTTCCCGCATCCCATTCCAGAGATAAATGCAGCAACCTTTCCTTTTCTTATGACCTCTTCCTCCTTTACAATGAGTTCAAAACAAAACCAAGCTCAGTTATGACTGGCAGGTGCTTCTCAAAGTAAGCTTTGCTTCCTTCAGCCCTGGATTGTGGATTCCCAGGAATCTTTACAGTAGGAACAAATCAGGAAACTACATATTTTGTCCCCTCCCCCCAAATAGCAGCCACAGGGTCCTCTGATCTGGATGTGGACTATGTAATTAAGTGAAAGGTCTTACCTGGGGATCTTTTTCTCCAGCTTAAATGCCCCTTCCCCAAACTACTACCTGCAAAGTTAAAACACATCGGAATCTGTGTGACAGCGGAGTTAACCCTGCTTCCCTTATGCCATGGACCCAAATTAAATACCACCAGCACCCCGCTTTGTTTTTTAAAGGAATGTATAACACGGGGATGGGGAACTTGGGTCCTCTAGATGTGGTCCCAAACCTTTGTTATTAGGAGTACAGTTGTTTACAGAACTATATATGTAGGCATTCTTAACCCTTACACATGTATCTTCTTGTGTGCATGTTGTCTACCCGCTCCCAAAATAATGGACACACACTCCCCTGCAATGGGGTGATAGCCAGTCAATGGTTCCTCCAGTGTCCTGCCCTTTCCTGTGCCTAGTCAGTCAATGTTCAGGCATGGAACTATGATCTCTGGGCTATGATGTTGCTTCTCCTTACCTGCCAGTGGCAATACAGGCTGTGTCAAGGAAGACCCTTGTCCCTCCCTTAGAATGATGTTGCATATATCCGGGGTGGAGAGTCAATGCTACATGGTAACAGAGTGGCAGATGAATCTGGTTTAATTTTTCCAAGATGCTCCTCAACCCCCACTTGAAGAACATTAATGTGCTTTCACTCACAAACTGATAGGCTGTGTGGTAGAGGTCCATAGAATTATAGAATTGTAGAGTTGGAAGGGACCCAGAGGGTCATCTGGTCCAACCCCCTGCAATGCAAGGTTCAACTAGAGAACTACTAACTCTTCTCCTTAAATAGGAATGGACTCCTATCAGCCCAGCCAGCATGGCCAATGGTCAGGAATGATGGGAGTTGTAGTCCTGCAGTCATGGATTCTACATCCGTGTTTTAGACAGATGAATGATATTTCGTGGCCAAAGCAGGTGTGTGATCTTTTTCAGAAATGCTACACAGCCCAAACTGATATGCAATTGGTAGAGTTAAACAACGAAGCTAACGATTTTCATTTACTAGGAAACACTGGGCAACCGTCATGGCACAGCCACATGTTGTTCAGGAGGAAATCAGGAGGCATAAGAAAACACAGTTGTACAAGTTGTTCCCGCCATCAGAACACTCTGATGGCAAATTCAGTTATCCGAGCCTAAAGAATTATGACCATACCTTGTTACATGTACGCCTGATTCAGATATCCGAACAGCCAGAGCTTGCCCACCTCCTTACTTGTTTCTGCTTTGCTGGTTGACAACAGCCATTTTCAAGCAGAAGCCATGGAGGGAGGGAGTGGGGAGAGGGATTGAACAAATCAGATTTTTTTACTTTGTCTCCCTTTCACTGGTTGGCTGCAACCATTTTAGTAATAAACCATGGAGACAGAGAAAATAGAATTAGAAATGTTTCCCTAGGAATCCATGAACATTGTCAGCTCGTTATGTGAGCACTCGCCTAACAAACGGTTTCCTGAGAACATATTGTGTTCAGAAAGCGGGACCTGCATGCATTTCAGTCTTTATTAGGAAAGAATCGATTTTTGTAGAAGAGAAGAAAACATTGCTTTTCTTGTTGTTAACAAAAAGGCCAATTTGGCAAAATACAAAATCTATATTAAATGTTTGGAGGTTATTTAGCTTGGCTTTCCGTGGCTGCCATCTTGCTGTAGCCGTCAGGAAAGAGATACGCATGTGAATCTTTGACATTTTCTTCTTTCCTGCTCTTGATGAGTGCCTTTGAGAGTAACTGTTAGCCCGCATATGAATTTGGCGGGATTCCTTTCACCCCGAGGCCAGTGATCTGTTAAAAAGCATGAGGGGAAGGATATAAATATGACAACTCAAAATCCCCCATGTGCCTTTGGTTATAAACTCAAAAAGTATCCACCACCACCCAACAAAAACAACAACTCTAAATGCTTGCCTGCATCTTAATATCATATGTAAGTATATAGGGCAATTGCATTTCTAAATGCAAAGTGCACATATTTCACAGGAGAATAAAATAAACAACAGCTTTTTATAGGTTTGGCCTGGCACCAAACACCTCTCTCTCCCACCCTGTTCTTTCATAGCTGTCTTCTACAGGCAACTGGGTCCATAGAACTCAGTACTGACACTGATTGGCAGAGTTTATCCAGGGTTTCAGACGGGAAGTGTTACCCAGCCCTACCTGCAGATGCTGAGGGCTGACCTGGAAAACTTTCTGCATGCAAGGCAGATGCTCTCTCACCAAACTACAGCCCTTTCCCACATGTGTGTGGCCTCAAGTGCACTGGACCCTTTCGTACGCGCTGAAAACCATCCAATTACCTTGAAAACATTGCCAGCTTTTGGCTGCCCTGACAGTGAGGCCTCATCCAATCCTTGGCTAGCAGATGTGACGTACAGCTCTGAATAATCATTTCCACCAAAACTGCAGGAAGTAGTTTCAGCAACAGGCAGCTTCACGGTCTGGAGACGTTTTCCTATTAAAGTATACCAGTTTTGGGGTTTTTTTGGGGGGGTTATGCGGATGATCAACGTGTGTCCCCCACCCCACAATTTAGTGTTTGGAGCACAACTCGAAGGGCTGCCCCTTCCCCATAAAACAGGGCTTGCTTAGCATATTTGGAAGTAATTAAAGTAATAAGCATTACTATCTGAAGAACGCCCTATTAAAAACATTGTAATGTCTAGGATTATATAATTGTAGGATAGTCCTGCAAGAATCCTGACAGAATGGATCAGTGCCAAAGCAGAGTAAGTCTTGAATGCAAGTAACATTATCACTTTAAAACAAAACAAAGCAAAACCCTGAAATGGATGTATGCTCCAGAGTTGCAGCATAGACTTTGAAGAAGGTTTTTTTTTTTTAAATGCAAAAATAAGAAAGTAAACAAATAGGTTTATTGTATTGGTTGATTAAACAAAATTGCCTTACTGGGATTCCATCACATTTCAGCTGAATTTCTTCAACTGTTACACAGCATTCATATACTATTTATGTGAATTTATGATCGTTGCCGGTATGGAAGAGAAACTTTTGTAATGTGGAGAATACTGGACTATATTTTAGCCCAGTGTGGCCTACTATGACTGTGTGTCCATTCTCTCCCACAGTGCACTCAACTGTGTTTCCATTGCTGGGTTTTAAATCCTTGTTCACACACCATTATCCTAAATGCATATGCACCTTGCACTTTGTTACAAAATACTACAGTTTGATGCATTGTTTCTCAAGCCAATTTCACCCCAATTAGAGTCCTTAAGCTGCTCTCAGCACGTTGGCATAGGGTAAAAACGTCCCCACCCTGGTCAACACGTCCTGGTTGTGTACACAGACAGAAATCAGAATCTGACACTAATGAAGCCACTCTGATTCTGATGTGAACAGCTAGGGGGAATGTGAACACACCCTGTGACACAATGGCTCTTAAGCAAAGGGAGGTCTTTCCCAGCCCCTCCTACCTGATGCTTTTAATCAGAGATGCTAGGGATTTAACCCGGGGCAAACCAAATTCTCTGCCACTGCACTCAGTCCTCAGTTTTGAAAAAAACACGAATCTGCACTTTGGTTTATGTAGTTTTTACATTTGCTCAGTTCTTAAAACAAGAGCTGCTTTAGACACCAGGGGTTAATATGCCTTTTTGATTTCCCCTTGCACCCTTGGAGCTGCAGGCTGCCCCCTTCATAGAAGCAGCTCCACATAAGCAAAGGTTCCCCAAAGAATCCTGGGAACTGTAGTTTGCCCCTCACTGAGGTACAATCCCCAGCACCCTTAAACTATAGTTCCCAGGATTTGAATGTATGGTGCATACACAGCAGAATGGATGCAATCCACACAGATATGTGAGCTGTTCATCACATCATTCGCTTTGAAAAACAACACTACAGGGTTGTATGCAACGTGTTGAGCATTGGGGCATCAAAAAGAGTATGCAATAAAGTCTTCCATGGGAGCCTGAAAGGACCCAAGAGGGATCATCGAGATTCTTTAATTGAGATTTTTCTTTCTTCCTCCCACCTTGCAACTGCTTACCTGTCTCGGGGTCTATACGGATCACTCTTCCTCCATTGTAACAAGCCACCCAGAGCTTTCCGTCAGAATCAATGCACATCCCGTCAGGGATACTCTCTTCCTTTTCCATCTTGTAAACGCTCCTTCGGTTAGCTGCAGAAAGAAGTTGACGCACATTATGGACTTAATCACACTTTAAACGCTATGCCTTCCAAGTTAGCATTTCCGCCCCCCCCCCCAAGACATGGACCTGAAGAAAGCTAAGAAAAACTACGAAAGGATCCATCCAAGAAGTTGATAAAGGGTTACCACTGAAATGGCACTGCATGGGGAAAGGAGAAGCCAAAAGTCTTCAGGCAAAAGCACCTAGAAGTGGTGTAGAAGCATAGTATAGAACTGGCATCATTGATACATTCTAGATTTCAGTTCCAGAAAGACTGTGCTATTAGTAAAAACAAGCAAGCAAGCAAACAAACAAAAACCTACCTCTAGGTCAGGTTTATATTATCCATATTAGTCTGTGCTACATATCTGAATATTATATAAATACTGTATGGCAGAATATAATCAAATGAGCTAAATGGACCAGTGGTCTGACTCAGTATAGGCAACTTTCTATCTTAATAGTCATGGCCCCAGTTTGCACATCTCATTAAACCAAACTATCACATTTTGCCGATCTAATGAATATACTTGTGGCTTAAACTTCAGAAACAGGTCATTTTAAAGCCAGACAAGTTATCCCAAAACTGACTCACAGCTACAGGTATTATTAGAACGATGCAGTGAGATATTCTTACAGTATAGCAGGTACAGATTTTTGCTCAGTGCTTGGCAGCAAAACAACTGCACTGGGGGAAAAGTTTTTATTTTAAGGATCTCGAAATAACAAAAGCAGCCATACAGAGCTTTCCAGTTTGCAGGTCATAGTCGAAGGCATCCACCGAGTACGAAAGGCTGTCGATGTAATAGAAGGTTCTGTGATCCAGCGACCAATCCAAACCGTTGGAGATGTCCACTTTGTCAAAGTGTTTCACTACTGAGTGATCAGGAAAGAGGGTGTAGAGGGAACCTTGCTGCCTCTCTAGCACTGCTGGCCGAATCTCCTCTCCCATTGTACCTGCAAGGACCACAACATTCAGGTTAAGAGTATCCTAAAAAGACAATAGACAGCCAAAGATGTAGCACCACAACAGTGGGTGGTCTCCTCTTTAATTATTCCACCCAGTGAAGCTGAATGTTCAAAGAATGTTCAACTACATTTTACTCAGAGTAGCCTCACTGAAATTAAAGAATACACCACATCCACACCACGCATTTCAAACACCACAATACCACTTCAAACAGTCGTGACTTCCCTCAAAGAGTTCTGTGAATTTAAGGATGCTAGAAGTTGTTAGGAAGGAGACCCCCTACTGACCTTACAGGGCTCCAATTCCCAGAGTTCCCTGGGGAGAGGGATTGACTGTGAAACTACTCCAGGAATTGTAGCTCTGTGAAGGAAAGAGGGGTCTCCTAACAACCCCCAGTAGAAGAAAGTACGGTGCTATTTTTCTAGAAAAAGAGGTGCCGGAACAAAGTTCGGGAGTTCTGGCTGAAAAAAAGCCCTGCTTCTTCACATAGTGAGTAAACAACGGAATTGGCTCTGATAAGACAGTGATGGCCACCAACTTGGGTGACTATAAAAGAAAGAAAAAAGAAAGAAAGAAAGAAAGAAAGAAAGAAAGAAAGAAAGAAAGAAAGAACCTTGTCAGATAAAGTTATCAATGGCTCCTCGCTACAAAAAATGGATCCATTTGCTTCAAAGGCAGAAGTCAGGTTAAGTGACATGAAAACTGTGCTCTGAATTGTTAGGGATATTTATTTGTCAAAGCAAAGTAATCACATGGAACAAGAGAAACACTAAGCTGCAACACAGAAGAAGCTGAGGGGAAGGAGAGAGGTGTTTGTTCAGTACAAGGTTCTGTGAACTGGGATTGATAGCTACTGTTGGGTGATACACAACGAAGGATCCTAATTCCTTAAGACAAATAAACGAGCTGGAAATCTTCAAGCATGGGACTGATGGCCATCCAAACCTACCTGCAAACAGTCTTCCTGCAGGATCCACTTTCCCATCATTGAACCGGTTATTGGATTTATCCAAGTCAACGTTCTTAATGGTGGTTACTGACTTATTTTTCCAGTTTAAAGCTGCAAACTGGGTTCCCAGGGTAATCATGTAATCGCCAGATTTGCGAAGACACACACAACTCACTGGAGCACCTGGAGTGGAAACCATGTTTTGGGGTGGGGGAGAAAAGAGAGTGAACCACTTGGACAACTTTTTATTGTTTTTCAAAGGCATTAAATAAACACATACGTAAAATTGTTGTTGTTGTTGTTTAGTCGTGTCCGACTCTTCGTGACCCCATGGACCAGAGCAAGCCAGGCACTCCTGTCTTCCACTGCCTCCCGCAGTTTGGTCAAAATACGTAAAATACATAAAATTAAATATCCTTGTTCACAGCCACAACAAAGCCAAGTCTGACCCTCTGTCCATGACACTACACTGGAACTCAATACTTGACTACTGTAGTGTAATTCATATGGAGTTGCCCAGTTTGGAAGCATCAGTTACAAAATGCTGCACCAGAAACTTTTGCATAGCTAGAACATAATCCTACTGTACAAAAGTTAAAAGTCCAATGATTTGAGGACCTCACTGCCCTGGTTATACTCAACCATGTTTCATATAGGCATCAACTGCATGTTGATATCTATTTGGACTTCTGGAGGGCTTATACTAACTTTAAGATTCATGTGCTGATGGTCACTGCATCCACAATGCGAGCTGATGGCAGTTTCTTGTTATAATTTGTACATTTCTATCATCATTGCTGTTTTCCTCTTCTTTTTCATTGTTTTTGTTTCACCTTTTTTCTTTTTCTTCTCCTTGTTAAATTTGCAAATAAAACAATAGAACAGAATCCCTTGCTCTACCCAACACTAGCATGTGGCCCCCATAAGGTTGCCCTCTAGGAAATGTGGCCCTCAGGCTGGAAAATGTTTCCCATCAAAGTTGTAGGGCTTACCGTGAACCAAGTCAGCCTGCTGGTGTGTGCTGCTCTAATTGCACTGCACCGCTCCTCTCTTTTGAAAGCCGGAGGAAACAAAACAGCGGCCCGCAAACCATGAGTGCTGGTTCACATGTGGCACTAAGACAACTTCTGGTTTGTTTCCTCTCAGCTTTGGAAAGGAATGCATTGGGCAGCATGATTTGAGCAGCAGGCACCAGCATGCCTGCCCATTCACAGTAAGCCACAGTTTGGCTTATCATAATCTGTGAACTATGCAACAGACAGAGTTTGGTTTGTAGGCAAATTTCACACTTAATAGATACCTTTCAGTGCCGGAACTGGTCCTAAGAGCTGTATGGGAAGGAATAGTTCCAAAAGTGTGGCTTATCCTACCACAAGTCGATGGGAAAACCATACCTATGGCGCTTCTTCCTCCCATGTAGCTTGTAAAAGTCACACGATGATCCCGCCAATCATCTAATTTTTAGATCATTCTGAAATAAATACTCTACTGTGAAACTGTTCCTTACCTACAGAAACACTATGAAGTTCCTTGGTAAGGGAATTCCATCGGTAGACCTTTTTGTCAGTTATATCCACAAAGAGAAGCGAACTTTCCTTTTCCTCCCAAACGGGTGATTCTCCAAGTTTGCAGTTGTGCTGCACAACGGACTCAACTTTTACAGAGGACATGGCCTTTGGGGAAGAGAAGCAGCAATCAAGGAAGGCAAAGGATGTTTCCCTTCGTTCCTACCTGCAGTCAAGTTAAGTTGAACAGGAACCAGATGTTAACTACTCTCCCCCACAGTTGAAACACACTTACCTTGAGCTGTTTTTTAGCCCACTTTTTAGGCAAAAAGATTCCCAGAGCGGCTCTAAAATCACAAGGAAGAAAGTCTCTCACAAGCCACAAAGGCATGATGATGGCACACAAATAAAAGGGGAGGGGGGATGAAAAAGCAAATTCAGGAACCTATTCTAAAAGTTATAAGCTAGTTGGGACCTGGAGCTATCTGGACCCTTAGCCTCTCTTCAGAGCTATATTCCAGGCAAAGTGAGACTCTGCACAGGACCAATGCCTCGCAAATTTATGAAATGAATTGCCATAAGGTAAGGGTGGCTTTAAAATGGATTAGTCAAATTCACAAGGACAGGTCTAGCAATGGCTATCGGCAATGATGTACAGTAAATAAAACCAGGAATCTTTATGGCCCAGAAACCTCTCATTGCCAGATACAAAGAACAAACAATAAAGATGTCCAAGTCCCTCATCTCCACCCTTCACCACTTGCAAGCTTCCCAAAAGCACCTTCCCAGAGGCTAAGCATCCATTCAGACTTTTCTGTCACAGACAGAAAGTTGCACTAAAGGACGAGACTTTGGAAGAGCGAAAGAAGCATTTTCAGAATTGTGTGTGTAAATGCTCAGAGTTGATGTCTATCAGGACTGAACGAATTCTGCTCGGCAACCCAAATTCAACCCACTGGCTATGCTCAATCAGAGGCCCACTATGTTCCTTGTTTGGGGAGCCTGCCTGAGATTACAAAAAAACAGGAGGGCTGTTGAGCAAGTGGCAGGATAAAATATACAGCTAGTGGGCTTTGCTCACCTTTTCGGATCACAAATTTTACAGCCTGCACAGTGTTGCCAAATATCACTCCTTCTAATATCAAGCTCAGGAAGTGAGAGCCAATAGAAATTGAGCCAAAACCTGACATGAAGAGGGAGCTATCAACATGCTCAGGGCAACCTTGGGTATTCTGAGCAACAAAAAAAGAGGCAAACCATCCAAATGAAGACAGCAGGAATCCCAGAATTTTGCCTTTCAATTGAAAAGAAAAATGGGAAGCTGAGAGGGTGAGGAGTAAATGTGCTTGCTTGCATCCCATGGCTCACAAGTATGACAGGCTAGCAGGATCCCTGAGGAGAAGGACTTCTAGAACAGATGCACTCAACAATTTGTTATAGGCTGCACTTAACCACTAATGCCTGAACCCACAATGCACGGCAGCTTAGTGAAAGCCGCAATTATATTTTTCCTGCAGAGCAAAAGATATTAATTTCTTGAGGCTGTATGGTGCCTCAAGATTTTATTTCAGAGTTCTCCTAGCAAACTAGACATTAACAACTATAATTATTTCAAGAAAGCAACTCTTAAAAAGAAAAAAAAAGACAATTGGGGCTGGGAGGAAAGACACAAGAAATAAGCATTCTTACAGAATCAAATAAGAAGTCCTGTTCGCAGTCAGCTCAGTCAAATCCCAGTCACAATGTCCAGCAGTGTGAACTACAACCGAGAAAAGTTAAGTTTCTAAAGGAGCTGCTTCATTCAGCTTCCTTGCTACTAGAGTCTAAGCCATCTACTCTTCCAAAAAAACCCCCGTCAGCAAACTTATAGCACCCAGCATTGCTAATCTTTAATGAGAACGCCTATCTTCACAGTCAAACATTAGCAAGTTGCTGCTGAGTATAGTTCTTTTCTGTGTGAGTGCACTAATAAGTAGGGCAAACATCAATAGCACATCATCAGCATTCTCCCCAGAAATGTAGGCAGGACAGAAGAGAGGGATCCGGGTGGAGGAGAAAGCAAGATGCATTGATGCTAGTGAAATACAGATGTTCAACGCTAAACATGCAAAATAGTGAGTGTGTTTTAACCGCAACAGTAACATTATACACCATGGAACGCGTGCAAAATGTGTTGCTGTTTTTTAAAAAAAAGAAATGAAGATGCATGCCCATTGTTACCAAGGAAAAAATGGCTACATGTAAATATATACAGAGTATATGTTTCAAACAAGTAGTTACACTAAAATCAATTATAATTATTGGTGGATAACTTTCGAGCACAGCAGAAAGTACAAAGGAACTTTTAAAGCAAGATGTACCCTGTGCTACCAAGAATAAAATTATGACCACAGCCAGACCCATTAACTGGATTGTTGTTTAATTTATTGTATTAATCTGTGCTTTTTACATTTTGTGCTGGCACCCACAGCACTTTTATCAAGCTTTGAGTACTGGCACCTTGTTGTTGTTTTTTAATTTAAAAAAACCCACTGGTTTTAATAGGGTTGTGATTTTGACTCCAATGACTTTGAGTGGAGGATATGGGATGTATGTGGGTTTTAAAAAAAATAATAATAATAAACCTCTGTTGCTTCTGCGATCTCCCCACTCTCCCACAAGGATATCTTGCCAAGCTTATGCAGACAATTAAGGAAACATCTCTGTGTAATAGTCGACAGGCCTGATTTTAAAACACGAGGTAAAAATGGGAGTGCCAGTATGGTGTAGTTGTTAAGAACTGGACTAGGAGACCAGGGTTCAAATCAAGACTCATGTATGAAGCTTAAAGGATAACCCTGGATTCATCCTGCTCCATCAACCTACCTCAAAGGGTTGTTGTGAGGAAAAGATGGGGAGAGGAAGAACAATGTATTTATTTTTTATTAAATTTGTATACCACCCTTCATCCGAAGATCACAAGGCAGTTTGCAATGTAAAAACACAAAATGAGAACATGACATAGAGAACAAAAATCCGAAAACAAACCAATAACCCCACTCCCACAAACACATTTAGAATGTTTTGTCAGACAAGGGCCAGGTTTGAGAGAAACGTTTTCTTACGAAAGATATGCAACGAAAGCATCCCTTGTGCTCATTCAACATTGCTAAATTAAAATTAAAATTATCTGCAATGCTGATTTAGCTCGCTAGTTGAGCAAACGATCTGGGGAATTGCAGGACTTTAAAAAAGCAGATTCTCCCCACCCCACCCCGGCCTCCCCAGGTATGTTTGTGAATTCAGTGGAGATTAAAATCTGGGTTGGTGTCTGCAGGCTAACCGAGAGAGCAAACAGATACAACGCGGGAGCGTCGAACTGAGATTGATTTCGCAGAGTTCGGGGGCGCAGCGTTCTTTTAAGTAGCATTCCGAAGATATTCTTGAACTCGGGTCCCGGGCAAATCGGGAAGCAGAGAGTTCGGATTCCTTTAGCTGGGCCCTGTTTCTACATCGAGAAAAAGTTGCGCTCGCTCCCGGACGCCACCACGAGATACTGATAGAGGAAGGAAGGGGAACTCGGTGCCTGTTGATTTTTTTACGCCTCAAGAGAGACTCACCAGCTTTTTTGCAGGGTGCAGATTCGGCGAGGGGCGGCTCTGCTCACGGCTGGCTTTGGGAAGCAGCGGCGAAAGAAGGCCCGGTTGGCACAGCCCCCCCTTGCAAGCTTAGCTAACAAAACTTGTTCTCTCTCTCTCTTTTTTGCATGCTTGCAAAACACTCTTCCCCCGCTGGCGGCCTTGGGCTAAAAACTGGAGCCTGATCCTCTGCTATAGGGAGGTGGGAAAGCAGGGAAGTTTAAAAAAGAAAAGAGGCGGGAGCAGGAGAGAAAGAGACTAGGAAGGTGGCACAAGGTCTTTTAATATCTGGAAATGTGTGGGGCAAGCTTAGCCCCCCTGAAGCTGTTTTGAGATTCAGGAGGCAGAGTTTCAATGCAAAGCTATAGTTAAAAAAAAAAAAAAAAGTAATATTCTGGCAGAGACATCACCTTGCCCACAAAGGTCCGTGTAGTTAAAGCCATGGTTTTCCCAGTAGTGATGTATGGAAGTGAGAGCTGCACCATAAAGAAGGCTGCTCGCCAAAGAATTGATGCTTTTAAATTATGGTCTGGAGGAGACTCTTGAGAGTCCCATGGACTGCAAGAAGATCAAACCTATCCATTCTTAAGGAAATCAGCCCTGAGTGCTCACTGGAAGGGCAGATCCTGAAGCTGAGGCTCCAGTACTTTGGCCACCTCATGAGAAGAGAAGACTCCCTGGAAAAGACCCTGATGTTGGGAAAGATGGAGGGCACAAGGAGAAGGGGACGACAGAGGACGAGATGGCTGGATGGTGTTCTCGAAGCTACCAGCATGAGTTTGACCAAGCTGCGGGAGGCAGTGGAAGACAGGAGTGCCTGGCGTGCTCTGGTCCATGGGGTCACGAAGAGTCGGACATGACTAAACGACTAAACAACAACAATATTCTGGCTTTATCGCTGGGCTCCGTAGATTGTGGCTGGAAAATGCATCATCATTATCATCACTTATTATTTATACCCTGCCCACTCTGAGTGGCTCCCAACAGAATATTAAAACACAATAAAACATCAAACATTAAAAACTTCCCTAAACCAGCGTTCAGTGATGTGAGCCCACAATACACACACTTTTTCAGGCTCCAACTCTTAGGTCATTTGAGAACGGGAAAGGAGGAAGATAAATAAAAATATTAAAAATACCTTGCTGGAACATTTGTGTATTTCTGCTGGCCTTCAAACAAAAGGTTGCGACTTTGTAATTCAGGTGGTTGTTGTATTTTATCTTCATAAGCTGCGCACACGCCATACACTGTGGTAGGTTAGGGCAGAAGAGAAGCGACTAGGCCGAAGTTGTAACTTCTAGGCCAAAGGGGGCTTTGAACCTAGGCATTTCCTGTCAGAGACACAACGTAACCTCACATAACAAGCCGGTTATTATTTATCCGCATACTGCAAAAGGGGGAGCCAAGATGGAGAGCATTTTGCATGAAGTTGCCGCGTTGTGACAGATTTGCGCTCGATCCAAAGCTCATGCTATTCACTATTGCGCTGCTGCAGGATCCCAGCTCTTCCTTGACAGGTTTGGGAGGTTTAGGGCACTGCTTCATTTGAATCCTATCCCTCAAGGCCTGGTGCATACTAGTTAATGGTGGGCAAAAGCAGGGGGGGTGGGGATCTTCTGCCAGCCAGAAGGCCATTTTCCTGCTCAGGTAGCCTTCTGCAGCCCACATACCTGCCAGGCATCCTAGATGCAAAAGTAGGCAGTCATGGATGTGACTCATCTTTGTGCTCTAGCTCTACGGAAGTCAAGAGGTTTACTACACACAACACACACACCACATTTCCCTTCCAGGTAAGCAAGAGACAATATCACTGGTTCAAGGATAAGTTCCAGCCAGACAAAACTCTCAAGGATTTGCCCCACGCAAAATAGAGATGCTTAGAGGGCTGCAGTTGCACCCAGAGCCAAGGTTCCCCTATCCCTGGGCTAGGACATTTAGACCAAGTGGCATGTTAATTTTAAAAATCGCAATCAGTAAGGTAAATACCACTGCATTTTATTTCTTCCATCTGTGAGCCGTATGCTGGTGGGCACCCTATATAATTTCAGCAATGAATGAACTATACAAAAACGAGGATGTTCCGCGTTTACTTCGATTCTGTGTTGCTCAAGAGTGCAAGTGAAAACAATAAATGTCCCATTAATGCTCCACTGAACTACACCATAATGGCAATTTGCCCTCCACCATGCCCAGCTGTCTAGAACTTTGATCTCTCTAGTTAAAACTATTGTAATACTACACACTTCTCTTGTGGGTTCTTTCCACAGGTAGATAAGGGAGAGGTCATGGAAGAGTTAATAATTACCTTTAAGCCTGAACTATGACTGAAAAGCTATCTTGCATGCAAAAACGTAACGTCCATGTATTACAAAACTAAAGTTAAAATTACAGAACTGTTGTGACATAGCTAAAAACGGCAAGAACTGAACATGGTCGTTTTATGTAGAAAGCCATGAGAGAAGCTTGCAGAGCAAGAATGCCTGGATTTCTTTTGTAGGGGGAAGCAATATCTGTTTATGCATGCTTGAGCAATTATTTATTGTGGACCACAGCAAGGAAGTTTTGTGGCAGAGTTGTGACATTCTTACTCTAACAACCCCAGCATCGCCACTATGTTATCTGCAATTCAGGTAACATATCAAACATCTGATGATGCATCTTCTATTGATCATTTTAAATGTTTCCAATTTTTTGATATACCATTTAGCAGAAGAAACAACACTTCATTTCCAAGAAGTGAAATAAAAATGCAGTAAGTAAAATAGTGTTGTTCCTGTAGGACCTTGTTTTTTTAAACACGCACCCATAAGTCCACCAGCCAGAGCCAGATGCAAAATAAGTTTTTGGGAGGGATAGAGATGCAAAATTGTAGCCTGTGGGGTGGGGCCTATTACAGCAATTTATGCAACTAACATACCAGGACAAATTGAAATTTGAAATGACGGGGCCTCAACTGCCCTGTTTGTTTGTTTAAACAGCCTTTTTGCTGTCACTACTAAACAACTGGGAGTAAAGATATCATGCTCCATTTTCTTCCCAGTCACCCTAAAATAAAACGTTCTCCCCCTCCCTCCTCAATTTACTTCACTTCTGGCTCCGTTGAGCGTTCTAGTGTTTATATTTCACTCCCCATCATTCCTTCAATCTCTGATGGGTCAGACCTGCTTCTGCTTAGTGTAGCTAAAATGCCATCAACACAGAAAGGTGGTTCAATCTTATTTATTTAATTTAATCCTGCCCTTCTTCTCAAAGGAGCACAGGACTGCAAAGAAACAACAAAACACGTCTTAGGAACAAAATTTTATTTAGGGCAAGGGATATCTTACTTGACACCTTCCAGATGTTGTGGCAGCTCAACTCACATTGGCCCTAAGCAGTATGGTCAGTGGCCAAGGATGATGGGAGCTGTGGCCAAACAATACCTAGAGCTTGATTTTTGTTGCCCATGAGATACGGAATGCCTTTGTAACAAGACATCTAATCTCTTGTCCTTCATCCATGATGTAGGGAGCTGGATTGGCAAACAATTGCTCCATTCTAAACAAAGTTAATGATAAAACTTCCAAGAGCAACTGCCCCGTTGTCAAAGAAATCGTACTAAATGCAAATTAGCTTAAGATGCTATATTATTTACGTTGGAGTAATTTTTCATTGTAAGATGGTATCTTATGAAACAATATTTTAACAAGCTTACCTGGTCAATCTCACAACTGAAATAAGGAAGCCAAGTGCTGCCTTTTTATTGCTGTCCTTATTTCTCTATGTAGATTATTTTTTTAAAGGGAAAACGCTGCATTGATCAATTACACATCAGTCTATGTGCAAGTTCAAAAATCAGATCAGCTGGTTGTGTTGGATAAATAACCTTACCTGAATACATTATGATAAACTTCAGGTCCATTTCAGTCAATTTGTTTCCAGCCACAATTCAGAGTCCTAGTTATTACCCAATAAAGCCCCCTCAAATGGCTTGGGACCAGTTTACCTCCTTCTGCATGAACCTGCTGGTGTCTGCATTCAGCAACTGAGGTCCTGCCCTGTACTCCACCACCTTTGGAGATGCACTTAGTGGGGATATGTGAAAAGGGCCTTTTTGTCAGGGGCTCCCAAAATGTGGAACTCCTCATCCCTCTTAAAGAGGTTCTGTTGGCCCTCTCTTGAGTTTCAGGAATGTACCAAATCCATTTCTTTAATTACACCCTGCCTTCAAATCTGTTTTAACTTCCTGCTATCGTGTTATTTTGTTATATGACCCTCTTCTGCTGTTGCTTTAACGATTTAACTGATGATTTGTTTCATGTCATTTTTACTGTAGCTTTTAATCTGGGAAGCAAAAGACGTTTTCTAAAATAAATAAGATTCCATTATAGCAGAACAGATTCCAGCAAATATTGACACAGATATTTAAGGGCTGCCATGTTAACTATTTGAAAGCTGTTCAAATGAATTAATTCCAACTAATAAAATAGGATCCCTGACTCAGCAACTTATAAAAATATGTTTTACAATGTTTTACTAAAACTGCAGATAGCAAGAATTATCTAAAGAGGCATGTTTCCGCATATGAAGAGAAGCCTTTTCTAAGGCTTTATATAAACATGTGCGCATTATCCAAAATAAAGTCCTTTGTGCCTCAGAGCTGTTGTTTTGCACATGTTCTAATTTAATTAATTTATCAACCTATTACCTTAATCTATTAAAATTACCATATTTTTTGCTCTATAAGACTCACTTTTTCCCTCCTAAAAAGTAAGGGGAAATGTGTGTGCGTCTTATGGAGCGAATGCAGGCTGCACAGCTATCACAGAAGCCAGAACAGCAAGAGGGGTTGCTGCTTTCACTGTGCAGTGATCCCTCTTGCTGTTCTGGCTTCTGAGATTCAGAATGTATTTTTTTCTTGTTTTCCTCCTTCAAAAACTAGGTGCGTCTTGTGGTCTGGTGCATCTTATAGAGCGAAAAATACGGTACTTAAATCATGTTGAAGCCCTATGAATAACAAATTCATACACTGCCAACATCCTACATGGAATGTATGCATGTAGTCTGTCCCGTGTGAAGACTTTGTGAGCATTGCGTGTTCCTAAGAAAATCTACAAATCTGTAGATCATCTCCTGTGCTCTTCAATGCAAGAAGTGGATAATGTCGTTTAGGGGGTTAAGTATAGTAATCAAGGTACTCTTAAGGACCAAAATATTACAGCCTTCAAAAGATCACAACAAAGAAGGTATAGTTAGCAGTTTCATAATTTAATGAAAAAAGTATTGTAAAAAGGGGACGTCTGAAAAAGACATCCATTTGTGAAAAATCTCTCATATATATATATATATATATATATATATATATATATGGGAAACAAATTAGGTTAAGAGGTAATACTTCAAAGTTAGCCACTGAACACACTGTAAAAACTAGCAAATATATTCTGGAGACAAGATACTTGAAAGCTATATAGCCAAAGGCTCCCCCTCCATGTATCTATTAAAATCATGTAAAATTAAACAAAAACAAAATTACTATCGCCTGAACTGATATATTTTAGTCATCACCTTTAAATTAGCAAAACTGAGGAGTCTTGCTGAAGCACCATTTCCTACCCTTTATATTGTTCTCATGCCACTAGTCATGAAACACGATTGTTGTCGTCCCCCCCTTCAGATCAATGAAGTAATTGTTCCCATTTTCAACTCTTATTTACTTCATGACCAGGAAACAATGTTAACAATAAATATGAAAAACTAGAACCAATGTAAGGAGAAGTGAACATTTTCAGCACCGTTCTGAATGGCTGACAACATAAAGGCCAACCATTTTTTCAACAAAACACTAACTTTTTTTTTTTAAAAAAGGTACTATATATTTACATGAAAGAAAATGCCTTAAAAATAGATCTATGGGAAAAAAGACAAATTACACAAACATACCATAGAAATGAGTAAACAAAGCAAACTTTTAAGAATGCCTAAAGCAAAGAATGTGAAACTGTCAAATTTCTTTTATTTCCTTCAGGAATATCTCATTGTGAATCCCTTCTTCACAACTAAAAGTAGATTAAGGCTTTCAAGAAAAATGTGGCTCTTTAGTTGTTTTCGCTGCACCGTTTATTATTAGATTTAAATTTACCCCAGTTCCTTTTACTTCACATTATGGAATTTTATTAATTAAAGCAAACTGTAACAATTTCATTAGTCAAATTATTATTGGATGCTGAAGCCCATTTTTTTCCTAATTAAAGATCAATGGTACGCCATAATATAGAGTAATTTCTTTGACACCATTGCCACATATTATGAAGCGTTTTTGTAAAAAAAAGTAAATCTAATTAGACAATAAAGTGGCCTAAGCAATTCCGAAGCTTTTTTTGGCAATCAAAAATATTTTCATTTACTGTGTCTGACTATATTTAAACTTGGAAACCAAAACAATGTATTCACCAATTTTGGATCAGAAATTGGACAAAGTATTTGATAGCTGAGCGGCGGCGGGGAGTGTGTGTTTGTGTTGGGATGGGAGGAATGGATGTAATATTGTGGGATCGAGGTTTTAAAAAGCCTTCTGAGTTGACAAAGGAGAATCTGGCATCACCGGTGATTGCCTGAATAGGTTTAGAGATTACATACTTCTAGTATTAAACACTATCCACATATCAGCCATTTGTATCGGCTGGCTGGATAAAATATTTTGCAAGTGCAACCCACAACAAACTACTATGTACACGAGGATTAAAAAATAAAATAAAAAATACTAGAAGTTAAGAGAGTATTTACACAATAAAAGCAAGCTGCAATAGCAAAGGAAAACAAAACTTTTAGCAAGGGCACACTATGAGGAGGAAGGGGGGAATCTAGAGATCAGTGTGTTTGGCAGCATTGACTGTGGAGTCTGTAAACCTTACTCAGCAGGCTATGAGAAACCCTTGCATCTGGATCCTATGCATGTTTACTTGGAACCAAGTCCCACAGAGTTAGAATGAACCTTGTTTCCGAGCTTTCAGAATCATACCACCTGTTCTGAAATTGGCTGAGAACATGATTTCTGTCTAGTAGTCATATGTCCCAATCCAGACCAAAACAAACAAACAAAAACAATTCAGCAAGCACCATTATTTCAAAATACAGTTTTGCCTTTTAAATTCCTTCCAAAAAAAAAAAAGGGTAAGAGATTGCTTAAGTGTTCTCATGAAGAGATATTATACTGAAGTTGCAGCAAGAATCGCCTGTTCCATCTTCTTGCAGATTGTCACAGAAGGATGGGCTTTTTGGAATACCTGCCCACTGGTACAAAGCCGAACACAATACATTTCCGTAGACTGGGGAAGTGGATATATAAAACTATTTCTGCAAGTGATATTTAAAGTAACCTTTACTTATATAGCACTTATAGGAAAAAACCCCAATTAACAATCTTTTCAAAAAAGGGTAAACCAATTCACCACTTAAAAAAAGCAAGTTCGTCATTTGCTCACAGATCCTACACTGTAACCTGCAGATTTCCTAAGGTTTGCATCAATAATCTTGGACATACGAAGGCTGAGCTATTCCCATTATCCGGGGTTTCTAATCACCTTTGTACTGAACTGTGAGAAATCAAATTTCTTTTACTTCTACTATGACAATCTCTATTAAAGTCTTTACTTGGGACCTCTCTCTCCGAGCTGCTTTTTCTCAGTCTTATCTGTCCTTTATTCTCATCGCTTTCAGCTTCAGAGTCACTGAGTTCCAAATCGGGACAATACCCATCATTGTCCTGGTAGGGGGCACTCCCCATCTGATATTCAAGAGTTTGCTTGCCCCACGAACGCTCTCTCATCGACAGCCTTCTTGAGGGCTTTTCACAGCATCTGAGATCTTCCGTGGTCCTCACCAAACTGTTGGTCGCTTCTTTGAAGGACCTGCTAAAGTGTTCTATGGTGGATTTCCTGAAGCTGCTCTGGCTAGCCAAGTGGGCAGAGAGAGCAGACTGCTGCTCGTATGTCGTTTGGCTAGAGCTGTCTCGCTGAGTGACATCCCCAACTCTGCCCATTAAGCCATTAGACTTTGCTAGATTAGAGTGCTGCTGAATTTTCCCGTTCCCAATGGAGGACTGTCCATGCAATGCAGCTTGAAGTGCTAAGGGTTTGCCAGACGACTGTCCGCGATGGAAGTCTGATGTATGTGCAGGTCCAGAATTCTTTGCTGCTTCATTCCTAGACTTCACCATCCCTCCCAGTAAGCCATTGCTCCTGTTCTCATGCTGAAACCTCGAGTAGGCTTTCATATTTGAAACAAAAGTCTCTTTGGATACTGGAATACCCTTTTTGCTGTAAACCACGACATTGTTGTCAGGAGAAAGTGGTTTACCAGATTTCAATTTATTTTTGCAATCACCTAATGTTGATTTTGGCATCTTAAGCTTCAAGGTGATTCTAGGAGGTGGATAAAACAGAGTGCTTTCCAGTGCACTTGTCAGAGAATGGCCTATAGAGAAAAATAAAAGGGTATGTGAGAAGGTATCTATTTAAGAGGCAGATTTCATCATGCAAATGTATGCAGCACATCTTCACAGAACTTAATAGAATCACAGAGTTGGAAGGGACCCTGTGGATCACCTAGTCCAACCTCTTGCAAATCAGGAATAAGCACCTATTCTAGAACTATTTAAATGTAGCAACCTATAAGTTTATAATATCATTTGCAATTAAGGAAAGTTCCTTTTTCCATGTTTCCTTGATAATAGATTAAAGAAAGCGTTAAAAAATTATATGCTACTAGATATTTATTGAATGCCTGGTCACATACTAAGGCTCTATCTAGCCTTCCCAGAACAGAGAAGCATGGGATTTTAAGAACATAGTAGAAGGAAAACACTACTAAGTTTGTAGTATTTGCATATTCTAGTGTATTCTTCTTACTCATGTCTAGAACACAACTTACAAATTTACTGCAATGTAAACAAATGCATTAATAAAAAGTTATACCATATAGATAGCCCATAAGATATATTTCTGGAATAGCTGAAAGGGGATTTTACAATTAACAATCCAAGAAAAGCATGTTTAAAAAGGCTCTGGAAGCTAGCAACACATAGCAAAAATCTAAAGTAGCCATGGTCATATTGGGACAATCACATCTCATCTTATTAAGCCAAGTTACACAAGTGTTTTGCCTGCACATACAGAGACCCTTTGTGCCACACTGCAATCAGACCAAGAAGTCTGCAATTACCCATACCATGTTTTCTTGCTATGCCCTAATCAGGAAACTATGGTTATCAACTTCTGAATATGCCAGGATATTAAACCATAGTCCAAGCTGGTTTAATACTCCAATTTGTTCTCAGTAGGGTAGTTATAGTTTCCTGGTTTGGATAAAACAGGAAACTATGGTCAATTACTTCCTGACTTAATCACTGCTTACACAAATAAGGAAAGAGGGATTGCATGTGTAAGTAAAAAGGTTTATGCATATATTTGTTTAAAAAGCTCAGATATGATCATCTGAACCAGGCTTATTTTGCATTCCTTACCTGCAGCAATTTCCTGATTGATAAGCTGGACTTGCAAATTGAAAACCTGCTCATGTGCTTTGCTGTGAGAAAGTTTTAACTTCTCTCTTCTGCTTACCATGTAGCAAAGATTTCTTACCTACAGCGAAAAAACACAAAACAAAAGAACCACTTTAGCTAATGGGGCCTCCTGCTGCCGCCAAGCACGATTTCTGTTCTCATCTGAAGCAAAGTTCTTAACCTGAAGCACTATTTCTGGGTTAGCGGAGTCTGTAACCTGAAGCGTATGTAACCCGAGGTACCACTGTACTTAAATAATCTGCATGTTTTATTATTCATATTGCAGTGTTAACGCTTGACCTCTTTCTCCGTTTTGCCTTCGATATACTCAACGTTAACTCTAGTCCCTTCTGAACCATCCACCCACAAAACATTCTCGAGTGCTTTTTGAAATTCACAACGAAAAGGTTATCAGGTGGCTATTGACTTCTTGGTCTGAGCTAGTCTCCCTGTTTAGCAGGCAGAAGGTTCCTAAAGCCACAGCTGTATAATTAGGGTGATGCCTGCGGAGGATCCTTAATAGGCTCTACTGTAGCCTCCTTACTAGAGTCAATATTATGGACCCATCAGTAATGGGTCCCCATCTCAAGCATGCAAATGAGCCAATGGGCAAAGCACCGGCAGAATCAGCCTCCTCCGACTGTAATTGAGTGTTGTAATGAAGGAGAAACCTCATCTTGACACTTGAGGAAAGCAACCTGGTGACTGCTACAGAAGAACAGCCATGCACAGCATCTGCCTCCACACAGCATCAGCTGACATACAGCAGAGTAGCATGGCACACCACAAGTTGTAGGATGAACCCAGAATCTGGCTGATCCTACTTCTACTTAGCTTCTTGCCATTCCTGTTTCTTCTCTCCACCAGCCTCCATTATGTACTTACTTACTTGCTTACTTGATTTCTTACCCACTGTTCCTCATAGGACCCCAGGGAGGGTTACAACAATACAATATACAATTATTTAAAAAATAGATAAAAACAGATGTGGCAATAAAAACAAGTAAAGCCGTTCCAGACAGAACAGAACATTATCGATTTAGCAGAAGAGATGGGTTGCCTGAACTGCCAAGGTCAGGACAAAGAGGTGCATCTTCAGCGTACAGCAAAAATACTGTATAATGAAGAGCTGCCACAGGAAAGGAAAAAAGCCCTTTCCCGGGCCACCATTCCCTGCACTTCTGAAGGCGGAAGTACTACCAAGACAGTGCCCTTTGCCAAATTTTAACACCCAAGGTGGTCTTTCAGCTGTTCAGGGTGCAAGTCACTTAGAGCTTTAAACACGAATGTGACCACCTTGATGTGGACCTTGGTGGGGTGGGGAAAGGCAACCACAGCAGCTATTTATTAAACTGAGGTTGTAAGAGCTCTAAAATGGAACATCAGCCAGTAATCTGGCTGCTGCATTTTGGACCAGTTGCAGTTTCCAAATAGCCTTCAAGGGTAGGGGCACATAGAGCGCATTGCAATAGTCGAATCTGGAGGCTGTCAGATTGTGGCGTACAGTGATGAACTTGCTGGAGACAGAATAAGAAGAAATAAGCACTACAGTGTTGGATTGATCTGCCCCTTCCCGATTCCTGTTGCAGTGAACTACTTTATAAGGGTATTTTTCGTCACTTTCCCCCCCTCTCCTCCTTACCCTCTCCAGGTCCTGCCTCAAATGCATGAACATCCTCATTCGAGTATGAATGCTATCTTCTTTTGGCTGAACCAAGCCGTTTTCTTCATCCTCCCTGGGAGGAAATAATGGTTTATTAAAGTTACTTTTCCGTTTTAGTTTCCAGTAATTATAGATCAAGTCCACAGTGAGTTTAGGGAGGCCGAGTTCTGCTGCGACGTCATCAATCCTCACTAGGGAGTAGAACTCCTCCTCCAGCTCCCGAAGTTTCTGAGCACGCAAACTGGTTTTCTCGCTCTCGGTCTGCTTCTGGTCTGCTGTGCTCTTGGGATTAACGTCTGCGTCGGGCATCAAGCTCTGCTTGGTTTTGCTATGCTTTAGACAGTACGACTTGAACTTGACTTCATCGCCATCGTCCAGGATTGTTTTCATCTCCAGGCTATGCTCAAAGGCACACGTGACATGAAAGGCAGTAATGCAGCTCTTCACAGAGCACTGTTGAGTGAAGGAAACCGCCACCAGTTAAAACAAGCATCAGAGGAAGAAAGCCAGCCAATGAAAGCTTAAAAGTATCACAGGCCTTTCATTATTACACGTATGCACAGAGTTTCACAGGCGGTATTCAGAAGACACAGCTTTACTTTAAAGGTTGTTTATTCACGAGTTAGAAGTCTGAATGGTAACCTTCAGACAAAACAAGGAAAACAAGCAAATTCTGTTCCACTAAAGATTCTTAAGAAATACAGGTTATAAAATGTAAAATATTGATGTTTAAGTACTTTTATCTTAAGAGTTACAAGCTATGCATATACACTTTCAGAAGAGGCAACACACACCATTAATGAAAAACAGCCTATTCAATCATTTGTTTCTTCGGTATAAGCTCCAGCATTCCAACGCCATGGGCAATGCTTGGTTCACGGTAAAGCCTTAGCAGCAATTTGGCATAATGGCTGTGTTTTGAGATCACATTAAGCCATAGGTAATGTTTAACTATGGCTTTACATGACCGAGCAGTATGCTCCCGCTAGCTAATCAAGTCCCCACATTGCTCTTTCCCCATTCCTGGCTGCACCATGGCGGGAGCAAAAAACCACATGCCTTGGTTTCATATGCAATCCAAATCTGGGCTCGTGGTTTGTTTCCCCAAAACAAACCATGAGCAGTAAACAAATAACAAAGTTTGGTTATCACTTGATAAGTACAGTTGCTTGCGGTTTGTGGCCAGTTGTGAGGGAAAGTGGACTGGAAACTTTGAGCAGTGTGCACTGCTCGTCCACATTAAACCACATATTAAACCTAACTATGGTTTAACATGATGTGCAATGCAAGATAACTTGACTTCTGCAAAAACTGTTTAACTAAAGTTTAGCCACCACACTAGCTAAGTAAGTAGCAGAGTAAGATAGAGGATCCACAGCTTTATGACAGATACACAATTTAAGTAATAATGCAAGCATTTGTATAGAGCTTTTTGTATAGAGGGTTAAGAACTTAATTCGTTCTGGAGGTCTGTTCTTAACCTGAAACTGTTCTTAACCTGAGGTACCATATTAGCTAATGGGGCCTCCCACTGCCGCCACACGATTTCTGTTCTCATCCTGAAGCAAAGTTCTTAACCCAAGGTACTATTTCTGGGTTAGCGGAGTCTGTAACCTGAAGCGTATGTAACCCGAAGCGTATATAACCCGAGGTACCACTTAAATTATGTATCTGCCATAAAGCTGTGAATCCTGTATCCTGCTACTTAGTGTAGTGTCTAAGCTTTAGTTAAACCGTTTTGGCATAAGCAAAGGGCCCCAAGTGTATTATCTCAGGGATCCTGTACATTCCCTTGCTTTTTAATTTAATGTATTTTTAATTGACTGTTGTTCCTCGTAAACACCCCTAAAGGTTTTGGTGGGCCCCAAAAGGTTTACAAAAGTCTCTTTAATTTTTTTAACAAATATCCCCACCAACCACTCTCATTGGCCCCCTATCTACAATTCTGTGATGCAAAAAGGTTGTGGTTTTTGTTTTGTTTTTTACATTCTTCCAATACCCCGAAAATGTTTCCTTAAAATATAAAGGTAAAGGGACCCCTGACTGTTAGGTCCAGTCGCAAACGACTCTGGGGTTGCGGCGCTCATCTCGCTTTGCTGGCCGAGGAAGCCGGCAGTTTCCAGGTCATGTGGCCAGCATGACTAAGCCGCTTCTGGCGAACCAGAGCAACGCACGGAAACGCTGTTTACGTTTCCGCCAGAGCAGTACCTATTTATCTACTTGCACTTTGACGTGCTTTCAAACTGCTAGGTTGGCAGGAGCTGGGACCGAGCAACAGGAGCTCACCCTGTCGCGGGGATTCAAACTGCCGACCTTCTGATCGGCAAGTCCTAGGCTCTGTGGTTCAGACCACAGTGCCACCCATATCCTTAAAATATAAACACTGCTAAAGGCTATTCTGCTGCATCTGTCTTCCACCCAGCACAGGAAAAAGTTGTTCCTTAGCACCCTGGACCTGTTGAGTTTGTTAGCATGCAATTTCTGCTCTGCAGCTTCAAAGATCACAAAACAGAATTAACACATACCTGGATACAAGCACCAGTTTTCAATTTGCATAAGCTGCAAACTAAAGCCCATCTACTTGGTGGAATATGGGACACTTTGGTAATTGGTTCCATTCTTTCTGGACAAGCAATGCTTACCTAATAATAATAAAATTTATGGATTACTATGACTGACATGACCAGAAAAGAGCTATCAAGCCATTATATTTCAGCATATTGTAAAAAGGCAAATATAACAGCTACAGCAGCTAGGTGACCGGGGGAAGATTGCATTCCAAATACTTCCATGCTAGTCTACTTAAAGATGGGCTAAAACACTTCTTATTCATACCTCCGGAATCCAAAGAGCACAGCTCACATGCGCCCACTTGGTGCCTGTCCTTGTAGCTTTCATGGCCCCACCTCTCTTTGGACACAAGAGACACTGAGGGTGTATACCTAGAACACAAGTACGACACAGCCAGCTTCCTTCAGGAACCTTTAGGATGCCATAGCATGCCTGAGGATAAAAACAAACTGCTGCTTTATACAACTCCATAAGTGAAATGAGACATCACTGATTTATATCAGTACCAACCGAGTATTTTTTTAAAAAATGCTACACACTAAAACCATTTTGGGAGAATTCAACTATTTGCCAGATGTCTGAAACATGAAACAGGAAAGGCGCTCTTTCCTAACAAGTACTGTATTTTTCGCACCATAGGGCGCACCGGACCATAGGGCGCACCCAGTTTTTAGGGGGGGAAATCAAGAAAAAAAATATTTCCCCCCCAGCCCCAAAGAGCAGCATACAGGCTGCGCACAACCTCTCCCTGCCGGAGGGGTTGCGCGCGGCTATGGCACAAGCCAAGGCAGCGAGCAGGATGGATCCCGCTCGCTGTTTTGGCTTCCCCTTTAGCCCCGTGCAGCCTCTCCTTGCCGGAGGGGTTGCGCGCAGCTATGGAGCAAGCCAAGGCAGGGGGCGGGATGGATCCCGCTTGCTGTTTTGGCTTCCCGTTTAGCCCCGTGCAGCCTCTCCCTCCCGGGAGAGGCTGCGTGGGGCCAAGAATCCATAGCCCCGTGCAGCCTCTCCTTGCCGGGAGACGCTGCGCAGGGCTTTCCTGGCTTTTCTGGGAGGTGGGGGGATTCCCTCACCTTTCGCAAAACTGGCAGAAGCCGTGCACACTTTAAAAGGGCTGCACGGCTTCTTCTGGCTTTCCTGGGAGGTGGGGGGATTCCCTCACCTCTCGCAAAAGCCCGCAGAAGCCGCACAACCCCTTTAAAGAGATCGCGGCTTCTCCTGGCTTTTTTGGGAGGTGGGAGAAGCAACTGATGCGGCCAGTCAGTCCCTTCTCCCTCCTGGGGAAAAGCCCGCAAGAGCGCACGGAGCTTGTGTGCGGCTCTTTGGGGCTTTTCCCGACTGCCTCCCCCCTGCATTCGCTCCATAGGACGCACACACATTTTCCCTTGCTTTTTAGGAGAAAAAGTGCGTCCTATGGTGCGAAAAATACGGTAAATAGTTACACACATTATTAATAGTGCTGAACAGAGAATATCTACAAAAAGACACAGAAGCCAAAGGTCTGATCTCAGAAAGGTTGGCCAATGGTAGCTGCGCCTCCCTAACCCCAAAACCTTGCTATTTATTGGTGTGTATCTCACACACACAAAAAATCTAGAAAAGTAGTTCTCTGTGGCATCTAGTACTAGCATACACTGACCGAGAAAGGTGTCTGTATAGCCTAAGGAAGACTCCAGAAGGATTAGCCTATCACAGTTATTTCTGGAACATTCCAGATTAATCCAGAAGAGCGCACTCTTGCATAGGCATAAATTCTAGGCACAAATTTAAAAGATCAGCTTTCCCTCATTATCTCACTGTGCACTCACTGCACCATGCTCTACTCTTGTCATTAACAAGAATCATTTTATGAAGATTAAAAATTCACCCTTCACTTCTCCATATTTTCCCTGTTGTAGGAAATTTAATTAGCTGACATCCCTAAGTGTGCTTTCAGAAAAGGAAGAAGTGCGCAGCAGACAAATGCTCCAACACCACAATGGTTCAAAACCTTTCCCATAATATTTAGGGGATTTACATGACCTCTGAATACATTACTTGATCAAAAGCAATCCACGTCTCTTTTAAGCAGTCGCATGTTAAATTTTACAGAGCCTTGTCGGAAAACAAAAATTCTAGACCCACTTTTTCAGAGGCCGCCAGATTTCTTGCACCTTTTCAATGGCTTTTCAGATAGGTTGTTTTGGAGCAAGCTATCTAGAAAGATTTACAGTGGTACCTTGGTTCTCAAATGTAATCCATTCCAGAAGTCTGTTAGACTTCTGATACGTTAAAAAACCAAGGCGCGGCTTGCGATTGGTGCAGCCACCCTGGAAACAATACCTGACAGCCACATCAGACATTTGGCTTCCGAAAAAAGTTTGCAAACCAAAGCATTTATTTCCAGGTTTGCAGCATTCGGGTTCTGATTTGTTCATCAACTAAGTTGTTCGAGAACCAAGGTTCCATTGTAATCCCATTTCCAAAAGAACGAAGCTTTTTCAAAACCTCTGCTAGCACTAACCTGATGCACACAGATGTTGCATTTGTCACAAAACACCATATCATTCCCATCTTCACTGTCAGGGGACCGGCACACATCACAGATGACATCTTCATCATATTCAATACCCAGCCCCTCCTCTGTCTCAATGGCATGGTTCATGTTCTCGTGACAGTGACGTTCCAGGACTTCCACCATTTTCTCCATTGTGTTCTCATCAAGCTGCCCACAACCTGCAGGAGAATTAAAGCAAAATAACAATCTGCTTAATACTAGATAAAGAAACAAAAAGCACTCTCATTTCCTAAAGCATTGCACTGACAATAGGTTGTCTCCCTCCCGCATTTGTGTGAGACTTACTTAAATTTCAATCCAAGTTTTAAAAGATTTAAGATCTACATTGCATTAATCTGATATATAAATACAGTATCTTAAACAAATGCAGATACATGAAAAGTGAAGCCACCAATTGTAGGTGGACTTATTTAAAACACTGTTATTGTGCCTTTATGGCTTCCTATATTACTATATAAAAATATTCAAATACTTAGATTGAAAGTCCTATTCCCTAGGATTCAGACAACCTGCATATATTCAAAGTAGCAGCTAGGATGTCAGTAATAATGCACAAAATTGATTTTTACCTGTGACATCATAGCATAGCATTGTTCATGCTAAACCATCATTAACACTAAGGTGTCTGGCAGATGATCACATACAACCAAGTTTTAACATCACAGAATAGTTAAAAGCACCAGTGAGGGCAGCTGAAATTTTTTGTTGCTCTTCCAACTTCAGCTCCACTAGCTTTTGGGCAGCGACAGCTCCATAGCCATAGTTAAGGAAGTGGTCTAGGTTTCCACACAATGCATAGCTATGCTTGACGTTAAGCAAGGTTTATATCCCAGCTACAAACCTTGGTTAATCAGAAACTTTTACCGTTGCCAATAAACTGGACTGAGTTCACACATAAGGCTAATCCATGGTTTCATAATGTGCATTATGTTTGAACCAAACCATTGTTTTAAGGAAATTGCCTCTTAACATGACAAATAGCCTGTTCAACTTCATTGAAATCTCATTATATGCCCCACTACCTTTTCCCATTCAGATTAGAAACATGTTGCTTATGAATACTACGTTGCAAAGAATCTGCCAAGTTAATTATTTCCCCGCTAATTTTTAAGTCTCAACTGGCCTCATAAACAAGCTATCAAGATAGCGTCTTCTCTGATTTACTAGAGTGGCATAATCCTGCCTCTCTCATGGAGCCACAAAGTACAAGTCTGCAAAGCTGCCATTTTCTCAGGTCATTAAGATCTGAGTATTAGCAAATACAAATAAGATCTGAGTATTAGCAAATACAATTAAGTAGGAATACTGACTTCCATTATTACCTGATTGGTATTTTTCCAAATACATTGTTTTTATTACTCCTAGAGTCCTGACATAAAATGCACATTCTTCCATGAACCAAGATGGATTTCCAAAGAATTAAGGTATAACTTTTCTATTTTAGGAAACATATTAAAAACATGGAAGTTCCTCAAAATATTTAGATGCAATTAAATGTCTCTGAACCATGGCTGCAGAAGACTCATTGAATACCAACTAGAGTTCTCTTTCTAAACAATCCATTCTTTTTTTTTTTTTAAAAAAAGAAGCAGTAGCAAAACAGCCTTAAATCAGCGCAGTTGACTAAAGATTCAATTTTTAAAATTCACTGTAGCCTTAGTAATTGCACTTTTTATCACTCTCACCCATTTCAGCAAGCTCCTCATTTACTTCCTGAAGCCAGAAGATGTCCATATCATCCAAGTCATAACGACACATCGATTCTGCCAGTTCCAGAATGTTGATATAGCCAGGTTCAGTGGGCTCTTGACTTGAACAACGAATGTATTTTCTAGGCCGTGTATATAGTACTTGCTTTACTTTTTCCGCTACGACTCTAAAATGATATAGTAATTAAAGTGAGCTGTCATTTGGTGGAAGGGCACTTCTGCAAACTGGGAAGCCAGGTATTTGATGCCCCTAATTGATTATAATAATCTGGGTTACAATGGAATGCATGGGTCAAGCAAAAGTGACAATGTGCATTGGTGCATCGGGTATGAACATTTTCCAGGCTGAGGGTCACAATGGCCAGTGCAGGGGGCCCATGTCAAAGTAGGCATGGCCAAAATGAAATAGTGGGGAAAGGCAGAACCTACCCTTCCAACCCTTATTTCTTATTTATTTCCCTTAATTTCTTTCGTACTAACTTCTACACCTCCATTCCTTATTAATTCCCACCCCATTCTCTCCCAATACATAGGACATTTTGCCCAAGCTATTTGAGTCTTTCCATGCTACTTCCCTCTTTCACAAACACACAGCACAACCTCTTTCTGTGTCTCTCTCTCACACAGCATCCACATGGGTGCATTTAGAGGGAGAGATTTGTATCCCAAACCATACTCCAGACCTGACACTGAGCAGAGGAGAGATTTAAACATCTGTTCAGTGCTGGGATCAGGATACAGACGGGGATGCAAAATTTCTGCCACCCCCGCCCACCTGATTGACTTTGCGAACAGGGATGGATGATCTGTCTCCCATTTTTTTGTTCATTAAGAAACAATAATAATGCACACCCCTTTCCCCAATAATTAATTTCTGTGACTACTAATCAAATTATGCTCCGGACGTGTATGAATTCACGCCCCCCCCCCATTCACAATAATCCATTAATGTTTCTCCCACCAGCAGCTTTTTCTACAGTTTTCCTTCTGCCTCCCATCCATTTCTTTGTTTACATCTCCACCCACTCTCTCCCTCTAATCCCGGAGTCCATTCTACACAGCAATCACCAAGTGAGCTCAGACAGACCATTCCAATGCCTTGGGCTGTTCTTCAGCCGATCATTTCATTATTATTTTTTTGTCAGCTGACAACAGCAAGAGCAGAGATAGTTGTACTGATCCGGATGCAGCATGCAAATCAAAAGGTTTAGGGACTGCTGCCCAGAAAAGCACCATTAAGAAAGGGGTACCCAGACACAAAAAGTGAGTAAACAGATAAATAAATAAATCATTTTCATGGGGTCCTTGGGGGCCACAAAGTCTTTTTTTGGGGGGTCCATATATGACCTGTGGGTTAGCCACCCTTGCTTTTGACCAAGGAATACATTAGGCAATGCTATGCTGCTCACCCAGAACTGCTACACACTACAGCTAAAAGGTAAAGGATCCCTGGATGGTTAAGTCCAATCAAAGGGAACTATGGGGTTGTGGCGCTCATCTCGCTTTCAGGCCAAGGGAGCTGGCGTTTGTCCACAGACAGCTTTCCGGGTCATGTGGCCAACATGACCAAACTGCTTCTGGTGCAACGGAACACCATTACCGAAGTTAGAGTGCACGGAAATGCCGTTTACCTTCCCATTTATCTTCTCTATTTATCTACTTGCACTGGTATGCTTTCGAACTGCTAAGTTGGCAGGAGCTGGGACAGAGCAACAGGAGTTCACCCCATCGCGCAGATTCGAACAGCCAACCTTCTGATCAGCATGCCCAAGAGGCTCAATGGTTTAGACCACAGCGCCACCCGCATCCCTATAAACTACAGGAGCACATGCCAAAAGCCCATTCTGAACTATCAGCAAACCTCTTTCCTACACTCAAATATAGGGATCATTAAAAGAAAAACAAAAAATAAACCCACAAAAGTAAATTCTTTATTGAACAACCATACAGATAATTTTCCACATTGCCTAATGTTCCCTCTTGAGTTGTGACCATATCATACATCAGAGGAAGTAAAGAAAGCCAAAATTACAATGGGACAAAGGTACTTAGGCATAAGCCACTACCAAGCAAATGTATCTGGTGATCTTTATATATAAGACTAGCTCAGGTTAATATACCCTCATCCAGTCTACCACCACACCAACTTTGTGTACTCCACAAAACTGTCTTGTATATTTGGAAAACTGCAGTGTACATCATCCACCACAACCGCTGGAACAATACTGAGTTTTGCTGAAATAATGCAGTATACTACCTCTTTGACTATGTGGTCAGAATACATTTGTCTGTTGTGGACCTTAATACTTCTTTAAAAATTGCAGCCTCACCTGATCAAAAATCTAGGCTGTGCAACAAAAGTAGTAAACGATTAATTATTGCTCACATGACATGAATGCTGCCCAGTATATTCATATTGCTACCCCAAAATTAAATGTAGTTCAGTCCCAACAACTATTTATTAAAAATTACCTGAGAGAAGGTTGTGGAATTGTGTCTGGGCTGGCTGGGACTTGCACACCCTTTTCCCATTCTTGTTTCCATGTGTCCGCAAAGAGGTAATATTCATCTGGGTTAATATGATGAGAATCTGGGAGTTTCATGGCACTAATGAGGTCCTTTCGAAACACCTGCAGGTGAAGGCAAAGACAGCATTAATACTTGGGAAGAAACAGTCCAATAACTTATTTTTCTTCTTCTTCTTTAACAATACAAATTAATAATGTACAGGAGCCTTTATCCAAGAGGCCATGTTAAACAGTTGTCAGAACCATACTGATCAAACCAACCCCTTTGCTGCCAAGCATAAAGGAAGGAACACATAATTCCCCAACTATTTAGAATCATGGGCTGCTGCGGTTGTAATCAAAGCAAGTGGACCACCCTGTTCTATTTTACCACACAAATCCTAGAAGGTAAAGTGTAAATTGGATCTTCCAGAGTTATGTAGATATGGGATCTCCCCTAATCGTAGATACTGAAACACCTACAGAACTGTGGCAACTTCCAGCTTTGGGGAGGTCCAGAATCCAAGTAACTGCAGGTGACCAGGAAAGAGACAAGGAGAAAGTAAAAGACTTGCTCACAACTTGGGAGTTGGGTGGGAAAGTTCAATCTGTTAAAAGTTGTAATAGTCTCTAGCATCTACCCTGGATTGCAGGAATGATGTCTCTTTCAAATCCTGCAACCATGCAAGTTGCATATGAAGATTTAATTTCACTTTAGCAGTATGGTAGAATAGAGTTTGTTTGTTTTGATACTCTTATGCTCAAAGATTTCAAAGGATAAAACTAACTCTGAATATAAAAAAGAAGAGTGGGCCCAAAAGAGCTTGCATTTAACAGAACAGCTTGAAGGCAAATGAGACACCTACCCATCACTGTCATAATCTACTGTCATCTGCATTTCATCTGTTTTCAGAAGTAATTGTAATGGCATTAGGCATTCAGCAAGTCATTTTCCATTTCTGAAGGGGGCTAACCCCTGAACTTTCATGCTGAACTTTTTTTTTTTAAAGGGTTACATAAGCTTAAATTGTCTGCCAAGTTCTCCAAGGAAGTAGCTCAACATTAAAAGTGATCATTTAGGCAAATAAAACACATTTGGAAGTAGTCAACTAAACAGTTGGGCTAGTGCAACCACTTTTAGCTGCACAATGTACCATATTTTTTGCTCTATAAGACGCACCAGACCACAAGATGCACCTAGTTTTTGGAGGAGGAAAACAAGAAAAAAAATATTCTGAATCCCAGAAGTCAGAACAGCAAGAGGGATCGCTGCGCAGCGAACCCTCTTGCTGTTCTGGCTTCTGGGATAGCTGCACAGCCTGCATTCGCTCCATAAGATGCACACACATTTCCCCTTACTTTTTAGGAGGGAAAAAGTGAGTCTTATAGAGAAAAAATACAGTAATTTTCTGGCCTTCTCTTCTCCTGTTCCCAGATCTACTCTGGAGAGCTGAGGAAACCTGGAGCAGATTTAGGGGGTGCACGGGGAAGGGAGAAGGTGGGGAAGTTACACTGTCCAACTAAAAATCACTGCACTACCGTAACTGTTTAGCTGAATACCGCCCATTGTGCAACCAAGAGCAGGAGCCTGCCACTGGTCCACTCTTGACATAACACAGCCAATCTACCCGTGTCCCTCACCTCCCATGCTCAATACATCGGCATAGGGCTAGCCTAGCTGGACAATGGGGCAGTATCTGAAGCAAAGCATGTTTCTTATTCTACATGCAGTTCCCCCTGTCATGCATTAGATGCCTGAAGGGGGCTTTTCTTTTGCACGCTAAATCAATATCATCTTTCCTCTTTTTGTGTGTTGGGGGGGGTGTTTCACTAGGACCACAGAACAGAATGAAAAGAGGTTATAGCCCCCCTATGCAGGGCAGTTCGACTCATGCCCTTGTTTGTTATTTCTAAAGTAAAAACAATACACATTTAAAATGTGCAAGCATTTATTGACTGGTTTGGCCCTCTGGGTAAGAAGAGACATGCAGTTCCAAGAAATAGGGCATTCCAAATTTGTCCCATAGATATGAATTAAAGGAAGAAGATATGTAGGTATTTGGCCTGCTCCGGCCCACCTTTAGGGTAAATCCAGAAGAGGGAGAAAGGATATGTGCATTCTGTATTTTTATACATTACTCAGAGGTTGTGCATTGAAATCTTTTTCAGAATTATGTGTTTGGTCAACTTGTATTTTCATAACTCTTGTTTTCAGTTCATAGTAATAGATACCAAAATTGAAACTGTGCCTAAGGTAAATTGGGGGAGAAGTACCTGGGGACAGCCTCATAACATTAGGGACTCAAATACTCCTAAGAAAAGTGGAAGCCTTAATGGCTTGTGCAGAAGTTTGCCATAGCCCTACTGGCAGGGGTGGCAACAGTCATATTCCAACAATAAGGAAGAAGGAAAGAAAACACAAGAAATTCTCTTCAGCAGCACCTGCTACCTCAGGACCTCAATTTCTCTTCAACTGCCCTTAGATTCAGGAAATTATGACCCATTTTACTACAGTCCCTAATCCTTAATGGGCTTTAATCCCATTGAACTCAAATGGGACAAATTCGTTCGTTCTTCCTTCCTTCACCTCTAAAAGGGAAACAACATGAATGAAATTGTTGTGCAATAGAACTATCTCCCTGCTCCCCCCGTGCTCCCCTCCAAATCTGTCCCCAAAACCTCAGGAGAAAATTTGAGGTTTGTGTGAGGAGAGGGGAGAAATTCTTCTTGCAATAGTGAAAAAAAATGTAGTTGAATAGCACCCTAAGAATGTGAGAATTACTCTTACCTCAGCAGGTTTCTTTTGTTCATTTGCTGGTGTTTTTGACTTGCTTCTGTACTTGGAACAAAAGGAGAAAGAAGTAGAAGGACCTGTATAAACAGAGGAAAAGATGGAGAAAATTTAAATGCTGCTGCAACACCAGGATATTCATAAAAATACAGAGAACTGCATTCTGAAATGGTATCTTAGGCAACATAAACCAGAAATTTTGCTTCAATTATGGGTCTGTTTTTCTTAAACAGTTGCTTCAACTTTTTAAGGATAAGTGTCCAAAGGGACAAAACAAGTTGCTCCTGACTACCCAACTGTATAGAAATTTATTGCATGTATGCAAGCACAGTGGCAAGAATGTTACTTGCCCAAAAATGGAAAGACGAAGAAGTCCCAGTGAAAGAAGAATGTACACAAAAACTTGTGGAATATGCAGAAATGGCAAAACTTACTGGAAAAATAAGAAATCAAGATAACAAACTTTTTATAAAAGAATGGAAATGGTTTATTGAATATTTACAATAAAGTGTAAACAGAGAAGAATATTGGCAGGATTACTGTAATAACCTGTAGTTTTTAATATACATTTAAAGCAGATGAATAAATGAGTAAATTAAGTTAATTTGTATATGCAGAAAATAGAAAAAACAAATTTAAGGAACCACAGAAAGAGGGGGAAGGAAGTCGGGTTTTTAAATGCTAAAATGATTGTAAAATTTTTGAAATGTATAAAACTGAAAATCATAAATAAAATAATAAAAATAAAAATAAATGTTGCCTGTGTTATATGGATGCGGGTGGGCTACTGAGTACTATAAAGAAACACAAAGGCCTCTGAATGACTCATGACAGCCAACAAGTTGGCATGATCCACCCCAAGGAGGAGTTATGGAATGTTCTGAATTCTGAGATACCTTCTGAAAATTTATTATTAACAAACCGTAGGATGGTTTCGTCTAATGACAATTAGATGAGCAAATGAATATGGAAGAGAGAACAGTTTTATATCCTAGAAGCAAACAGTGTTGAAATAAAAGCAAGGTAAAAAGGTTAAAGAGGAAATAGGGACAGGAGGACAGAACTGGACCATCTTGGCTGCGAGTCCTGCAAGACCTCTGCTTCCTGCCTGGCTAGCCTCTTTCCACCTGGCCTGGGAGGGAAGAGCCCTGACTGACTGACTCCAGCTACAAAAACTGAGGCTGCTGAAGGGGCCAGAGGCCATTCAGTTTGCTGTGTTTTCACATTAACAATACATAACAATTGTATACACAATGCCACCCTTTATATACTTTCTTCTCAAAGGAGAAGTTGTTTCTAAGAGTTGTTTTGAAGCCAGAGATTTAAAAGGTACGTATTCCAATCTTTATGAAATACAATTGGTTGCTGAACTGAAACACTGTTAGAATAGCATCTGAGCAGCAGAAGGGGTAGGATACCTGTAGTTGTTGTCAGAACAGATAATTGCTGCAGACACACAGAAGTTTTAATACCCCGGACACCTTGTTTGGAAGCTACTTTGTGAACTAGACCTAAAGCTCACATGTGGAAAGGAATTGTAAGTAGCACTGAAAAAAGGCCTGTTGGGAGGGTCTAAGTGGTAACCTTTTTAAGGCTCTACACAAAATATTTCACTTAGCATTCATCCCAAAGCATGAAAAGCCTGCCACAACCCTCAAAGATTCTCATATAGAGGAGTGCAGCTAGCATATTATCAGTTTAGAAAACAGAGGCCTCACAATAAATACTAGCTCTCTCTTCAGGCAGAATTATGCACCTTTTACATTCTAAATAAAGATTGTTGCTAAACAACCACATTATTCTACCCAGCACTGGGTTTCTTAAGTTTCCCCAAGCCCTCTCTGATAAAACTGAATACCACAATGAGCAAGAGAAAATGAAATCAAACGAGAAATAAAAAAAGAAAAGCCATAAAAAAGTGCAGCCGTTTGCCCTCAAACCAGAGGAGGAAACCACAGGAAGCAGTGACAGATCAAAGGAAGACTAGATCACACTACTTACTTTCATTGTCTGAACTGTCACTGCTGCTTAGATGCCTGTGGCGTTTCATCCTGACGCATCCTAGAAAGAGAGGAGAGAAAAGATATAGTTGGTTAAATCAATCACATGCCGTGAAAACACACACAAAACCATACACAAATTAATGCTGCCTGGAGGAATTGTACAAAAAAAAAGAAAGATGATTTTCCAAAGGGAGCTTTCCAGCATATAGTGTCAGATCACAAGCTACTTATTGTAATAAACAAGCAGTACTGAGTGATCCACTGAACCTCAATGTGCTGATTAAAGATGTGTATCAAGCAAAATCAACCTGCGACTAGATTAATAGAGAGAAGGATTCAGGGCATTTAAAGGGGGAGGGTATAACTGAGCATTCAATCTTCAGCAAGAAAGTCAAACACTAAAGAAAGTTTAGTGTTTATAACTTCTATATACAAATTATCGTAACTACTAGAGTGCCCTTTAGATGTTATAGTAGCAGCATGCGGCCTGCTTCATTATGGGTTCACTACCCCACATGGCCATAATGGCAAAAGCAATGCCACCACATGAACAGGGGCAATCACAAAGGTCATTACTATGCAACTTAAAAAACATTCTACTCTTTGTCCCTGTGCTCATATCTTCCATCCAGGCAGACCTGCTTAGCTGATCAATACATGTTATAGGATAGCAGCAGGAAAGGTGTTCACAAATCTAAACCCAGCTTAGTTCTCCTGCCTATGGATACCTGCATCTACCTGCCTGGGTGCAATGAAATCAGTACAAAAGCAGAATCCATCCTCAGTGGTATCTGCTGAACCTAATCTTGCTTGTGATTGTTGACTAGTTATACCAGTGGTTTGGAAGAAACAAGGATGTGGCATTAATCTTTGACAACACTTTCCCCCTCTACCTATGCCATTGGTTTCAAGCAGTAAAAGGTATTCAATATAGAATTACAACAAGTGGCGGGTGAAGGCTTTCTTCTTCCAGCAGGCTTTAGGGGATTGTCTGCTTTCAATTACAGTGGTACCTTGGGTTATAAACACCTCGGGTTGTACAGACTCCGCTAACCTGGAAGTAGTACCTCGGGTTAAGAACTTTACCTCAGGATGAGAACAGAAATTGTGTGGAGGCAGTGGGAGGCCCCATTAGCTAAAGTGGTGCTTCAGGTTAAGAACGGTTTCAGGTTAAGAAGGGACGTGTGGAACGAATTAAGTTCGTAACCAGAGGTACCACTGTTTAGGACAGGTGCCATCCTTTGCCCCCCTTTTTGGTACTTGTTGGTATGTTTTAAACAGATTTTATATAGTTTTAATGCTCCCAATGCATAATTGTATTTTAACGATTGGCTTTTCTGCTTTTAGTGGTTCTTGTTTTTGTTGTAAGCTGCTACGAGTCCCATCAGAGAAAAAGGCAGGGTATAAACAAATACACAAACAATAAGAATAAACATCCACACTACTATAGGACTATCATCTTGATCTAGGATAGCCTCCGCTCTCTTCCTATACACAAAAAATGCCAGGTCTTCTATCCAGATCTCCTTGCTCGCCATCTTCCATCTGATAGTGGCTGGCTGAACTATAACACCTCCCTTCCCCATCCATTCACACCACTTTTTCTTAATATGGTGGAGGTGGCAGAAATCCTATCATTTCCTCCAACTCTTAAATCTTACCCGATTATTTAAATTATGACCTATATTCAGCAAGGCAGACACTCATATGCTGGTAGTAAACTACCATACACTGTGAAAAGATTCTAAATATAGACTTGGCAACCAGCAGCCCAAAATAGCAGAGGCAGAACAAACACCACAAAGCAAGCAGCTTACATTTCTTTCTGAATATTGATTATACTTTTTGTGTTATTACATGAGGTTCTCAGAGGTCACCCTCCCCCGGTCCAAAGGACTAAATTGATCCACACCCGCTCCTGTAAATGGTCACTTTCAGACAATTTTCAGAGTCCCTCAAAATTATGTTTCATAAAGCATTCCTAACCATACCTAAATGTCAGGGAGGTAAAAAATAAAAGCAGACTGCACCTCTTAATATGGCATACAACCAATTCACAGTATTGAAATAATAGTTTCAGCAGTGTAATAATTCAAAATGTAATTCCTACTGTAAAATGTTATTAATGAGATGAGTTATTTACAGAACCTTTTTCCACATGGCTGCTGCATGATTTTTTAATGTAGTGCATTAATCCTGACCATTAGAAATCCCATTTTGATTTTATTCAAAAGTTCCTTTGCGTTTCCAATGTCAAACTATTATGAGGATTTGGGGAGGGGGGGCAGAGACAAACATACGTTAAACAGATTCAGCTCCAATTCTGCAACATTAACTAACAAGGCATTGAATAAATTTCCACAAAAACCATTCTCTCTCTCTCTCTCACACACACGGGTAGCATCTAAGATGGCTCTGAATGATCTCTTTTTAAGTTTTATACTACAGTGGTACCTCAGGTTACATACGCTTCAGGTTACAGACTCCGCTAACCCAGAAATAGTGCTTCAGGTTAAGAACTTTGCTTCAGGATGAGAACAGAAATCGTGCTCCAGCGGCGTGGCGGCAGCAGGAGGCCCCATTAGCTAAAGTGGTGCTTCAGGTTAAGAACAGTTTCAGGTTAAGAACAGACCTCCAGAACGAATTAAGTACTTAACCCAAGGTACCACTGTATCTGAAAAAGGTAAACCTTTTTATATATACAGTGGTACCTCAGGTTAAGAACTTAATTTGTGGTCTTGTTTGGGTGGAAAGGCAGGATATAAATTTAATAAATAACTAAATATTAATGGAAGGTAAAAAAAGGTAAAGGACCCCTGGATAGTTAAGTCCAGTCAAAAGTGACTTGGGGTTGTGGCGCTCATCTTGCTTCAGGCCGAGGGAGCGGGCATTTGTCCACAGACAGCTTTCCGGGTCATGTGGCCAGCATGACTAAACCGCTTCTGCCGCAACGGGACACTGTGATGGAAGCCAGAGCACACAGAAACGCTGTTTACCGTCCTGCAGCAGTGGTACCTATTTATCTACTTGCACTGGTGTGCTTTCAAACTGCTAGGTTGGCAGGAGCTGGGACAGAGAAACGGGAGCTCACCACATTACGGGGATTCAAACCACCAGCCTTCTGATCGGCAAGCCTAAGAGGCTCAGTGGTTTAGACCACAGTGCCACCCACGTCCCTTATAAATATTAACTAAGCGCATCATAAATCATTATCTGGGATTATGTCTCAATCTCTGTGTTGAAGGGATGTGTTATCTACAGTTAAAATAAGGCTGCTGCATTTGCTCACCCTCTCAGCATAGATGGCTAGAAACCTTCCTCTAGAGGCATAATTAAGGAATAATTAAGGTTCAGACCCACTTCAGCTTGATGACTGAAGCACTCCACAGAGCTGAAAACTAATCAGGAATACACACCATTTGGTCTTTGGTGTTAAATGAGAGCACTGCGAAGAACGTGGCAGCACCAGGCAAAAGAAAGATTGATTCTCTGGAAAAAGCATCCCTGAAGGGAAATTTCTTTATGAAGATTTACATGGATGTATCTGTTTCTACAAAGGCAGAAAGATACTAAAGGAAATGGGCAGATTCTGAAGACATCCAAGAACATACATTATGGGACACCCAAGTCTGAAAGACGAGCTGGAGGTATCATAAAGCTGCATCTGAACCACAAACAAAAGCCAGTTTAACTGCCATAACTTCCTCCAGGGAATCTTGAAACTATAGTTTTGTGAGGGTGATAAGAATTCCATTGGAGATCCCCAGCCTCCTTCTAGAACCTAGGATTCTAGTGTTCCAAGGGACAACTATGGCAAACTAATTCCAACTGCACAGCAGATATTACCATACCAATTTTCTCCGTCCACGACTATGAGATTAGCAAGCAATGCATTCACATAGCAAATCCTTAAAGTTAAATCACATATTACAGCAGATGTTGCATACTTGTTGAGTTGTCTTACGGTGCAATGATTCACCTATGACTGTTACAGTGAATGCCCATCCCTGCTGTGAATACAGGACTTCTACTAAAAATGGTCACGGCTTATTTTTATTTATTAAAGACATTTATATACTTCCCCGCATATTGCATGACTGTTTAAAATAAAGACTTCCTGCCAGCACTCTAGCTATTCACCATATTTTTCGCTCTATAATGTACTGTATATGTACTCTATATGTACTGCATTTTTTGCTCTATAAGACGCACCAGACCACAAGACGCACCTAGTTTTTGGAGGAGGAAAACAAGAAAAAATATATTCTGAATCTCAGAAGCCAGAACAGCAAGAGGGATCGCTGCGCAGTGAAAGCAGCAATCCCTCTTGCTGTTCTGGCTTCTGGGATAGCTGCGCAGCCTGCATTCACTCCATAAGACGCACACACATTTCCTCTTACTTTTTAGAAGGGAAAAAGTGAGTCTTATAGAGCAAAAAATACGGTAAATTCATGCCAGCCCTCTAGCAATTTTCTTTCTTTCTAGGAGTACAGGAATACCAAGGAGGCCTCAGAGAAAGAGAGTATGGGCCCCTCAAAATGGAGATGATTATTATTTTTTGCAGCTGTATTTTGGAACATGACCTTGATGCAGTAATAATGCATTTTTATACTGAACCGTCCACACATAATTCTGCTTTATTAGTTGTTCTGTGATGCTCTCTCAGTTTTATCACATTACTGTCATCCGAAGGGGCACTCTTGCGCTACAGCACAACAAAAGCAGGGGGAAATAAAACCCAGAAGATTTATGGTATGAGAAGTTATGGGATTTCAGCCTCAAGCTACAGGACTTGCACAGATCTGAAAGGAAGCAGCATGTCTGCCTTGAAACTTCTGCAGGCACAGACATTATCAAAAGTGGGATCACATATAACTGCTCAGATACCATCATGAGCACATATCTTCATTCATGCACAATAAAATGAACATCTGGGGAAGCCCTGTGACTTTTGGTCCCCAGACCCTTGTAGGCTTGTCACCTTACAGCACAGGCTTCTTCAAACTCGGCCCTCCAGATGTTTTGAGACTACAATTCCCATCATCCCTGCCCACTGGTCCTGCTAGCTAGGGATCATGGGAGCTGTAGGCCAAAAAACAGCTGGAGGGCCAAGTTTGAGGAAGCCTGTTATAGCACAAGACTGAAGCAAGCCTACTTAATCAGTTTTCTGTTTCTCCAATGATACCTGGCAACAGGCTGATCTCATCCACGCTGCTATTTTGCTCTCTATTGTCTATTGTCCTTCCCTCTTTATCTGCCAATATTTTCCCCCCATATCCCATCCTATGAGATTTTACTCATCAGAATACTCTGCTTTGGCGACAGTGTCTTGGGCCATGCTGAACCACTTGCTGCGACATTCCTTCTGCCCACTAAGAAATGCAGTTTTACTCAAGAGTAGACTCACTGATAGTAATGCACCAAAGTTAGCCATGTTAACTGACTTCAGTGGATTTGCCATGAGTGGGGCCAGCGGTGGATACAACACTAAGAGAGCTGTCAGCTCTTGGCTACTGCCTGGAGAGGCACCAGCCTGTTAAAGAAACCCAACTAAGCTGTAGGTGTTGCCACTGCAGTTTTTTCTTTTCCCAGGACACTCCAAATTTGAAAACGGTAGCTGGTATTTGAAGGTCTGTTCTTAAATTACACAGAACTGAGATAAGAAGTTATATTGCTGATTTTCCCCATTTCCACTGCAACGTGTGGCATCTCACCTATGAGAATATCTATATCCCTACAAGGTATGGATCTCACCGTAGGCATGACCCACAGGTACTCATTCCACATTACAATAAGATTCACAATTGCCTTCTATAAAATTTTAAGTCTTTATATACTGTCTGTGTGTGTGTGTGTGTGTGTGTGTGTGTCTGTATCTGTATGTGTGTACACCCCCAAGCCCCTCTACTTGTATACAGGTATGTGCTTTTATTAGCTAAAGTTGTAACTGAGACGGCACAGGAAAGAAAGGGTATTTCCTCCAAAAAGGGGATTTCTCAAAAGCAAAACCTTGTAAAGTTTCCAATTTTTTGAGCATTCAAGTTCAACAAAATGAACTTCACAGCTGCTGATTTTAGAAAAGCAAGTTGTATTTCTGATCACTACATTTCCTTTATTTGACAGATGTGTCTATAAAAACATGCACAGAGTTAGCCGCTATTTTTAATTGTTCTGAGTAGTTCTGACTCTGGGGATTTTTATTTTTATTTTAATCCTCTAAACTTTGGGGAATTGCTTTCAACTATACACTTTCAGGGGCATGACCTAGAGTTCATCATGCCTTTCCAGTCCCTTTAGGGGATCCATTTCCATTTAGTCATCTTTTGATAAGTGGGGCACTACTCCCAAACGCGTCATTAAATATTTAATAACCAAGACACGATTCTTCCCTGTTTTCACACTTATCCTTGTATTAATACAGAATGCAGCCAATGTGCAGTGCTTTATAATTTATGTTAAAGTGGTTGTTCTAAAGAGTGTGCTAGATAAAATAAAAACATGGTTGCATTTATTTTAAAATGAAAAAAGCCAAAACTGCCCACAGAGCCTGGTGCTACTTGCATAAGATTGTAATGTTAAATGATGTAAAAGAATGCACCTTAACTCACCTCTGTATAAGCAAGCATTTCTCCATATATCTATAAAGGAAGTTCTTCCTTCATTTAACTCTAGCACACTTCAGAGACATCGTAGCTGGAAACTCAATTAATCCTCCTAGCACACTGATTATCAAGTTCCACTCCTTGGCATCTATAAGCTCAGTTAAGGCAGCAGCACAGTGGAAATGTAAAATCCAACAAAAACTGAATTAATCAAAGCCTCCAAAGTGTGTAAGAGATTAAAATAACCAAATTCTCAAGTTTAACAACAGTTTAGCTATTTGTTAGTAACAAAAACGAATCTCAGTTGAGGGCATATTTAGTAGAAATATAGTTTTAAATGTGGATTATATATCCATATTCTACATTAAAAAATACTCAAGTGGTGTAAAAAGAAAAGGAAAGAATGTGAAACATAGTACAACCACAAAATACATGTTAGAAACATGAAGCCAACAAGAATTAAAAGCTGCAGAAATAAAATAGACTAATTTGGGAAGGCCTTGGCAGAAAAATAAAGCATATAGCCAACATTTTTTAAAATAAGAATCTTGGGACATGCTTCACTCTATTCACAACCCTAGTCATGATCTGATATAATAATGTGTTAATCCAAAAATTTATTATAGATAAACTGATTTTTTTCTAATATGAAGGAGAACTGCTTAAATAATGCTCCATAATTAGTATATGTAGTTTACCCATTGACATAGCTCCTGAGGTAAACTAAATGTCACTGAATCCTTTAAGGAAGTCATTTTCTGCCTTCTGGGAACCTTTCCCATTGTGATTTGTCTGCTGGATAAGCAACTGCCATGAAAACTTTGTAGGTTGCAGACAATTCTGGGGGATGTTCTGGGGTGTGCACGCGTATGTTCGTATCCCATCCTCGTCGCCAGTGTTAAGTTGTGGGTGAACGTATCAGACGACACAGCTCTTGTTTATTCACAGGCCAGAACAGAACTGAACTGAAGGGTTCAGCCAGCCTCCTTATATAGAGCGCCACTACAACGCAACTGTAACACTTTCTGTAACTATCCAATCACTGAACGTCACTTCCAATCCCTTATTTGCATATACGGACCTGAGTGAAAACTATCTACAGTATCCCCCTGCTGGCCCAGGGTGAGAACTTCAGTACATAATACCTACCATCCCAAGTTAATTGACTGCACAGTGCACAAACAGCCAATCAATCTTTTGGTGAGACATTGCTGAGGTGAATTGGTACCAGTGGTCAACCTAGCTCTATTAGAATTTTATCTGCTAATTGCAGAATCCCTTGTTTCCTAGGAATCTTAGAACTAAAGCTTGAAAACTACTGCTTAAACATATGGAGAATAAAGAGTGTACAATACATACACCTCCTAGATCCAATGGGTTTAGAAAATATCTACAGTGGTGCCTCGGTTTTTGAACATAATCCGTTCCAGAAGAGCGTTCGAGTTATGAAAAGTTCGAAAACCGAAAACTCAAAACAGAAGCCACATTTCCTGTTCAGCTTCCGAGGTGTGTTCAAAAACCAAAGCATTTACTTCCGGGTTTATGGCATTCGAAAACCAAAACGTTCGTAAGTGGAGACGTTTGAAAAATGAGCTACTGCTGTATATGCAGAGGTACAGGCACAAACCATAAGAAAAAGAACTAAGTTGGCCAAATAAGCATGACTGATTTTGCTATGAGGCAACAAACAAGTGAGTTAATATTTTCATTCACAACAATATTCTTAGCCTCACCGAATAAGTGTACAGAATTTTACCATAGTAAAATAATTCCCATTCAAAAGATCTGCACCACAACACTGGGCATAGCTGAATAGAGTGTATACCCAAACTATGATAAATATAAATGATTACAAATCTGATCCTCAAAAGTTGGGGGATCTTGTGCGCTTTTAGAACTGCAGTTACGAAACACAACGATGATATAATATCCACACAGTCTGACCAAATGAATCCACTTCGGATTATCTATTTCTACACTCAAAATCTCTTAACATGTATGAGATGCTTCGTTTCAACCAAAAATGAAGAAAAATTGGGATACAAATATTGAAATGAAATTGAATGAGAATGCTGCAGTAGATTTACCATCTATGGATTTAGTACTGTATTTGGCAAATACTAACTAACAGGGAGTCATTCATGGTTGTAAAGTACTTTTCTAACTTACTTTCTGCTTGTTTCCTCAATGCACATATTGATTGTGAGGACTGAAGTACAGTCTCAAATTAAATTAGCGACTGTGTGAAATGTGCATTTTAAAAATCAGCATAATAATGCTAAATTGGAAATCTAATAGCTAAAATTGTTTTTCATTAATATCAGTACCTTGTGGAAGATATTAACTATAATGTGAGGGCCATTTAGACACAAGGTAAATTGAACATGCAAAATTTGTAAGAAAATGTAGAACCAAGATTGGCACACTATAATATTACATTTACACAGCAAATTTAAAGAACTATTTTGCCATTTTTAGGACTGCAGAAATAGCTGGGTTTTTTATTTAAATATTTTTAAAGACATGAAATGTAAGCAATGGGTAGGTTTTGTGTATTACATTCCCCACTCCCAAGTATTTAGGCCTGCAGTTTGATTGAAGGCACAAACCTCTGGAATGAGCTGAAGGGCGAAAGAACAAGGACTCTTATCCTGAAGCTCTCCATTGTGGGCCAGAAACCACCATGCAAAGTAATTAACCAGTTAAGAACAATGGATGCTTATCAAGGTGGTAGGCAATCTGGTAGGAAATTCTAAAACTTCATTTATCCAATATGAAATGTTCATCTGATTTTGTGGGAAAATAGCACCCCCTCTCCTTAAAATTCACTGGACTTCTAGAACTGCCACTCAGAATTTCAGATCATTCTGCAATTTGTAAAAAAGAATTATTTCTTCAATTTGTGCTCATGCCAACAAGAGTTACAGATGCCAATCCGTAACTTCCAAGTATTTAAGCCTACAGTTTGATTGAACAAAACTCGCGAATGTTTTTTACACACCCACACCCTGCTTGCTGTTTCAGAACTGCAACAACAAGCACAAGTAAACCAACCTGCAGTATCCATCAAGAGTATCCATTTTATTCTGTTTCCAGAATGCACTAATTTGCCGCTAAAGAATTCAAGTTAATAGCTCATCTCTCTATATATTATTTACCGAAATTGTTTCTGCTTCGTTGCTTAAATACTTGACAATGTTTACATTTCCCTTTACAATAATTCTGTCTTTTCATTACCCACTTCCATTCAGTCACTTGCTAGAAAGGAACGCTTCTGTGTTAACTTCCTTCCGGACTATAGCAAGTAGCACTGTTCTTTACTTCCCTACCACATTTGAGACACCCCCTCAGTGAATAGCTGCCCTGTGTCTGCCTGTGGGAAAAGCGGCGAAAAATGACCAACAGCAGCAAAATGATCATCTCTAATTCTTGTCAGTTTCGCTTTCTACGAAAGTCATTTTCAATCTGATCCATTTGGTAGCTTTTCCGCCAACAAACAAAAAAACACTGCAGTGGAAAACTCCAGCACAAATGATGGCAGGGTGTGTGGAAAAAACTGTACCAGTTTCAAATAATAATGCACATTAGTTAGAAAGGGCTTGGGAAAATGAATTTAGAAAATAGGAATAAAGGGCTTCTGCAATACATATTGTCTTCAAAACCCCCAAATATAATACACATCTTACCTTTCCAAAAAGAGGAAATCTGAAATACAGCATTTGTGAACAGAGAAGGCTTTCCTTTTTTAGAAGTTCGTTTCCTAAATCTTCAAAGGTTAAGGACTACAAAAAGCAGTTTATGGATTCTGTGGAGGAGACACATTCTGGCTGTGTTTGGATACAGCACTAAACCCCATTTTAACGCTATGTGAATGAGTCTCACACATGGCTGTGAAGAGATAAGAAGCATCTGCTTCCATTTTCAGTTAACAATATGTATGCATTTTCACCAGTATCTTAAAGAAATAAACTGCAATATATAAATTTAGTACCATCAGCTCTTGATATAAGCCTGATCGGTTGAGTAATCTTTCAACTATCACAGAATTTTGATTGATCTCAAACTTGGGACAACACATAACATTAATAACACTAAATCACTATGAAGCTTTTCCCAATTTGAATGAAAAATTGTGTAACAAGCAGGAAAAAAATTAGGGCCAAGATTAGGAGAAATAACTAAGGATGGATGAACTTAGTGCACTAGAAATTGTAACTGTCTCGCTGTTTATAGAAACTATTGGTGTAATCTTGGCCAAATATACTTTTCCAAAGAGATCCTATAATATTTTTGCACAAGTGTATTGGAAAGTGCAATCGCAGAACATGTTGTGCAAATTCTGCCATCATCATGTGTCCTGCAACATCATGCATCGTTATGCCCCCTTCTTGGCTAGTTTTGTTTGTTCCTGGTTTTTTTTCCTTCTTCCTTTTTTTACAGTTGGGATGACTCTCAAAAGAGTAGCTGCGGCTGTTGGCAGGAGGAAGTGGTAGAGCAGCAAGTGTTGTGGTGGAGGAATCCTTCTTACACAGCTATCCATAAGTAAGTCCCATTGCACTCAGCCGAGTTTGCTTCTGAGCGTGTAACCCTGCATAGGAAGGATTACACTGAAACAAGAAGTATGTAAGAGAGACATGTGAATTTTTTACCAGAAAAAAATATATCTCATGACCCTTTTTTGAAATATTATTCTAAATAGTTACTGAAAGACTAAAATAATTTGGCACACATATATTGCGAATTGAAAATGGGATTCTCTCGCTTCCTTTAACAAGTAAAAGGTTACTGCAATCAATCTGAGCATTAGCAGAGATAGCAACCATTTATCCCTAGCGATTCTGAATTCACATGCACACCAACTACAAATTAACTTGCAATCAGCCTTGGTGTAAATTGCAATAATTATACAGTTTGCACATTTTCTGACCTACCTGATCTGACCTCCAAACCTACCAATTATGAGTTATAGTGGTGTACTAGAAATAACTGATGCAAACTGTCAACTGCTGGGGAAACAAAAATAAAAGAATTCAATGGTTAATTACTGTGGTTGCTAATGTCCCTAGACCTGAAAAATTTATTGAACTATTACTCATCAGTTACTTTGATTCTGGTATTATAGTATGTTCAGGCATCTTTCTTCCTGTAGAATAAAGATGTATAAGCACTATGCCTTCATGTCAGTTCTAGTTGTATAGACACATGAAACATTTCTTCCCTTCCTTTTGCTAGATCAAAATATAACCTGAAAAGTACTCATGTGGGTTCTTTTTACATGATCAATATGTCCCAGTGCCATCCCACGACATCTTAAACACTGAAATTAGATCACTGAAACATAAAGCTCACTTTTCCCCTAAGAGAAGGATCAAATATTTAGAGGAAGGAAGAATGAACTACAATAAGAGGCAGTGGATTGATTATCAATCATACATAAATACTGGGGGCACATTTGACTCCTTTCAATAAAAAAATGAAGATCCAGCAGGCACATTCTGTTTCTCAGCTCTCCTCCAAGATGCTGTTATCAGGTAATTGTTTCATTTTCAGATTTCATCAGAAAGCAGGGCAATGTTTTAGAATTGCTACATTTGAAACTAACGAAGCCAGTCTGTTTACCATACGAAATTTAACAAAAGCAAAACAGTTCACCTTTGTTCTAGAACAGGGTTTCCCGAACTTGGGTCTCCAACTGTTTTTGGACTACAACTCCCATCATCCTTAGCTAGCAGGACCAGTGGTCAGGGATGATGGTAAAGAGGCAAACTCCTGCCTCCAAAGTTGCATTTTGTTTCCCAAAATCTTTCCGAAGTGCTTGAAAATTGCAAACACCAACCTGAAGCCAAACCCACTTCCCTGGACAAGGCCTAACAACCCGCTGGTCAGCTGTCTAGTTGTTTTTCATCCACAGCTAACTATCCAACCTTCAGCCTGGATTTAAAATAACACTTAAAATATTTGTTGCTGTAAAGCACTTATGTCCCTTGAAAAGACTATTGATTTTGAAAATATAGAAGACAGGAAATACATAGAAATACAGTCATACCTCATGTTACGTTTGCTTCAGGTTGCGCATTTTCAGGTTGCGCCCGGCGGCGACCCGGAAGGGTTACTTCCGGGTTTCGCCGCTTGCGCATGTGCGCAAAATGACATCACGCGCATGCGCAGAAGTGGCAAATCGCGACCCACGCGTGCGCTGACGTGGGTTGCGTTCCTTTCAGGTTGCGAACTGGGCTCTGAAATGGATCCCATTCGCAACCAGAGGTACCACTGTAAAGAAAAATATAGAAGACCTTTCACTGAGTCACACCATTGGTTAATCTAGCTCAGTACTGTCTCCATACCAGTCTTTCTCAACCTTGGGTGTTGTTGGACTACAACTCCCATCATCCCTGAACACTGGGCCCTGCTAGCTAGGGAAAATGGGAGCTGTAATACAACATCACATGGGGACATAAGACATAAGAATGAGACAGGCTTGTCTAGACTGACTGGCAGCGGCTCTCCAAGGTTTCAGACAAGCAACCTTTTTGCAGCCCTACTAGGAGATGCCAGAAATTGAACCTAGGACCTTATGCGCTCAAAGCAGATGTCTCTACCACTAAGCTATGGCCCTTCTCCTCATGTATCATTTGTAAAAAAAAATTAGGCCCAATTGGAGACATTCTTCCTATTCCACTTCTTTAATTCAGTAAGTTTCACAAATGTGAAGAAGAGAACACGTGGAGAAAATCCAATTTTCTTTCCAAGAAAGAAAATTTATCACGGGAATCTTTAAAGCTATTACTATTCTGCATTATCAAATTCCAGTTCAATTGTAGCCAGTGATGTTGGGCAGAAAAGGCCTCAAACCTTCAGCTGGCTGAAACAAGGTGTTCTGATTTTTAATTTAATTTTAATACAGTTGTACCTTGGTTTTCGAACAGCTTAGTTCCCAAATGTTTTGGCTCCTGAACACCACAAACCCGGAAGTGACTGTTCCGGTTTGCGAACTGTTTTTGGAAGCCGAATGTCCGCTGGGGCTTCCAATTGGCTGTAGGAGCTTCATGCAGCCAATCAGAAGCCGTGCTTGGGTTTTCGAACATTTTGGAAGTAGAAGGGATTGCCGGAACAGATTCCGTTCGACTTCAAAGGTACGACTGTACATTGATTTCCCAAAGTGTTTTTATGTCTCTGCATGCCACGCTTGCATCCCTGAAGACACTTGTTCAGAATTAAGAACCACTGATGTCAATGGGACAAAGTTATGAGCACAATATGGAAGGCTACAGCAAAAGTGAAATTTTTTCCCCCACTCCCAGCTGGAATTTCTCCTGTTTAAATCATCCTCTTTCAACACCACCTGCCGTACCTCAGAATGTGGTGGCATCACAAAAAGAGCCTTCTGATGACAACCTCAGTGATCAAGTAGACTGGTACAGAAAGACTGTCCAGAAATATGTCAGGTTCCATCCAAGCTGCATAGAATTTTAATAAAAGCAAGCACCCGTATTCTGAATTGAGCTTGGAAAGAGACCTGAAGCCAGTGGAGTTATTTCAACACAAGTGAGATGTAATCATAATACCTGGTCCCAGTTAGCAGCTTGGTGACAGGATTCTGAAGTACAGTTTCCAAACCATTTTGAAAGGCTGCTTCACATAGCAGACATGGAAGTAGTCCAGACCGGAGGTTACCAGAACGTGAGTAGCATTATGATCAATGGTCAAGCAGCTAATTAATGCAAACACTGCTCCACTAGGTGAGCTGTAGGTACTATCTAATTATTACCAGCAGGAATATAAAGACCAAGAATAATATAAAAACCAACTGAGCCCAGAAAGTCACTTGCTAGCTTCTGTATTCTCCATGAAAAGCTTTACTCAATCAACTATGCCTTTAGTTAATTATAGCACATTCCTATACATATCTACTGAGAAGTTTCAGAGTTTGATGAGACTTATTCTCATCAAAGTGTATACAGAATTACAACCATGTTAGTGGGGCAACTTTAAATTGTGAAGGCACTCTTGCAAATGTTGGTTCTGGGATGATACTGTAATAGGGGATGAAAATAAGCAGACTAAAGATGATTTGTTCAACGAGTGATAGGTTTTGCATTTTAAAATTTCTATTAAACTAAAAAACAAAAACAAATTGGATGACAACCCACCCCAAGTTGTGCTTTATCCAAAGTTAAGCTCACACAAATACTAGTCTCTTCAACACCTGTTGGAATAGTTTCCTGGATGAGTTAATATGAACTTCACTACAGGATTTGCATCTAGTATTAGAAGGCAATCAAGCATACAACACCTCAATGGCTTAGCTAGAAAAACCTGAGACCTAAGTTTACAAATACTACATCCACCAGTTAAGGTGCAATTCAACGGAAGCATGCATTATGTTCAGTGGGACTTCCTCCACAATAAACATACAGAGGATTGCAATGCCATTTTTGGCACCACACCAGTATACAAAGCCTATGCATGTGAAGCCTATGACATGTTTTCTCCAAAACATTTAGATCTACTCAGTGCTTTTTGTTGTTAAAAAGTGTGGCACTTACTTTAACAACTTCATGGTGAGTACCGGCACCTTTTTTTTTTCTAGGAAAAAAGCACTGGACTGAGCAGCACACCCCAGATCATTAGGTGTGAGGTCACTAACTGTTTGCCACAGGCTCATGCGGTTTGGAGACAGCAATAGATCAGGCCATAAAGAGAAACTTTTCAGAACAAAGGATGTTCCACTTTACATACAGAGGAGAAATACTGCCTGGAAAACGCCCACAACCATGGAATCCTTCTGATCACTTAACACGTGAAGACAAAAAACACCCCCAACTCAGTCAGGGTTTTCTTTTTTTTGCAGCGGGGAGAGAAAGGATAACTTATGGGCCCGGCCCATTCGCAACCACATGGCTGGACACCACACATACACAAACCACGCGCGCACAACCACGTGTCGTGACGCGTAAACATCTACCTGAGGCGGCGCTACGGCTGCCGCTCCTCTTCCTCGCTCACCTCTTGCACGCCCTGCCCCCTTCCCGCCCCGCCAACGTGACTCGAGCCCCGAGGCCTTGGCGCCAAACGCCGCCTGCACCCGAGGAGGAGGAGGAGGAGGAGGGGGCGCGCGCAACGCGGAGGCGGGGATGGGCAATACTGGGGAAGAAGCGCCACCCAACAACGCACGGCCTAGGGCCGCCACCTCTCCCCTTTCTCCCCCAGCCCACCTAGGCCGCGCCGGCGAGCGCCCCGAAGCCTCCCCGGGAGAGGAGACCACCTGTTTTTTTAAAAAATAAAATAAACGCCGCTCTCCCTTGTCCGACCCCACAAGGCAACCTTGCGCCACGGGCGGCACTGCGCCCCACGACTCACCTTGTGGCTCTGGGGCGGGCGGCGCCAGCAGCGTTTGCGCGCCCCGAGACTCCCCAGCCCAGGGGCCAAGGCTGCCGCTGCTACTTCACGCCGTCCATCTCCTCCTCTTCTTCCCCACCGCCCTCCCCGGTTCCTCTTCGGCTCCTTCCCGCCTGCCTCGGCCTGGGCGCTCCGTGGCTACGGGCCGGCCCCGCGCTCCGGCATGTCGCTTGGCCAAGCCTGTCGCCGCGAGCGCCCCCCGCCGTCCCCCCCGTCGCTCGTAGGGGCGAGCAGGCCCTGTGCCCTTGCAGTCTCCCTCTTGGCAGGCCAGGCGGCGGCACAAGAGCCCTATTGTATTATTGACACTGCCGCTTCTGCTTGCTGCTGGAGCTGCTGCCGCCGCCACCGCCGCCTCGCAAGCTCCTCCTCTTCCCCTTCCCTTCCCATCCTTCTCCCACCCTGTGCCAGCTCTCTTTACCCGAGCTCGGTCGGTGGGGCTGCTGCTTGCTGCTCCGCCACCTGCAACCCCCACCGACTTACTAGATTTCTTCCTCTTGGTGATCCGTCGTCGTCCTGAGCAGTCCGAGCCCCCCCCCCCGTCAATTCGCAAAAACCTCAGGAGGGACTCGGTGCCAAGGACTGCAGCAGCAGCGCGCGCTCTGCCATCGCGCGTCCGCCGTCCCTCCCATCTTAAAAGAGTATTTACTTTTTACGATGAAAGCAAGGATGCCCGCTGCTCTCGAGGCTCAGCTACCCAGGGGGAATTTTCCTATGGCGAGTCTAGTTTATATGTCCCTCCGCCCGAGAAGCTGGAAGATGAAATGCTTGCTCCAAGCAGACGACGAGGAGGAAGGCAACCTCATGCATGGCTACTTGGGGAAGAAACTGGGACTTTGGAGAATTCCCTCTTTTGGCCCTCAATAGCAGTGTTTTAAATAGTACAGAATCCTAAAATGCACATGGAAACAAGAACAGCTTCATAGTTCTTTTATTGTGTAGTTTGCAGAGATTGTGAAACTTCTGAGGAAGCTAGAATAGTATCGGGAGGTTTTTAATGTTTGACGTTTTGCTATGGTTTTATATGCACTATACACCGCTCAGAATGGCTGGGGAGAGCCAGCCAGATGGGTGGAGTATAAATTATTATTATTAGTAATAATAATGCAAGTCAGAACAGTCTGATGGCATAAGTAGCCCAGCAGGAACTAGAGCACCTTTCAGGACCACAGCTTCACAGCCTCCCATTCTCTGCTAGTAAGCATTAAGGAAATGGATGCTTTTGAGCTGCTGAATCATGTTCAGTCACTTGTGTAAATGGAGACTCCCCCATGCGTGAAAGAACGGGGTCAAAGGTAACGTGAAGTGAGGAAGTGGCCTGAGAACTACTAAAACTTCCAGCTAATTTTTGATAAAACAGCACATATAACTGAAATTCAAACACATGGAGATGAAACTGACCTGGGATGGTCAAATTGAGAGGCATTACTCAAAACAAAATGATAGCCTGATGCAGCACACCAGCTCTGAAATACCACAGTAGTACAAATAAAAAACAAGGGAGAAAAGATCAACTTTGCTTCTATCAAGTATAAAAGTGTGATCATAATAGCTGTAAGAAATAGGGTGCTGAGAAAAATGAAATTAGCAGATCAAGGTACATACACACTGCTGCAGGTATACAGGTGCCAGTTTTTAATAAAATTTAAAAAATGGTATAGTAGGTGAGAGCTAGGTTCCAATTTCCACATGAAAAAATGCTTCACATTGGCCAGCTGGATGCCTAGGGAAAGCCCACAATCAAGAACCTTTGTGCTACAGTGCCTTCCCTACGCGATTCCCAGAAACTGGTATTCAAAGGCATGGAGTGATGACATGAATTGGTCTAAACCTCCTTCAAGCCATCCTTTGACGATGCAGCTTGCAGTCTATAGGGATTAGCTCCAGTTGGCAGCTCCTGAGTGAAGCTGTTCCCAGTGGTGTTTACATTTGGCAACAAACACTGAAGCTTTTAAAGGAATAATTGGCTCCCAGGTGTTCCTTTGAACTATGCCTTTACCCATCCAACACCTCAGATGTGAGGCAGTGAGCATAGCTGAGGCAAAACAGTCTCACAAGCCAAATCAAGAATCCCGGTAGGCCAAATCTGACCTATGGGCTGCAGATTCCCCATGTCTACTTCACCTTTTTTGAGGTAAAGCCTGCTACCTAACCTGGACAATTCCCTTAAAAGAATGTAATGCAGCTCTGATCACTGATGAACCACAATTCTCCACTATGAAATCATACTGTAAGCTTTTAGGCACTTATGCAGTAGATCCCTAACTTCCACCTTACAACAAATGATCTTGGAAAGTTTGTTGGCCATCTTTACCCCTGACCAACTACAAAGCTAGCCAGCCAGCCACAAAGCTTTGTAGTTGACACATATTGCTGTTGGGTTGAAGTTTTGAATAGTTTCAAGTTTTGAATTGTAAAAAGTGTAATTGAGGCCTGGCTTTGTGTAAAAGGGCTCTAATGCAGACATTTCCCCTGGATGAAGACCCATGTTGATATAGTAAATATATTCTCACTTTAATGCATACAAATCTCACAAGTGGCTGCTTGGTGTGAATGTTTGCAGGCTACTTAACTACACATTTCTTTGAGCATAACCCTAACAGAGTTGTGTACTGGGTTATATAGCCACACCATCTATGGGTGGACAGCAATTTATTCACCAGCTATACTTAAGGGACCAAAACAGATGGACCACTTTTATTTATAGGGATTAATATGAAGCCTGTATGCTGAAAAGGAGCTCTGACCAGAACACACAGTAGTAAGTAGTTATTATGCAGTAGTGTTCAAGAATATGGTTTTTACTCATCCAACCAGTTTTGCCACATTGAGAATTTGTATTGTCTTGAACATTTTTATCATGCAGTTAAGTTCTACACAATAATTTTCAGTTTTTATCCGAGAGAAATATGAGTAAGATCAGATATTTCACTTTAATATACTCCCTTCCAAATTAAGTAATATGTATCAAGTTTGATAGCTCTTAGTGCTGGAAGCTTCTGAGATGATGTGTACTTGGAGTCCATTATCAACATGGCATCTCCAAGGAAATGTGCTTGAGAAACAACTGAGATGAAACATTGCTTAAACTCATTAAAGACCAAGTCTTTAATAGAAGGATGCAAAAGGCAATCCTAAGTAGAAAATGTAGGATTAATAAGAGCACCAGTAAGGAAGAAGGAATTTTAGATGTACAAACCTGTTGTGCTATTCTCTGTTCAATGGTGGCAGATACTAAAAGACCATGAATCCAACCTCACTATGAAGCTAACGAGTAGACACTGACAAAGTCATAAAGGCAATATGAAGCCTATTTAGTATCAAAACAAAATAAGTTTATGATGCTCTGATGGAATTAGCAGTCATCTCAAGCAAACACAGGTCTTTACCATGAAGCACAGTGCCTAGCAGGCCAACTGATGGACTTGATATCAAGGTATGATATGTTCCACGTATATACTGCAACTAAAACTACACAATGCCTTACAATGGACATCACAACTGCTCCTTCGCTCATGAAGAAATGTGTGGAGTTCATCTCATTATAACAGTGGTACCTCGGGTTACATACGCTTCAGGTTACAGACGCCGCTAACCCAGAAATAGTACCTCGGGTTAAGAACTTTGCTTCAGGATGAGAACAGAAATCGTGCTCTGGCGGTGCGGTGGCAGCGGGAGGCTCCATTAGCTAAAGTGGTGCTTCAGGTTAAGAACAGTTTCAGATTAAGAACAGACCTCCGGGACGAATTAAGTACTTAACCCGAGGTACCACTGTATAGGGAAAGTGATGCAGGAGTCATTATCACAGCAAAAGAGGTCCTTGATGTCAATTCCACTTTTGAGGAGCCCCCACATAAGTACTGCAAGATGCGGCAGCTTGAATACGAGCGTCAAATTCATGATTTTAAGTGCAATGGTCTAAGCAGAAATTTTCAAGCAGTTCTTCTACACTCTGACTCCGCTCATATTTCAGCTGAAGAGTGAGCTGAGCAGCTTGAATCTCACATGGGGATTCTCATACAGCCTTGAAAAGCTACCAGAAGAGAAGCTTACCACCCACTATATGGATCTCACAAATGGCAACTGCTCTGACATTGATGGTGCAGATATTTGTGTTGAGCTGGGCCATCTCCATCAGATGCTACCTCCTTGAAAACTCGCAAGATGCCCTGCAGTAACTCTATTATAGTGAAACAAATTACGTATTCCCAAACATCTGGATAGCAGTATCATTTCTCCTGACACTTCGAGTTGTCAGCGGCAAGCGTAGCTTCTGAAAACTGAAGCTTACTGAAACGTATTCATGTTCTACCATGGCAGATGAAAGGCTCACATCACTTGCTATCCTATCCGCCAAGGAGGACATTGGTCAAAACCTTGCTCTTTCAGCCACTGTGCCAGTTTGCACAAGCCAAAGCTGTTGTATAGCAGTTCCTATCTTTTGATAAGCATTCATTATTTAAGAATATCCATTTTATCTCTTTTATATATACACACTGTATTTTTCTGTGTATAAGACGCCCCCTATTTTGGGGGACTCCAATTTAAGAAAATGGGGGGGGGTTGCCCAAAGTTGTTCAGCTTTTTGGGGGGGGGGGGTTGGCCATACTTGAAGAGCTTTTTTGGGGGGGGGAGATGCCAAAAATCACTGGACTGAAACGCTGCCAATTGCACACGTCACAAAAGCCACTAAGCATCTGCCCGATCGCCAAGCGCACGCCCAATTGCCGCAGCGGAAGCCAATCCACAGCAGACCTTGCCACAGCCACCAATCAACAACCCAATGGACACAGCAGCAGCCAATCCAAAGAAGCCCTTGCCAAAGACACCAATCACCCACCCAATTGCCACTGACAACCTCCTGCTCGCGGCTGCAACCAATCACTCATCACCCCTCTGCACTAACCGTGTATAAGACGAGCCCCAATTTTGAACATTTCATAGTAAAAACACCTTGTCTTATACACGGAAAAGTACGGTATATACATAAAGACCTATCTAGCTGACTTCTTACAGCTTAATATTATTATACAGTGCTTGTAGTATTTGAGGGGCTAAGTGCTTGGCAACGTTGCCTCAAAAAAAATAATAATAATGCTATGTTCCATTGACATCCTTTGTGCTAGGTAAAAAAAGTGCAAACTGAAAAAAGAAACATACTTTAAAGCTAACTGAAATATAATTTTTGTAGTTATCGAATCTTGAAAAGCTTACATACGCTTTCTTTTTGCTGTCCTAACTCACTGCAGATAATACATTTTTTAAAAATGCAGTCACTGAGCTCAGTTTGGTGTTCCCCTCTGATCAGCACCCAGGGGGACCACCCAGTTTGCCCGTTCTAAGGATGGCCCTGTTTGGACCTTCCTGTCAGGCTTTTAAAAGAAAATAGTGGGAGAGTCAGAAGCCCTGTTGTGAAAGTGTCCTGGCTCAGTCTTGTCTGGATCCAGCTCATTATCAGTTGCTACATGAAGTATATAACGTCAAATTTTAAAGGACAAAGCTCAGCTAAATAAAGTGACAAGAGGGCGGCAATGAGACCAATTAAATTAGTTACACAACCGTGAACAGATTCGTTTAGATCATGACACACACCCCTACATCTTTAATTAAAAAGTTACAGGGCTTTTTCATTTAAATATTTATTATAAATCACATTTTACAAGTGCTAGACAAAAAAGGCATTATAAAAGCCATAACAAACATACAAAACCCTGATAAAGCACTTACTGTAGTATGATACCAATGAATTAACTGAACAGTTTACCTTATAAAGAATAAGCAATAATTCACAAAGATCCAGAAATTAACTACACAGAATCCTTCAATTTTGACAGTATAAAAAGAAATTAGGAAATGTTATTAAAAACCTTCAATGATTTGACAAATTATCTCTCCCTACACATTGCAGAGCATTTCCTCTGATTTTAAAAGTTATTTCCTGTTAAAGCTTCAGGTAAAAATTATGTTGTCTTTATCCAGCATATAGTACTATTCTAGCAGATAAAACCCTTATTTCCATATAGCACATATTTATACAGTTGAAGAAAAAGAAAGAAAATTATTTCTTTTTACAGCTTGTATAAAGCACCGGTTTCTACAGATTTCAGTATAATTACAATCTTTTGAGTACACCTACTTTGTACTTAACATGCCACCTTCCAGATTAAGCATAGCCAAGAGACATGATTTGTACTCTAAGCCATCGTGTTGCACTCAGAATGAGTAAACCTGATTGCATTATCTTGTTAATCTTTCATCTTTATTTTGATATTCTAAACCAGCGCAAAGTCCTGCAGTTGCATCTTCCTTCGACGTTTGAGATAGAAGTTAACATTTATAACAGGGGCTTGGAGATGGCACCAAACAAAACAGAGTGAAGTCATCAACACTCAAGTTCAGGGTAGATTTGGAGGACCAAAAAGCAGGATTTGCAAGCTCCCACTTTAGATTTTTATGCAAGGAGGCTCACCCTGCTTTTCATAAATTTAATACATTTGGAAAAATTACTCTTAATGCAAGAATTCAAAGCAGCGCTCAGTACCAAGAGGTACTAAGTCCCCTGTAGGAATACTAACTCTGCAAGCACTTCCGCAGTGATTGAGTATTTAAAGTGTAGCCACTAAATATACTTTAAGTCAGTGTAGAACCTGAGACTTTAGCACAAAAAATTAAGCTGTAATTTCTCATCTCTGCTACTTGCATGCAAGGGGAACAATCCAAAGTCAGCCATATTGATTTCAGTGTGAGTGAAGTACATTAGATCGTTCCCACTGAAAAATCAAGGTGTGTGTCACTTTAGCAAAATTTTCTGTATTCTGTAAAAGCATATCACCTACAAAAGTTTAAATTATGGTACCTGTGGAGTGAACTTGGGTTGCAAATAAGTTTTAATTTTGACAAAAACCAAAGGGCTCTCTCCTAAATTTTACCAAACATACCGAACAGACTGCCAGGCTTATAACATTGAAAAATTATATGCAAGAAAGAATTGGACTTAAGCAGGTGAGCACTAAAGAGCTTATAAAGGTATCTGATATGTGGCCTGTTATTTGTTGGATGCATTTAATGTAAAAAAATTTTTTTTTGTAAAGGCAACTTCTTGTTTTTCTTCAAAGTGTCCGACTATCAACTGAGTGCTATACAAACCTAAAGTACATCTCAATCGTCAATAAGATGCTTATGTCTACTTCACATTCCCATCTGCATATCAGCAAAATTATAGAAGCTGTCTACTTCTCTGGAAGCTGATGCCTTGTCCTCCGATACAAAAACCTGTAGTTTAAAAGGAAAATGAAAATCACTAACATGCCCTCAACCAGATGATTTTATACAAGATTCTATTTTTTAAAAAATGGATCATATTGTTAAGCCACTCCTACTACTGAGTTAATTCAAGTTAAAAGCCAACTTAAATTCTGGATAAAACAGTAATACCAAAGTGAGAGAAACATGTTTTGTAGTTGGCTTGTTTCAAACATACCATAGTTATCATTAACCACAGTTTGTCAATTTGGATACTGCAGGCTGTAGTTAAGCAAATGCATTGGACCAGTCACTATGCTTCTATTAAGCCTCTTGCCAAGGGCTGAAACATATGCTTCCCTGAGCTCCTTCGATGAAGGAGGGGATAAAGTGTTAAAAAGTAGTCTTAATTTTGAAAGTTAGCATTGAATTAAAAAACAATCTGGTTTCAGAATCAAGCACTCTTGTGAATAACTATATTTCAATAACTAAAGTAACTTGCAAATGAGATCAATAGTTCTAGAAAATTCTAGAACCTGTGCTGCTACTCACCTTCGCTCCACTGAAGACATTAACAACAATGTCTTGGCACGCTGCTACAGAACCGTCACCACAGAACTCTAGCGCAACAACGGGACCTAAGAAAAAGACAGTATTTTTGTCATTAGGAATTTTCAGATATTTGGCCCACGGAAAATATTGCACTCTTTTCACAGTAAGAGCAGAAGCAGTCCTTGAGAGAAAAAGCTGTATCTCAGAAAACAAGTCTAGTGTTACACCAGAAGTCTGAAACCTACGCAGAACCTCTCTCTGTACTCCCAACTATTTTCTTCTACTAACACTACTGCCCCAACAATCCAGAATGAGGTTTCAGTAAAACCACAGAAAAACTGAGCCACCTAATCACATTTTTTACCAAAAAATTATTTATATATTCATTTTATATTATTTATATACTACCCTTCATCCAAGGATCATAGGGCAGATTATGGTATAAAAACACAAAAATACATAACATAGTAACAAACAAGACAATAACTCCGCAAGTCTAAATATATGAACTAACATACCGGTACATTTTGACCAGCAATACATGTTTGAGAAACAATAATGCCTGTTTAAATATTAGGTTTACCTTTTGAAAAAGAAAATGTTTATGTAGAAGGGCTTAGCAAAGCAACTGGTAAATTTCTTAACTCCTTTATATAAGCCTTTCTTCAAAAGATATATTTAAACATGCAAATCAAAGTGCTTCAATGACTTCATGGGGAAAACATTACACTAAAGCAACTAAAGGTTTTGTCATCCTTATTTGCTAAACCAACAACAATTTCAGCAGCAAATATATTAGGAAAGCATGAAAGACCAGGCAAAATATTGACTTTTTGTTTTAAACAAAAAAAGTGAGCATTATCCTGCTGGTTAGAGGTGGACATAATATGGTCTATAAAACACAAAAATGAAATAAATTAAGTTTCAGAAGTACTATTCCAATTTTTACGGGAAGGATAATGTTCCTATAAGGATAAAAATGTTCCCATAGGCTGTGATTCTCAAAACTTCTTATTGTAGTTTGTTCTCCTGTAGATATGCGACAAAAGGAAAATCTTGCAAAATCTTTGCAGATGGAAGAAATTAAGAATGTCATGCATAAGATGAAAACCAGGAAAGCACCAGGGCCAGATGGGCTTCCTACAGAGCAATATAAGGCATATTTATACCTTCTGACCCCTAGGTTTTGCTGTATTTATCAAAAGCCTTTGAATTAGGCACCCTGTCAAGCTCAATGTATGATGCATATTATTTCTGTAGATACCTATTTGGATTTCTAGAGGGCTTATATCAACTTGTATTTTCAACTTTAGATGTAAGAACAAATGACAATTGTATTCTCAATGTGAGATTATGGTTACAGTGGTGCCCCGCAAGACGAATGCCTCGCAAGACGAAAAACTCGCTAGACGAAAGGGTTTTGCGTTTTTTGAGTCGTTCCGCAAGACGAATTTCCCTATGGGCTTGCTTTGCAAGACGAAACGTCTTGCGAGTTTGTTTCCTTTTTCTTAAAGCCGCTAAGCCGTTAATAGCCGCTAAGCCGTTAATAGCCGCTAAGCCGCTAATAGCCGCTAAGCCAATAGCCGTGCTTCGCAAGACGAAAAAACCGCAAGACGAAGAGACTCGCGGAACGGATTAATTTTGTCTTGCGAGGCACCACTGTATTGTGCTTTTTTATGTCCCTTAAAAAAAGTTTTTTATGACACTTAAAACATGTATCAAAGAATACAACTTCACTCGTTTTATTAAGCAAATTTAAAGGAATGGAAGGGTTTGTTTTTTGGAGTAGTCATACCTTTTTCAACTAAAGGGATAAATTCAGTCGCTCTTTCCTGGAACACTCGCCGAGCATCATCCGCTTTCATGGAAACCTCTTTAGTCTGAACTAGCCAGAAGCCTTTGCCGGTCATCTATTTCAACAAGAATTAGAATTTCATATAAATTAACTAAATATTACTTAACATACCATTTTGCTTGCATAAAGACTATAATTAAAAATTAAATAAATCCTGTTTACAATATTCAGTCATTTGCTTCCCCTTTGTTTCTTTATAATAGTGGGGAGGGGGGTAGGTAAGCTCTGCCCCACATTTGAATGCAATGCACGTCAACCATGGGAGGGGACGGTCCCCTCAAATATTTTTTGGTGGGGTGAAGGGAACTCAGGCCCAAGGAGTTGGCTCCTATGCTTCTTCCCCATTTTATTGAACCTCAGGTTATCCACAGCAAGTGCACAAATGAAAAATGTGAGGCAACCCCCATCCACAGATGACATGGGGTGGTATATAAATGGTATAGCTAAGGTTCCTGCATTGCAGGGGGTTGGACTAGCTGACTCCTGGATCCCTTCCAACTCTTAAGATTCTATGATTCTACGAAATGGTGCCCTATGGAAAATTATTTGATGCGGCAGAACCTTCCACCAAGGCAGTCTTCTTCAAGTCCCACTCCCCATACAGTGCATCAGAGACCCTTCCTTCACTAGGGGGACAAGGGTAAAGCAAATGACTGAATATTGTAAACAGGAATAATTTTCATGAATTATTTTTTATGCAAGCTAACTGGATACAATCCATGGTCTTATCCAAATCTGATGAATTTTCTCCAATGGCTAGGTTAAAAGAAATAAGTAGGCTACAGGATGAAGTTACAGCACCCCACCCTCACAGTAAATTTTGTATCTGCACAGTGAATGTGGATATAGGAAAACGGATAAATCTGGACCAATAGTTTGGCTATACTAAGTACAACTTCCTAGCAGCCATTTAGAAACTAAAGAGTAGTTTGGCACTTAAACGTATGTCTCTAGAAAGGTTTCATTGTTTTTAAGAAATACAAGTCAAGATGTGAGAGACAGCCGTGTGTTTCTTACCTCATCAATTAACTTTCTAGCATTGGCAGTTGTATAATCCCCAGCAAAGAATACGGCCAGGCAAGATTCTTCACTGTGCTTTGTACGTCTACCCTGCGTAACTGGAATTATGCTCCTGTTGGCATCCGTTGAAATCCTGACAGCTTTCAGTTCCTCAGCTGTTGGCAGTGGTACATGGTCCTGAACTAAAGCGTCCGCAGCTAGAAGACTCCAGTTGTTCTCTCCCGATACCGGTGTGAAATCATGGATATTGCTCCATGTATTGTTAAAGATGCTCAGCCCTGCGTCTTTCAGCTGCAAAGCCAGCTCTGGATAGTAGTACTGGAAACACCCAAACTTCATACCTGTAGATGATTCAATGATGGGTTGGGTGGCACAGCACAGAAAGACGTCCATCTTTCTGCAGTCCCGGGTACGAAACTGTTGGCAAGCCACTACACATTTACAATCTTTGCAATCGCGGAAAAACACGCTGCCTTTCACAGGTCCTAAAAATATTCGGCAGTTTGTACAGTCATCAATAGTGATTGTAGCCGAGTGGTCAAAGATGTAGATATTGCAGTTTTCACAGTCCTGAATAACAAACTGTTGCCCTGCAACTTTCCCAGGTAAACGTCCTACTGTTTCGTCCTTGAGTCCAGAAAACATGTAGTCTTTGGGATCAATCTGAAAGAAAAGCACAGGCATGTAGCAAGACAATACGCTTAATAAGCTATTCCTAAGAGAAAGTTAGCACATTGTGGTGAATGACTTACTTCTTTTGTGACACTGCTGTATTCCAAAGAAATATTTTCTCCGTTATTTATATAAGCAACTGTCCTGCTACTCAAGCGTAAGAGATGCAAGGAAAGAGATTCTTTTTGGACTGATTTTTGTTGCCAATGAGTATACAAGTGGCATACAATGGTCAACCAGTCAGATATGAAGTTTTTCAGAACAGAATTGCTAAGGTTTACAGTTAAATATGTATGCTGGGGAGGGGCTGTAATTCAGCAACAGAGCATATGTTTGCTTGCAAGAGATCACAGGTTCAATCCACCTTGCCCCCTCCCGGGGGAGGGCTGGGGAAAATACTCCATCATGAAATCTTGAAGAGCCACTGTCTTTCAGTGCCAACAATATTGAGCTATATGAACCGAAAATCTGAGTTGGCATAGGGCACCATCATATACTCCAGACTAACTTTAATAAGGAAAGGGCAGAGGAACGATTACTGTTTTTAGGGAGTATAATTACATTTAGGTAACTTTAGGCTATAGATAGCAAGCCAAGTTACAACACATCCACAACGTCACCAGAAATTGAGGTAATTCAGAACATAATAATTTAATAAAATTAGCCAGCAAGTCGTATTACTGCCAGAAACAGAATACAAATAATGTGCGTTTTTAAACCTGCTATTTACTTAGAATACTCATATTCTGGTCTATTATACCAAGAGTGACTAAAAATCACCTTTCAGAAGATTCTCAAAATAAAAACCACACTCAAATCTAGTATAGGAACAGAAGCATCCATGTAGAACCAAGACTATTCAGGCAGCATTTCATGCCATTTTTGTTCTTCCCTGGTGTCATAGCGAATTGAAGGCCAAATGCTAAGAGCTTCTTTGTTTCCTTTTTGTCTTCTTTCCCCATTTTATTTGGTAATGTTAAGAATGCAGTTGAAGCACTGTTGCAATCTAGTTTAGCTTCCTCAAATATTCATTTTCCTCCCAATTCCTTCAAGGAGCAAAAAGTAAAACTGACTTAGATACTAAATCTAACATTTGTATATTACCATATTACTGCACAGTAAACAAATTGGTAACTTGAAGAATGCAGTTCTTATTGACTTGAAAAAGTTCATTCACATGAAACACTAAACTGTGACTTGGTGATAGTGTTGGAAACTGAGATATGAAAACTAGGAGCTAAATGGCACCTTAAACCTAGCTTATGGGTGCAACAATGGAATGTCTAGGCACGCTTTTTTATATAGCAAGAATACAAAGCTGAAAATGAATGAACTGCAGCTAAAATAGTATGTTTATTTTTCACATGGTCTAGTCCTTCCCCTGCCCACCCCCCTAATATTCTTAAAAGGGTCTCTTCTCCAGTCTTCAGAGAGTAGCTGGAAGTGGGAAGACAGGAAAAAGTCCTCCTTTCCTTCCACTCTGCATTTTTAATCTGAAATCTTAGGTGCAGTACTGCACCCCAGAGCTCAGAAACTGCTCATGCTAATGAAATTCCATGTCGCAAAATGTGCCTAGAACAATGGGAGTTTCGAACACTGGTGATAGAAGAATGGTGCCACAGTAAGCCTTGCTCCTTCTGTATAGTCTTAAGAAGCAGTCTGGAATGTTTTGCTTTGTTTGCCATGACATCCAAATTGCGACAAACCATAGTTAACATTAATAATTAATTAATTAATTAATGATAGGGACGCGGGTGGCGCTGTGGGTTAAACCACAGAGCCTAGGACTTGCCGATCAGAAGGTCGGCGGTTCAAATCCCCGCGATGGGGTGAGCTCCTGTTGCTCGGTCCCTGCTCCTGCCAACCTAGCAGTTCAAAAGCACGTCAAGTGCAAGTAGATAAATAGGTACCGCTCTGGCGGGAAGGTAAACGGCGTTTCCGTGCGCTGCTCTGGTTCGCCAGAAGCAGCTTAGTCATGCTGGCCACATGACCCGGAAGCTGTACGCTGGCTCCCTCGGCCAATAAAGCGAGATGAGCGCCGCAACCCCAGAGTCGGCCACAAATGGACCTAATGGCCAGGGGTCCCTTTACCTTTACCTATGGTTTGTTGAAACAAGGCAACTTCAAAGTTGCATCTCTAAACCTTTTCTAAAAGGGATCAACTACATATGCTATTAAACCCAGGTAACATAACTATGTTAAAATAACTATTCAGTTTATTTACTGAATCCCTTATAAAAAAGGAAGTTGATCAGAAAGGGGAAAAAACTCCCCCAAGTCACAGTAGTACTTTTCCTGTAAAATGTTCTATTTATACACTACATGCAGATACATGTACATAATTTTCTGTATTAGACTAGCCCCAAGTGGAACTAAAATTGCACAGAAAGCGAAGTTACACATATTGCGGAGAACTGTCACACATTTTAGTGCTCTTCTTCTGCCCTGAAATATGCTTTAAAAAGCTTTTAAAAGTGTATTGTGAATGTTGAAATTATAGATAGTCCAGGATTGAGCAAGGCAGGACAAGAAAAGATACAAAGGCATGTCACGAACTCAGGAATGCCCAGTAATGCTGTTCTCTGTAACTGCACTGCACGAGTGTGTGTGGCCTGTTCAGTCCTGCTCCATTCCATGCTCATATACCAGGTATTTTATTTAGCCTTCTGGCAGAGCACAACAGAATTAAAAGAATAGGCAACCAATTAAAAATTATAGCTACAACACCACAAGATCATACTATCTACTGTACTAAAAATGGTTTTCTTGTCTCATGTATGAAATGTACCAGTAGGAAACTCTAGAAAAGTGGTTACAGGCAGAGTAAAACCTGACCTACTTTCATCTACATTCACACAAGCCCTTCAGTAAAGTTAGTTTTAGGAGCTAAAATGACCTGAAATTAAGGCTCACCCACTCTTGACTTTCTAGCTGTGTTTGAAATATGAAAGTATAGCCAATTTGATTATAATATATGGTTTGGCATTAGCAAGATAATCATAAAGAGCTGCAGTAGGCAGATCAGAATCTACTGGTAGATCTCGCAGGGATCTATAGTAGATCAGCAAGAGCTACAGACTCCCAATTATTGAACAATGGCTTCAATATAGTATTTTTATGTAAATTAGGCTGCTGAAATGAAGAAAGCTAAGAAGGAGTGGACTTGATTTAAAATCTTAATTTGTTTCTAGATGTTGGTTGGTATCCATCAGTCTCAGGAGACAATGGAAGAGTGTGTCTTCTGGGGTGAAGTGAAACTGTTGTAGAGTTATAGCACCTGCTGTGAGGCATATGAAGGCATCCGGTTGTGCTGTGTACCATGGAGTTTCTGCGCTCTTCCCAACTCAGTTCCTAGGCTCAGCATGCACTCATAGGCCTGTACAGTGGTACCTCAGGCTACATACGCTTCAGGTTACATACTCCGCTAACCCAGAAATAGTGCTTCAGGTTAAGAACTTTGCTTCTGGATGAGAACAGAAATCGTGCTCCGGTGGTGTGGCAGCAGCAGGAGGCCCCATTAGCTAAAGTGGTGCTTCAGGTTAAGAACAGTTTCAAGTTAAGAACAGACCTCTGGAACGAATTAAGTACTTAACCCGAGGTACCACTGTAGTTCTTTAATTCTGATTACATGCCTTCTCCTTAGGTCTCTGGTCCCCCACCCCACCCCTGTTCTTAGGGTTCAAGTAAAAAACCAAGTAGATTTGACAAGGCTGGTCTGCTCACTCCTGCTATAGAAGAGCTGGAGAAAATGACACTAGGAAAATTTATACAGAACTACCCCTGAATTAATGGTCTGTGTGTGTGTGTGTGTGTGTGTGTGTGTGTACATACTACAGAGAGAGAGAGAGAGATTTTAATTCTCAAAAAGCAGGTCCTCATATAGCCCAAACAGCACCACTTTGCATTTTCAGAGGAAACCATGGTTTGCACAAGTACAAAACAAAAACAAAAACTTTAGGGGAGGGGGCAGAAACCTAAGCAAGCTATGAAAACAACCCAACAAGGCCTAAACAGATTCAGAACATTGCCTGGACACTGAGGTGGGAGAAAGAGTATCTAGAAATTTGAGGTGGAGTATTCTACACAGCAGCATTTGTTGCAGGTCACACCTGTGCAGCATTTATTACAAGTCCTTCTCATCAAGTAGCCTCGTCTGCCTTAATTCCAATCCTCCTCCATCACCATCCGTTTTAAAACATATTAAACTGGTGGCTTTATTTAATCCACTTAAGAGCCTTAGGTGACAAGGGCATTTGGCCATGGTTAAATATAAATATAACCCTTAAATTTAAGTGTGCCAAGTCTGCAATGCTTTAGAATAGTGATAGCACAGGGAATTAGTACAGTTTAAATCCTAGGCACTCTCTTTAAAGGAAGGGCTATTCCCTGAAACACATGGGCATTCATATGCTATATGCAGTCTCAGAAAAAGAACAGACAGGCCTAAAGACAAAGGTGGGGAAAGTGCAGTCCTCAAGACGATGCTCAGCTGCACTGCCATAATCCCTGACCACTGTCCATGCTGGCTAGGCCTGTTGTGAGTCCTGCAATATCTAGAGGAGAACAGATTCCCCACCTCTATGCATGCAGGATGGCCGATTTTGGAAAATCAAGCTCAACAATAACTTCAAATGAAATGACATTTGAAATAACACACCAATTAACATTTAACCTGATCACTTCAACAGCATACTGCATGTTTATTTCAAGGACACTGTCACTCTGAAGAATAGAATAGTGTTTCATTTCCGTATCTACGCTGGGAGCAGTTCATACCCTAACATATAAGAGGATTCATCCTATGTAGGACAGTGGTTCCCCAAGGGAGCAGTGGGATGGCTGACGGGAGCAGGCACAAAGAGTCTAGGGCAGGCACCCCCAAACTCGGCCCTCCAGATGCTTTGGGACTACATTTCCCATCATCCCTGACCACTGGTCCCGTTCGCTAGGGATGATGCGAGTTGTAGTCCCAAAACATCTGGAGGGCTGAGTTTGGGGATGCCTGGTCAAGGGGGTACCAGGGGTGTAAATGACTATCAGACTTTGAAAAGCTGGTATCACTGATTTAAATGCATAAATTATGCTGAATGAAACTAAATAGTTTTAATTGGATTTTGAATACCGTAATTGTGCAAATGATTGTCACTGTTTTGCATTCTACCGTCTAGAGGGTGGCGCTGTGGGTTAAACCACAGAGCCTAGGACTTGCCGATCAGAAGGTCGGCAGTTCGAATCCCCGCAACGGGGTGAGCTCCCGTTGCTCGGTCCCTGCTCCTGCCAACCTAGCAGTTCGACAGCACGTCAAGTGCAAGTAGATAAATAGGTACCACTCCAGCGGGAAGGTAAATGGCGTTTCCATGCGCTGCTCTGGTTCACCAGAAGCGGCTTAGTCATGTTGGCCACATGACCCGGAAGCTGTACGCTGGCTCCCTCGGTCAATAAAGCAAGATGAGCGCCGCAACCCTAGAGTCGGTCACGACTGGACCTAATGGTCGGGGTCCCTTTACCTTTACTTTATCTTCCTTAGCGGGTCATGCAAAGCACTTTTCTGAATAAAGCTTTTTTTATAGGGCAGGGGGTACAGGGGATGAGTTTATGGAACCAAAGGGACAGTGGACTAAAAAAAATGATGGTGTCATGCAAAAAAACATTTTAGACTCCTTAGTATGAGATCTATCAAATTGCAAACTATACTGTTTAAGGGAAGTTCCTTTCATTACCACAAGAGGAAGTTGAGTCAAAAACTACAGAAAAGCTTCCTCAGTTGAAATCACCTCCACCACCCACCAAGCACATGACCATAACATGAGTCAAGTGTTACATTACCTCTAAATTTTGAAATACCCAATGCACAGAACCAACTAAACAAAAAATAATTAGGGAGCCAGGAAAATAAAGTGTATGTGACCTCAAAGAGCGGCTTACATAGTGTTGTGGAAAGAATGCAATTAGTTAGCAAACAAGAACAGAATCCTCTGCGGGAAACAGCTGCCTTGGCAGCCTCATTGCCAATTCACAAGGGGTTGGGGTGGGTAGGAGGGATGAAATAAGGGGAAACCATGATGTTTTACAATCAGATACACAAGATTACAATGATGCCCTCTTTGCTCAAAATCGCAGAGCGATAACTGTATCAGCTGCCAAACACAAGCTGTGCTGAGGCACCTCAAAGGCAAATCGATTGGTGGCATGATTTGAAATACCCTTCGCAGGCTGCTGAGAGTGAAAGTACAAAACAGCTTATTCCACAACCCATTGTTGTAGTCTTTAGGATCCCACAACACTTACTATGCATAGTAAGGGCAGATTTACGGAGTTAGGTAACCACCTTCCTTAGGGATAAGAAAGGGATGCGCTAAGTGATGTTGAGCTTGCTCCTTAAGCAGGTAAGAGGATAAGACGTGCTGGAAAAGGAAGTACACGCAGAGAGGAAGGAAGAGTAACGAAAGACAGAAGACGTGTAAAAAGAAAGGAACTCGGGACGTCAGCAGAGAGGCGCCGAAGAAAACACATGATGAGCGACATGGAAGTCTACACGTAGCAGAATTGCTTGCACAACATTAAGGACATTAAGGTACCCGAGCAATGTTGGACCACAACCACCACCCCAGCCTACGGAAGGGTGTCTAAATACAGATTTTTCTGCAACCCCCCCCCCACGCTCAGGTCCAAGAAGTGTGACCCCTTCCACCCACCCTCTCCCGAAGAGGCACTTGGAAGAGCCGATGGGAGGAAAAACCCACCGCCACCCCAAGCCGACCCGTGTCCAAGGGCGTTCACACGTGCATCCTTGGCAGAAGCAGCGGGGAAGGAAGGAGCCCCAAGGGGAGAAAGGGGCGTCCGAAAGGGAGGATCACGCGTGCAGTCAAGGGAGAAGCAACGGGGGAGGAAGAAAGGGAGGGAAGCAGGAGCGCGTGCAGCTGGCCCTGGCGGGGAGTGGGCGGCAGGGCGGAGGGTTACCTTGGCTCGCTGGTCCCAGCTGTACTGCGGCTGCTTCTCGGCCTCCGAGGGCACCGCGACGTCTCCGTCCCCGCTCTCGCCGCCGCCGGGCTTCGGCTCTTTGGCCTGCTTCCTCCGCTTGGAGAAGAAGCAGCCCATGGCGGTTCACCTCCGGCCACACCGCGCAGCCCGCCTCCGGGATCGCGCAAGGCAGCGGCCACCACCCCAGCCGCGGCTCCCGCTAGCCGAATAAGCCTCGCCTGGCCCCGCCCTCCGCTTTAAGCGCCCGCTTCCGGCTTCAACCTCGCCCGTCTCCCAGGGCGACGGAGGAGGCTCCGCCCCCATGGGCGAGCTGCAGCCTATCGGCGGCTCGGGTCAGGGCCGTCAATCGGACTCGGTGACGAATCGGGAGGCTCTCCTCTTCCTCCTCCCCTGCCTGAGCCTGGAGGCAGAGGGAGAAGTGGGTTTTTTTCTTTTCTCAAATAAGAATAATAATAGAGGGAATCACTCGCTCCTCCTGTTCGTCACACTTTGCTGTCTTTCAGGGCGTGAAAATAAATAAATAAATCCCTGTATTGCAAGGGGGTTGGACTAGATGACCCTTGGGGTGCCTTCCAACTCTACAGTTCTATGATTCTAAACAAATGCCTTGGGGTCTGAAATATCCCCTGGGGATGGCTGTGGGGGGAGTGTACTCTGTACATGCTCAGATGCAGGTGTGTATGTTAATTGTATCCAGGTATGCTGCAACTACAGGCTCATATTTGGCAAAAGGCACCAGGGCCAAGTTCTTGTTCATTTTCTCCCAAAATTTGGCCCTGCCCAATAACTAATGTGCTCTGGGAACTATTTTATGGCCTCTGTTAAGAAAATGTTATTGCATTTATCAGGGTTATAGGTGATGCTGTAAAGTTTATAGCATAAAGAGTCTGCCATTTGGTTGTGTACTAAACAGAGTTTGTGGCCAAGGGAACTACGCCCCATTGCTTCCCTTGATCTCACTAGGTTTTATTTCAAATTAAATGGGAGACAGATTAGAGTGCAATCCTATACACCTCTATTCAAAAGTAAACCCCTTGGGACTTTCTCCCAAGTAAGTGAAGAAAGGACTGCAGCCTTCACATAATAGAACTTACAATGGAATCCTATGCTGCTTCCTCAGAAGCAGGCCTATGAACCTTAAAATACTAGGCTGTCTGTATATTAATAAGGAATAAAGAAGCAGTGGTTGCTTTAGCTGAAAGCTAGAAGCTTCAGTACAGACAAAGAATCTACTTCTTCACAGAGTGTGTACTTAAAACAAAAGAATTTGTGACCACAGGATGTAGTGATGCCACCAACTTCGGATGGTTTTAAAAGGGGATTAAACAAATTCATGGAGGATAAAGCCATCACTGGCTACTAGTCCTGAGGGCTGTGTACTACCACCAGTACCAGAGGTGGTTTGCCTCTGAATACCAGTTGCTTGTGGGCAGTAATTGTATGATGTGTATAATAGTTGTTCTTCTGGAATCATCATTCAAGGATATGGAAACATGTAATAGTAAGATCAATTTGTAAATGAAGAGCTTATGGGACTGATTCCCTGTGTTCCCATGTTGCAGTGCAGAATTCAGTCTATTGTGCTAGCCACTGGGAAAAGAAATTGCTCACTATTTTGTATCCTTCTTATTTTGCCTGATTTCGCAAAGGCTTAGGCAAGCCTAAACAAATGGAGTTCAATGGATACACAGCCCCATTTTTGTGTGCATACCTAGTGAGAAGTAAGCTCTCCTGTATTCAGTTGACAGGCAAGGGGAATATGTTCCCCACATGAACTTGAACTCCTGTCATCTCTGACCATTGGCCATGGTGGCTGGAGCTTCAACATCATTTGATAGGGCCACAGTTTCCTCACCCCTGTTCTGAGTAAACATGTATAGTATTAACATGCTTAACAAATGAATAACCTTGCTTAATATTTACCCAACAGAATATATGGTAAACATTGCAGTTCTCTTTGGGAAATGCTGCTAGTGGACTCCAAGGAATTAATTATCCCAATTGTTGACAGTACAAAATATCAAGGGACTAAAAGGAGAGGATGTGTGAAAACAGTTACACCATAAATAATAATCTGGCTCAGATTTCCTATAATATTTAGCATTCAGTTAGAAAGCAAAGGTGGTCAAATTGACCTATTAGAAAAATGTCAAAACCCACATTACAGCAGTATCTTTATTAAGCCAATGTGGCAGCATGCAAGCTTTTGAATTCTCCACAATGCTTCATTAGGCTAGAAGGGTAAACAAAACAAGAGGAAGGGAGGGGTGGAAAAATTTTGCTGATATTGGAGCCAAAGATGGAGTCTGCTTTAAGTCACAGTCTTAAGATGAAATATGGGAGGTGACAGACATTTATATGAAGTTCTGCAATGTACTTTGCTGACTTGAGGTTGCACCAAAGAGTGCTGGAAAAAAGAAACATATATAGTAATGTTGTGTGCCACCCCAGTCAGATGGGTTGGGTACAAATAATGAAATAATAATAATAAATAATCTCAAAGTGGTGTGAAATTCCAGAGGTTCCAGGTGCTTGCTCAGAATTCGGTGAGGAATAGTGGAGACTATGGTATCTATGATACATGGTTTTTAAATGAAGGGGCTCACAGCATTAACACCCCAAGACGTCTTGCTTCTCCCATAGTCGCAGCCTTGGATTCAAGCAGAAGTCAAGCATGGTCGCACTTTCTGGCTTGTGCCTGCAATCTGCTTCTAGCCCAGCTCTCTCACACACTGGCCTCTGTCTTTCTCACTGCCATCCATTTGCCCTCCGGTACAGAGCAACCTCCTTTGCTATACCTTACTTTGGTCACTATGACCCTTGCCTGGCTAATTCAACAATGAAAACCTGTTAGATTTTAACCCTTGCTGAATCCAGGAATTAAGATAGGACTCCGGCATCAGATAGGAGAACTCCCCTGTGAACACACGATAGGAATTTTTAGAGTTCACATACATTATATCAGTAATCCTTACCGCAACCCTATAAGGCATGTCTCAGTTTAACTATCCTCATATTGCAGATAAAAGGCTCAAGCTGACTGACTTTGTTAAGGCATCAAGTGAGACAATAGTTGCGGTGGAATTTGATCTGGAATCTTACCTATGTGCAAACATTACTCCACACCAGCTCCTGAAGCATAATCCTATCTAGGCTTACTTGGAAAGTACTCAATGGGTGCATTCCAGGTAAGGATGCCTAGTGTTCCTGTATCAGCATACACATTGTTATTTTTCCAGAAAAAGAGGTGCCAGAACTCACCATGAACGCCTCCATTGTTCTCTTATAATGGCAGTGGCACCTGAGAGATGCCAGAACCGTGTTCCAGCGAGTTCTGGCTGAAAAAAACCCCTGGACAGCAACTTATTTTTAATTTATTGGTTGCGTTTATATTCTACCTTATCTCCAAGGAGCTCAAGGTGGCATACATGGTTCTTTTCCACTTCCACATTTAATCCTCACCCAGCGGGCTTCATAGCTGCGTGAAGTTCTGAACCCTGGTCTCCCAGGTACTAGTCCAAGACTGTCACCACAACACCACAAAGGCTCTCTTGTTTTTTTGCTGGAGGGACACTGAGAATGGAACAGGCGTTGCGGCCGCCCCAAACCCCAAGCTTCCCACTAAGCTCCCTTTTCACTTCTAGGTTTGCAATTTCTGAGAGAGCAGCATCGACAAGAACTGGATGCCCACCCTCTAGCAACTCAAGGGACTTTGAGCTTCCTCTATTCAGCTCATGGTGTACCCTGGCTGCGGAAGGAGGCGGTAGCATGGCCTGCACCACTTCAGGAAGTGGCGGGGGGGGGCGCCTTACATTGTCGAATATGCTTCTTTAACTCTCGCCCAATTAAGCACAACAACAACAGTAAGCAGCAGACCTTTCCAAGGCACCAGACGCGGGGACACGATATTCCCCCGGAATACATATATATATATATAGCCTGCAATGGTACGGCCGTTCTCCCGCCTGGTTGCGCTGCCGGCGCAAATCCCGCCTCAGTGCGGGAGCGCAAGGAGGTGGCGCCGCCGCCGCCGCGCAGCTGGGAGCGTGGCAGGCCTTAAAAGAGGCGGGGCGGCGACGGCAGCGGCAAGTGACGGAGCAGTAGCAGCAACGCAGCGAGGACTACAGCAGCCGGCAAACTTTGCCTGCCGGGACCTGCCTGGCGGAGAGGACCCGCGCAGAGGCGGAGTCTGGCGGCGGCGGCGGCGCGCGCGCCACGGGGGATGAAGCTGCTGCTCCTGGCTTGGCGGCCACAGGCTGAGCGAGCGTAAGAGGCTGGCCAGGCATTGCAGAGGCTGCGGGCGGCTCGGTGCGCAGCTGCTGCGGGCCGGGGGAAGAGAGAAACACCGGCGGCGGCGGCGGCAGCGGCGGCCCCAGCACCACCAGCAGCATGACGCGCCCTCCTCCGCTCCTGCTCCTTTCGCTGCTGCTGCTGCTTCGAATCCCCGGGCCGTGCTCCGGGGAGCGGAGCAACAGCGCCCTGGAGGAGATCGCCACGGAGAAAGAAGCCGAGGAGAGCCACCGGCAGGACAGCGTGAGCCTCCTGACGTTCATCCTGCTGCTCACGCTCACCATCCTCACCATCTGGCTCTTCAAGCACCGCCGCGTCCGCTTCCTCCACGAGACCGGCCTGGCCATGATCTACGGTGAGGCTGGGGGTGCGCGCGCGCTCTCTCTGTGCTTTCTGGTTCTGGAGGAAGGAGGAAGGAGGAGAAGGGCAGGGATGGGGAAAGAGATGGGTGTGTGCGCGCGAGATAGAGATCGCCTTTGATGCAAGCGCCTGCCGCGAACAAAGGCTTGTTAGCACACTTGCCTCAAATCCTGTAAGCAGCAGAGGGAGTGTGTGTGTTTGTGTGTGTCTTGCAAGGTCCTTCCGTTCCTCGCCTTGCTTTTTCTCTCCTTCATATACGACGACACAAAACTCTTCCGTATGTTGCGCGCGCGTTTGTGTGTGTCTCCCCCGCCCCCCTCCATCGAAACCTTATTTATTTGTGGAAGCGCCATGAATGTCAAGGCGATTTGCTAATTCCACCAGCCCTTGGCTGTGGAGGCGGGAGGAGGAGAATTTGCATTAGATTCCAAAGGGGCGGGAACAGCGACTGTGCCTATGGCAAAAGGATGCTCTATGGAGGTCAGGGTGGGGGGGTACATGGTGGGGTATTAGATGGGCGAGGAGGCATTTGCTCTGGTTGCTTGGGCCCCCCCCCCATCGTTTCTTTGCCTGGTGGATGCGACTCCATTCCTCCTCTGCTTTTTTCGTCTGTGTCTTCAGATATATGGTTGTTTTGTGGTGTCTTGCTGGCATCGTTTTCTCAAGGCCCAGGGTCTGGATAAATGCAGATGCACATGTGTGAGCCTCTTCTCAAGTCAAACCTGCACCTCCTTGAAGAAGAATGAGCATCCCTCGAAATGTGTGCAATTAGCCAGGCCTCTGCTATTTCCTAATTCAGCGTTTCCAAGCTAATGGGGGAACAGAAGGTCAAATTGCTTTGGGCATCATCTGTTTTCTCTCTCTATACACACCACCATATATACCACTATTGTAAGAGGCAAATTATGTAATGTGCATTTCAGAGAGGGCTTTTAGCCCTCTCTGAAATGCACATTACATAATTTGCCTCTTACGATGGTGGTTTGCAGGCTTGTTTAGGGTCATAGGGAGTGGGACAGAGGCCAAATGTCAGTTGCTTTTTACATAATGGAAAAAAATAGAGATGTAAACTATGTTTTCGTGTCGCTTTTCTTAATGGAGATACATTATTATGACATGCTGAAATGTCCCGTGAGGAAACCTTCAGGCCTTATTTGAATGCTGCTCGCTAATTGAACTGGTAATGTGCATGGTGGTGCAGAAGTTAAATTTCTGTACGGTAAACATTTCAATTGTAGTCTTGACAGCAAGATTCTGTCATGTGCTACTTTTGGATTACCCTTTTGGATTCCCTTATTTTTTACTGGGAATAAACTGGGCATAATTTTGTTGTTCTTGTTGTTGTTATTGTTATCTTGGACTCTGTACAGGAAGACTAGACACATCTTTAAACATTCATGCTCTTTAGCTGGAAGCTTGGCTGCCTGCTAGCTTTGTGTTTTTTGTTTTTTTAATCTTTGGCCCTTGATGCTTCCTGGCTCCCTCCTGATTGTGCTGAAACTCTGCACCAGGAAAGGTTACCCAATGCACTTTAAATCCTTGTGTGTGGTCATGTGATGAAATTAAGTAAATACTGGTTTGGAGCTGTTCCATTTGCTGCTTCTTTTATATCAGATTTCTAAAATGGTTCAAAGTTGCAATGCACAGATGCCATGATCCCTGACTTTAGATCTGATTTTTATATCTTTTGCACTATTATTGTTCCCTGTTGTTGTATTTACTTGGGTTTCATTCTGCTGCTGTGCTTTAGTCTGTTAGATGTTACGTTTGTGTTTAATTTGGACATTGTTATGATCTTAACTTTTCTGTAAGCTGCACAGAGAACTTGTTCTTTTTTTCTTTTTTTTGCTAAGTACTGTAATTAAATGAGAAAAGCTTGCCCTTTGAAAGGTTTTGGTGGTGGAAGATCAAAGCAAAAGTACCATACATTTGTTCCTACTATCTGATGTGGCACAGAACTGGGGAATTGTGATCAGCTCAGTAGCCACCAGATTTGATTAATGACTGGTGCAGAGGACTGCATGTGTACCTACACTGACATATATATAACCTTGTGCTATTTTCCTTTTGCATCTTCAATATCATAGCAATTCTTAAGTGTTCAGATTTTGATCATAGGCAGAAGTGTTGATTCTCAAACTCTGGGTTTGATTACTGTATTTGGTTCTTCTTTGCTGGTAAAAAAATGAAATCTAAAAGGGCATAATGTCTGCTCAACATTCCATGGTGCAGATGTTTATTCTGGTAAGGAAGTGCCCATGAATGTTTGCACTGGGCAAAAAGCAACCGTTTCCTCCACTATATTCAACAAATCCTTAAAAGTTAAAACAGTTGAAAAGCAATGGGATTTTCTCTGCTGAGGTTTCTCAACCTCTGACAATCTTCTTAGTCATTTGTTCCCTGCTGCAGTGCTGTGCTGTTGTAAGTCTTTTTTTTTTTTTAACACCCTGAACACTTGGCAGTAAAGATATGCAAATGTTTCCTGTGTGCTGCAATCTTGTGCATGTCTACGCAGAAGTAAACCTCACTGAGTTTAATAGGAATTTCTCTAAGGAAAGCATGTATAGGATTTCATTCTTAGCGTAACAGCTTGCATTTGCATCATTTTCCAGACCATACAAAATCAGTTTCCATAAGTTATGGGTATACATAAGAAACATCCACATACTTGACCTGGATGTGGATGATATATACACTCTCACCATGGGACATTTGTCTCAATAATAGGTTCTATGTTGATTTTTATATTTATATAGAATGGTTTTTTCCTCAATTCTTGAAGCTAAATGCATGGAATACAAAACAGACTATTATAGGAAGTATAACATATGTTGGTAGGTTCTATGTACTTAAAATCTCAAGAATCTTTTTTTGCGTGTGTCCATCAATAAATATAACATAGCGTTTATTGAGATAAATGGCAGGCTTTTTTTTTAAAGAAAATTTTAAGACGCAAAGGTCTGTTTTGTTTCACAGAGTGCACATAGTACTGTAAAGTTACATAAGCAAAAACACAGAACCTTTCCCTGAGTTGCTTCCAAACTGACTTGACAGTGAAGAAGACAGCAGAAGGATAGAGGAAAGTGATCTGGTGCAATTATACACACTTAAGCTCTGTTCAGTTAAAAAATAGGAATTAAGGGATTAATCTAAAGGCTCGCTTAATTTATGAATTCTTTCCTACGAAGCATCTCGGAAGCAACATTGCAGTACATTAAAAACTCATATGAAACCATAGCACACGTAAAATAAAAGGGAAAAAAGCTATTGCATATAGAAGCAATTTCATGTCCAGTGTAGATACCGACCGAGATAGAAATCTCCACTTAGAAGGTCTCTTGAAAGAGAGATGTCTTCAACAGATGCCAAAAAGACAACAGAGATACGCCTGTCCGGTATGTAACGCATGTGTAGGTGCCTACACACTAAAAGCTTGATTTTTGACATATGGAATGGACCTCCTGATAAGATGGTATCTGCAAGATGAGACTTATGTGGCAAAGTTGGGCTTTGAGGAGGGGTTTGAAAGAAAAGAGAGCTGGTGCTATCTATAAGTAGGGGATAAAATTGAAGTGTAAGAGACAGCAAAAAAGCAAGGGAGAATGAATGCTGATGAGGAAGACTTACCAATCTGGGTAACAGATCTAGGCTGAAGTCCTGTATTAGCTTACTTGAGAGTAAGCCCATTGAATTGAGTGGGACTTATTTCTGAGTACACACGTATAGGATTTCGCCGTTAACTAGGATTGTATAGTATTTATCCAATCTTACATATTGCTCCAGTCTTGTATAAAACAAGATAGTAAATACTTGACTATTTATTTTTGGTAAAACTTTGGCAGTAATGTTGTTTGTAGCGTTTAAGCAATGGCTAAACCATTGTTATGATTTAGACAGGAAGACTTTAGCACTAAGTCAGTCTTCTTTACAGCCATATAACATTTATTGCTGGTGTTTAGTTGTAAGCAGTCTCAGCCGCTCTTTATTTACATTTCAGGGACTTAACTCTACTTCCAAAAAGCACAGAAAAGCAATACTGAAGACAACCCATTGGCCTTGTTATTTCAGCACTGCACTAGGAAAATCTAGCCTTCGGTGTGGAACATAGAATATGTCAAGCCAGTTTGGGAATACTGTTAGTTCTTTCTGCGTCATGTGTAAATTGCCCAATCACTGTGTGAGAGGAGAAAAGGGGATTTCCGGACTTACTTGAAAGAAATTTTAAAGTAAATTAATTAAACACTCAGGTTTTTTTTCTATTTCTTTTGGTAATCAAATTTAGTAACTGCTGTTAAAGCTGTTTCATGCTCATTTCCCATTGCAGGTGTAACTTATGCATGAAAGAGTATTCATCTTTGTAGGTAAAGGAAACACACCTTTGGGGAGGGGGGTGTTTATGAAATGGGACAAGAGTAACTTGTCTCGTGGTCATTTTGCTTAGACTCCCATGTGAGTCCAGAGTTTATTATTTAAAACGCAACGAACCTGAATGGTGGGAGAATAAGGATGGATGAAAAGAAGTGCTTTTTCACACGGCTGGTAGGTAAACTATGGAATCTGTTAGCTCAAGACACGGTGATGATTACCACCAACCGGGTCAGTTTAAAAGGGGCTTAGACTCAAGGAGGTGAAAGCTATCAATGGCTACCAATCATGATGGCTGTGTACTACCTCCAGGGTCAGAGGCTGCACCCCTCTGAATATCAGTTATTTTATTTATTATATTTTATGTATTTGTTGTTTTCCACAGAAGTGTTTCAAAGTGGCTTTACAATGTGCTGTAAAAACAACATTAACATAACGCAGGGGTCAGCAGCCTAAGGCCCATGGGCCACAAGCAGCCCATGGGGGTCGTTTAACCGGCCCCTGGACCCCTGCCAGCCGCTCGGTCAGCTCCCGTGCGCCCCGCTAAACTGGCGCAGAGCAGAGCGGGGACCGCCTTCCGCTACTCTGTCCGGCTTCCCATTGGCTGCAGGAAGCTCCTGCAGCCAATGAGAAGTTGCACATGCCTCCTCTGCACTGGAAGGAGCACTGGAAATAGTGTTTGCACATGTCTGTGCGCGCACTCTGGCCCACTTTGGCTTCTGCGGGACTATGAACCAGCCTAAGCGACAAAAACCTTGCCGACCCCTGACATAAAGTGTAAGAACAAATAAAAATAAACACAGTAAGGCTTCTGTCCCTAACCCGACTTACCTGGGAGGAAGCCTTAAGCACTGCTCACATGCTTTCAAGCCTATCTGTACAGCTTATAAAGGCTAGAATTCGATCTACATTTCTTCATTCTTTTTTAAAATGAACCCTGAGATTCTTGAGATGCTGGAATACGCGTGGAGCTGGCCAATAAGACATCTTGTTTCTATTCTTTTTTTTTATTATGTATTCTGAGTTGATCATGGTGCTGAATTCTGTGCCCCATGCAAAATGACCAGTGTGACCCTGCCAGCCCCTTTGCTGGGTTCCTTTGAGACTTTTTATGATTCTGCATCAATAAAACCCCACCCTTGGTTCCTGAGGATCAGTAGTGGAAGGGAATTGTTGCAGTTGAGGTCCCCGCTTGTTGACTTCTCATAGGCCTCTGGTTGGTCACTGTGGTAAACAGATTGCACACTGGGGCAAAATAAATCTTAATTTCACACATACACTCATGAGCGTCTGAACTGTTGGAGCACAACCTTGGGGTTGTAGTGGACAGCTTGAGGAAGATGTTGGTCCAGTGGCCCCGTTGAACACAGTATGTCTTCTTTTGAGTAAACCTGTTTTGCAGTGCAATCCTACAAAATAATTTGAAGTTTTTCATCTTTAACAGCATTGCCATGGCAACCTTAAATAGTCCTCAGTTCTTAAACTATTTTGCTTGGCAGTTTGATTTTTGTTAACAGTGTTAAAATCCTTCCTACACTTTTGTAAATGAGATAACTACAAAAGTAGCATTGCCTAGAACAAGGAACTAAAGTTCTGTGCCAGTTCTGAGAACTCTATTAGATATGTGGCAAGAACTTTAGTTCCTCATGAGGAAATGATCGCAATGAAAACACAGTTTTGGTTTCTTGTGAAGGCATGCCTTAATGTTGCACTCCTTCACCCTCTATCAGAAACTGCATTTATTATTATTTTAATGTTACCTGTATGAATTAGGGTGGTTTAAGGCAAAAATGATCTGCTAGGGGGTAAGTCTGGTCCCCAGCATCACCACAAAATTTTGTCAAGGTGTGGCAGAAATTCCTTATAGTGTTGCTCTTAAGGAAGACAGGATAAATATTACAAGTTTGAAAAAAATAAATGAAAATATAGTTAGATAAATATCATTTATAATTTTTTTTAAAAGGCATTTTGTTCTAGAATACATTTCTCCTTGAATTCTCTACTGTGGTTCCAACTTTATTATGAAGTCAAACCGCTTTTAAGCTGATCAACTGATGTGACAAAATATGGTTCTTGAATGATTGTCAGGAGGGTAGAATGGATATTAGAAGTTGGCTTCTTGTGGTTTAAGATAAATGGAAGACAGAAACGATTGGTCTGAATATCTTCCAGTTCTTGTTTGTCTCTTGTCACTAGATATTTGATGCTGGTGCATGGGCGCATTTAAAACTTTTATGGGTAACTGGATCTTGAGAAGCTGATGAAATGCCTACGTTTGAGGGACAAGGAAAGACTATTCCAATAGCGGGGTCAGTTTTGTCCAAACCTTTTTGCCTAGGAAACTTCCTAGCTTATTTATTTTGGATTTCATAAAATTTATACAACACTTGATTGTAAAAGCGAAACGGAACACCCCTCTCAAAGCAGTTTAAAAACCTCAAAGTGTTTTTTAGCTGACTCCTGACAGCAAAAACTGTCTTGATTCCTTATGCTGCATTTTGATCCCCAATATCGCTAACATCCACTAGTCATCCTGACTGTAAAGTTTAAAAAGCAGAAGCATGAATAAACCAGATAACTAAGTAAGACTGCTGCAGTGTGTGTCTGTGGGGAAGCTACTAATTGTGGTTTGTTGGTGTCGTTGTCGGCTGGAGGAAACATTGAGTGATGTTCCGTACTTTTCGCTTTGGTGGTTGAATGAATCTCTGCTTGGATAATTATTTGCTCCTTTTTCATACAAAAAAGCTATTTACAGCTTCTCAGTAAGCAACAACTTATTTTTGTCAGATAGAAAATCAACCATCGGGTTCTCTTGAGCCACTGAGCAAACACCAGTCAGACACCAAATGATCAGCTCTGGTTTCAGTGCTTGAAGTTACTTGTAGTAGAAGTCTTAAAGTTCATATATATATGGCACACTTTTGCAGAAACATTGACACACCCTTTCTGTGGCCATGCCCCTTGAGGAAGTGGTGAATATGTGTACAATAAGATCACAAAACAGTACCAAAAAAAAAGTGATAGGCTGTTGCTTGTAGGGCCTGTATTATGGTCAGGGACTGGACTGAGGAGGAATGGTGGGAATCGCGTGCCCCCCTTTATCTGAACTTTCACAAGGGCAGAAGGACAGTATTGAATTAGAACAGTGGTTTGCAGAGGGACGTAGTCCAGAGGGGAAAAGCTGGGAAATACTGGGTGAGGAGCAGCTAGAAGAAACAACACCAGGAGAGAGACAGCTGGCAGATTCACTGTCCTTGGAAAGCATTCCTGACCCCCCCCCCACCATCGCCTAAGACTAGAAGGGCTCTGAGAGTGATAGAACAGAAAGCGCAGCGGCAACAGGCTCAGATTACCTGACATAGGAGTGGCATAGATCAGGGGTCAGCAAACTTTTTCAGCAGGGGGCCGGTCCACTGTCCCTCAGACCTTGTGGAGGGCTGGACTATATTTTGAAAAAATAATAATGAACAAATTCCTATGCCCCACAAATAAACCAGAGATGCATTTTAAATAAAAGAACACATTCTACTCATGTAAAAATACGCTGATTCCCAGTCTGTCCACGGGCCGGATTTAGAAGGCAATTGGGCCTGATCCTGCCCCCAGGCCTTAGTTTGCCTACCTATGACGTAGATTAATGAGGATGGAGGGGGTGGACCTTTACTGGGAGCAACGCCATTTCTAGAGAGAGAGGCATTCCTTTGTCTCTCGCTGTGATTATTAAAGAAACTATCTGTAAGAACGCTCCTTTTGTTTGATCTGCTAATTTACTGCCACCGCGGGAGGGATCCAGTTCCCCGAAGCCTGACAGTTATTCTGTTTTTTGAGCCCCTTTCAAGTGGGTTGTCTGCCACAGCATGTAAAGCTATACCTGTGTATGAATGGAGTGCGCCTGGTGTGTGTGTGGGAGCTTTAGATTATTCCCTTTTTGTGCAGATTTTGTTTAGCGTGTGGACGCTGCACAATGCTATGCAGCATGTGGGATTGGCCTTGGAAGACCCTGCTTATGAGTCTGGCATTGGTGGGCACAGAGAATAAGCCTTTTCCATAGTAGTTTCATGCTTGTGGAATTCTCTCCTAGTGAGGAGGAGATGATGATGATGATATTTACATGCCACCCTGGGCGGCTCTAAACAAAGTATTAAAAGCACAGTAAAACATCAACCTTTAAAAACTTCCCTAAATAGGGCTGCCAATAATAATAATAATTTTGTGTAGCCCCTACTTGAACATATTCTGTAAGCTTCTGGGGGGGAAAATTCAAACTGCCTTTGGCTGATTAATATTCCACAGCCTTTTAAATGTGTTTGTGGGAGGGGGTTTATTGTTTTGTTGATTTTCTTTCACTATTTATTTGTGCTTTTACCTTGTGCTTTTTTCCTGTGAACCGCCCTAAGATCTTGTGATGAACGGTGGCATATAAACTACAGAACACCACATTATTATCATTTATTAGGTTTAACTGCTGCTATTTTTAATGGTGTGCAGTTTTAGGTTTATATATCTTGCCGGTATTGCTCCACTGAATTGTGTCTTGAATTTTGTCTTGAAAGGTAGCATATAGGTTTTCTAAAAAAAAAATAGTGGTTCCCTGCAAAGCTGTGCTGATTGGCATGATTTCCAAGGATGATTTAGCACATGTGTATGCCTGTTGAGTCAATATAGCTGCCTGCCTGCCTGCTTCCCATGGTTTGTTCTGACAGGCCTATCGGCACAACACTTACTTGAACTGATTTGCTTCCATTTCTCTTTTCGCTGCAGGTCCTCAGTATGCACTTTGCTGGCGATATCACACCCACAATAGACCAATGCACAGAAGCTTGCACGCTTCATATAAGGGTTAGGTAAGTGTGAATCTTTTCGCCAATATTGTATTTTTTTCGCCTGCCTCAATATTCTTATTTTATACTTGGGTCTTATAAAATAAGAATATTTTAAAGGAAAACATGCCATATTGAACAGCAACAAAGACCGTCGTCTTGTGTCCGTGAACAGGCTTTTCTGTCAATTATCCGGAGGGATATGATGTCGCCAGCAGAGTGCATCTGGGCTTGGACTGGCCAATCACTTGACAGCTGAAGGTTATGCCGGGCTGTCACTTTTCCTGGATCTTTTTTTTGGGGGGAAAGAATTTTTTGGGGGTTGGGAAAGGTAAGTAGCTATTCTGAAATGTTGCTGGAACATCAAGCTGCTAGCAGTTCGTCTCTCTGCTGGCAATTACTTTGCTTTGCATATGTTTGTAATGTGTATATAGTTTGAATGTAATACAGTATCCTGATCCAAGGACATGGAATAGAATTAGAAACTCAGTGCAAAAGGCAGGATTCCCAGTCCTCTAACATGCATAATAGGAACAGGTAGGCACCTGCAAGAGAGAGAGAGAGAGAGAGAGAGAGAGAGGAAAGGTAGAAGAAAGAGTGGTTAACCATTCTTCTACCACCTGGCTTTCCTCTGCAACATTACCTTTCTTTCCAGGATATGTTTCCTTATTTGTCTAGAAAATCCAGTCCTGCAATCAGGTTTGGGAGGAAATGGTGGGATGGGAGGGGTTGGCAAGGGAAAATTGGTGGATGGCAGGAAGCTTAAGAGCTCTCTGCCTATACAATGCTGCAGATTCTCCCACCCACACCCTGCTATTGCTGCTTTGCATGTTTGAGGCAGGTGCACGATGGGGAATTCTTCACTGGTTGCCAAATCATCTAGCCCATGTCTCCATTTAGCTGGAGTATGGACTTGTGCAACTTCTTTTTCTTGAGAAATGTGTCATCAGCATTCAAAGCCTGGGGGAGTTTCAGCAGCAGCTTGGGACATGGAGTATGGTGTTGGCATGCGCAAAGTCAGAGATCCGACCTAGAGACTGGCATAACTGGAAATCGGCGAGAGGATATGTAAGCTTGGCCAAGGATGGGAAACTTGTGGCTTTTCTAGATGTTGCTAGACTCCCGAGTACTGAAATATACGCCGTAGCCAGTGTTCGAATTTCGCCAGGCGTATTTTGCACCTGGATGTCAGCCACTTGCGACCAAGTGAAGATGACCAGGTGCCAGGATGATACATAACGTCTCCACCGTCTGGAGGTGCATGCCTGGAGATCCTTGGATCTTGACTATTTTCACACACTAGCAACACGTCCTGTAGAATTCTACCCGTTGTATTTATCTGCACAATCAGAATGAATTTCAGGAGCCAAAAGGACAAATTGAAAAATTCGACTTTGGAGCCGTCTGCCCAAAAATGGAAACTAGGCATTCCATTTTGGCGACTGTAACCCTGGTTTAAGGAGCCATTTGATGCCTAGCTTAAATATCTCAGTTTCTAACACTGACTGCAGCATGTCACTAAGCAGCCCTGTCTTTCTTTTGGAATCGGTTTGTGACAGATCGACCAAAACTTTTGCAGCTATTGGATTGCAACAATCACCTGTCAGAAACCTTTGACGAATAGTTGGGGGGAGGGGGGTAAAGGCAGGAAGAAGAGACCACTTAAATGCAGAAGTAACTGGCGTCTTATTACCAGTGAAATTATGGCGTTTACATTCCCACCCCAGCCCAGCCAGAGCACTGGCTATTTTAAGAGTGCTAGTACAGGAAACATCTCTAGAGTGCTGCTCTGAATGGCTGCTTTTCATTGGTTCCATTTGGCCATCTAGGGAAAGAAAGCTTCCATTGATGTGAAGAGCATCTGTGAAGGATGAAGTGCAAGTAGGAATGATGGACTCTGGCGCTAATGAAAGGACAAATTGTCTTGTTGGGCATTTTCATTGGCAATATCTTGGAGTGTGCGTATAGGCATAAAGTGTTGATGATGATCTTGGAAACCATTTGATACAATAAGGAATAATTTTGGTGCATTTTGGAGTTGTTTTTTAATTTTGCAAGGAAGGGAAAGCCAACTCAGTGTTAGGGTGTGCATGGTATTATATCCCCACCCCCACCCCATTTCCACTGATTTTTGCCATTTAGATGGCACATGTAAAGCTACAAATAGATTTTGGCTGGTTTCCTAGGAACTGTGTGAAATGCAACATAAATAAGGTCTGCACAAAGCAGAACATGTTATGAAACAGTTATGAATCCTAATACGTGGTACAGATTGAAGCTACGATGTGTATTGGAGAAAACAAATAAACTTTTTTATTTGTTTCTATTTTCATAAGCAGTTAGGAAAGAAATACTAGTTATTATTCCCCCTCTTTCAGTCTGTGTTAGCCAGATGGAAGCATATAGTAACAGTTGTGTGTACAGAGTTGCTATTTCTGTCTCTTAGCGTTACTAGAACAACAGCATTTCCCCCATTTTGGAGACTGACACAGGAAAAGGCTTGAAAATACTGAAAACAACTCTGTGTACAGTGACAGTAAGACGGTAACCAACTTTTATGAAGCCATCTTTGGTGCAGCCTTTTTTAAAAATACAGTGGTACCTCTGGTTACGAACTTAATTCGTCCCGGAGGTCCGTTCTTAACCTGAGGTACCACTTTAGCTAATGGGGCCTCCTGCTGCCGCCATGCCACCGGCGCACAATTTCTGTTCTCATCCTGAGGTAAAGTTTTTAAGCCAAGGTTCTACTTCCGGGTTAGCGGAGTCTGTAACCCAAAGTGTTTGTAACCTGAGGTGTTTGTAACCCGAGGTACCACTGTACTGTGTATGGATGGTATCTCTCAAAAAAAGCATCAAGAGGTTTGAGTATCTTGGGTACATCTGAAGACTTCTTCGTTTTTGTCAGCCTGGTGACTAACAGCTTGCAAGCAATGTGCAAAAGAGTGGCTAGAGCGACTTCCCTTTGTCTTTCCTCTCTGCCAAGATCAGAATCTTAAGCCATTGCATGGCCTTAACCGGCAAGAGCAAAAGCGCTGTTTCATTCAGTGAGAACTTGCAGAATTCACTGCCACCAGTTATGGTGGGGTGACCACCATACTTAAATGGCCTTAAAGGGGAATTATATTCTGGTCCTGGGTGGGGTTGTACTAAACATGCCGTTTTGAGGGAGTGCTCCTGGACTTGGTGCCATCTGTGGAGCTGCAGATAATGTCAGTGGCCGAAAGTTCAACTGTGGTGTTATCTTTCTTCAGTGGTACATGCTTTGGTAACATCCTGACTAGATTACTGAAGTGCACCCTGTACGGGCCTGCCCTTGAAGACTGTTTGGACACTTTAATTGGAACACAATGTGGCAGCTAGAACATTTGTTAGGAGCTAGGCATTACAAGAATATTACAGCTATTCTACATCAGTTATATGGGTCCTGGACCATTTTAAGGTGCTATTAGTCTGAAGCACTGCCTCATCTGTAACATTGGCATCTCAGGCCCTGTTCTCAGTTCCACCAATGAGTTCTGTCAGATTGGCAGCTACAAGGGACAGAGCTGTCTCTGTGATGGCCTGTCACTCATGCAACACGCTCCCTGGAGATCTATGTATGACTACCTCCTCGGTGTTGTGCTTTCATTATTATTTCAGCCTGTATATGGATAATTTTTTGGAGCAGAGTCTTAGCAAATGTGCATCTGTTGCTATTTGTTTTATTTATTTGAAGCATGTCTGAGCCGCTTAATATTTTAAAATCTCTGATGCAGTATTTAATCATACAACAGAAAAACAGTGAAGCAGCACCGTAAAAAACAGATGCCACGTTAGAAACCAGTAAAGCATTGCTATTATTATAGGACCCTGGCCCAGTCCAGTAACGTAACTAGACTAATTTCATATAACACATTGTTTTGGTTTGAGTTAAGATTGTTTACTATTTTCAACTACACCCACAGAGCACCTACTGTTAAAATAGCATTATTTTAACTATGATTATAACGCTGGAAGTGCCTTGTAAGTGACTGACACACTCTCTTGGGAGAACAAGCTCCATTTATGCAATGGTGGTGACAGATTTAGGTTATGTTATGTCTGCATACATATAGATGCAATTTGGTAGAGCCTATTAAATACAGGTCAGTGGTCCCTTGCATATTTCCTATTGGGTAAGCTAGTTTAGGACATCTGGACAAAAGTTTCCATACTGTTATATCTTTTGTGTGATTGAGAGATATACTGGCAGGCAGAAATCAAGGAAAATATAAATCCTGTTCTGCTCAACAATGATGCCTGATGCTCTTTTAGATATTTTGTCAAGGGAACGGAAATGAGCTTCTTCTGCTGTAGCAGACCAAATCTGACATGAATTCATACCTCATGTTGACATATTATTATGATCCGTTGGCTTCCAGACTCAAACTGTGGCACTGGTACTGGTGGTATTATAGTAAACAATGTCTTACTTCATAAAATATGGATCAGAGAGACATCTAGGAAGATGGATGTTTTTTGTTTTAATTTTGTACAGCATCCCCCACACGTGCCATCTCAATTATCCAAATTCTAGAAACAATTTTCTGAGGCACTATGGGAAAGCTGGTTCTTTTTTTAAAGGATCCCTCCCCCTCATTGCTTGTACACATGAGGAAAGGGACTTTCCGAAGTAGAGCTGCTAATATTAGACTACTTAAGCAAGTTCTCCTATTCTAAAAGCTCCTGTTTCAAGAGTCGGTTATTTGAAATAAATGAAGTTTAAGTTAGAAGTTTTTTAATGGTTGGATGAGGACCAGAGGAAGCCCTACACAGTCATGAAGCTTAAAGTACAATTTCAGCTGGGTAGCATGTGGTTTTATGGTAGATTATTATTATTAGTTGGAAAATCTGAATTAAATGGCCGGGGATTGGGGGGGGCAGGCTGCCACTTGGATGAGGACAACGTCTTGTGGACCACATGAGATGCACTGAATCCACTTTAAGCTGCTGCATGTACGCAGCTTGAAGTAGTTGGCAGCACTTCAGGGGATTGTGGTGCTGTTTGTGCCATAGCAATGGCATGATTGCCTGAGTCATACACCAAAATAGACCCTAGATTCACACATCAGTATAGCCCTATTGACATTGAATGTTGAACATGTGATGAAGAGAGCAGGGTCCTTCCTTCTTGCTGTCCTCATCCATTCTGTTCCAATTACTCACTCTTTGCTCACTTTACTAGGGAGGGTGGTGGTCTGTGGGGGAGCCTGCTGTTTCAGTCAAAAGATTCTAGAGCCTTTTCATGTTCCAAAGTTTAAAGCTTGGAGATAAAGCAGAATCCTTATCTCTAGCAAACAGCTTTCCTTGAGTCACCGCAACTCTGCAAAATCTGAAGGCCAGGAAAATGGAATGTCTTCTTTTCTCCCACCATTGCCGCCACTAAGTCTTGTGACGTTCCAATTGTGTTTTAACTCCCTATTAAAAGACATTGCTTCTGTTTCCTCAAGCTTTTTTTTCTTGCTTCACATTCATCTTTTTCTCTCTTTTTTCTACAATGATAGGTTGAAAAATGACTACATGTTGCAAAGGAGGAATGGCACAAGGCCATTGTAGTGGATGGCTTGGACCAGGGAGACATGGGTTCAAATCTCTGCTAAGCTTTGAAACTTTCTGGTTGAGCTTTGGTCAGTCACCACCTCACGTACATAACAAGGGTCTTGTAATTAGACATGTGGACAGGGAGCTATGTAAATTTCCCCGAGCTCCATGGAAGACCTCTGATCAATTCAAAGATTCGTGGACTGGCACAGGCACCAACACCAGTAAACATACCCATTCGTGTGTCATGTGAATTGAGCTTCTGCCCACTCACAGGCATGTGAATACTGCCAATGGTGTAGTACTAATGATTCCGTGCTTCAGCGGTAGCCAAATGTGTTGCCCTTTGGATGTTGTTGAACTCTCAGTACCCTAGTCATCATAGCCAATGGTCAGAGATGATGGAAGTTGTAGTCTGCTGTCATCAGGAGAGAACCGAAGTCCTATCTAAGTATTTTATTGAAGTTGAGAAATAGGTAACAGCTTTGCGGATGCTTACCAGTGAACATCAGCTTACTGTGCTGAACACCTCAAGAAGATGTTGAGATAGTCATTGGGAATCTACAGGTGGTTATGGGGAACCTGCTGTTTTTATATAATAACAGGACTTTTGCCTATTGCTAAAGTCCTTTTCTCTTCCATACTAGTGGAAGAGAAGTGTGATACCACAAGACACTGTTTGCCCCACAAACCTACACCGATGATTACAACAGCTTCTTTTACCCAAGGAATTTTTAGTCCTGTGTGATGGCTTGAGAGCTTGACAGTTCTTGGTTATGCATGCATTTCACATAGACCAGTGGTGTAGCATCTGCTCAACCCAGGTTGGTTCAAGGTAGGACTGGGAGAGACCCTTATCCAAAACCCTGCAGAGCCATTGCTGGTCAATAGAGACAATACTGAGCTGAATGGACCAGTTGGGCTGACACAGTATAAGGCAGCTTCTTAGGTAGGTAACTTTGGAGAAAGCCATGATTTGTTGTGTAGATGCTCTGTCAGTCACAATCCTTTGCTTCTTTTTGAATGGAACAAGAGTCCTTTGTTCATTCTCACCCGTGTACTTAAACGATTTTGCAAACAGGGGATATAAGACAGTTTGATTAATCACTTGCATGTTTCACTATCCAGTTGTCCTTGTCTCTCCTTTCTTCTCCTCTCCCCATTTGAAAATGTGTGTGGGTACAGCGAAGGCCTGCTAAACAGGTGAGTCATAAACTTGAACAAACCGACTGTGTTGTATAAAGGAGGAAGAAACAAAATTTCCTCTCACTGAATTATCTTTGCAGCTGGCTGACATGGCCAAGGATTCTGGCACGGCCAACCACAAATATTTTTAAAATAGGCACCAGCCCCTGCATCGTGGGATGGGTTTAGAAGCAAAACACATTGTTGCACTTCCATGTGACGTCTGTTTTTTGTCTCAACACCTGTGCTTCAAGCATACTTAATCTTGGTCATAGTAAGGACTAGAACAGTATTTCTCACGCTGCTGAGATGCTTGATTTCAACATACTAGCAATGTTTCTGGAGCCACAAGCGATCCCCAAACTTGAAATCGTGCATCCGTGGCTCAGTCTCCCCTTTGAAAGTATAACTTGTGTTCCAGCTTAGTGTCTGTATAAGCTATTACCTAATTATTAGGCTGTGTGCTTGATTATTTTTAGAGGCAGAGCTTTCCTGGATTTATGCTTGCTGTTAATTTGTGTTAGCAGTTTAGCTAGAAAGTGGAGCAAGATTGCACAACACTTGCCTTCAGCAATCCTTAATTTAGCCGCAATGTGCATTGAATTTTTATTTTATTTTATTTTTGCCTGTGGCATTTTGGTTTTTGCTATGTATTCAGAATTAATTTTTAAGTTGCAGGGAAGATGCATGCCCTTTGCAGTAGGCCTTTGAATCTTCGTGTGTGTGTGTGTATCTTGTTAGGCTTCTTCTTGTTGTTTAGTCGTTTAGTCGTGTCCGACTCTTCGTGACCCCATGGACCAGAGCACGCCAGGCATTCCTGTCTTCCACTGCCTCCCGCAGTTTGGTCAAACTCATGTTGGTAGCTTTTTCGCTTGGTTATTTGTAATGTGTCATCATGTAACACGTTCTAGATGCTAAATTTTCTGGGGCAAGAGGGACTCGCCATCTCAAGAGTCAATATTAACATGCAAATACAGTGAGGTTGTTTACTGTCTGATCGGAGCAGGTGCGTCATGCTCAGAATAACAAAATTCATTGTAGGCACTTTGAAAATAGTCAAAGTTTAAGAAATGGGCAAGGATGTACTTGTGACGTTTCTATTTGTGTGTAACTGTATTGTGTAGCAAGTACAAACGCACCAGACTACGCATTCATTTGTATTTTAGTTTCCTCTCCCCCAAGTTGGCAAGACTTGTCTGACAGTAGCAAAAAACCCGAGCTTTTGTTGTCTTCAGCCCAGTCCTGAGGAATATTCTGCCAGTAGAAGTTCAGCAGGCGCCTTCTGCTTTAACCTTGAAACATTCACTGAAAACTTTTCCTTTGTTGTTGGAGATATCTTATCAAAGGACAAATCCATTAGCCCAAGTAGGCAGAACACACCCAACTCTCGGTTAGTACTGAATCCTGCTCTGTTTGCAGTAGTTCTTTACAACTGAACTAAAGTAAGATTGAGGCTGGACTGGTGGCATGTTGGGTCAATGGCTATTGGAATAGGTGGAAGAGTAAGAGAAGCTTAGGAAAATCAAACAACCCTACTTCTCAAAATGTGTTTTTAATAGCTCGTTGTGGTGTATAGACTGTGGCCAGTGAATCACACTTCCATAAGTCAGATTATCCTATGTTTTTGGGTGTTTATTCAGTAACACAAAATAAGAGCTGGTGATCATGTTTCAGAGTTGCTGTGACTTATTACTCTTCTTGATTATCTGATTGTTTTTATGTGCTATGTTCCTCCTTTGCTATTTCTATCTTCCTGTCTTCCTCTCTTTACACCTGTGATACCTTCAGCAGATGGCTCATTTTTCTTAAGGTATCTTTTAGTGAAATAAATAAGAGGCCCATACTTATATTTAGGCTTGTTTTTGTTGCATTATGTACCCTTTTTATGGGGTGGACAATCTTACTTGATGGCTAGCTTCATTTTATTATATTTCATTGTTTTGATGCCATAAATAGTCTGGGAGCATCCAAGGATGCAGCATACAGTATCTGAAATTAAGCAGGTATGGTCCTAGTGTGACCCTGGATGAGAGACCTCACCTCAGGAGACAATAGTGTGTGTGTGTGTGTGTACCTTTCCAAACAGCTATTTAAATCAGTCAGTAGAGGATGAGACTCTTAATCTCAAGGTTGTGAGTTGGAGACCCATGTTGGGCAATAGATTCCTGCATTGCAGGGGGTTGGACTAGACTGCCCTCATGATCCCTTCCAACTCTACAGTTCTTCTAAATGTTAGGTGGGCAGAGGTGGGTTTGGGCTATACTGATAGATTGCTAGCTGACTTGCTGTGGGTTGACAGGAGTTTCTCACTCCTGTTTGTTCGACAACAAGAAGGTTCTGCTCTCCCTCCCTGCTAAATGAAAGCATTATAATCTCTGATCTGTAATAGATTTGTACTTCTAGAATCGGGTCATGCTGGTGTTCAGTAGGTAACTGGTTCTGACTTCTAAGCTGCCACTTTGCATCCAACTCCCATTTGATGGATTTCAGTGGTTCTAGTAAAAATCAAAGAAGGTCCTATAAGCCTGAGGTGTTCTCAGTGCTTTTGTTGTCATAGTACTCACCAATGTGAAGTACCATCACCTTTTTCTTCTTCTTTTAACTGCCATTGGCAGCCATTTTGTGCTGCCACCCGCAGCAGATATGAGTTATAGTACCTCATTTTTAACTCCCCCTCCCAAAAAAAAGCATCAGTACAGAGAATACTTCTCTAGTTGGGCCACAGGTCTGAGGAAATATAAAAATCCCTTTAGAAGAACAATGTGCTCGTACTCAATTGCCTGCTTCTTTTTCTTTGTGCATGTTTAATATTAAAGCTAAGTGTTCTTACAGTGTGCCAAGCACACATTGTACCTTTGCATTAGCTACGTAATCAGTCATGTGTCCATCTTTAAAAAACATGGTCAGCTCTAAAATCAACAACAACCTGTTGACATCTGTATATGCCTGATAGGATATAAAACTCAAGACGTAACATCTTCTCTTTCAGGGCTCATTGTTGGAGTGATCTTGAGATATGGCATACCTCCCACCAGTGGTCATGATAAACCGTTAAGCTGTTCCCAGGAGGACCGGGCTTACACAACTTTGTTGGTCAATATCAGCGGGAAATTCTTTGAATACACCTTAAAAGGAGAAATAAGTCCTGGAAAAATACACAATGTGGAACAGAATGACATGTTGCGAAAAGTGAGAGCTACCTTTTTGTTAACTGTGGCTGTTTATGAATGCATTTATTTTTGTGCTGCCCTGTTTTCGCAAGTCTCTTTCAGATCTCAGTACGTGTGATAATATGTGATACTTTCATTGTAAGGTTCTGTACTTTGCAATGTTGTTCAGATGTGGTAAGGAGATCCATTCATCTGGATTCCCTTACCCTTAGCATTTAAGAACTTATGCTTACTGGTTCCTCCAAGACAGTTTGGTAGTTCTGAGAAACATCAAACCATTGACACTGGACTATCCAGAATAAACATTCCCCATTCTTCCTCACCCTGGTCCTGTAAAGTAGGTTGCTGGTCTCAGTGCAGTGTGGAGCAGTGTGGAGCAGAATATCTTGTTGCCCAAGGTTACTTACTCAATTCCTTAGAACCTAGATTTTTGTTGTTGTTTTTTTTTTTTTGTTCAGCCTGCTGATTTTAAAGCAGCCCTTCACATTCTTAGGTCCCTCAGAACTTGCCACACCCCCAACTACCATGTCTTATTATGACCAGGGATGGCTGGAGTTGTAGTCTGACAACATCTGAGGACCTAAGGTTGGGAAAGACTGCTTTGAAGGTCTGTGAAGGACAACCAAGCTAGTATCTTTGCCTCTTCTGGAACACCTATATGACCACTTTATTATGTGCCAAATATAATCCTGGTTAGAAAACAAACAAACAAATAAATGTCATGAGAGTGATGGTTTTCTGAATGAACCCTAGACCATGGAACACTTAAAAAGAAAAAGAAAAACCTCTCTGCAGGAAACTGAGCATGTTGATAGCTTATTGGAATGAACCTGTGTTCCCTGATCTCTAGGAAATGATTGGTTTAATATAATGGCGAGAGATCGGCATAGGAAATCTGTGGGCAGACTGCAGATGTTTTAAGGATAGCCACCTAGAAACATTGTCTTACAGCTGTTTTTTCTGTGTTTTCTTTAAAGGTAACATTTGATCCAGAAGTGTTTTTCAACATCCTCCTGCCTCCCATTATTTTTCATGCTGGCTATAGTTTGAAAAAGGTAAGCCTGAAACATTTTCTGAACAATATTGCTCTGCCGGTGTGGACTTTGGTCCCGAGAGTAGAATACTCAGCTGTTAAAATCTGCCGTATTTTGAGGCAGAGTTAAGTAACTCCTACTGGCTTGAATCCAGTGGACCATTCAAGCAAGACCATTCCTGCAGCAGCAGAGCATCTATTCTTCCTCCACAAATGCTGAACTGTAGATTTTCATTCTGTGCTGTAGGTTGTTCCTATAGGTCCCCCCAAGAGATTTGTGAAGTTTGTTAGGTTGCATGGAGGAAGGCTGCCTGCAGGGAGCCTTTGTTCTATGCCAGGGATGTCCAAGAGGTAGATCATGATCTACTGGTAGATCACGGTGTGTCCATGGTAGATCTTGCCCCCCCCCCCCGAAAGCTCAAGAACTTTGGCTCCCTGAAAAAAAGCTCAGCTTTGGTAGATCACCGCCAGGTTTTTTATAGTGGGAGTAGATCTCAGTCTCTTGAAAGTTGGACATGCCTGTTCTATGCCACGTAGTTTGCATAATACTCCCTGTTCAGCCTTTGGCATAAAGGCCTGTCTCTAATTGATAGGCCTATAGGGTTGTGCACCAAAAAAATGCACCAGACAGACCTATCTGAGGATGATATTCCATAGATGAGGGGACACTATTAAAGACACTTCCTCTTGCTGCCACACACCATAGCTTTGCTACTAGGGGCACTATGAGAAGGGCCCCTGTTAATATCAGGGCATGGGTTGGTATCCCAAACCATGTCAGTAAATTATACACACAACCCAATGGATACAACCTGATCTTCTAACAATCCACATACTCCTATGATCTTTGTTTTCCCCTTAAGAAGTAACATGAGCAGATGGGACTCATTAACCTGGGAAGGTAGCCCATCCAAGAGAAGGAAAACTCTGGTCCTAAACCTCAGCTGCCTTGTGGGATACCTTTGGGAGAACAAGATGCTAAGGAGTAAACCCTACACAAATCCAGAGTGGAGTTCCTAAGATGGATGGATGGCGCCTTGTACGCCTCCTTCCAGCAACTCCCGCAGCTAAGCTGGTGCCAAATGTATCGCTCTGATTTCCTTTGGACCACATCAGAGAAGCCAAGAGGGGGGTCTTGTTGTCTGGGCAGCCCAGGACCTCCATACACACTTCTCGGGCTTGCTCCCCAGGGAGGTCACTTCTGTGCTGCTAATGCAGTGGTTTGATTTCACCCGCAGAGGCACACTCCATTGTCTCTTTGTGCCAACAATCTGTGTTCAGGTAAGCAAGCTTCTCAAGCATTTATGGTACTGTAAGACTAAACAACAACAACAACAAAAATAGATGCACTAAGTTGCTGATTGTTTTGAGACAATGGTTGCTGAAGCCTTAATGGCTGCATTTAGTTCATGTTGGAAATTGGCTGTGGGCGACACATTACAAGCCAAGCAGGGTGTGAGAGGAGTTGAAGGAATAGGTTTCTTGTTCTGTTGCACCAAGGCATTCTTATGGATTTGCTCTGGTGAATTTGGGCCAGGTAGACCTTCATTCAAATCCCCTTTCGCTCAGTTGAGTAGTTTCATGGAGAATTAGGAATGTAGCTCACTGAATTACAGCAATTATATCTTATGCTGAATGGGGCTAACTGCCTCCCATGTCCAAGGTATATGTCCGTGTTGCTTTCTGCTTCACCCAGCGCAGCATTGGGTCTCCTTAACGTCCTTTCTGATGGAACCATTTCTAAACAAAATTCTTTCCTCTAGTCAGTTTCATAGCATGGATCTCACTTTCACACACTTGCTCTCAACCAAATCTTTTTCTTAGGAATTCTCAGTCTGTAGCTAGCAGAAACTATGCTCCCTGGAGTACATGCTACATCATCTTCTGCTCAGAAGGCTTAGGCAGTGGTTCTCAACCTGTGGGTCCCCAGATGTTGTTGGACTACAACTCCCATCATCCCTGAGCTCTGGCCTTGCTAGCTAGGGGTGATGGGAGTTGTAGTTCAACAACATCTGGGGACCCACAGGTTGAGAAAGCCTGGCATAGAGGGACCTAGATGATGTCCTCAAAAACTGATGCCTTTTGTTATGGATTGTTTATTATCCACTGAAACATGCACCTGAAAAAGCAACCTTTTTGTTCCTTTTATTTATTTGACTGCGATTCTTTGCATTGCTTACGCTTATTGACTTCTTGGTTAAATAAACCTGTGAGCTGCAGGGAGCCGTGATTAATCTTGCCCTTATTGACCTCTGCCCTCTTAGCCAAGTCCCTGAGAGGTAATATGCTAGCCCTCCAGGCTCATTGGGTGGTTAGAGATGGGAATCTGGCAGAGTTTCACTGGGTAGCCCAATTAAATAGAGATTCCCATGCACCCACATACTTAAAAACCAAACGTGCTGTTTAGCCTAGGGGATGGTGACAGCTACTCTATTGTGTTTGTCCAGCTTGCTGAAGTGGTAGCCTGATCCGCAGTAGATGGCTCCATGTGGGCTTTAACCATCAACCCACTGGGTGTTGCTTAGGTCATTAGCTGAGGGTGTGTTGCAGCAACCTCTAATCACATAGGGGCTACCCTTTCCAAGTTGAGCTGCGGGTACCCCTCTTTCCCTGCAAGAGCTGAAGAGCCTGTAAAGTGTTTCTTGGAACGCTAGGAGAGAAGCATTAAGCTTCCTCTAAGAGTGGTCTCTTGCTGAGGAAGCTTTTCAAAGCACTGCTTGGGCCAGATAGATCCTGTCTGGAGAGTTGTCTGATGGAGCAACGAAGAAGTTCTCCATCAAACTACTTCTTGCTCTTGCTCAAACTCAAGGCGTTTAAAGAACGCCTTTGTAAATCCACACTGTTCAGAATGGCACAGCTTCCCTACTTGCCTTGTCTCTTCCACACCTCTGTCTGGGGTTCTGTTCATGATTCCCTAAGTCACTGGGGTTTTGAGCCTTGATTTGATGGCCAGCCTGAGCCATTTATACCAGGCCGTCCCAAAGTACGTGGAATCAAAATATGACTCGGACAAGACTAATAACAATCTCCCCAATACTTATTTATTAAAAAATTATGCCACTTGCTGTAACAAAAATCTCTAAGCTGCTCACAATAAAAACACAACATCCAGTGAATTTTCCTAAAAATGAGATAAAAAGAAAATGCAGCTGTATCTCATAAATAAAATTAAACAGTACAGGAAAGAAATTTGTTAAGAGGCGTTTAAGGATCATTACTGACTTTGCCTCATGAATTGCTCAAAGGAGAGCGTTCCATAGAGTGGGTGCTATTATCAAGAAAGCTCACTTATTCATTGTCACCAAGTAACAAACTGCTTGTTGTGGAACAATGAGCAGGGTCTCCTCAGAAGATCTTACAAGATCAGCTTAGTTTTTTGAAATGTTCCCTATATTTCAGAAGGATCACACAGTAGAGTTGGAATTTTTCTGTTCCCAGAATAGAATGTGACTTAACTAGAGCACTGAGAGTGTTGCATTCTTTGGAGTTACAGAAGCATTGCTTCTATATGGCTGCGCCTAACCCATTTTCCCCCTCTACAGAGGCACTTCTTCAGAAACTTGGGGTCTATTCTGGTTTATGCTTTCCTAGGAACTGCAGTCTCTTGTTTCATCATTGGGTAAGTTGAGTTTTGAGATACCATTTAGTCTCGTGGGATATAATTTTGGCATCTCTTTATCATCCATTGTTGTGCCTTAGCTTGTCCAGCAAGATCAGTGAGAATATCTTGGATGCTGTAATCTCTTACCTCTCAAATAATCATGCATACACTGGGTTGCGTGTTTGTCATCAGTAATAAAGTCAGTTCAAAGAGAAACTCATGCTATTCTCTTGACAGCAATGTATTTTTAAACTTATTTTAATATTTTATTCTAAAATTTGTCATGATGAAGGGCAGGTAATTTTTAAAAACGATAAATTAAATTATTGTACATTTTTATAAATAAATATAATCCACAACAATCTGGTTTAAATGCTTCACTGAATTCTTCTTTCTTTTTCCTCCCAGGAATCTTATGTATGGTGTTGTAAAACTAATGAAGCTTGTGGGGCAGCTCTCTGATAAGTTTTACTACACAGATTGCCTCCTTTTTGGAGCCATTATATCTGCTACTGACCCAGGTATAGACTTCAGCTTTAAAAAATCATTGGGTTTTTTATGACACCTTTTTTCCTTTTTACTGTTGTTGTTTATAGGATGAGAAGAAATAGTGTTAGGCAATTGTGTCTGATCTTTCCCGTGTCACAGAAATGTCTTTTTCCTTTCTATAAGGTGTAAGAATTGGAAGATTTAACGTATAAACTCATTACAAAAATCTGTAGGAGAAGTGTGGTTGATGGCATTATTATTTTTAAATGCAGTATAAATTTCCTGTCTGGGAGCCTTAAAGATGGGGTAAAATGGCTAAGAAAAATGAAAAATGCACAAGGAGTTTTGCAGTGTGGCTGTCTGCCAAAAACAGTCCTGCAGAGGTAGTGATACAAGTATTTCCTTATCTCTCCCCAGCCATAGTTTGTATAGACCTGGGTGGAGGGGCAGCTCTTCTGTAGCCCTAACAATGTGGGAATCTGCTTGTATGGATTCTTTCCACACTGTCAGACAAGCATGAGGAGACCTATGCAGGAGGAGCCAGTGGCATTCATGGCCCTTTGTGGAAACTGAGGCAATTTATAAATAACCTCGTCATGGCCTCCTCTGACACTTGTTCTGGGGCTTCTTATGGGCTGCGGGAGAGGATTGGAGGGGGGGTGGAAAGAAGCAGGAACATTATCTTTCCCCCTCATATTTGTGCCAATATTCTAGGGTGCATTGTGCATCGAATTATGCCTGCTGCAATGCCTGCATTCCATTCTAAGACAAAATTGCAGGCTTTGGGGAGGGGGCAATGCTATCTTGTCTTGTCCCCTCCCTCATTACCATCACCCCCTACCATGCCGGTGGGTTTAACACAGAACTTTGTGACGAATTCTGGAGAACTCAAACGTTTGTTCGTGGCTTTTTGGTTGGTCCTAATAAGGCCTTGGGACACGGGTGGTGCTGTGGGTTAAACCACAGAGCCTAGGACTTGCCGATCAGAAGGTCGGCGGTTTGAATCCCCGCGACGGGGTGAGCTCCCGTTGCTCGGTCCCTGCTCCTGCCAACCTAGCAGTTCGAAAGCAAGTCAAAGTGCAAGTAGATAAATAGGTACTGCTCCGGCGGGAAGGTAAATGGTGTTTCCGTGTGCTGCTCTGGTTCGCCAGAAGCGGCTTAGTCATGCTGGCCACATGACCTGGAAGCTGTACACTGGCTCCCTCGGCCAATAAAGCGAGATGAGTGCCACAACCCCAGAGTCGGCCACGACTGGACCGAATGATCAGGGGTCCCTTTACCTTTAATAAGGCCTTAGTGTAGTTTTTGGGGTGTCCCGTCCCCCCTCTGCAATGAACCAACATGGCTATGCACATTTTAAATCTGGGGCAGAGGAAAGGTGCACTGTTGCCTCTGCAACAGTGCACCTTTCCTCTGCCCCAAACAGTAAGTGTTTACCATGTACTCAGTGAGATAATGCCAGATGTCTCCACATGAGGTCGTTTGCTGACTAAATGTTCCCCATGTGGGAACTGACAAGGTACTGAGTTGTCTTGTGATAACTTGAGCACATGCAAAATGAATGTAGGAACTAGGCCTTGGATAGATGTTTAGGAGACCTGGTACTTTTGTGTGTGTGACTGTACTCATGAGTAGTGATGTTAAATTCTTGAGAATAATCTTTTGGGGAATATTCTCGAATATTTTCAATTAATGAGATGTGTACATTTAAAGCAGCTTTGTGGACGACTCAGAATTTACAGTTTGTGGAGAATATTCTCCGAAGAATTTTCTAGCAGAGAATATTCTCACCTCACGTCACTACTCATGAGTAATTGAGTGCTATCACTTCCTTTTCTGCTGCCCATAGCAGCCATTTTGTGCTGACATTCGCAGCACCTACATCAAAATAAAAATACTGGGGCCTCTTTTTTTTTTTAAAAAAGTACTGATTAGACCTTTCACCAACTGCCAACCTGTATTAAACACCTTTGGTTTCATGGTTCTGTTATAGCTTGATAACATTCACTGCATACGAAGTCAGCAGAGAGCTGTTTCTTTCCTGCTCAAAATCAAATATACAATAAGACCAATTTTTAGTGCCTTGCTCTTCTCTTTTCCCAATTGTAGTCACTGTACTGGCAATTTTTAACGAACTTCATGCTGATGTTGACCTCTATGCACTGCTGTTTGGAGAGAGTGTTCTGAACGATGCTGTTGCTATTGTACTATCTTCGTAAGTAAAAAAAAAATTAAGAGTTTTTGATGTGTTATGTGAAAGACCATTAATACAAAATGAACCAATTCCTGATAGTCTTGTAAATCAGATTTGGAAAGACTGCTGTTTTTGCATTTGCCTTGAGATCATTTGCGTGTGGTTGGGATGATAGATGGGAAAGATGCAGCTCCTAAAATAACTAAAGGAGGAAGAATTATGTGGGATAAATATTTTGCTCATTGCTGCTTCTTGTCCCCTCTGTTGCAGTTCTATTGTAGCATATCAGCCTACGGGAGGAAACATCCATGCTTTTGATGCAGCTGCCTTTTTTAAATCTGTTGGTGTTTTCCTTGGAATCTTTAGCGGCTCGTTCATGATGGGAGTAGTGACAGGAGTTGTGACAGCTCTGATATCCTTTTTCTGTTGAATGCTCCCAGTTTTTGTGTGTGTTTTTTTTTTGCAGATGCCCACTCACTTTTGACTTCATTCTCTGGTGAAAGCAGCATTTCGTCTTATCTGCTACAATCTTCAGGTCTTCTGCCTGTAGAATCATAGAGGGCGTCATGCCATTAAAAAAATAAAAAACACTGTACTAGAAAACTGCACTGAAATATAGACAACTTTGTTTTACAGGTAGATCAGTTTTTAGGTACAGTAGTCAGTTGCAGGTGAGGTCCCCCATCCTAAGAAAGCTGGAATAGGAATGCAAAAAAAAGGCAAGCAGGCAAACTGTGAAGCAAGACAGCCGTGAGATCGGAAGCCAGGAAGGTTGACAAGCAGAAACTCCCTAGAGCAGTGATGGCCAAACTTGGCCCTCCAGCTGTTTTGGGACTACAACTCCCATCATCCCTAGCTAACAGGACCAGTGGTCAGGGATGATGGGAATTGTAGTCCCAAAACAGTTGGAGGGCCAAGTTTGACCATCACTGCCCTAGAGGGAGACAAGGAAGCCAAATTGATGTGATCAGAATTTGGCTGCTGCCTAGATCAGGTGTAGGGAATCATTGGCCTTCCATATGTTACTGAACTACAACTTGCAGGAGCCCCAGCAAGCACAGCCGGGGCCAGGTATGATACGAGTTGTAGTATCATGTAGCAGTATTTGGAGAGAGCCAAACGTTCCTTACACCCGGCTTAGGTGAATACCCAGCTCCGACTTTATAAGCATTTATAACTTGGCCAGGTCAGGGAGAACCTGTGGTCTACATTTGGAGCTACAGTACAGTCACATGAGTACTAAGTCATCACATTCAACCCTTTGGGAAGAGTTCTAATAGCTGCAGAAAATATCTAATGCTGTGAATTTTGCGATTCCTTAACACAATAATCACGTAACAAAGTTCACAAAACTGCATTGCTTCCCCTTACTGGAGACTGCACTCTTTTTTCTGATGTCTTGGAGTACGTTCTTGCTGGCTGAAGCTTGTGGCTTTACAGGTAAGATGCTTTGATATATTAACAGGCTCTGGAATGAATAGATTTTGTGCTTATACAGTAATTGGTATTATTATTAGGAACATATTGGGTACTCATGTTGTCACCTTTCAAATTACACTTGTGCTGATGTTACAAAGTTGCATAGTATGCATAATATAAATGCATAATATGAATTTGATTTCTGGCGTAATCTATTTGGCAAAAGGTTAACATGGAAACAAGTGATGAACATACGATAGTCAGTACTGTATCTTTTGGCCCTTGAAATTAGATTCACATTGTAGAAATCATCTTCACATTGTAGATGTCCTGACATATATCTCCTTGTAGAAGTCGTGTGTTTTTCCTGGACATGGAACTCCTTTTAATGACCGGAGTTGTTAACATGTCCTCTTTGTAGATCTTTTTTCACAAATGGCTTTTCTAATTTATTTTGCAATGTGAAGACTTCATTGCTGCAATGTCAACAGATGACTGGGTGGTTGGAGTGCTCTTTATTTATTTTTATTTAATATAGGATTTTTATAGGTCCACACCAGGTTTGGATCCAGTGGATTTTTGACTTTGTGGTATGGCATGGGGATCTGTTCTTCAGTCTGCTTTTGTTACCCCCCAACAGTTTAAAAAAGGATTGCAATGTAGTATGGAGTCAGGGGCCTGCTTTTCACAAAACACTGGGTGGCAAAGAGCAATACCACTGCTTTTTGGATTCCCAGCTGTAGATTTTATTCTCATTGCCTTTATAGCGGAGAGATTCACAACACATAAACATTAAGAGGAGCCAAGGGAGTGGATGCCTTGTGTTCATTGTTGTTGAAAGGAGCAGAAAGCCTAGCAGAAAACAGACTTGTGTTTTCATAGAATTGTAGATTTGGAAGGGACCCTGAGGATCATCTAGTCCAACCCCTGCAATGCAGGAATATGCAGCAGTCCCATACAGGGATCAAACCTGCAACCTTGGCATTCTCCGGACCATGCTCTAACCAACCGAGCCTTCCAGGTTTTACTCGCATTTCTCCAATATAAATAGCTGATTTGCTGGCCATCCAGTTCTTGGCCAGTGGTAATAAAGTTCATGCCAAGCCCATTTTGGGTTGATCTCTCCATATAAACACACCCAAGAGAGATTCTTTTAATCTTGCAAACCCTTAAGAAATATGAGGCACAACCCTGGGATTTGTTCCTGGAAGCAGGACTGAATCATGGAGTATATATCTGCCTGCCTGCCCTTGGAAGAGTGCAGAATGATTTTCCTCACCTAAAAATTAACAGAACCTGGTCCCTGCACCCATGGAATTATGGGACTACCTTTCCAGTACAGACAGCAAAGCGTTGATGCAGATTTAAGCCCCATTACTTCTCATTGGAACACAGGGCAGGATCACTGGAAAAAATAACCCACAAAGATAGCAAGTATATATCAGAATGTAATGCTTCAGGATTTAAAGAAGATTGATATGAATACTAAGCCAGAAAAGAGATGATGTCTGCATTTAACCTAATGCTTCTTGTTGTTCTGTTTCTCTTGGTAGGCGTGGTATCTGTCCTGTTCTGTGGAATCACACAAGCTCACTATACGTACAATAATCTGTCTGTTGAATCAAGAAGCCGAACCAAGCAGGTGAAATAATGTCTTCTTAGTTTTGCTTTCTCTCTCTCTCTCTCTATATATATATAAAATAAGGCATGCTCCTCTTCATTTATTTTGAATGAAGGCTGCTGATACCTGGTAGAAATGGTTAATCTCACAGTTGATGAATGATTGATGAGGTGAAATGCACAATTGGGAGTGTCTTATGTACTTCTGCACTTGCAAGTCTGATTAGTACAATCTAGAGAAGGTATTTTGGACAGTAATATGAAAAGTGTGTGTTGAGAAATTGCGGTAGTTGCTTTCATTGCTTTTTCACCACGCTAATAAGAGTGCATTAAAAGCTTGGCGGTGGCTTCTTCTTCTTTAAAATCTTTTAGTACCTTGGATTTGCTCCCAAACCAGAAAACTACACAAGCAAATTTACAGTTGCCTGTCTCTGTGCTTTCGCACACTTCTTGGGCAGAGAAATTGTTTTTTAAAAAACAAGGTGTGCCCACAGCTATCTGCATGCATGCCCCTTTGGTATTTAATTGGGAACTGTAGTTTACTGCCAAGTTGCAATTCCCAGCACCCTCAGCAAACTACCATTTCCATGACTTTATGGCAGAGGGGGTGAAAGGTGCTTTACAATGTATGTTGTGCATGCTGTTTTAGATGGTTTGTTCAGAATAGGCTGCTCTGAAAAGCAAGTGTTTCTCTTGATAAGTCATGTATATTGCGTTGAATTCCATTGGCAGAATTAATGTTTTTTCTCCCATCCCTAACTTACTTTCCAGCTTTTTGAAGTGCTGCACTTCCTGGCTGAGAACTTCATATTTTCTTATATGGGCTTAGCACTCTTCACTTTCCAGAAGCATATATTCAGCCCCATTTTCATCATTGGAGCTTTCGTATCCTTTATTGGGTTCTTCTGCATTATAACATGTTTCTCGGCGGTGTTGCACTTCTGAGAAGCCAGTCTTGAAAGGGGAGGGGCGGATCTTTGGAGCAGCTGAGCTAAAGGAACTAAAACTGGATGAGAAAGGGGGAAGCCCTGTTTCCTCCAACAGGTGCCTAGGGAGAAAACAGGCCTTTAACACCTTGTGTGTCTAGTAGTACTTTCCTGCAAATGCCATGGTAAGAATACCGCTCTCTCAACTGGGCTGACTTCTGGGGCTTAGAGCCAGGGATCCTGAGGTGCAAATAACGAGTAAGAATTAGACATTTGCAGAGGAAATTGGGAAGGTGAGGGAAGAGGTAAGACCCTCCCATTAGCCAGTTCTCGCTGCACTTGAGGAACAAACACATACACAGAAACCATGTCTTCCTTGTAACCCGAAGCTTTTCTCTCTGAGGTAACTGCAACCTAATTCCTCTTGACAGTACTTTCCACCCAACCTTCCACTGATTTGGTGGCACACCTGAGACTTCTCTGTTGGCCCGTGTTATAACGTTACAAGAATATTATGTTGAAACCTTATGTTAGGCTTTTTTTAAAAAAAACCCGTCTCAGTACGATGATAACTTAAAATCCTTTAAGTTGTACAGTGAATGTTAATAATAGTGGAATATCCTAACATACTGAATTTTCCCTGAGCAAATGGCCAAGGCTCTTGTTTGTTTTTGCTGGCATTCTTAAGAAATGGAAAGCAGCTTTATTCATGTGGTGTGTGTGAAACGGGCAAGCGGTCTCAAGTGCAGTCCCTGGCCTCTCCAGGTACGAACTGGGAGAGAACCATGTCTAAAACCCTGGTGAGCTATAACCAGCCACTGTAGGCCATGCTGGGACTATATGGAGCAATGGGCCTGACTCACTATAAGGCAGCTTCCAAAGGTAAGAAGTGAAGAGGATCCTGGTAAGGTTCACACATATGTGCACAGTTCACGAGTAAGAATCATAGAATTGCAGAGTTGGAAGAAGGAACCCAGCAAAGCAGCTGTCTCATACGGGGATCGAACCTGCAACCTTGGCGTTATCAGCACCACGCTCTTAACTGAGCTATCCGGGCTGAGCAAGAATTTTCCTTGTTTTTGAAGAGACCACTCCAGTTCTTCCTCTTCCGTTTTATCTCCTCTAAGCACCGTTTGTTTGGCCTTACGGAACAGCTCAAAAGCTGCCTGTGTGAAGGTTTAAGAGGAAGAAAGTGCCCACATGAGAAATTTTGCCCTGTAGGAGTGAGTGTTTCTACCCCTCAAATGAATGCTAATGTGACACAGACTCTGTTCAATATGAATGCAATGCTAATACAGTGGTACCTCGGGTTACAAACACCTTGGGTTACAAACTCCGCTAACCTGGAAGTAGTACCTCGGGTTAACAACTTTACCTCAGGATGAGAACAGAAATTGCACAGCGGTTCAGCAGGTCCCATTAGCTGAAGTGGTACCTCAGGTTAAGAATGACTTTCACTTGAGTGTGTTTGACTCAGCAGTGAGGGAAAGCCATGTGGGAGTTAAGTGCACTCTTAACTCTCTCTCTTTAGGGTGTCTCAAACAGAATAGCAGCAAACAAGCTTCTCTGTACTGGAGGGTTGTTAAGCAAGGGCTGCCTCCCCCCCCTTTTCTTAAAAACACACACACACAAAAACAGCTGTAAGGGAGCAATAGTTACAGTATAGAGATACTGGCTTTACCTGATCAGAGCCACATAACAGCAGGTTTCGAAAGAACAGAAAAAATGGTATTTCCTGGGTTGGAACAGAACACTTAAGTTTAAAGAAACTACCTGATCATTGTGTGACGTAGATAACAATATTGGATCCTTAACCAAAAGGTGCTGTTAGATAGCTGTTTTCCTGGGACGAGCTGCACACATCTACCCTCTTTCATTCTTCTTGAATCTGGGCAGAAGGCACAAGATCAGCTGGAATTTCCAGCACATGCTGATGTTTTCAGGTAAGATGATAAGATGAAGCTTGTAATCTTATCTCATCTACAACACAAAGTTCCCATCTGTAGATACAGGTATCACAGATATATAGCCAGGGTTTTTGTGGGAGGGGGGCAGGATTTTTTTTTGCAGGGGGGGGGAGAACCTCAGTTTGCTGTGTATTTTTATTGATTTGGGCTTGTCTCCTCCTACCTAGCATGCCCCTCAAGGGCCTCCTCTTCTCTCTCTCTCTCTCTCTCTCTCTCTCTCACACACACACACACACACACACACCAAACTTCACAAAGGGTGACTATTTTTTCAATAAATAACTTCAGTGTTTCATGTAAAGTCCATCAGATTTATTTATACCCCCCACTTCTTGAGAAGTGCTGTAGGGACAGAAAGGTTTGAAGAGGTGGGGGGGGGGAGCCAGAGCAGGCCTTGGATACAGTTGTAATGCTGCTTGCCACCTTGGATGGATATCTAAAATAATAAAAATAAATAGAGACTTCCGGGGGTGGCGCCATCAGCAATGGCGGACTCCCTCTGAACTGGAGGTACTAGCTCCGCGCGAAACGGGTCTTCTCCGCTACGGCGAAGCGGGGACCCTTTTAAAAATCACAGGCGGGTGAAGCCTGTGACCATGGGACTCGGCGGGCACCTTTAGCGCCCCCCCAACTCGTAAAGGAGCCCACTAACGGGCTCCGAAGTGAAGAGGGGGAAGTGGCGCGGTGCTGTGAGTCAACTGCTATTTCCGTGGAGCGAAGCCGCATAGCCGTTGCCGGAGAGCGCTGCCTTTTTCCTGGGACAATTTGGATTCTAAAATAAGCACCTGTGAGTACTTAAACTTTGAACAACTGGACTTTAAATAAGGACTTGCGAGCAGAAAGGAATTGGACTTAAAAATTTATTTCAATTTGGTACTGAAACGGGAAGGTCTAAACAGGAAGTCAGCCTTCCGTTCTTTTGTAGACAGAATAAAGCAAAGACAACGTAAACTAGAGCTCAGAAAATCGCCTCTAAAGGATTGGATTTCATCATTTAAAATTGTGGAACCCCCCTTCGACAGCAGGAGAAGAAGGGGGATCTTTTCGGACTGTTTAAACCTGCAGAAGTGAGTTTAAAGTAAAGTAACTTTCCACCGTCCTGATCCTGGAGCGGGGTGTCAGGACTGACGTTTGAAGCTCATTGACCAGAGATAAACGTTTTTGACAGATAGCTAAAAGAAGATAAACATAGTGATTCCACTGTTTCTCTTCGCAGTTTAAAGGAACAAATATTGACAAAATATCTCAAAAAGGAAAACTTTGTCGCAAGAAGAAATAGAAGTTTTCCCCCTAGAGGGAGACTGTGAAACTGTAACCAATTCCAGGGAGCTGGCAGCTGTTACAGATTACAATCGTGGGAATAGACATTTGACCTTGCAGGACAATGTATTCAGAAGCTCTGTTGCGTGCTTTCTATAAAACAAATGCCCTACTGGAACAGTTACATGAGAAGATGAATTTGATGGCGAATTCAACTAGAAATTTTGAACAGGCAGTGGGAAATTTTGAACAGACAGTGGGAAAATATGTGGAGCCCACCCAGGAATTAAATCAGGAGTGTGTCCTGACAGAACAGGCCCAACAGGAATATGAGCTTTTGGATTTGACAAATTAACTTGGAAAAAGCCAGATTTGGAAAGAAAAAGTTTGGTTTGGCTTGGAAATGGGGGGCTGGATTGACCCCCCTATGCAGGGATGTTAGGACTTTTCAAATCTGGCAGTGGGCCGGGAGATGTTTGGGATTGTAGGGGCTCTTAATTTTGGAGGGTTTTTGAAACATGTTTTTAAATACCACATGGAATTTAGTGTCGAATATGGAAAAGGGGCTGATCTGTTGAGAAGGGTCAAAAATATTGCTAAGCTGGAGTTCCCACGAGCAGGAGACAAGGGAAAATACAGTTACAAATATGAAGAAGAGCTGCGGAAGGGACATGGAAGAGACTTAAGGGCCTCGGATATAAGGTTGCCAGGTTAATGCGCTAGATCGATGGGATAATAAGGACTGACAAAACCCGGGACCAGGAGGAAGGGACGCTGGATGAAGATTGGATTTGTTTTTATTTCTTTTAATATTAGGACTGTTTTATAAAATTGATGAATGTTAGAAAAATGTTGGAATGAAATTACTCGGCTTTAGTAAAAATGTTTAAAGAATTATGAAAGAATATTATGGTTATGAGAAGTTGGTAAGGATAAGATTTAAGTTTTAAGTTTCAAGGTTTTTTTTATAGAAAGATAAGATTAAAATAGTTTAAGGTAATGTAATGACAGAATATTATGACATATGGAAAGGATTTGCTGTGATAATTAACAACTAGGATACAAAGAAAGGGAGGAAGAGGAGGTCAAAGAAAGAAGGAAATGACAGTTGAGGATTTGAGAATAATGGATTTGTTTTTAAATGTTTTTAAATGTTTGTGGTGTATTTTTGTTTTTTTTTCTGTTTTCTTTCTTATTTTGAATTTGTATTCGTATTGTTGGAAGTGGTTTGTTTTTCTCTTTTTCCACTTTGTTTTTCTTTTGTAACTTAAAAAAAAAATTTTTTTTCCAATAAATATCATTTAAAAAAAATAAAAGAAATAAATAAATGCCTTATAGTGGCTCAGGACAGGGAGGACGGGTTTTGCGTTTCTCTACCCCGTGGCTCTTGTGATGTTGTATCAACTGCTCTTTGTCGAGGTTTCCAAACTCTGCAAAAACCTGGAAGCAGACTAAGTTGCACATAGAATCATAGAATCATAGAGTTGGAAGAGACCACAAGGGCCATCGAGTCCAACCCCCTGCCAAGCAGGAAACACCATCAGAGCATGTCTTGTCGCTCCACTGATTAACAACCTCTCTCAAGAGACTTGAGCAGAAACCTGCTTCCTTTGCATAACATAAATAGTTACTCAGAGAGCATATTTTAGGGCATCTTAATGGGGAACTGACAGCTTATTTTTGGAATGGAATGCCAACAGCCCTTAACACTAAGCTGAAGAGACATATCCTCTTGGGGAAGGGCCATAGTTCAGCGGTAGAATATCTGTGTTGCTTGCAGAATGTCCCAGCGTCTGCAGCTAAGACTCTCTGCTTGACGAAGACCTGGAGAGAGAGATGGCTGGTCCATGTGATTCATACTGGACTAGATGTGCTTCTTATGTTTACTGCTCCCCGCCAAGTCTATATGACTTGGGACGAAAACACCTTAGCGTTCCAACTCTATGTTTGAGGGGGAAGTATCATACAAAACAGCTCTTGTGTTGTCAGGTTTTACATCCCTCTCACTTGTTTATCTACAGGACTTCGAGGAGCCATGGCATTTGCTCTAGCCATACGAGACACCGCAACTTATTCTCATCAGATGATGTTCTCCACCACACTCCTCATTGTCTTCTTCACTGTTTGGATCATTGGCGGAGGGACAACGCCCATGCTCTCATGGCTAAATATAAGGTGCCCATGTTGAATCTAAACTGTACCTTTTTCAGCGTCACGTTCACATTTTTTAAATAACAAGGAAATAACGCGAACTGCTTGATACGTACAAAATCAGTGTCATATGCATTCGATGTTTGGCTTTGCATCATAGGAGAATAACTGCTTATAACAGCAAAATCTTGCTGTTCATTCAGGGGTTGAGCATTTTGCTTGCTTCTTAATACCTAGTCATGTTTGAGGTCTGTGTGGGGTTTTTGCAGGGTTAGGTTACCAAGATCGTGGTAGCTCACAATAAGTGGCCACAGTTAAATAGCAGAACCCTATCCTCTGTTATAACTTGTGGGATGCTGGTGCCTATCAAATAACATGAGAAGCTCATATATCCTACAAGGGGTGTGGGGCATTTAAGAACCTTCCTCTGCAATCAGTAGAGCAACACATTTATTTCCTGTTTGCCTGGCACAGTTCAGATACGTTTCTGTAAGGCGATACATACAAGCAGAACATTTGTGCAAGGGGCGGGGACTGTTTTACTCTTCTATTGCAAGTTAATTATTTATAGGCTTTGTACTTTCCCAACATACAGCTTCTGGCGTGGGAGCAATATGTAGTCAGATGCTGGGGAATTGGCAAATTTGCTTGTAGTTTGTAGTGTACTTCTTGTGATCTTGTTTGATCTTAATTTGTCATCTAGTAATTTCCCATTTTCATAAGTTTCCAATGAGGTCAATAGGGGTTGTGGAAGCCCATTGACAAGAAGAGGACTCTGGTTCTGTACTGTGCTAAATGGCTTTTCATAACAAGAAGAGTTTGGATTTGATATCCCGCTTTATCACTACCCGAAGGAGTCTCAAAGCGGCTAACATTCTCCTTTCCCTTCCTCCCCCACAACAAACACTCTGTGAGGTGAGTGGGGCTGAGAGACTTCAGAGAAGTGTGACTAGCCCAAGGTCACTCAGCAGCTGCATGTGGAGGAGTGGGGACGCGAACCCGGTTCACCAGATTACGAGTCTACTGCTCTTAACCACTACACCACACTGGCTCTCCTACAAGCCTACTGCTATCTAAATAGAACTGTTTGGTTTTCTGTATTCTTGCCAGTGTATCATAAACAAAGATGTTGCAAAAGTGCCATTTCCTTCCCTCACCCCTTTGCCTAACCCAGCAATGTTTTTGAATGTTTCCTGGCTCTCTCTTACAAGTTCACCATTAGTTATGCACCAGGTTGTGTCCAAACATCCATCTGGATGGGAAGCAAAAAACAAAACAAAACACTTAGTGGAAAAAATGGCTTAGCTTTGCAGTTACAGATATGGATGTGTCTGTCCATGCTGTAGGAAACTGGAATGTGAGCTCTTCCTTGAGTGTGCTAGGTAGGCTTTCTTGACATTGACTGGTTTACCAGGTCTGACACTTATTTGTTGCTGTATTTGCTCTTAGCACGCTGAACAGGAAATATTTAAGTCAGGATTGATCGCTGTGCTGAATTGAAGGAGTGAGAGGCTGGGCCACTGATTTCAAACTTAATATTGGTACCCTTCCTGGAAACAAGTGTCACACTCCTTTTGTTTGTGCCACAGGCATGGGAATGTACTTCAAAATTGGACGAGCATTCTGGAACTCAATATACAGTTCAGTGTAACATATCTTCCTTTTGATTAGGTCTGCTAACCTCAGTGTGCTAAATTTGACCTTAGAGCTGCAGAAAAAATAATTGCAAGCCCCCATCTGCATTATCATACCACTTTTAAACAGCCATGCTTTCCTGCAAAGTGCAGATGAGGCTGCATGAGATGAAACCTTCAGTCCAGGAGATGGCAGTCATGTGCAACATTAAAATACCATGCGAAAGAGAGTTGCCTGTTCATCGAGATCCTGCTGCAGAAAATGTCTCTCTGTACATTGCAAGAGAGTGGGATAGTGGCTGATAGCTGAGGATTAGACGCTCAGGACTCTGCACAGTAGGAATTGGAAGGTTGGTCTTGACTTCGCATGCCTGGCAGTTTGCTGCAGAGGTACACAACCTGTAGCCCTTTAGATGCTGTTGGACTAAACTCTTATCATCCCTGACCATTGGGTGTGTTGGCTGAGACTGATGGGAGTTGGACAGCAACATTATTTGGAGATGTGCAGGTTCCCCAACGCTGGGGTACTGTAATGTTTGCTGGAAGAATTATGTCTGGCTGAAGGTGCAGTGTCTGTTTCAAACTATCGCTAGCAAGAACAAATGTGGAAACTACAGATAGCACTTCCATGAGACATAGTGCCAATGCACTGCTACAGTCCTACCCACACTTAGCAGTTTGAACTCTGGGGGACTTAGAATGGCAAAGTTGGAAAGGACCAGGAAAGTCATCTAGTCCAAACCCCCTGGAAGCTTTTGCCCAACATGGGGCTCAAACCCACGACCCTGAGATTAAGAATCTCATGCTCTACTGACTGAACTATCCCAGCTTCTAAATAAATGCATGACATCAAGCGGCTATTGTGACATGGCTATCTGTAACGAGGTTATAACTGTCTGTTGTGACCCACTAGTCTGTATGCAGTGAGTGCAGTTACATTTTAAGTAATGCCTGAATAGGAGAGCTTAAAATCCGGTTGTCTTCAAAACCTTTTGCAGTTCACCCATCTTCAGAGAGAAGGGGCTTGAGCCAGGAAACCAAAAAACCACTGGCAGCGTTTTCTTCTGCAGAAAACAGCTGACTAAGCTAGTTTTCCTGTTAGTTCTCAGAAGAAATTAAACTAAACTGCAGCTAAATTCTGGTGTTCATTATGACCTAACGAAAATGAACTTTCGTTTTTAAAACGATTGCTTTTGGAAACAAGCAGTTGCCTTAAACATCTATTACATGTTTGGTCTTTTTAGAGGGTGGGGGGACATATTGGGGTATGGAAACGAAATGGATACATTTGAAGTGTCTGTAATTTCCTCCATTTTCGATGTTTACACTGTGAATTCCATTGCTTATGTAGTCAAAACAGCACCACACATACACACATGGAGGGTGTATCAGTAATGTTGAGGAAACTCCAAGGTTTGCAGAAGTACAGTTTTTTTAAAGAGAAAAAAAAAATCCCATAGAGGCTGGGGAACTCCAAAAACAGCCCAATGAGTAGCGCATGAGACCCTTAATCTCAGGAGCCCCACATAGGGCAAAAGACTTCTGCCTTGCAGGGGTTGGACTACAGTTCTGTGATTCTCTATGAATATGCTCATTGGCCATGGGCACTGTTTCTCTGAAGGCCGCTGGAGACTGGAGCGCTGAGCCCTTGGAGGGGGAAGCTGGCAAGTTGTTCTAAACCAAGTTTTGCCTTGGTTCATTTTGCTGTTTTGAGGCAATTGCACATGCCAAGCTTCTGCTTGTGCAGCTAACTGAATCCAAGTCCCATGAACACAAGGATTTCAGTCTCTCTTCTGCATTTTTGTGTGAGCCAAATAGTTCCCTTCACGTATAAGAGGTCAGGGGAGCTGCAGCACGATATACAATTAGGACACTTTGGGGTCAAGGAATGTGATAGAAGGGCAGTTGCACCCTTTCTTGTCTTTGCTGATGACACTGCTATACTCTCGAGTCCTTATTAGTTATCATTTACTAAGAAACTCCTCTTGTGTTTGAGTATACACCATCATTTGAAACTATATGACCTGGCTGCCACAGTCTGTCTGTGCCATAACAGTCACATCTAAATCTAGTCCATCCATAATGTGCATGGGGATCCTAGCATGTAAGAAGATCTAGTTCTGCTAGATCAGAATCTAGTTCTGCTTATCAGAACATTCTTAGAATCTTCAGCCATCTAGCTGAGCTTTCTTCCGCAGGAAGCGTCAGTTTCTGAATGTGTCAGTTTAGCCAGCAGGAAGGTTAGGGCATATGCCTGTATAGATATATATTGGGTTTTCTTTGTGGTTTGTTTTTCCCCACCTTGTTTTGCCACTAAGCTATGGTCACGTGGCAGTACTGAGCAGGAACGGGGAAGTTAAACTGGAAAATCAGAGTTGGGGTTTACAAGCACGGGAAGGGAGTAGAAACCTAAGAAAGAGGACCTTGAGGGGAGTGGGAGAGACAAAATGGGGACGGGGAGAAGCAAAGGGCATTTGGGAGAACGCGCAGGAGTCAAGAAAGGAGATTGCAACCAGGGAAAAAGGAGGGGGGTGGAAGGAGAAGCCTGTGTTCCACATAAATTGGCAGAGAAGCACTGAGGGAAGAGTCAGGAGGGAAGGAGTTACAAGCAGAGGGCTTGAGTGAAGAGGAACCTAAGAAGACTGTAGATCAGGCACAGGCAAACTCCAGCCCTCCAGGTGTTTGGGACTACAATTCCCATCATCCCTAGCTAACAGGACCAGTGGTCAGGGATGATGGGAATTGTAGCCCTAAACATCTGGAGGGCCGGAGTTTGCCTATGCCTGCTGTAGAATATAGGAATTGCAGCCATAGGCGTCTGGTTTGCTGCATTGTCCTTACTTTCTGGCTTTCCTTTTAAGTGTATAACAGTTGTTTTTGTTTTTTTTATGTTTGTGTTTGCAAATGTGCTGAGGCCCTAGGGAGGGGCTTGTTTGAGTGGCAACGAGAGAGAGAGAGAGAGAGAGAGCGCGCGCATATTTGTTGTTGCACCCTGGAGTGTTGCCTGCTGCGTATGCCTAAAACATTTATTATTTCCGCAAGAATGATGGAATTGGTATTACACTAGCATTTCCCTTCTGATTTTATTGAGGTGTTTTGTTTTTTAACATTTTAGTATTATGGTTGGGTGGGTGTGTGTGTGTGTGTGCATAAAGCTGCCCTAAGAAACTTTTTGGGAGGGGTGGGGTGGAAGGCAGGGTAAAAATCTATAATTAAATAAATTCCGTTCTTGTGCTGTACTAGAGTTGGCGAACATGTTCCATCGGTGGAAGAGATGAATGAAAGCCGCTGGCTGTACTTCAGGTGACAAATAATAGTTCCATTGGTAATGAGCTTTACCTGACGCTTGGCTTTCTTCATCTTTCTAACCTAAGGTGTATGCACTCTCTGTCTGCTGTTGCATGTCTTGCCTCTTAATGCTGCAGGATTCCTGGATTTTCTGCAAACCTTGCTTCATGTGGGTTGAAAGAATGCAGTAGCTGTTATCTACAGTCTCTTAACCTATAAGTTAAAAGGAGTGCAAAGATTTAGAATGTAAACATGCATTCTAGGGAAGTCTTGCAATTCAGATAGAAATCGTGGCGCGTACTTTGGCTAAATTAGAACTTTCTGAATTAATACCTGAGCTTTTGCTGTGCTGTTCTTGTGAAGCACCAAGAATTTTATGCTTCATTATAGCGTATTAAAGCAAGCCAGTCTGATCTGGAAAATTGACATTTGTTTCTTAAGCACAGTGTACACAAAAGATGCCCATAATGGTTGACTACCTAGTAACTGTCCTAATAACATCCTTCCGGAACATCAATTCTAAGCAAACGCAAATATTTGCATTAAGAGATTTTTTTTGTATGAACATTATACTGGGGTGCAACCAGCTTTTGTTTTTTTACTTAAAATTGAACACAAAAGGCTATTATTATTATTATTATTACTATTATTATTACTACTATTATTATTACTACTACTACTACAATATAAAAACACAACAATACATAACATGGTACCAAACAAAAACAATACCCCCCTACAGTTTAAAAGGCCATAGGTTGTTTAATTAGCCAAGGCCAGGGAGAAGAGGAATGTTTTTGCATGGTGCCTAAAGATATGTAACAAAGGTGCCAGATGAGCCTCTGTGGGGAAAGCATTCCACGAATGGGGAGCCACCACAGACAAGGCCTGTTCTCATGTTGCTACCCTCTGGACCTCTCTTGGAGGAGGCACGTGAAGAAGGGCCTCAGATGATGACTGCAGGGTCTGGGTCAGTTCATATGAGGAGAGGCAGTCCTTGAAGGTATTGCAACCCTGAGTCATTACGCACTGAGGAGTCGGTGCATAAGATTGTACTGTAAAGGTTTTTGGAAGATCTAGTTAGGGTGGTATTTAGCTGGTATGTGATGCAATACCCACTTCCATTTTCAAAGGACAAACATAGGGAGGGAATTGTTATTTAAATTTGCGTTTAATTAAGGACTTCCAGGCACCTAAAAGTAAAAGGGTTGGTTGCAGCGTTCCCCTTCCATGAATGGAGGATCGCCTTCTTTTTGTGGAAGGTGGAGGTTCCTGCTGTAAGAACAAGATAAAGTGATTTTTACTAATCCCTGCTTTTCCTCTGCTGTTCTGAAGATTTCCTCAACCTTCCGAAGCAGATTTTTGTGAGCGGAAGGTCATCCGAAAAGGGGTTAGATAGGTTTTGCTTGGGAAGCAGTTCTAGAGTTTAGAAGCTGCCACACCAAGAAGCACCTTGATTTGGCGTCCACCAAGTACAGTGGTGCCTCGCAAGACGAAAAGAATCCGTTCCGCGAGTCTCTTCGTCTTGCGGGTTTTTTCGTCTTGCGAAGCAAGCCCATTAGAGGTTTAGCGGCTTAGCTACAGTATTAGCGGCTTAGCCGGCTTAAAGATCAGCTGATAAGCGGCTTAGCATCAGCTGTTAAGCGGCTTAAAGATCAGCTGATAAGCGGCTTAGCATCAGCTGTTAAGCGGTTTAGCGGCTTGGGAAAAAGGGGGGGGAAAGGAAAAAACCCCCGCAGGAACTCGCAAGACATTTTCGTCTTGCGAAGCAAGCACATAGGAAATTCGTTTTGCGAAGCACCTCCAAAACGGAAAACCCTTTCGTCTAGCGGGTTTTCCGTCTTGTGAGGCATTCGTCTTGCGGGGCACCACTGTATGCGTCAAGCTTTGGTGGGACAGGAAGAGGAGTTTCTCTCGAACACCTGAAAACCTGGACAGGCTGATGTGGGGAGATGACCATATTTATAACCAAGTAGACCATTCCCAAGTCTTGAAGGGCTTTGTAGTTCCTTATCAGTACTTTGAGTTATCCCCAGAAACAGACTGGTAACTGGCGAAGCTGTTGTAACAAGGTAGTTGTGTGCTTCCAAGAAATAGCAGTTGCGTAATGGAAAGGGATATGAAAGTAAGTTGAGAAGATACTTTTTCAGGCAACGAAAGAATTGTGGGAAGTGGGGGGAGGGGAATTGGAGAGGTGACCATGTGCAAAAGTGAGGGCTTCTTCCCCCTTTTCTTTTTGGAAATACAAACTGTTGTTTGAAGGGATTTTACTCTATTGGGTACACTAAGAAAAGCATCAACACGTGGAGCTTGCCATAGTGATTTTAGAAAGTGCATACCCTTGCCTCTTTCCCCCAAATGCTGTATGGGAGCAAACAGTCCTCTATGGACCAGTACTGACAGTACTTAAGAAAACGAAAGTGAAGACTACCATCTTCAGTTGGGACTTGGCAGGGGGTGAAGCTGTTCTTGCTTGACTCACTGGCAATTGCCCAGCGAAGCTCAAGAACTGCTGTGCCAAAGGGTTAACCTCTTTGTATTCTATATATAAAAAAAACTACTCTCTTTTGGTCCTGCCACTTGAGAACGTTCAGCTGGAGAAATCAAGAACTGTAACTGTCCTATTCTGTCCTTCTGGGACATGTGGTTGATTGAACATTATCCAGCAGGGGAACTGACACCTTATTTGCCCTATACTTGGATTTGCTGTGTTCTGCTTAGTCACTGATGGCTTTGTCTTTCCATGCTTTAAAAACGTGTGCTGTTTTGAAAAACAACTTCCTCGTGGTCTGCTCTCTTGTAACCTTCTGGGAACTGATCTCTTCTTGGGTTTCTAAGCAACGGGATCTTAACTCTCTGCTTCTGCCCTGCGGCTCCTTTCACCCAAAGTATCTGAACCTTCAAAACTGTCACAAACCAGCTGTTTTGGGGCTACAATTCCCATCATCCCTGACCACTTGCCCTGCTAGCTAGGGATGATGGGAGTTGTAGTCCACAAACAGCTGGAGACCCAAGTTTGGGAAACCCTGATTTTATACCAATGTCCCATTGTCTCACCGGCCAAAAAAAAGGAGGCAGATGAAGCTTAAGTACATCTTGTTGAAACTAAGCAGATCTGGGTCTACCTGGGAGATAGAAAGATATATAGATATAGATATGGTTTTATGTCAGAAGAAACATGTGATATAAATATAAGAAAATAAATATGTCGTGAACCCATCATAACATAACAGAGGAATTGTAATCTACCTATTACATCATATAAGGAAAACAAGCTGATGTGATGCTCCAAGCTACTGGACATGACAATCAGCATTCTCTCTCTCTCCAAAATAATATGCTACTGCACCTTTATAAAGTGATTCCTTGCCCAGAGTTTTTAAATCTGGCAGCAGTGTTCAACTTGCAGTAGTTGGTGTGATGGGGCTTATCCTGACAGTGGCTGCATAGAATCCTGTAGATTACAATAATCTTTCTGAAACTTCTTGTACCATAAAGTGTTCAGCCACCCTTTTACAATGGCGCCAAGCCCAGTTTAAAGGGCATTTCAAGTTCACTTAAGCACAACAGTATTCTGCATCCTCCCCTTGATGTTGTTTTGTTTTGTTCTTTGGCAGAGTTGGAGTTGATCCAGATCAAGACCCGCCACCCACTAACGACAGCTTTCAAGTCCTTCAAGGAGTGAGTAGCTACCTTTCTCCATAGGTTAATGAGATGCTGGAATCGTACTTCGACAAATCATGAGTGCTAATTGCATGCAAGAGGCCAAAGTCCATAAGGTCTCTTATTACTTTCTTTTATCACATGAAAATCAGAGCAAAAGTTGCAATTACTGGAAACCTGAGCTCATTCAAATCAGTTTCTTCTTGGTTACTAAAGGGTCATAGCAAATGCCTATATAGAAGAGATTCAAAAGTAGCAAAAAGGATGCAGAGTCTTTGGGGTTTTTCTACTGCTAGGATTTGGGACAACACTGGGGGATATTTAAGAAAATGAAACAATGCTCAGGTCAATTAGGGGCAAGCCCAGACCAAATGGGGAAGTATGGCATTCAGATTTAGGCAAATTGGACTAAAGGATTCCTCTCTGTAACAATTTTGGTGCTTTTGTCCATTCCATCATTCTATTCGTCATCACAATATTGCATTCAAAATATGCTCAGTAATCTTTTTGCTAATTTGATAGTTAAAATGCAATGCAATTTCCTCCTGGAGCACCATGATTCCAGGCCCAAGGTAGATAACAAATATCACATCTCTAGGTACAGTGGTGCCTCGCAAGACGAAATTAATTCGTTCCGCAAGTCTCTTCGTCTTGCGAGTTTTTCGTCTTGCGATGCACGGTTTCCCATAGGAATGCATTGAAAATCAATTAATGCGTTCCTAGGAAACCGCTTCAGACCAGGTCCGGGGACAGTCTGTCCCCGGACCTCTTCTGAAGGCTGGGGGGCAAGGGCTTTTCTTCCCACCCCAGCATTTTAAAAACTCCGGGACAGCGGAGGACTTCTCCGCTGTCCGGGCGATCTTAAAATGCTGGCGGGCGGCATTTTAAAATCACCCCGGGACAGCGGAGGACTTCTCCGCTGTCCGGGGCAATTTAAAAGCCCCTGGGAAGGCAGGCAGGGGGGACAAAGACTTTCGCCCCCCGCCAGCCTTCAGAAGAGGTCCTGGACCTCTTCTGAAGGCGGGCGGGGGCGAAGTCTTGCTCCCCCGCCTTCAAAAGCCCTCCGGGACAGGCAGGCAGGGGGAGCAAAGACTTTCGCCCCCGCCCGCCTTCAGAAGGTCTTCCCTCCCCCCGCCCGGCTCGGAGCACCGTCCCGAAGCCGGGCGGCGGCGGAGGTCTTCCCTCCCCCGCCCGGCCTCGGAGCACCGTCCCGAGCCGGGCGGCGGCGGCAGGTGTTCCCTCCCCCGCCCGGCTCGGAGCACCGTTCCGGCCGGGCGGCGGGGAGGTCTTCCCTCCCCGCCCGGCCTCGGGAGCACCGCTCCGAAGCCGGGCGGCGGCGGCAGGTGTTCCCTCCCCCGCCCGGCTCGGAGCACCGCTCCGAGCCGGGCGGCGGCGGCAGGTGTTCCCTCCCCGCCCGGCTCGGAGCACCGTCCGGGCCGGGCGGCGGCGGCAGGTGTTCCCTCCCCCGCCCGGCTTCGGAGGAGCCTTCCGAGCCCGGCGGCGGCGGGAGGAGGTGTCCCCGCCCCGCCGCCAGGCTTCGGAGGAGGTCCGAGGACAGTGGGGAAGACGCGCTGCGCTTCCCGCTGTCCCTGAGATTTCCCTATGGGCTGTCGTCTTGCGAAGCAAGCCCATAGGGAAATTCGTTTTGCGAAGCGCCTCCAAAACGGAAAACCCTTTCGTCTAGCGGGTTTTCCGTCTTGCGAGGCGTTCGTCTTGCGGGGTACCACTGTACATATGTTACAATGCAGGTTGGCATATAACATGTGATCGGGGACATGTGTAGGCTTGGTAACATAGCATGAAGGGGAGCATAAGGGACAGAGCTAATGCCCAGTAGAGAAACGTCCTATATCTGTTCCTCCTTTGCGTAGGTCCATATGGCCCATGGTCACCATCTCTTCCATTTTCCATGCCAAACAAAAGTGAAGACTACCATCTTCACTTGGGGGCGAAGGTGTTCTTGCTTGACTCACTGGCAATTGCTCAGTGAAGCTCAAGTACTGCTGTGCCAAAGGGTTCACCTCTTTGTATTTCTATATATAAAACTGGTTGTCTTCTTGACAGGAGGGTCCAGATGCCGAAAGAAGGAACCGGACAAAACAGGAAAGTGTTTGGATCTTCAGGCTGTGGTACAGCTTTGACCACAAGTATCCTTTTCGAGCTGTTAGAAAGCGCTTCAAACAAGAGGTAGCCACTGGCTCTTTATAGCTGGTCTCTAGGATGAGAGTGGGCAGCTAGGATGAGAGTGCTCCAGCGGGAGCAATGGGCAAATAGCTCAGTTGGTTAGAGTGTGGCGCTGAGTTGGGACTAGATGACCCACAGGGTCCCTTCCAACGCAATGATTCCATGAAATGAAGGCACCATTTAACTCACAAATGGCCTAACCAGCAATAGGAAACTCCAAGAAATGGAGGGAGGAGGGAAGTTGCCAGAGCCCAGCATCAATAAAAAGATTACTTCCCAGAAGGCCGGTCAGCCAGGAAGAATTTGGGTAACCAGAAGAGCCAGGTGGCTTTCCTGATCCCAACCTTTTTACCCTTTACCTCTCTCCCTAACCTTCCCCAGTCACACAATCATCTTCACATGCGGAACGAAATCTGGAAATAGCCTTCCTCTGATGGCTTCATGAAGCCAGTGTCGCAACACAGAGCATGACACATCGTCTCGTTCTTCAGGGCATATGAAGAGTGAGGTTAATGCTAGCCAATGCCAGAAACAGACTAGCGTTGCACAACACAGCGTCCTGATCTGCGTGTTGCAACAGTGGCGAGGAAAAGCTGTTGCCCAGGTGCCATGTCCAGCATTTTCTGCCTCTAAGCCCCCTGATCAGGCAGCTTTGAAATAATGGCATGCGACACGGGGACAAATAGAAGAAGATACCTTCACCCCGGTATGGCTTCCCTTTATCACATACACAGCCCAACAAGACAATGACAAGAATCCACCAACAGCATACGAATCAATATGGCTAACCTAATTCAAAAACACCCACCCACCCCACTCACACACAAAAACAAAGTCTACCACAGCCAATCACAAACAAGCAACCACACCCATGGCCAACGCCAATGTCTCTCACCACCAAAGGAACACAAGTGAATAGCAAAGAGAACCCACACAAATGACACTGACACAAAACCCCACACATACATTAAGCAGATTAGAAACATCGCCTCCCCACCCCACCCCCACTCACATGCCCCCCTCCACCTCTCCCCCCCCTTTTCTTCCTAATGTAACCCTAATATCTCAACAAATGAAACTGACCTATGGAAAATGTAACTTGAAAAAAGAGACATTGCACATACCTTTGTAAACCAAGAAAACTTTAATTAAAAAAAACTTGTTTACAAAAGCAATTAAAAAAAAGAATATAGCCGTGATGAATCGGGGTAGAAGTATTTTTTTTAAAATCGTTTTTACTAAGGCGTGTTTCTTTTCCTTAACAATGCATTAAAAGTTACCTCAAGCCCATTCTCACACACAGTGGCCCTCCGCTCGTTACGACTCTTCCAAGTTGGTGCGGCTTGATAGCGCGTTGCTTAACGACTCCCCAGGTTTATGAGGTCAGTGTGTTTTCCCCATTTGGTTAACAAAAGTGTTTTCTTTAGCTAGAGTAAAAAAAACTTGGGCGCACACTGCAGGGCTCTGAAATGCAATAGAAGCAACACATATTCTGATACATTCCAATAAATGCTATATGAGATGTTGCTTTTGGTATATTTATGACTGAAGGAACACCTGAGTGCAGTAGGTTTTTAGAGGATATCAGAACATGGATTTCCATTCTTTTGGGTAGATATGGAAATCATTCAGAATGCTGACGTCATAAGACTGGCTGGATGAAGAGGAGTGGTGGGAGGCAGCCCCAAGGGAGGAAGGCTCAGACCTAGGGGACTGGTGGTGGGACAAATGGTCAGAGGGAGAAGGAGCAGACAGGAAGGTGGGGAAGTAACGGGAACAGGAGAGGCGACAGGGTTTAGTGAGCGGGAAGAGGCTGGAGAGGAGGGGGGTCAAGAGGCTGTGGAAGAGAACAGGGAGTCTCCCCCTCCTGTAGCAACCAGCTCCCCACTCCCCCAGAACATGGAGAGAAATGATGAGGGCAGAGGAATGAGAGGAAGAAGGCAAAGCCTTAGGCTCCTGGGGAAGGAGTGTTAGAAAGCCTTTGGTCCTTACAACTGCTTCATTGGGGCAAGATCTCCTGGAAAGTGTTTCTGAGACGTGAGCTGTGATTTGCTCCCTTGAATAAAGAGTCAACTGCACAGGCCTCAGTTGCTTTATTGTTTTATTGCTGACCTGTACCTGACTCCAGCCCTGACAGTTGGGTCCTCTGTGGCACCACCTTATTAAGAATGGACCATTTTCAGCAGATGCTCTGTGCTATTTGCACAGTGACACGAGAGAAACTTTGGAATAAGCGACTCTGTTAACTCTTTAGGAGTTCCGCAACATCCCTGTGTTGGAGGTCTTGCTGTTTTTAAGGTCCTCAATTGGATTTGAGAGACAATCGGTATAAATATTTGCGATTGGGATTCAGTCATGTAGCATACCCATGGCTATGTGTTTGGCTTTTAAAAAGAGACTTAACTGGTGAGCTGTTCTAGGCGAGGTTCAAAGTTTGCTGAGAACTCAAGAGTTGGGGAAGGAGACTACTTGCTCTGTGAAGGGCAAGTGAGGCAGATTCTTCCCCTCCCACCCGTCCTCTGGTATGTTTCGGTGGGTGGGAGGCAGCCGGGATTTGAAGGCACTTGAAAGCGATGAGAATCTTTCTTGCTGCCTTGGAAAGCCTTCAAGGCATGGCGAACTCCTTTGTAACTGTGCTTTTGAAAGCTTTCCCAAGCAGCAAGGTGGATTCTGATCACCTGCAGATCTGAATGCAAAGCGAGAGGCTTGGGGGAGAGGAGGAGATAGCAGCCAAAAATTGCTGGCTACCAAGGCCAGCCAAAATCTGTGGTCTCGTGCTGAGGTTTGTTTGTGTACATGCACAAAACTAACAGGAAGCTGGGGGAAACTCTGCAAGAGCTTTAAATTGCACAGGTAGTATTTAGCTTGGACTGCGTTCCACAGACTGGGAACTGAGTTGCATGAGTCGATTTCATTAGTCCCGAAAATGGCACAGGTTTCAATCCTTCGTTAGCTGCGGGGTTCCTGTAATATTGACTTGCACTGCAGCCCCTGCTTTTCTTCTTTAATGAGGAAGATTAAGTACTTAAAAAATTACATTGAAGTGTCAGTTCTGCTAAAACACTTCTCTTTCACTGAGGGCTTACCCTGAGGAGTTAACATATGAAAATATAAAGGAAAATGTCCATGTGGCTACTGTAGCATACCCAGTTTCAGGAATGCCTCCATCCTGGGGGTGGGTGGGTATATTTAAATATATATTTAACAGGATGAGTAAAAGTTGAACCCAAACACATTCTTGCAGATAGCATATCTTAAACTCACTTGAGAAGTAAGGAATTGAGAGGCCGTTTTAGGGTTATTTTTGGAAGATTTTCAAGTCCCCAGGGATCCATGTTTTGGCCTCTTTCAAAAGAATGTTTCAGATTACTTGAGCTCCATCTGAAGTATTCGCTTGTCCCTTCCGCCTCAAGACAGCATAATCCTGAGCAACGCTGTCAGTTATGGTGTATTGGTGATAGCTGGGGGGGTGTTTTTTGTAAGTGGTATTTGTGTCCCACTTGGCTGCAGTTTTATAGCTTGCTCTAGGATAAACCAAACTTAGCAAAGGGAATGTTTGGTGAAGAACATGGGATGAGGTAAAGTCCTGTTTATTGCAAAGTACTCCTGGTGGGGAGGAACCATGTGTTCATAGAGTTTTGGAGTTGGAAAGGGACCCTGAGGATCATCTAGTCTAGTCCAGGAAAATGCAACTGCCCCATCAGCAGAAGGACTAGGACTTCTCTTTGTGCAGCGGCACTTCCTCCCCCCCTCTCCTCCCCCCCCAAAAATAATTGGCTCTTGGGGGCAGTCAGAAGAACCCCTGGCAACAGCATTCAGGGGGAGGAATGTTTTATCTGGCAAGCCAAAATGTGTGAAAGTCTCCCCAAATCTCTCTTCGGGAAAGGAAATAATTGTTAAGGAAACTACTTATCTCCTAACTTGCCTCCTTTTTTCACCTGGAACTGCATTGGCGCCGCTAGTCTGCAAGCTACCTTTGCAAATGGTTCCCCCTTCCCTTTGCTCCATACACCATTAGATCCCTTTCATCTCACTATCAGAAACTCCAGCGTGGGCACTAGAAACAATTTCATTTAAACTGGATAGAATGGAAAAGCCCTGAGGTGTGGAAGGAGGCTGGAGCTGCCGACGTGTTTGTCACTGTTGACAAAGAGCTCTGGCTTCAGCTGCTTTTAAACTGGGCTTTGCTAGCTATTAAGAGCATGGTGTTGATAACGCCAAGGCTGCAGGTTTGATCCCTGTATGGGATAGCTGCGTATTCCTGCATTATAGGGGGTTGGACTAGATGATCCTTAGGGTCCCTTCCAACTCTACAATTCAGCAAAGCTGGATGTACTCTGCATTATCAGATTGTTGATAAGTTGTCAGACTCTGCATACCAGTGGCAGGCATGAGAGTAAAGGATAAATGGGCAGTCTATAGCTTTCTGGCTGACACATGTGACCCCTCTCCCCCCAATATCTTTGCATTAAAACCGCTTCTTTCTAGAGCTATTGAATGTGAAGATACTTCTAAAAGAATGCAGCTGATTGCTTATAACTGGTGTGTTAGTTGTGCTCAAGATTTCAGTCACAATCTTGTTTGTCTTAAATCCGCAGCATTTTTGGTTTTGCTTTTTAGTAACTTGCACCAACTTACACTGGGAAATCTGTGTGGTTTTTCTTCTGCAGAACCAAGAGCAGCTTAGAGATGAAGACTCTGACTTTATCCTTAATGATAGCGACCTGACGCTGACGTACGGGGACACGACAATAACTGCTAACGGGTCCTCGGGTTCACATGCTGCTGTTACCAGCCTTGATGGCAGGAAGACAAAAAGCAGCTCAGAGGAGGCCCTGGAACGTGATCTGGGAACAGAAGCGCCTGAGGTGATGAGCAGAGGCACCCGGCTAGTGTTTCCACTGGATGCATGATGACTGGCTTGGTAAAAATGCAGCAATAGACCCCCAACACCCAAAGATCAAAGATGCCTGCAGGCCTCGGAGCTGGCAGAGAGGCTTATCAAACTGAATTCATGCCTGTTGTCCAAGTGGTTTTATTAAGGTCTGAAGATGCCCTTGCCCCCCCCCCCATCTCTTCTCTTTAATTTCTTTCAAGATGCTGGCAAATGTCTAGAAGATACCTGACAAGTGAAAAAGTGGTCAGGTTATTGTTAAAAAGAATACTTGAAATGAAAAGTAGCACGTTTTAAGAGCCTTGTTCTACTGAGCCACACCTCGTGAGATGAGGCAATTAATGGTAATGGTGGTTTAAACTAATTGAGAACCACTAAAAGCTTTTCAGCCTGGAAAGCGCAGGAGATGTTGAGGTCGGTCATCACTGAGAGAGGGTGCAATGTTTGACTTATACTTGAAGAAATGTAGGTGCAAAGGTGTATGTTTTATGTTGTGACCACACCCACAAATGTTGTTTTATTTCCTGAGACTTGTTGAAAAACAAAGCTCCGTGACATTTCAAGGGATATTTAAAAAGAAAGAAAAAAATTATAATCGTCCTTGCAAGTAAAGTTTGCTATTAAATTATTCTGTGTCTAAAAGGGGAAAGAAGCAGTCTGTGCGTTTCTCTTAATCTCTTATTGAGAATTTCTGTTAAGAGTCCTCTGGCTGTATCACAAGCAAAAAGTCCAATCTGTTCGCCACCTAATTTTTAAAATTTAACTCTTAGTTCTATAAACTCCTAGACTTTACTTGGAGGAAAGCATCAGTCAACCAGTGGTGACATTCCTCTAACTATGAAGACAGTGTTGAATGAATGCAATGCAGCTTATACATTAAGAAGTATTGATGGAATCTGTTTTGGGTTCCTGTCCTCCCGGGCCCATCAACCCCAAACATTATGGCCAGTGGTCAGGGGCGATAGGTGTTGCAAGCTCACAGATGCTCCATCCTTGCTGTATGGTGTCTGGATTTAAGCTACGATTCTCTTAACCAAGGAGGATGAATGAGCCTGCCATAAGTGAAAGCTCTTCATGTGATGCTTGCATCAGAACAAAAAGTGTTTCTCTTTCTCTGTTAGAAGTCCATTCGTTCGTGTGTGTGTGTGTGTGTGTGTGTGTTAGTGGCATATTGCACTATGAACCTGATCTATTAAAAACAGTGCAGTGCCTTTTCTGTAAAAAAGAAAAGAAATCATGTTGTAATCTGAAAAGGGAAGACTTTGCTTAAGGCACAGAGATGCTCGTTTGCAAATAGAACACAGGCAGTCCTAATTGTGAATGAGTGGCACCCATGACACAATTAGGTGGTTCCTTGCTGCTTCCCTCAAAAGAAGCTTTGCTGATAAAAACAGGTTTTAAAAAAATAATAATGTAATGTTTTGACTCTTAATGGGTAGGCTGTTTTGTTTTTTAACTGACTACCCTGGTAATTGAAACATAAGAAAAATGCTTAGGAAAATTAAAAAAAAAAAAATTCGTTCTTTTCTTCTTACCATGAGGACAATTTTTTACTTGCTGTTTTCTTTTAGTCTGCTTGTGAAGCAGAAATGAAATTTGAACCCAGTCTATGTAATAAAAAGTCTGTAACTCTTCTGCTTCTCTGTTGTGATTATGCACACACGTTTGCAGATAAGAAGGTTGATCGTCATGGTGTTTTTAAAGAAAGCTATTCCGTTTCTATCAATGGCACTACCTGTTCATACAAGAAATCTGGACTACAGTACATTCAGGCTTTCATTTACACCCTGTGAACTAGTGTAGCCTGGTGGGATGCATGTTTACTCAAGACAAGTTTTGCTGACTTCAGTGGGGCTCAGATCCAAGTCAGTGCATAAAAAACCCCTTTAAAACCAGACGTCATTTATCCCTTCTGTGATGGCATGTGTCTCTCATCCTTAGAAGGATGTGGTCCTTCCCAAACACTCTTTAAAAAATGATCCAATAATAACACAGTGCTTTTCTCAAAGCAGGTCCATGAGCCACAAGCTGAAGCAACAGATGTTCCTACAGAACAAGGGGGAAAGGGTTGGGGTTTTTTTAATAGCATTATTGCGTAAATAGCACTACTTTGCCCTTAAAACTAGCCTTTCCTTAGTTTCCGTATCTCAAGTTACTTAACGCTTCAATCCTAAACGCAATTAGCTGGTAGCAAGTCTCATTGGTTACGTCTGAGTAGACATGCCTAGGATTTCACTGTAAGTTTAAGTAAGATAAAGTTGCCCAAGAAATGCATTTAAGTGCAGTTACTCTTTTAAGAGCTGATATTTGAGGCTGCTATACCCCTTTTAGTGCATAGTCTGGCCATCATCGCACATGGAGAAAAAGGTGTGAGAACTTGGTGATGGGTCTTCAGCAATTACTGTGTTTGTGGCAGCAGCCCTCTTCCCAGCTGTGAACAGCTGCAGCAACTGCTGTACACTTTAACCACAATCCTATGTGGAACTCATGTGTCATGGAAATCAGTGCCCACCTAAACGTGTGCTGATTTTAAGATGAGTTAATACCTTTCATTTGAAAAAGCAGCTTTGGTTTTGTTTGTTTTTTAACAGTAGAGGTGTGAAACCTGAAGGCCTCCAGTTCATTTTATGTAGCCCCCAGTGCTTCTGAAGCTGCGGATTTTAAGTGCATGTTTTCTCTTTCCCTGTAGCTTCAGCTGTTTGATAAAAAATAAATTGAATGGTTTTGCAAAACTGGAAGTAGGTTTCTGTCATATATGCATGTGCATAGCCAGTAAAGTATTCAATTTTCTTTCAAAAATGGCATCTATATTGGTCTGTTGTACAGTGGTACCTCGGGTTAAGAAGTTAATCTGTTCTGGAGGTCCGCTCTTAACCCGAAACTGTTAAACAGGTTAATAACGGACCTCCAGAACAAATTAAATATGTAACCAGAGGTACCACTGTACCTATTTATCTACTTGCACTTCGTGCTTTCAAACTGCTAGATGGGCAGGAGCTGGGACCAAGCAATGGGAGCCTACCCCATCGCGGGGATTCGAACCGCCAACCTTCTGATCGGCAAGCCCTAGGCTCTGTGGTTTAACCCACAGTGCCACCCGTGTCCCTATGTGCTGTAGCAAGCCTTAAAACCCACTATCTCATGTACTTTAGGTTTGGCATGTGCTTACAAGAAAGTTAGCAGCCACAATTTAAGAAGGATGTTGACAAACTAGAACGTGTGCAGAGGAGGGCGACCAAAATGATCAAGGGTCTGGAAACCAGGCCTTATGAGGAAAGATTGAAGAAGCTGCGTTATGTTCAGCCTGGAAAAGAGGAGACTGAGATGAGATTATGATAGCCATCTTCAAATATCTCAAGGGCTGGCCATCTTCAAATATCTCAAGGGCTGTCACATGGAAGGAGGGAGCCAGCTTGTTTTCTCCTGCTCTGGAGGGTAAGCTTCAAGTTACAAGAAAGGAGATTCCGACTAAACATCAGTAAAAACTTTCTGACAGTAAGAACTGATAGACAGTGGAACTGTCTCCCTTGCGGGGTGGTGGACTCTCCTTCCTTTGAGGTTTTTAAGCAGAGGTTGGATGGCCATCTGTCGTGGATACTTTAGCTGAGATTCCTGCACTGCAAGGGTTTGGACTAAATGACCTTCGGGGGGGGGGGTCCCTTCCAACTCTGATTCTATGAGTTTTAAAGTAGTTTTGCTCCTCTCTCTCCCCCGTATACACTCTTGTGTTCTTTATGCTAAGATGCACGTTCACCGAAAGCCAGGAATTGAACCAATTATCTCTTGTAAACATTTTTATGACTATAGCAGCAAAACGCCTCCACAGACAGAAAGCAGTCATGTCTTACAAGGCTAGCGGCAAGAAGTGTCGTATTTGACGGCGAGAGCCCTGTACAAGCCCTTTATTCGTGCTTATTCTATTTCAGTGTACATTTTGTGCCACATAACATTGCTTTCAAACAAGACAAGGGTCTTAATACAAGTTGAGTTTCCCTGCATGTGATAGTGCAAGTCTGAAACGCGCAGTTCCTCTTTTAAGGTAATCCAGAGATCAAGTGGTTCAAGAATTCACAAAAATGGACCCTTTAAACTACACTGTGCTATTTACCTACAGAAATATGGGCAGAGCAATCCAAAGGGGTTGAGGGTGGAAGAATGAAAAGGCAGAGGAACCATCAAATTCAGAGTCCTATCATGCTTGTCCTGGCAAGGCAGAAGATGGTGGTGGTCTGTGTTTTTCTTTCCTTTTTTTGGTTTTTCTTTGGCTTATTTTTTTATGATTGTCTTTCTAATTGGTTGCAGTGGGGAGAAAACAAGTAAGCCAGTTCCAAAGCTAGTTTACTTACTGCATTGCATGTAAATACAGTCGTACCTCGGATCCCGAACGCACTGGAACTCGGATGTTTTGGCTCCCAAGCGCGGCAAACCCAGAAGTGATTATTCTGGTTTGCAAACGTTCTTGTGGAACCTGAACGTCTGATGGGGCTTCGTGGCTTCTGATTGGCTGCAGGAGATTCCAAGGTACGGCTGTAGTCACAAAGCTGCTCTGTTAATGTGCAGTTTGACTTTTGCAAAGTGTCTTTTTAATCATCTATCAGGTGTTCAAGGGGGAGGGGGGACAACAACAACACTTGGCCTGCTTTTTTTCAGATTTGAATGGTTTCCCGCAAACTCGATTTCTCCCCATCCAGCCAAGCCTTGCCCGTAATGTGCTCTATGTAGAAAGCCCCATATACGAACCCTTTTTTCGTATATTTGAACGTGAAAGAAGAGTTCCCATGCAATTTGTTCATCGGTGAGATAGTGCAGTGAGAGGTTCGTTTGCATTTTTAGAAGCCGTAAGCGCCTTGGGAAAGTTATTGTGTTGCTACTGGCTTATTTAGCAGCACTGCCTATAAGGGCCAAACTGGACGCACTAATCAAAGTGCAGCTACTGCCCCAAATAACAACCTTGCGTCAAGTTCCCCTTCCGATACCCTGTACCGTGTATTAATGGAAATGCATATGTTGTGGCATGCGGTGTTAGTTCCCCTCCCCACCCTCTAGTAGCTACTGATGCAGCATGGGAGGGTGAAGAAATGCATGCAATGTTACATAAAAAGGTAAAGGGACCCCTGACCATTAGGTCCAGTTGTGACCGACTCTGGTGTTGCGGCGCTCATCTCGCTTTATTGGCCGAGGGAGCCGGCGTACAGCTTCTGGGTCATGTGGCCAGCATGACCGTGCCACTTCTGGCGAACCAGAGCAGCGCACGGAAACGCCGTTTACCTTCCCGCCAGAGCGGTACCTATTGATCTACTTGCACTTCGACATGCTTTCGAACTGCTAGGTTGGCAGGAGCAGGCACTGAGCAATGGGAGCTCACCCCATCGCGGGGAGTCGAACCGCCGACCTTCTGATCGGCAAGTCCTAGGCTCTGTGGTTTAACCCACAGCACCACCCACGTCCCTGCAATGTTACATACGCTAGCAGAAAATCACAAAGTATTTGCACTGTTTCCCTCCCTTAGTGCCAGGCAGCTCTGGGTTCTCCCCATCCAATTTCCACCCCTCCAAACAACTCTGTGAGGTAGATTACCCAGCAAGTTGTACTGATGAACAGGGATTTTGTCTTATATGGAGTCTGCCCTCTGCCCCATCTAGTTCAGTATTGTCTACACTGAGTGGCAGCTGCTCTCCAGGGTTTGTCTGTCTTGGACTGAATGTGGGACTTTCTGCGTGCAAAGCAGATGCTCTTCCAACTTGGCCATGACCCTTCCTCAAACTTGGCTTCCAATGGTCCTAAGGCTGATGCAACACCACACGGCCACAGTTACAGCTGAGTGGAAGGGAAACTCCACATGGTGTTGTAGCCTTAGGTTCTTCATTGCCTCCCAGTTTCCTTCCTTCCTCCACTGTCCTCCTAACTCTAGCAGAGAGAATTAAATGCCATGTTCTTACATGAATGTTTATCTGTCTTTATATGTTTTACTCCTATTCAGACAAGGCTTTACTGGTGAGGGCCACATGAACTATCCCACATTGGTTTTAAGTCAGAAGCTAATGTGCACTGAAAGCACATTCAAAACTCATTATAATGTAAGACGGAACTAAACTAGGTTGTTGTAATATGTGGCATGTGCTCTAAATGAGGCGCTCCCAGTTGGAGAACAAGCACCACTTGAGCCGATCTGTCAAATAGATTAAGATTCCCCGTGTATGGGTTTGAAATACGGGTTTGCTTAATATCTGTTGCACCCTTACATGGTACAAGTCTATGGCTGCAATCATAAACACACTTACTTTGAAGTAAGCTCTGTTAAACAAAGTGGTGCTTTCCATAAAGAACAGCTGCAGCTGTAAATATGCAGGACTCACAGCTAAAGCTATCCTTCCAGCCCAAATCCTAATTCATTTTGTCCTGTGCCTCCACATTGTGCAAGATTCCTGCATTGCAGGGGGTTGGAGTAGTGTGGTCTCTTCCAGCTCTACAATTCTGTTCTTCTTCTGCTCTGTTAAAAGGTTGCTAGTTACCACTATTTTTAAACAGTGTTGTGAATAAAGTGAAAAGGCTAGTCATGAGGTTGTGAGGCTCAGATGCCATATATCTACTGCGGCCTGGTCCTGACTTTAAATCTGTTTTGCACAAGTTGGCTCAAAACACTTCTACAATGAAGCTGGGGAAAGTGAGAAAAGATGCCATCTTCTACACCTCCATATTAAAAACTACTTTTTGCACCTTACAACCCCAAACCAAGGTCCTTGGCGAGAACGGAGCAGGCAGAGAGGCAAAGTTAGTATACTGCAAACTAATCTTCTGAAGAAAGCTGTTCTTAATATTCTGAGCAGCATACCTGTGTTTGCACAAATCAAGCACTAAATATATGCTTCAAACAAAAAGGTCTCTCAATATTGGATTAGAATGTTGGCCCTCTAACTTGAAAGTCTATTTATAAAGTTCACTTATGGGTCAGTTCAAACACAATCTACACCTCTCATCTCCAATTACTTGTAGCAATGGCATTCTTTCATAGGCACGCAGCCTAGTAACAATCACCACAATGCTTCAGTTCCTACCACCCAAAGTTCCTCTAATGTTTCTTAAAGTTAAAAATAAGTATGTCGGGAAATATTGTGTGTTTTGGCAGTTTGATCACAGCCTAATATTTTGTTCTCAAAATAAATTAAGTTCCTGTATCTTATATATAGCCTGAATGAAACAATGCATGTGTGTAGTTTTTTTCAGATCACTGGCAATCTTCACTTCCTGGGTGACCAGCCCCATTTTTAATGTTAAACCTTTTTAACAAAATGAGACAGTCAAATAAAAAGAGCACGAGAGTCAGAAAAAAGGAGTGGTAGATACATTGGCCTCCACATCTGAATAGGTCGAAAGCTACTACCTTATTTCAACAGTCTACCATATACCGGTACCTTCTCTAGGCAGGACTCTTGAGTGTCAACCTCAGTCTAGAACAGGGTTTCCCAAACGTGGGTCTTCAGTTGTTGTTGGACTACAATTCCCATCATCTCTGACCACTGGTCCTGCGAGCTAGGGATGATGGGAGCTGTAGCCCAACAACAACTGAAGACCCAAGTTGGTCTATATACTTGATTGGATTTAGGCTTACTCATCATGCTTGAAGTAGATCTAATGAAAGGTCTAAGTTGGTCACTCATGACAAACTTGTTACACTGATTTCAGAGGTTTGCTCTAATCATGAATAAACCTGGATCCAACCCACTGAGCTAAAGTTTTCCCTCTATGAAATGATCAGGACACTTAGGATTCTAAAAACAGTACCAGAGACCCTAAGCAAAACACCACTCGTTTGTATTTTAACTTCACGTAAACAGTAGTCCCAAGTACTGACAGTTTTTTTAAAAAGTAGTCTCTTGGAGGAAACAGTAGCACTTACGATCGGCAACACACAGGGAGACGGAAGAAAGAAGTTGAGGCGCTCCACAAATGGAGGGCTACAGTTATTCATATTGCACCATGTAACCTTCCGTATGGAGGTCCTCATCACAATAACGTCCATTTCGTTAAAGCTAGCCAGTATTCACTCTGCCAGGCAGAACCTACAGTAGAAGCTGCATTTCACTGAAGTTTCCAGTGTCCGTGGCATACACAGCTGCTCTTCCATGTCCTCTGTCACAGGGCAACCGCTGGCCAGTTAGCCTGAGGAGTTGAGAAAAAACAACAACCCCAATACTTGCGTTAGAAGATAACTTCAGCAACAAAGTGCATAAATTTTAAATAAACCGGTGCAAGCACATACCTACTCAATTCCTTACATTCTCCCGAGCCTAACCTGTATTATATGCAACAGGCAAATGGGTTTTCCATCTTTAACTAATGCCTACCAGGGCTAAATAACATCAGCAAAACTATTTTTGTTTTTTTTTTATTGGTTTAAGGCAAGAATATAGCAGCAGACAACAATATAGGCAGAGTTACTACAATTTAGTAAGTTCTACTTAGAGCAGAACCAGTGAAATTAATGGACCTAAGTTGGTCATGGTAATTAATTTCAATGTGTGTACGCTGTACACTAGCAAAGACTTAATCTACTTGTCAGTCCTTATATAGTTGCAGTCAGCTAAGAATCACTTATGAGGTGCTATTGCTTGTCAGGTATTGTCTCCAGAAGAGGGGTGGAAAACCTTGCCTCCACCCCTCACAATTCCCTTGTGTGATGGTGGGGTTGTTCATGGGTTGCATACCAGTGGCGGATGGGGCCAAACACCCACACACCTTGGCATCCCCCTTGCTCTGCACTTAAGAAAAGGCAGAAGCTGGCCATACAAGGGGAAAAAATCTCTCCCTGTATCTCCCAACTCCATTTGTGTCCTCACTGTGGGGTGGGAGGCATCGGGAGGTTATTTCTCGGTGCACAGAGAAGAAATGCAGTGGTAGTAGTTTGAAGGCATGGCGGAAGAGATTGTTAGGAAACAGGAAGCGGGGTAGCTTAGGAAGAGTGATGGGGTGAGATTAAGAGGCCTGGTGGGCAGACTCAAAGCTCCCTACTGCTGCTTTAGTACAAGACTGGGTTTAGGTGAAATCACTCCCCAAAGCAGACAGCTATGATCAGATTATCAATAGAGTGGTACCTCGGGTTAAGAACTTAATTCGTTCTCGAGGTCCATTCTTAACCTGAAACTGTTCTTAACCTGAGGTACCACTTTAGCTAATGAGGCCTCCTGCTGCCGCCGCAAGATTTCTGTTCTCATCCTGAGGTAAAGTTCTTAACCCGAGGTACTATTTCTGCGTTAGCGGAGTCTGTAACCTGAAGCGTCTGTAACCGGAGGTACCACTGTATAACTTATCAAACAGTAATGCTCAACAAGAGAAACTATTATTTCCAATAATGATTTTTTCCCCCACCCTAGGTTTTGCCAGCTATTATCTTTTTTATTCTCATAAACTGTTTAGAATAAAGTTGTTTGCATTCTCGTTGCAATATTAAAGGGCCCTGGGAAGGCTTGGATTAAAATTAACGGTAGGTCTGGGTGCCAAGCAGTTTGCCTGTGTGAAATCATACATATTTTCATGACCTCATGCTCACCTATTTCCCACCACAACCACCGAGTTAAACAGAGCCTGAACAAACTTATCTTTTTTATCTGAGAAACCAGCATCAAGGCTAGTTCAGATAATGTAACACTTTTCTTAGACTTACGTTTCATGAAAGATGATACTGCGAAAATAAGAACTGAGGAAGATTGGATTAAGCTGAGCAAACCCCAAAGACTTAAATATTTATTTTTATCAAAGGTGTTTGATCCATAGGGAAGAAGGGAACGTCTTAGTTTGGTAAGGTTATTTCAAATGGAAACCATATTGGACAAAACACAGCTGATTCTTGTTTATGGTTACTGAGGCACAATGGACTTCTTTAAATGCGTTGCTACAGGTAAACCCTCCTCATTTTCTTTCCCCCCAGGTCATATACTATATTAAAGAGAGAAAGCTTTTAAAAATTCATGTTATGGCAGTCCATTTGGCTACTTTTCCACATTAATTTTGCACACTGTGCAGCTAGCTCTGGCAGCTTCCAGTAAGGAGTGGGTTTATCTAAGTTCTCCAAAAGCAGCAGAATCAGCAAGAATGCAGAAAAAGTTTCCATAACGTTTCTTGTTGAGCTGCTGGGCCAGCCCTACCCTTAGGCAGTGTGAGAAACAGAGGAAGCTGCTTTATACTGAATCAGACCACCTAGCATTGCCTGCACTGTCTGTCAGAAGCTCTCCAGGGCTTCAGGTTGGGAATGTCTCCCAGCCCTACCTGAAAATACCAGGCATTGAACCTGGGGCCTGCCAGGCAGATGTTCTGGAACTGAGGTATGACCCTTTTGCTCTATCTCAGGCAGTCGATGCTAGAGGGCAATGGCCAGCAGCCTCCTTGGCCATTCCTTTCCAATGGAGGTCAGAGCCACACAGCCTGTCTAGTTTTAAAGATACAACATAAGCAGCAGCAGCAGCCAGGACCTTTGGGACTGCCCATCAATGGTTAGCATCTTGACATCAGACTGAGCAGGGACATGTGTCGTCTGTCACAGTCTTCTCCACTGCAGTGAAATGCACTGAATTCCTGTTTGCAATATGGAAATAATTTCCAAATTTGCATTTCTGCCTATATATATCAACATATGCAAATTCATGCAAAGCTATATCATCTTTTGTCCTCTATGTTTGGTGATGTGTAACCCGTGATCTTAAAGGGAGGATGTAAATAAATTTAAAAGCCAAGCACTGTGGGACAAATGCAGCCTCTGTGCTCTTGCTGAAGAGGGATGATAAAGCCTATATTGCACACACACCCCGTGGAAATTAACCAGCTTAGATATCTGCTTGGTATGAAATTCTTATTGGCGGAAGATAGCCCTCTGCTCATACATGTAAATTCTGTATTTTTATTCAGTGCACAGAAGTCAAAGGGTTGGACAATTTATTTTCAGCTAGGAAACAGATGAAATGTATGCTCAGCCTCGCTCAGCCTTGCTGGGGGACTGGGTGAATATAGGTCACCGTCAGAGCTTAACACTTCAGTGGTTTCCTGGCGCTAAATACCTTGCTAGACACTCTCAACAGTATGAGATTAATCAGGCTGACCTGTTGTGAAACCAGGGGCACAAGACACAGCTTGAAATTTCTTTCAGACACACCAAACCAGCCAAGGAACTATCCAAAGCATACATACAATTATATGATAGGAGGAAATGTAAACAATAATGTTTGAGCACTCTGGCAATATAAGTAAGGATTTTAAGTTTTGGTTTTTTTCTTCTTGGATATCAAGGTGGATATCGTTTTACAGTTTTTTGCTCCTGTGGCACTGATTCCCATCTCCTTAAACACACACACACCCTTTTCACTATCACCTGCTCTCAGTCTTTATCCAGAAGCTGATTGTATGAAAAACCAGAATTTAAACCACCATGCATTTAAGTAAATCTGATTTATTCATTTTATTTTGCTCATCATATGTTGGGTGATATGAGAGCCTAACCGCACAATCATAAAAGCCTACATTTAAGTCAGGTGGGGCTTACTTTCAGGTAAATGAGTACAGGGTTGCAGTTTTAAGTTTTACAATCCTAATTCCACCTACCTACCAGCAAGCCCTATTGAATTCAATAGGAATTCCTGAGTAGGCATAGTTAGGATTGTGCTGTAAGGCATTTTGCACTCTGTGCTTAAGCTAATTCCACAATAATCAAGTGGCTAAAAATTTGTGTTGCGGGGCTCGAGGGCATTAATCCACTTCAATGGTTTGCAATAAGGAAAGCACTTTCTTCCCATTAGCTTTCCTTTCCACAAAGCCAATGCAGAGCCCCTAATGAACACATCTGCCTAGCAAATTCTAAAGTGGGACAATTAAAAATTGAAAGCAGAGATAGAGAGCCTGCCATGCTTCCTGACTGTTGCACTGTGAACAAGCAGACTCTTAGTTATTTAGACTCCACCTTTCCCCCCTCAGAGTTCAAGATGGGTATTCCCACCCCCTCCTTTCCGCACAATCCTGAGAGGCAATGACTGGCTGAGCGGAGATTTGAACCCTGATCTCCCAGGTCCTAGCCTGACCACCCAACCCAACTCTGCTCTCTTAAGTCTTTCTCGGCTAAGCTGCTAAGTAAAAGGGAAGCTCTAGGAATGCTCTTTGCCTCTTTACTTACGCTGTTTAACATTAGTAAATTTGTGTGCAAGGTGGTTAAGATTTTGCTCTTATTAGATGCAAGCCACCAGCAGTTTAATTATTTTTCCCTCTGTGTGTATGTTTGTGTTGGATAAGGGATTTCTTCCTCCTCCTCCTCCATCCAGCTCAGTTACACCTAGTTAAACCCTTTAAAGGCAAAGGATTTGCATGAGTGTCAAGGGGCACAGGCTGACCCACATTAATGCCTGAAGAGGAAATAGCCTAGTTGGACTAATCTGTCATCATTCTTAAGTTCGGCAGCACTGACAGCTACTGCAGTGGAGTAGCAGGGAGAAGAGTTTATCTGACTAACAGGGACCATCCTGCAAACCTTAAAGCACTTTCAAGTCTCATTTATTTCATTAGCAGAGGTTTAAGCATGAGCCTACGTAATATTCTCTTTTTTTAAGGTTATTGATAACTATCATCAAGTGAAGTAGCCTATGGGCAGACAAATGGCTTAAGGTGATATATGGGAAATATCATTACATCGCCAAGTCAAAAGCATGAGCAGTATTGAAAATGTTAAGAACACTCATTACTTTAAGGAGTGGAGAATGAAAACATGGCACTACATTACAGTGACTAAAGGACTTAATGGAAAGAATATTAATGGACATTAAGGAATCAACTAATGGGAAAGACCTATTACCATTATTAACCCCCCTCTGTATGAGTATATGACTCTTTCAGAATAATGACTAGCAGTAGGTCACTTTCTCTGCATAACTGCATGCTTGGGCACATCAAAAAGTGCATCCAATCAGTTCAATACTGTGACGCTGTTAGGGGGAGCATGCAGATCCAGACATACATCTATATGAAGAACATGCACAGAACTTTGCTTTCATATACAGACTGGGGCAAGCATTATCCTTTTAGTAATGCAGTGCCAAATTACAGCATCCTGTTTTGTTGACTGTTATGAAATGCACCAGCCACTTCTCAGAATTTAATAAGTAATAAGGCCGGCAAGATTGAACAGCTACATTAAGCTCAACCCTGGAAACCAAAAGGCACATTCAAACAGTTAGGATGTTTTCAGGACAGCCCTACGAATCTAAGGTATGTATGTGAGCCCTGTCCAGGATGCAGTAGCATCATCTGAAGTTGAACAGGAACGGATCTGTTTCTAGATTTTACCTCTCTGATTCAATCACTCTCATCCTGACATTACCATTTGCACAAGAGTAATATTGGTAGGACTACATCCACATATGAGAGGCGGATGTGCTAATATGCTTTTGAGATTCTTCTCATGCAGCTGCCTCACCTGTGTTTAAGATCTTTCATCATTATTGTTATCACAGCAATTACCTGAAGCAAAAATGTAGGAAGCAGCACATTCTGCTGACAGCTGCTGCTGCTCCATCTCTCTATACGGGTCTGCCTTAAGAGGAGTAATATTTTATTTCTCTTGCTTTCAGAAAGCTTTTCCTGGTGATTATTTCAAGACATTTGAGGCAATGGAAACATGTTGAGCCAAATTTCTGCCTAAGCAGCTAAATATGCCCGATTCTTGGCACTAATCTATAGTTTCAAGACTCAGGGGTGTTGATGCTTGTGTCCTGAATCCCAATTTATATGGCGCAATCTCCTTTGTCTCTCAACCCTTAAATACATGCTTTGTGGGTCACGCCCCTGGGATTTTATGGTTTTTTCCTGCAGCTGTTCTTAAAACTCCGCACTTCCCACTCTTGCAAAGGGACTGCTTTTGCTCAAACTCTGAGGTCATTAGAAGTTCTAGCTGCAAATGTATTCTTAGCCCCTCACATCACAGTAGGCCACCTCCCAATAGTCTCTTGGCACCACACCACCACCATTCTGGGCACTTCCCAAAAACAAAACAAAAGGCGTTTGCTCTCCAAACAATGCATACTGCAAATAAACAAAAAAATCTTGATGGCAAAATGCCTTTATGTGGAAAAACTGGGACCATTCATTTGTTGTTAGCAAATGAAGAAATTGAGTTTCTTGGGGATTTTTTAATGCCAATGTAGAGACCGCATGTGAAACATGCTATGTTTATGGGTGTTTTGTTTTTCAATTAAAAAAAGAAGCCTAGCAAATTCCAAGGCAGGAACATTGTTGGCTTGGACATAGCTGTATTGTGACAACCCTGCAAAGCTTTCTCTTTTCTCAGAGCCCCAAAATTATCACTTGAATGATTTACAGTGCATTTATTGTTTCAAGCATGTAAATAGGGCCCTTTCAGCTACTTGCCATAATCCCTCTTCAGTAATTGCTTCTCTCCCCCTCCCCACCAAAAAAAAACCTCCTTAATGTGCTTTGCATAATTGCCACTTTATACACCAGCTTCTCATTATTATTTTGTAGAAATCTTCCTTCTGGGGAAAAAAAGTGGCTATCACTAATACCCAATCGTTCGAGATATATTATATGCTTGCATTGCAGGAAACACATTGAAAGACTGAGGTCCAAAATATAATTATACTACACAAGAAAGGAAAGGGAAGTTTCCCACTATGAATGGCAACTCCCATCTTTCAAGCATAGCCTTTTGCATTACATTAAATGGCTACGGGTGATATAAACAACTTGTCTGGCCACCACTGCAATGGAATAAATAAATGTCTTCTCGCTGCCATACCACGGCAAACACAGATGCCTTCTTTGGAGGAACTTAAGTTACACACCAGTGTTTTCAGAAAGCGTGACTCTGTAGCAGGATCAGATTAAAGTAAAGGAAGGAAGGAAGCCAGAATGCTACCGATCATCTATATGCAAGTGTTCAAGCAGATGTTGCCTGAAGGGCAAAATTCTCCTCCTCCTCCTCCTCGTCCTCTTACTCTGGTAGTAGCTAGAAGAGCTTTGTATGAGGGAGAACAGAAGCAGCTTCAAATATGTTATAACCATTTATAAGATGGAAAGCTACTGCCCTGTTTTTCTCAAATCATACCAAAGTGAAAAATAATAGGGATGTTTCTATCCTTCTTAATGCTTCTACTATCTGTCAAAGTGAGGGCCAGGGGGAACCTCCAGCTGTTGTTAAGACTCCTGTACCAGGCATGCCAGATGCTGTTGGACTTTAATTTATTCATTCAAAGCCCCATCAGATTCAGATCCAGCCAGCAAGGGCCATGTTCAGGTTTTATTGCGGGAGCTGTCATCCCAACATCATCTGGGGCAACACAGATTCCTCACCCACAATGCCTGCATTTGTGACGAGGATGGCTATCTATCTATCTATCTATCTATCTATCTATCTATCTATCTATGGCTGTCAATGAATTATAGGATTTTTAGTTCATCATATGAGATGCTCTTCAGCTGTGTTTATGATTTTAGCCTAACTTGACTAATGTTGCAGTCCTATACACACACCTTACTGGGAAACCGTGATACTCAATTTGATGAGGTCTTTCTTCCGAGTAGATGTTGATCGAGGATTGCGCTGTGAAATTTGCAGCCCTTAACTGCAATCCTGCCTCAGTACACCAGATCAAGAGATGGGTGAGCTGACCCTATGCATGTTTAATCACCAAGTCCCACTGAGTTTAACGTGGCTCACTTCTATGTGCGCGTGTAACTGCAGATTTCTAAATAAGCATGCGCAGAATTGGATCGTCAAAAGTCATAACTAGATCTACTGATGTTCTCTGTAGTGTAGCATGCAATACCATAATAATCAAAAACTACAGTCAGGTTCCAAAGCTTCCTTCTACGATGGTGGCAATAGTGATTTCTCAGCTATTTTTCTTCCCAGCAATTTTAATGCATTGGCTGATTCTTGATCCGGGGTAATCCCTTATTTGAGGTTCCTGGTCTCATTTCTGTAACAAAGTAGCAGCTATATAAAATGGGTTTGTAACCTTAAATACCCTCTGCAGGTTTATTAGAATGTCCCCCCAAAAAACCCTACGGTTTCACCCAGAAAAACTGCATCAATTCAAATTTTAGCCTGCAATAGTTACACAAATGGAAAAGCTTTCTCACCAAGCTTGCCAAGGTTAATTTGAAACTGTTAGGAAGCATTTGGATTTGTTTGTATGCCAGCCAGCATTTAAAATCTGAGAGGATGTTGTTGTAGCAATAGGATGCAAATCTCTGCATCAGTCAGGAAGCTGGGTAAGTTAGCTCTTTCCCCTTGAGGGTCCATGGATCCCCTGAAAACAAGCCTATTCTGAAGGAAATGAATCATGGCCACCAGCTTCCCTGATACTCTGTTTCTCAGTAGTCTTTACAATTCATTCAATATGATGTTACTTACTTATATTTATTTATTTAATGGGGCTTATATATCACCCAATCACCAACATCAAGTAAACACCAAGTAGTTTACTTAATTATACATTAAAATATATGCTCTCTCTGACAAATTCATACTAGGTAAGACTCTATGAAACAAACGAAACTCCTACAATCTTTACTTTTCCAAAGAAACTAGGTTTTTTTAAAAACAATAACCAAAAACATAAATCCCACAGATGTTTTATTAACTGCCAAGTTCCTTCCAAACCTCAATGTAACCAAATGTTAACTGAGGGTCTACACAAGCAAAAGTTTCCCTGTCCCTTATCTGACTGTTTCATAACCTACACAGTTTTATACTGTCTTATGCTATACCACCTACACCAATGGGTAGAAAAAGTGTCACAGGTGAAAACACCAGTTTCACATTACAAATGTCACCAGCAGCATAAATTTGTTTCCAAAAGGAACAATCAGTTCAGTGTGAGCTTTACTGCTCATTTCAATAGGACCAGCGTATCTGCCTTTTATAGACTTTTTCTTTACACTGTTTCTCTCCTACTCACTTGCACCAACCAATCCAGCAGTATGGTTTTCAACTTTTCGGAAACAGATACGCGTTAGTTTGCTTTTTGCTGTATTGTTCTCAAAACTTCAAAGTGTGATCTGCATTCCCCCCTCCCCAAGTGAATTCAGCCTGCAATATGATGCATGAACACTTATGAGTCACACTGAAACCCGTGGGACTTACTTCCCTGCACAGCATGAACTAGTTTCAGACACTGCACTAATCAGTTATGGAGCTATGGACACAAGCCCTTTTCTCTTAAAACAACCTTTGATCTTTCTTCTCAAACCTCTGCCTTAACTATTAGACTGAGGAGCATATTGTACTCCTCCCAATCTTCTCATTTACTGTGCTCAATCTGCATCCTAATGATGAGTATTTACTTCTAAGTGAACGTGCATAAGGATTGGGCTTGGGGCGGCATGTCTGAGAGTTAAGGATGTAATCCCAACTCCATTTACCTGGGAAAACTCAACTTGCTTCTGAGTAGGCATGGCTAGGATTGCCCGGTTAGTTCTGACACGTATATACAATAATAAACAGTCTCCCCCTTTGTGCAGGTGCAAAGCGCTTCCCCCTCACTAATGAATGCTGATTTGCATATAATTCTGCCTGGATTACTGTAAAATAAATTATATGTGGATCGGCTTTTAAAGACAGACTTGAAGCTTCGTTTACTACAGAATATAATTCTGGCAAGCGTATGTGACTCTTGTGTCACCACCCTCAAAAGAGCTGCATTAGTTTGCTTCCAAGCTCATTTCAAAGCCTGACCTTTAAAACCTTAAAAAGCTTGCGACCCAGTTAACTGAACCATCCTATCCATACCTTTAGCTCATCTCTCTCTCTCTCTCCTGCTCCCTCTCCCTCTCTGTTCCATCTTTGCTGATGGCAAAGCAGCTGCAAGCCAAAAAGAGAGGTGATGTTTTGCACACATCTGTGGAATTGCCTCAACAGGGAGGCTTGCCTGGTACCAGCACTGCTTTCTTTCATGAATCAGGTTTTAAAAAACCCACCCTTTTCATTCTCAGGCTCTTAAACTCTATACATTTTTAGATTTTGCTGATGGTCATGTTTCATCTTCCAACTGTTTTGTTGTGTGTATTTGTTGCTGTGACATTTTAATGGTGCTCTCAGATCAGTTTTATTGAACGATGGTATGGAAATACTTTAAACAAGAAATAAAGCCAGTATGTTACAGAGCAGCAAATCCAATGTATGGTGTACATACATCCCTTGTCAGACAACATCACATTGGCTGCTCCTGGTGCGACCACCTGTGATGAATGGCTGGTGCGCAGCACCGTCCAATTATCTCTCAGGTCACGTGACTTGCCTTATAGCCAGTGTAATTTCCTTGACGCCTAAGTGGAACTGCGTTCAGTGGACTTAACTTCTGGTGCAAATGGAAAAAGAACGAGGCAGCTCACAAAAAGCAGAGATCAAGGGTGGCAGTGTGCATTTCATCCATTTTAAGAGTATACCAATGCCAATCCTTTTAGTGAACCTTACTGCAGGTAAAGAGGCCTGGATGCACACTACTGTTACAGAGTTTTAACAGGAAAGGAGATATTCCTGCACTTAGACAAATGTTTGGAGTGGCACAGTTCCTCCCTTTTTCTGCAGAGTGGGATTAACCCTCTTCCTTAAGTGGATGGGACCAAATCCAGACATCAGCAATGAAAATTTGGACCACACAGGTCCCCCATATCACACCCCCCTCTCCCCATGCCAGGAGCGCCAGTGACCGTGGGTGACATGCAGCGTGCATGGCCCTGGCACCGAAATTTGTGGGTGCCCGGCCCCTTCATGGGGTATTTTGTGGGTGCTTGGGCACCCAGGTCCCCAGGGAGTTGGCACCTATGGCCCAACAGGGGCAGCTATCCTTTCCCCCTGGCAATTCTCCTGAGGCCTTAATGCCTGCCTGCTAGAGAACCACAAACTCAAGTAGCAAACCGCCTCACTCTCTTCGCCCCTGAGGGAGAAAGATGCCCAAGGGAGGGTCGAAGGGACCGGAGGTGGGTCGGAGGCTACCTGGATGAGGAGGGCTGGGGCGCCCCCTGGAGGCCTCCTGCCGGTCGCCGTCCTCCTGGCCGCTGAGCGGGTAGGCGAGCAGGCGCATGGGCTCCCAGCAGGCCGCCTCCACCTCGCGCACCTGCTCCCGGCTGAGGCGCTCCCGCCAGGCGTGGATGGCTTCGCGCGCGTCGCGGGCGGAGATGAGGAAGGGGCGCTCGGAGGAATAGGCGGCGCCGCGCGTCATGTTGAGCACGAAGTCCTCGAGCGCGGGCGGCGACGGCAGGTCGGCGAAGCGCAGCAGCCGGCGCAGCTGGGCGCGCGGCTCCAGCACCAGGTCCTCGTAGCGCAGCTGCGTGTAGCGCGCGCGCAGCCAGGCCGGCGCGCGGCGGGAGAAGAGCAGGTCGCGCAGCCAGGCCTGGCAGATCACCTCGAGGGCGCCGCCCAGGAAGAACTCGGCGCGGTGCTGCTGGCGAGGGTGGACCCCGGCCAGAGCCGCCGCGGCGCCGCCGGCGAAGGGGGGCAGCAGAGGGTGGCGGCGGGGGAGTCCCCGGGGCTCGGCGGCGCGGTGGCGGCTCCGCAGCACCTGGATGCTCTCCCGCAGCAGCGCCTGCTTGGCCTTGAGGCGCGAGTTGTGGACGGCGCGCGGGTCGCGGAAGAGCTGCACCACGCGCAGGTCCAGCTCCGGGTCGCGCAGCAGCGGCAGCAGCGCGCCCAGCTCCAGCAGCCTCACGTCCTTGATCACCATCACGGGGTACTTTCGGCACTCGGCCTCCAAGTCCCGCAGCGCCCGCGGAGGGCAGCTGCGCTCGCAAGCGGCGCCGTCCACCAGGCCCACGTCGGAGCGGGCGCGGGGCGCCGCGGGGCACAGCGGCGCGGAGCAGATCACCTTGTTGGTCTTCCAGCCGAAGATGCTGGCCGTGCTGAGGTTGACGCCGCCGCCTCCGCCGGGCAACAAGGGCGCCAGCGGGTCTCGGGGCCCCGGCGGCGCGGCGTAAAGGCGCAGGACCGAGAAATCGCATCGGAAGAGCGAGCGCACCATGTCTCGCAGCGCGCCCTGCAGGCTCAGCGCGTCGCCCGGGTACAGCGCCTGCCACATGTGCCACATGGGCTCGTACAGGTAGAAGACGTCCGGGTGCTGGTTGAACAGCTCGCCCAGGAACGACGAGCCCGTGCGCCAGGTGGCGTGCAAGTAGATGTGGCGCTTCCCGCCCGCCCGGCTCCCCGGGCCGGCTTCGTCCGAGTCCTCAGACTCGTTCCTCTTCGCTTCGTGCCTGGGCGCGGGCGGAGCGGCGGCTTCTCCCGGTGGCGGTGCCGGCTGCCCTTCCCACGCCCAGTCCCCGAGCGCCTCCTCGAGGTCGGGGCAGCGGTGGGGCGGCGGCTGCCGCTCCTTTCCCGCGCGCCCTCTCCTGGCGCCGTAGTCCAGCATGTAAGACACCAGCAGCAGGAGCAGCAGCGTGTAGAGCGCCAAGCCCAGCGCGAAGCCGCGGTGCTCCCAGCGCCACCTCCAGCGCCGCCGGCTCTTCATGGCGCTCTCCGGCCGCGCCTGAGGGGAACAGCCCAGGGCGCTGCCGCCGCCGCTTGCTGCTGAGGCGGGACTCGAGCGAGGAGGCTGCTGCCTGTTTGAAAAACAGCCACAAACTTGGAGAGGCGGAGGAAAGCGAAGGAGGCGGCGGCCCAGAAACACGCCCACACGCCGGCGAGTGTGAGGAGAAAGCGGCAGCCAGCCTTGCTTTCAAGTCGATCCCGCCGCCGCCGCCGCTGATGGGGTCGGTCTGGAAGCGGGTCGGTGCCCGAACACTCTTCCTCCTGAGCGCATGTGCACTTTCTCTCCCGAGAACCTGCAGGCTGCTAAGCCTGCGCGCTTCCAAACTTGATCCTAGACAAAGGCGCGTAGGGTCGGGGTGAGTGTTGACACTTCCTGAGGACTCGAAGACTCAATGGCGGAGCCCTTAACTAGTCCTCATGATTTAACATTGAGGCTCCCGTCTACATTTTTTTTTGCAAAATAACTGTCAGCCGTCGCGGTACCTCTGCAGTGGAAAGCAGCAGGAGCGAGTTTGACATTTTGTACGCACGTTTTCCCTTTACGGCTCCATATGCCCGTTCAAAACAAAACAGAAAAAGGAGGGAAGTGCCTAGAGCAGCGCCTGGAGAGAATGGTCGCCACAGTCTCCTCCCATGTTGTGCTCATTCATTCATTCAACCTCCCTTCCGCCCCATAAGGAATGCTCAATGCAGATTCCGTTGTTTAAAAACAATATAAAATCATAACAGGTAAGAGCCAGTGGTTGTGACTTTGGGCTCCTCACACTCTCTGAAGGTGACCTCCTACTTTGTATGGACAGCGGTGCGGTGGTAAGTTTTGCAATGTAGGAATTTGCCGTGACACAGTGCCAGGGAATGCCCCAAAACGCAGGTTACTCTTGTGATCTACACTCACATATATACATCCCAAAGAGCAAAAACACAAAGGAAATGTGTTTCCCTTGCAGTGTTCTGCTGACCAGGAGTACCTCTGTCTTGTCTGGATTAAGTTTCAGTTTGTTTGGTCACATTTATCCTATTACTTGCTCTAATCTGTTCAAAACCTCCAGTGTCCCTAGTTTGAGATGGAAGAGTGTGTGTGTGTGTGTGTGAGAGAGAGAGAGAGAGAGAGAGAGAGAGAGATTGAGAGATGCACCATGATGTCTGCATAGTGATGACAAAAAGCTCAAAATATTTGGGCAGCCTCCACAACAGTTTCCCGTGGCTGTTGAGAAGCATAGTTGACAATAGGAAAATGCTGAGAGACATGAAAGGCATCAAGCAGGAGTTCTCCAGCACCTCCTACAGAAATCTGACCTGTAGGAAGGACTGGAACCACCATAAAACAGTACCTCCAATGCCACCTGTCTAAACCAGGAGTGGACAGGTGGTAGCTAGCAGGGTGATCTGAAGTAGATCAGCAAGAATTTATGGCTCAAAATAGATTATTAATAGCAGCAACAAAATTACTCTTCCCTGACCTACAATAAGCTGCTGAAACGAGGACAGCTCAGGGTAAGCAAGAGTGGCCTTTTTATACAGAATAATTTTGAGCTCCGTTCAGTTATGAAACTCAGAACAAATTTATCTAGGCTCAGAATTATCAATTCCTTAGTTAGCGTGTGTCTTTTGCCCCAAGCCCTCTTAGCTGACGGGTCTCGGAGTTATGACAGAACTAACACTAGATCTTAGCAGCCCAAAGCCTAGACCTATGTTTCCCAAACTTGGGTCTCCAGCTGTTTTGGGACTACAACTCCCATCATCCACAGCTAGCAGGACCAGTGGTCAGGGACAGGGCCATCTTAAGCATATCCAGTGCCGTGGTGCAAAGCTCCCTCCGGCACCCCCCCCCATTTCCCAGAGTTTTTTAGGGAAGATGGTGCTGCCGGCAGGGCTGGAGGAGGCAGGCAGCGGCTGGAGGGCAGCTCCTCTGGTGGGGAAGAGGCGGAGACTGGACGCGGCGCCTCCTGGCTCAGCTGGCCACTTCGTGCCACGGTGGCCATGGCAGACGGAGGCTCTGGGTGCGGCGCTGCTTCGGCGTGGCATGGCAGAGGTGGGCGAGGGCGACGAGCTGATGCCAGGAGGCGCTGCATCCAGCCTCCGCCTCTTCCCTGGTGCCCTCCAGAACTTGGTGCCCCGCACCACTAGCCTCTATGGGTAAGATGCCCCTGGTCAGGGATCATGGGAACTGTAGTCCAAAAACAACTGGAGACCCAAGTTTGGGAAACATTGCTCTAGACAATCCAGAAGAATACCATGGTCAGTGAGTAGTATTAAGTCTGCTGAGAAGTCCAGGAGAACTAAAAAAGAATGTACACTCATATTGCCCAATTCCCAGCATAACTTATCTACCAGGACTTCTTAGGGCTCTGGCCATGTGCCAGTGCCAATTAGTTGGAATAATGGGCACACACATCCATTAAATGCCTTGGGGAAGAGAATGCAGGTTCTCCCATATGTCGGCATAAGTCAGATCTCGTTACGTAATAACTAATAAGCACAACAGTCGCGTATTTATCCGGAAACCGTTGCTTTCTAAAGCTTCAGCATGGATTGAGCGAACGTTTTTATTTTGGTATGTGTGAAAAACAGTTTTATATGTTTATTGCGTTGCTTTGAGGTTGTATGGGATGAAATCCTGGCCCTACTGAAATCCGTGGGAGTTTTTGGCCAGCACCCCTCAGTGCGAGCAGCATGTAACAGTTTTACACGTAGAAGTCTGTCTCTCTTTAAACTAGGAACAGATTTTATTCCCTTGGATTTGCCCCATTTGGATCTGCCTCATCCCAAGGGGTCAACCAAAAAGCTCACACATGCCTAATAGCATTTTAAATTCCAGTTTTAAAGAAACCCAACAACTCTGGAGGTTCTTTGAACTGTTTTTCAGCCAATAAGACTATCAGAGGTACGAATGAAAAGAGTATGCACGGTTAACATCATACATTAATTCTGGCCTTTTTGTACAGTGAGTTTCTCCCATGCATTGTGAATTTTCTCAAATAATAAGTATTTTGTGTGTGGAATATCATACTTGTGTCATAGGGTGTGAACGCTTATATCAGGCATAGGCAAACTTGGCCCTCCAGATGTTTTGCGACTACAACTCCCATCATCCCTAGCTAACAGGACCAGTGGTCAGGGATGATGGAAATTGTAGTCTCAAAACATTTGGAGGGCTGACTTTGCCTATGCCTGGCTTATATGAGCATCTCGTATTTCGATTTTTTAGATCTAGAACCCATATTGTAGGAGTGGGGGGTGTTTTTCAGCCTGAGGGTGGTATTCCTGCATCAGTAACCTTCCATGGACCACATGTCCATCAGCGATGGGCAGGGCCAGAGGCGGAAAGTGGGAGTGACCAGAGGTAAATGTGAGTGGTTTCTTTGTCCCGTGTAGCAGCAACCTGAGACCTGCGTAGCATCTAGTATAGCGGAGGGTTGCCAGCCTTTTGGGGTCTGTGGGGCACGTTTCTAAACCAGAGAAACTGCCATAGGAGCCACACATACCACAACCAAACATACAGTGCAACCGATTCTGTTGGCTATAATAGAATGCTTCTTTCAATTCCTCATTTCAGCAGAGGGAAGGGGAGGAGAGACCCCTGCAGGCGCAAGGGAAGGTCTCTGTGGGCGTGAGATCCCTGTAGTACAGTCTAATCCAGTTAAGCCTGCCATCTCCTCCTCTGCTCTTATCTCAAGACTCTGACTAAATGCAGACTTTGTGGCCTTGGTATCAAGATAGTTTCCTCTCCTTTCACCATTTTGTTCACCATCCAGTCTGATGAAGGGTTTGGTGAATTCAAAAGCCTGGTCGCTTCTTTTGTGACGTTTTGGCTGGTCTTAATAAAAAAAATTGCCCAGCTGTGGGTTTTGAAATTATAATACATGAAAACCAAAACAGCGGAGCTTTGAAATGAAATTGAGCTTATGATCTTTCTCGGCGGTGACCTAGAAATAATTTCTCCTGACTTGCGGAGATGAAATGTTATGGACATCTTGTCCTTGTGAGTGGCAGGGCTGCAACTGCTAAAATTCCCAGGCCTCGGAGAAATAAATGAATATATAACCACTGCCAAAGTCTAGACAAAATTGTTTTAGTTACCAGTAAATATCCATTTATCTCCACGGTTGGTTCAGTAGAAATTAATTTTAATTTAATTAACTCTATGCATAAAATATTATGCATTTCAAAAATAATTCTGTTGACAGTGGACTGTATCCAACAAACTCATAGTCAGAGTAGATGCACTGAAATTAATTAACCCAAGTTAGGCCTGGGAGTCTTGTCCATTAGGTTTACTGGGTTTACTCTGAGTAGGATTAGCATTTACTACAACCCATCACTATATAGTATCAATAATGCAATGTTTCAGTAAATAATTCTGCATCTGTCTCAAAGGTAACAAAGTTTTACCTGGAAGTGAATTCTATTTTTATTTTTTTGCTGAATTATCCCAAATCTAATGTTTTCAGCAGTCTCATCCTTTTACTTGCTGTGCCTCTTAAGCACAAAACCAAGAGTAGACATTTTCACCTTGATCCAAAGCAATGTAAATCACATTGCCCTGGATGAGGGTCCAACAAACTGCACAACTCAAAGCGGTTTGGGCTGTCTTGAACAACACCTGGCAGGCTACATAGCAAACTTCTTCTGAAAGCATGAGGAATTTCAGAAGCAGCTTGTAATGTAGCCTATGGGTGTGCCATTCAAAAAGGGAAAACCTGGAAAACACCAATTACAAGCATGTTAAATTTGCTTCGGTTACTAATACTAAGAGGGCAGCTTCAAATGTTCCACTTGCCACAAGCGAAGTATCAATTCTTACTTCCATGGGGTTTGTTTTGCAGACCTTCTGCCACAACAACAAGGTCATTATCTTCTTAAGTCTGCTTTGGGTTTCTTTGCTCATTTCTTGACTGCATTCACGATCCCTTTCCATCTTGAGTGCTACCAACGAGGACACAGAGATTTTTTTCGTGCTTTCTTCCTCCACATAAACGACAAAGGCCCTTTCTACATAGAAACTTTGCCATTCTCTCTCTACACACTGCTAAGCTGCTTAAACCCCACAAAA